CGCGGCGGCCGTCGTCCCCGTCAGCTGGCTGGCCGGCAGGGTCGAGCCCCGCGACGGCGCCCTGGGCGTGCAGCTGGCGGACGTGGTGCGCGCGCTGGCCCGGCTCGAGACCCAGCCCTCCTCCTCCTCCTCCCCCCGGCCTGCGGAGGAGGACGCGGCGGCGCCGGCGACAGAGAAGCAGCAGCAGCAGCAGCAGCAGCGGTTCTCGCGGTTCCTCGTGTCCTTCCAGGACGGCGTAGAGGGCCGGCGCTTCGCGCGCGACTGGCACCGGCGGCGGATCGTCGATGAGACGGACGGCCGGGACGTGACTGTCAATGCGACCTTGCTGTGGTGAGAGAGAAGGATCGAACGGGAAGCGAGGTTTTTTGTACCATCACATGTATTACATACTATCAGGCACCGAATCCTATACGGACGGGCTACCCTTTTTTATATGTACATAAGAGATCAAGAACGATACCAAAAGTGGAAAATAAGAGGCTTCTGTTCGCATTATGCGTCAGGTAGGCGACGAAAGCACTGGATTCCATGTTGTAGAAAAGTGATGGCTTCACGTCAAATAGAGCCGTCATAACGAAACGATGCGCAAATGTATTAAACCCCCAGAGATCAAAGACCCGTAAACTCCGTTGACCGAGATTTGTCTGCTCTCTCTCTCTCTCTCTTGTTCAGCCAGCTAGCTCAGAACACTGGCCTCTCTACGACAAGAAATAAAAAGGAAAAAAAGAAAAGCAGCAAAGATACTAAAAGCGATACATGAGAGGTTACCAAAGACAAGAGCCATGCCGTGCCCAAAGGGACGAAAATCTCTTGCAATATGTGCGGACGCGAGCAGCACACGATGCCTCTCTTGTGTTCCTTCAAGACACACGCACACGCAGCAGGCCGTCCCCGTGCCCGGGTGGTGCAACCACGAGCGATAGGCCCCGCGAGCACTTGTGTGCCAATGCATTCTTCCCACGCAACTCGGACGCCGCCTTGGACGCTCTTCCTCTTTGCGCTCCGCATCTCTACCTAATTCGCATTCCTCCACCTCAAACCAAGAGCGGTGGAGCCCCCCTAGCAGCACTTGCCGCCCATGATCCCTGAGCCCTCGCCCTGGCCGGCCACGTTGACGCCCGAGGTGGCCGTCTGCTCCGTCTTTGAGGTGTCGATGATGCGCTTCTTGATGTCCGCCGCGAGGCTGTAGAAGGCCTTGTCGATGTTGATGTTGCTCTTGGCAGACACCTCGAGAAAGGGTATGCCGAGCTCGTCCGCCAGCTCCTGACCCCGCTCCGTCGAGACCACCCGCTTCTCCTCCCAGTCGCACTTGTTGCCGATCAGGATCTTGTTGACGCCCTCGGTGGCGTGTTGTTCTACGTTTGCGAACCAGGTCCGGATATCTGGTTTGCGGAGGGTGAGATCCACGTCAGCCCTTCTGCCCTGTGGATGTCTGTGTGACGGGTGGCAAATCGACTGCTCGCTTCTCCGAGAGAGGAGAAGAGCACACCTCCGGGAAAGCAAAAAAAGAGACACATTTACATACTGTTGAATGACCTCTCATCCGTGACGTCGTATACCAGCAGGATGCCCATGGCGCCGCGGTAGTAAGCGGTGGTGATGGTGCGGAACCTCTCCTGGCCGGCCGTATCCCAGATCTGCAGTTTGACCCGCTTGCCATCGAGCTCGATCGTCCGGATCTTGAAGTCGATGCCAATGGTCGTGATGAAGGACGGCGTGAACGAGTCCTCGCTGAAGCGCAGCAGGCAGCACGACTTGCCTACGCCTGAGTCGCCGATGAGGAGGAGCTTGATCTGTGGTGGTGCGGGAGAAAACGAGCCGTGTTAGTTCTCTCGGGAGCCTCGCGGTCGACGCAACGTTGAACGGGACCATGCCGCAAAAGAGGGCACGAAGAGGACATGTCTCTCGGGCGGCAGGAGGGGGCGCTCTTACCAGGAAGTCATAGTTGCGGTTGTTCGACATGGTGGGAAATAGGGGAGCACCACGTGGGATGCGGATTATGCGGTGAGGTGCGTGCGCGTCGGGTACGGGTACGGGTAATCGATGCTGCTCTTTTGTGTCCCTGGTGGTTGGGTTCGCGCCGGGGAGTGCACGATCTGCTGCCCGGTCTGTATGCAGCGCGCGGTGGCGGATCTGGAGGTTCTGTTCGGGATGGATGGGGATTGGAGTTGAGGGTACGATTCTGTCGGCCGGCAGCAGGCTGAGGTGGGTGACGGTGACAGGTGGTTGGTTTTGTGACGACGTGTTACTGAATCAGGTAGGCGGTGGCCGCTAACCAGTGGAGGCTTGGTGCGCACATGGAGTCCCCTAACGCCTGGTGGCTGGTGGTGGGGGGTGGTGCTTGTGGAGGCTTCAGCGCCCGAGGAGTCGCTGGACTTGGAGGGCCACTAGCGGTGGTTTTTCTTGTCTAGCCGGGCCCTGGTGGGTGGTCCACGAAACGTTGGACCAAATTGAAGGACAGGGCGATGTGGAACAGGTTGGGTTGGGTGGTGATTGGTGGTGGGGTGGGAGGAATTTAGGGAATAACAAGCACTGAACCACCACCCAGGATCGCTGACTTTAGGCCGGGCTACAGCTGTGGGGGAGAGTTTGAGGCGACCTCGAGACCTTCTTCCACGAGTTGTGCGTGTCAGGGGGGGCTGAGTCTACTTCACAATGCAGAATTTACTTGGCGGGTGTGGTTCCCCGAGTTAGGTACCTAGTCTACCTCACGGCGATGTCGCGCAGATGCAGGTACAAAAGTATCTTTCCGCCATGCTCAGCTGAATTGGGTCCCAAGTCAACTGACACCACACCAACCAACACCCAGAGAAGTGTCATGGGGCCCGGGATCTTTCGTCATAGCCTCTCAGCCTGTCTCGCCATGAGAAACGCTTATTCAGTGGGACACAACAACCATAATCCGCACCTTAAAACACCACGCTTAACTCATCGTCGTTGTGAGCGAACCAAGAGGAAGGGATATCAGGGAGGCTTGAATCAAGTCATTTCCTGTCAAATCTGTATTTATAGAAGGTGATCTGGCTGGGACTGTGCACCCTGATCTGACTCTGTCAACGCTGCTTTTCTAGTGTATAATCCCAAACAGCATGCCGCTTGTCCATGATATGAATGATGTACAGCCCACCTAGAGGCCCTCCCTACAGGCAGGCAGGCATCCTCGATAACCTCGATAACTTCTACCTCAGCCACTTCGAGTACGCCCACCGGATCCTCTCAAAAGCCATCATCTGCAGCTGGATCCCCTTGGTGTTGGCGACCAGGTCGTCCAGGTCCTCGAGGAACTCCTTCTCGATCTCGCGCGGCATGAGGCCGTGCGCCAGCTCCCGCAGGATGTGCACCTCGCACACGAGCAGGCCGTGGTCCTTGTACGAGAGCAGCGGCGGCTTCTGCGGGTCCGCCGTCGCATTCACCTCGTAGAAGATGCGGTCGATGTTGCGCAGCACCCGCATGGCCCGCGTGGCCTTCTGGCCCCGGCGGACGCCCTTCCGGCCGCCCAGCACGCCGCGCAGGTATTGGAAGACGCCGATGGAGACCAGGACGCCGGGCGTCAGGCCGACGAAGCCAAACACCAATTCCTGGCTCTTGAGGAGCGAGTCGATGCCGCTCATGGCCACCTCGAGGTCGACCTTTGTCTTCTGGACCTGGATCAGCAGGGAGCGAACGAGGTCGCCCCTGACAGCTCCGACAAATGGCTTCCTCAGGTCGTTCTCGTAGGCGCGGAGCACCGGGGTGACGTCGCCCTCCCTGACTTTGGCCTGGATCTCGCTCAGCTGGGCATCTGTAATGTTGGCCTCCCCGACCGCGTGGAGCGGCTTGTCGCGGGCAAATTCGACAACCATCCGCTCCAGGCTCTCGCGGTCCGCCTTGAGGCTATCCCGGCTCATGATAGCAATCTCGCTGTTTTCGTCGTGCCGGATCGTCCCAATCACCTTGCGAATCGGCTCTACCACCCAGTTGAACCAGAAGTCCCGTACGGTGGCGCCAAGGTTGCGAACCCAGTTCAGTATATCGTCCTGGCGGTTGACAACTATCCGTAGCAAGGTAGATGACGACAGGACGAGCACCGTGATCGGGAGCCAGTATCTGACCAGGGCCGACGGGCGGCCATATTGGCTGACGACAACTTTTGTGTCGCGCACATGCTCTGGGATGCGGGTTTCTAGTAGCTTAAGAAGGCGCTTGGCAAGGATTGCCGGCTTACGGAGTCCATTCTCGTCTTCGTGGTGAATAGAGAGCTCCGGATCCTCCTCGACTCCGTTAAAAATCTTGTCTTCGAATTCGCGAACCTCGTAGTCGACCTGGAGGACTTCATAAAGGACCATGTCCATCAGAATGACGCTGCGCTCAACAATGCCTTTCCATTTCTGGCCGTTGTCATTAGCCTTGATCTCCTTGCCAGAGCCGTGGCCTTCGTCGAACCCGAGGCCTTCGTCGATCAGGGTGCCGAGACCGCTGGCAATCAACATCCGGAGCTGCTTCAGTTGCTTTTGCTTATGTCGAGCCTGGGACCGGCAGATGGCCACGGGGGAGAGCATCCTGCGCTGGATATCCTTAATCGAGCGCTCTGCAACAGTTCTCCTGACGATGCCATAGAACTCGCTCCACTGCCTGGACAGCGTGGCTCTTCCCGAGTTTAGCGTCTCTGTTGGCGATTCGCGAAGCTGCCGGAAGCGTGAGCGGCTCTCGCCCAGGATGTCCTTTGTCCAATCCCACATGCGGAGGGGCGCCGTCTGCACGGCGTAGATGCTGCTGTATGAGTAGGAGCCCAGGACCTCGTCCCAGTACCAGATGTCGTCGCTCAGGGGGATGATCTGGTCAAGCAGGGTATTCATAATAATGCCGTACGTCTGCACGGTAGCCTTGCTGACGAGGAGCCATTCAATCTCGCTTTCATACGAGCTCTTCTGCTCCAAGCCCTGGACGTCATCGGCCGAGGCAGCCAGGCCCGACTGTTTCAGTAGGCTCTGGACCTGGTACGACGATAACAACGGGCTGGACGACGACGACGATGACAACGACCTCACGATATGAAGCAACTCGTTCACACGTGGCGAGGAGAGGGCAGCGATGTTAAGGCTGCCTGAGTCCACCGAGCTCGTCTCCGCAGAAACCTCTTCATCGTCCGATTCAGACAGAGGAAGCAGAGACACCCGCTCAACGTCGGCCTCCCACCGGCGGACGAGGCTACATTTCGATTAGTTACATGATACTTGTTGGGAGGCACCATATTGGCAAGGGGCACATACTCGGCTACTACAGACATGGTTGATGACTAACCAAAGGAGGCAGTAGTCTCAATCGGTGGTGCCCGGACCCCGTTCCGTGGGTGATCGGAGTGCTGACCAAAAGCGCAACCTTGTCCTCGACGATGTGGCCAACGTCCGTTGTGGTTCGGGGTTGTTTGGCTGATTGGTCAAGTCAGCTCTGCCCGGCGGTGGTAGGGCGAGCTTGAGAGAAGCTCTGCAGTGTTGTGTGAGCTTGGGAGCCCGTGTGCCAATCCCGAGCGGCGTGGGGTTGCGCAAGTGGCAATGAGATCACACCACCCAATTTTGTTTTTTCGGATGAGGAGGCTGCCGAGGACCATGTGGGAGAGCAGAGCTTCAATTTTGTTGCTTGTTGACGAAGACAAGTGGAGTGGGTTGTGGCCAGTTGCTTGGGTCACAACGTCACTGCAAAGCCACCACCATCTTGCACGCGGGCAGGCGGGCTTGGCTCGAGCAGGTGGCAATCCTGATGTTCCATTGGCGAGGGCCGCATTTTATGGGGGGAAATGGGGGGCCAGATCGGAGAGCCTCTTCGCTAGCTCGAATCAAATCCCATCTTGGTCGTAATCGATAAGATCTTGCTTGATTCAAGGTCCACACTGGCACACCAGGCGCGACAGAGTGACAGAGTGACAGAGTGACAGAGTGACAGGTTGCTCTCTGGTTTGTTTGGCACAAGGAGGGGGCCATGGGAATGAGCCTAGGTATCACTGTCTAATATGTACGCTTACAAGTACATGTACGTTATGTCTCTTCTCCTAGCACAAGGCTGCGAGAGGTGAGCAGGCACAATAGCTTCAGCGTCCCGTCGTTCAATGCCAGCCATTGCCGTCATTAGAGTCGCCTTCAAAAAGGTACATTACAAGTAGATATTGGACCTGCTTGGCTGCAAATATCCTTGACCCATGACGTGGGTAAGGTAAACGCACACCACACAAAAGAGACTGCTGGACAGCACACTCAATTCCAGCAGTAAAGTACGCAAGTGGCCCTCCCTTCACCGGCTGTGAAGCTTCCGGATGAGCCCACGGTCGTTGCTATGTAATCTCAGGGCGCGCACTCGTCTCTCGGGATTTGCCTGCAAGGCGCAACCTCGGCGTCAGGTCAGGGTTCGCAAGGGCAGTAGGCATTCTCAGTTGTTCTCTGCGCTGGCTCCGTTCACCGCCCGGGTCAAACCATCAGTTGGGCCTGGTCTGGTCTTGGCAAAGGGACGAATTGACAAAAAGTCCGTCCCTCCACAGACATGCGAACAAGATACAAAACATGTGGAAGATCGAATGTTGGACCCATGGCTTGTTCCCGAATCCGGGCCCCACCTCAGAACCCGAATACGGCAACGAGAGCATCGGCCACTGTGCACAACTCGATACAGTGGCTCCAGTGGGCGAATAGCTCTGTTGTTGGGGGGGGATGGGGGGGCAAAATGTACGTACAACAGGGGCAGACAGGGGGAGGGGATGACCCAAAGAAATGGAAAATCTTTCGACATTCTAGGGGAATGGGAATTGCCGCTTGCGCCATGCGGTCAGGTCTGGGTGGGTTCCGTCTGGCGGTCGACAGCCTGTGACTGGCTCGGATGGCGGAATTCCAGCACTAGAACGTGGGCTCATTCTTGGACTGCGGCCCCCATTGGCCACATCCGTTGGGCCTTGGATGAGGCCATCCCCCATTTGTCTGCCCCGAGAAGAAAACTCCCTTATCTGCTATTAAACATCTGCATCTCCCGCCGCCGTTTCCTTCATTCGACTTGAACCATCTCCAGAGTCGGTCAAGGAGCTGTCGTCGTCGTCGTCGTCGTTGTTGGCTTTTACAATTGGGTACCTTGTCGAGGATTCCGCCCTTACACTCCCTCCCTCCTGTCGACTCGCGATCTCACCCAAGCCGGGCCCTGGCGCCGTCTGCCGCACATCATGTTCGCCTCCCCTCCACCCCTGATTCGCTCGCGGTCCGCTGGCAGCGCTCTCGCGATCTCGTACTCACACACGATGTAGGAATTCCACGTTCGCCCCGTTGACGAGCCTCAACGGCCTCAATTCCGTCCCTATCAACGTAACCAACGACTACATGCACATCTTCGAGGATGTCTCCAAGTACAACGTGCAACTAAGCCTGCTGGAGCGCGTCTGGGCCGTAAGTTTCGCGCAGTCTGCACTCGTACGAAACGGTCGCGACCAAGCTTACTGATTCGTCCCTAGTCCTGGTACCTGTGGATGCAGAACGACACTCTGGCGACTGGTCTCATCAGCTTTGCCATGCATGAGATTGTCTACTTCGGACGCTCCCTCCCCTGGATCATCATCGACGCCATCCCCATGTTCAACAGGTGGAAGATTCAGAAGGTAAGGTCTACTGGCGTTGGAGAAGAAGGATTTGGTACTGACTCTCTCCATAGTCCAAGGTTCCTACTGTGAAGGAGCAGGTCGACTGCGCCCTCCTTGTTCTCCTGATGCACTTCACCGTCGAGCTTCCCCAAATCTGGGTCTTCCACCCCTTGGCGCACTACTTCGGCCTCGACATCGGCGTGCCATTCCCTTCGTACACCAAGATGGCTCTTCAGATCTGCCTCTTCTTCGTGATGGAGGACGCCTGGCATTACTTTTTCCACCGTGGCCTGCACTATGGTCCCTTCTACAAGAACATCCACAAGCTGCACCACACCTACTCGGCCCCCTTCGGTCTCGCCGCTGAGTACGCATCCCCCATCGAGGTCATGCTCCTCGGTTTCGGAGTCGTCGGCACGCCTGTCGTCTGGGTTGCCCTCACCGGCGATCTCCACCTGTTCACCATGTTCATGTGGATCGTCCTCCGTCTCTTCCAAGCCATCGACGCCCACAGCGGCTACGACTTCCCCTGGAGCCTGCGCCAGTTCATCCCCGTCTGGGGCGGAGCCGAGTTCCACGACCTCCACCACGAGAAGTTCATCGGCAACTACGCCTCGAGCTTCAGGTGGTGGGACTGGATCTTTGACACCGAGGCCGGCTACGAGGCCAACAAGAAGCGCCGCGAGAGGAGGCTTGCCGCGATCAAGGCGAAGAAGGCCCAGTAAGCGCACAGCAGCTAGGCTGGAAGCTCCTGAGCTGGACAGTCATGGTGATTCAAAGGTCATTTGCGAATGGCACCAATGGGGGAGCACCTCTTGGAAACGAGGTCCAGGAGGTCGTCTTTGTCAGTGGATGATGTAATGAAAGGCCGTGGCGAGTTTGGCAACCCGGTGCTGCCAGGGCTCGTTTGACACGCGCCACTAGATGCATGCCCTCTGGGCGCTTTTGGTGTTGCATGAAAAGAGAAAAGACCACTCTCGGTGATGTGGCCGGCGTTGTTATTCCGATCCGTCTTGTATATACACACACTCGCTCTGTTTGGACGACGACGGCGGGACTTTTAAGATCATTTAATAACCATAGACTAATAATTACATCATGACTCTTGCGAGTTTATGCAAACTTGAATGCTTGCAGCAGCTTTGGTAACAATGGTCTTTTATAATACAAGGGTGACACGACGCCTTCTATGCCTGCTTCTTGGGCGTGCAGCAATCTCCGGCCGATGAAGCCACTGTACATGCCAGGCCTTGCAGCTTGCTGTCGGCACCGGTATCTGCACCTTTCGAGGCGGCGCGTTGTTGATCAGGGTCGTCATCCTTGAGGCCCATCTCGGCCGCGATCTCGTCGCACTTTTTGGCCAGGCGCAGGTCCAGAGACGAAAGGCCCCTGGGGTGGTGCGTTGTCCAGCGGATGTACGTCGTATTGTACGTCTTTTCGTTGACCGGAGTGTGTCAGCACAGAGAGCAGCTCCCCGGGGATAAGATGATACAACTTCAACACGACACGGACAGGGAGAAGTCGGAAAAACTCACATTGGACCACTCTGGGTGGTGATTGGCTATTTTGCACTGCAGCGCCACGGCGGTCATGAAGTCCTAAAGAAAAACATTTCGGGGTGTCAACTCGTGATTCCACTCGGTTTGTCCGTCTGTCTGTCTGCCTGTCTGACTTGATGTGTGTGCAGGGCAATGGAATTAGGGGGAGAGGCTTCTCTCACCCAGCTCTTGGCAAACGTCTTGAACTTGAACGTCGCCTCCAGCCCGTCCTTGGTCGAGGTCAGCGCCCAGCGCCGGCTGAGCCTCGCCAGATCCGCCTCGGCGGCAGCCGCGTCGGTGCCCTCCGAGAAGGCAACCCCCTCGGTGCCGGACCTCGGCCCCTCCGCGGTCATGCTGCGGGTTTGCTGCCGGACGAGTCCCCGGTGTGGTGGTTGTGGTGGCTGATGTGCAGAGCTCACGTTGTGGTGCGTTATGAGCCGCGTAGATGCGGGAGCGGTGCCGTGGCGTGGGATTGCGAAAAGCGGGAGCCTCCTTGTCAGAGATTGACACCGGGTTGCCATTTGTGAATCCAGTCCCTTCCACCGCTGGTTTTTTTTATTGTTCGTATCATAAAGGAAGTGGAGGGGTGCCGAGTATGTTGGAAAGCTTGAATTGGAGACCTCGTTCAACGACGACTAATAAGGGTAGCTTGAGCGCGGGCCACACACCTCCCCTCCATGCCAAAATGAATCAAGTACCCCCCTCTAGCTGGAATCCATGTCCTTCAAGTATCCCCGCCATGACAGAGAAAGAAACCGGTAGTTTATCGGTAGTCCTGATATATCCAGGCAGCGTGATATTCCTTGAAATGGCAATGTCGCTTTCAGTCACAAATCAAAGGCAGTGGAGAGCTCGGTCTCTGGATAACCCGACCTCGGATGACACAATGAAGAGCCGTCCAACAGATCAGCTCAGGTTTGGAGCGACTTATCTAACTGCAATTGGAAGTTCAAACCACATTGATTTACACGGCCAACTTCTCCGCACGTCTGCGGCAGAAAGTGCGATCCCTCCTCCAAGAGTATTCTTGTCTCCGAGCTCTTGTTCCTTTTGCCTATAATAATCCCCTGTCACCTTGGCATACATACGTTAACTCAGCTCTGACCTACGATACAGTATTACGATGTTGATTGTGACAAAGGACACAATGGCCGGGGACGTTTTTGGCATCCAGGCTGATCTTCTCATCCCCGGCCGCGGGGAGCCAATCAAGGACGGCGCCGTGATCATCAAAGGCAAGAAGATCGAATGGGCCGGGCGCCAGACCGACCTCCCAGAAGAATTTTACTATGTTACGAAATACTACGTGCCAGTCCTCATGCCCGGGATGTGGGACTGCCACACTCACTTCATGGGCACGCACGTCGTGGGAGACCTGCGGGAGTCCTTCAAGCAGTTCCTGCCCGGCAGGGAGACGCTCATCGGGGCCGTCATCGTCGACGACCTCGAGGCCACGCTCATGGCGGGCTTCACGTCCATCCGGGAGCTGGGCGGGTTCGCCGGCGACCTCGTGCCCGCCATCGAGAAGGGCCGGATCGCGGGCCCCACCGTCTACGGCTCCATGGGCATCCTGTCCATCACGGGCGGGCACGGCGACCTGCGCGACGAGCCGCTGTCGACCATGGTGGACTGCTGCAACCACGGCGGCAAGTGGATGCTCTGCGACGGCGAGGAGGAGTGCATCAAGCGGCTGCGGCAGCTGATGCGGCGCGGCGCCAAGGTGGTCAAGATCTGCTCGACGGGCGGCGTGCTCTCGCTCGGCGACCAGCCCGAGGACTCGCAGTTCTCGCCCAAGGAGCTCCGGGCCATGGTGGAGGAGGCGGCGCGCAGCAGCCGGGTGGTGGCGTCGCACGCCATCGGCAAGAACGGCATCATGGACGCCCTGCGCGCGGGCGTCAGGACGATCGAGCACGGCATGTACCTCGACGACGAGGTCGTGGCGCTGATGAAGGAGAAGGGCGCCATCCTGGTCCCGACGCGGCACATCGTTGAGACGCTCAACCTCGACATGAGCGAGCTGCCGCCCGAGGTCAGGGAGAAGGTGCTGCGCATGACGGAGCTCAGCCGGTCCTCGCTCCGGATGGCGGTGCGCGAGGGCGTCAAGATCGCGCTCGGCACCGACACGTACAGCAGCGACAGGAGCCACATCTGCTCGCACGGCACCAACGCGCGCGAGCTGCACTGGGCGGTCGAGGCGGGCATGACGCCGCTGCAGGCCATCGAGATGGCGACGGCGATGGGGCCCGAGACTGTGGGCGCGCAGGCGCCCAAGACGGGCATGATCCGGGAAGGCTACGACGCCGACATCATCGCCGTGGCGTCGAGCCCGCTGGAGGACATCGATGTCCTCACTAAGCCGCGCAACATCACGCACGTGTGGAAAGGTGGTAGGCTTTACAAGTCGCCTTGATGCAGGTATGCAAGCTGGCGGCCGCCCCCAAGCCATAGATAGGCTCCCATACCTAGATGCGGTCCGTCATCAATATCAGATTATCAAAAAGACAACGTTGCACAGCATGCACAGATGCGCATCTGCTGCCACAAGGCTGAGCGGGAGGGGGCCGTTCGGGGGATGGCAACGGCTCGAATGGTGCGGGATGACCATGCAACGCTGTGGGATTCATAATAGCCTTTCCGGGAAGGGAATGTGACCGCGGATGTTGAGGTTGTGGCCAACTGGGCGTTGAGAAGGTCACTTCTTTATGCAGCCAACGGTCGACGGAAGGCTCGTCATCCGAACATCTCTTATGTACGAGACTGTAAAGAAGTAAACTCAACGGGTATAGTTAGCCCTCTGCCATGAAACACCGAGACCTACAATGGGGGCAAATTAACCAATTAGTGGTAGCCTGTAGCCTCTGTAGGCTACTGGCTGGTTAAAGTGAAGATGGTAGGTCGTAGCTTCGGGACTACGCCCAGATCAAGAATAATGTCAGCCCTTAATTGGTCGTGCATTTGCACGCGCGGGTTGCGTCGAGCACCTTGCCGCATCAAGTAGATGGGCATATACCTACACCGACTTGGTAGAGTGCTGTGGCTGCAAATGACCAATCTGCCGTTACTTGTTGTGCAGGGTGTGTGGTTGTGATCTGGTGTTTTGTTCTGACAACGGTTTGATGAATCATCTTTCGATGCCTTACGTAATGACTCGTGGCATGTTCCTACGAGGTAGATATACTTCGACGGTTCCCCGTTCGGCTTTATCCAGCCTGGTATCTTTCTCTTTCTCTCTCAGCAGGAGCACCATTCGCCGGACTCCAAAGACAAAGCTCGTGTTTGTGCTGGGAGTGCGAGGCTCACGGACCGGTTGAGAAGGCTCAAAGAGCATGCGATATATCCCCGGCAGCACCTGTCGTTCCCGAAATTCGCGATCAAGAGATGGCGATATTTGATTGAAGCCCCACCAGGAATAGGCACTCCGTAACGGCTGCTGACAAACCGCCTGACAAAGACTGTGCGACGGCGCTAGCCGATTACGTTGCTCCTGCCTCAAGCTTGGCCCTGTCTGGCCATATCGTATATCCATGGATGCGTCGCTGTTCGATGTTGCGACATTTGAGTTAAATTGCAACTACCGAGTAAATGGATGCGGTAAAATTTAGCAAGTTGAATTATCGATTCCTCTCTAAAAGATATCAGAGCAAGGTAGGAGGCTGAACCCTCTGGGCATTGGGGATACCTAACCTCACATCAATCATGTCCCTTATCAGTGTCAAGCTGAACAGCATGCAAAGTGCAGGTGCAATCAACCACAAGTTGCCAAAAGAGGCTAGCACGGAATGAGGGTAGCCAGTCTGGAGAAATTAGGCGGCGGGCTGACAGCAGCAGTCATGCAAGCTCGAGCTCTCCATGTCACCCTCTCTCCAGCCACCAAATTTCGCCCTCAGGCCCGCGCACCAGACACACACCAGACATCAACTTGCCCTTCGCAAAGATCTTCGGAACCCGTACAACCCGCAAGCACCGGCGTCCTTGGTCATGAAAATCGACGGCCTGTCGCGTTGAGCGTCTTTTCCCCCCTCCTGGTGCCAAGAAATTGCTCACTTCTTCAATGCCGGTTCCAGAAATCCGCCCATCGTCGCCAATCTCCCACACGTGTCACCCATCCCCCTCGCGTCTCATGCTGAGTCAGAATGGAAACATCACCAATGCAGATCAAGTCCGGTAGGTCACCTCCCTCTGCTCAGTCCCAAGTATTGTACATCGCTCGCACCCTCTGGCCCACCGAAGCCAGAGGTACCGACCTCCCTTCAAGGACCCTACCCTCCTCCCTACCTGAGTATCTTGCAGCGCAGAGCATCTATCCCTGGCATTTTGGCATCCGGAATCTCATCTCACCCCGTCCACACACCCCTTCTCACGGCTTCCGCCCCAATGGGGACATAACCCTCGCCGTTTTGGCTCGTCCGACCACCGTCGACGGGTGGTGTTTTCGTGCTTGGTCTATTACGTTCCCCTCTTGGTCTTTCTCGTTCACATTTACAGGGCATCACAGAGAGTGAGAGGCAAAGTCAGCGGACAGTCGGAGAAGGGCAAGAGAGGTCTATCTAATGAGACTCCTCCGATCTCCAAGCAGCTTGTGCTCGCTACCTGGCTCCCGGCTCAGTCGGAGCCATAACAAATCCTCCCACCCTCCAATTTAGCCCACTTCACCATCACCCATCCACCCTTGCTCACGCCTTACATAATAAAACCAACCAGCCGAGGAGCGGCGTCGTGGTAATCAAGGTCTCGGAAAGCCTGGCCAAATCTAATAACGCGTCGTCGTACCAGTTGGTACAGAGTACCTACCTCGTGCTCTTCGCTCTTGGACACCCCTCCACAATGTAATCCACCCGTCTTGTCCTTCTCCTCCCCCTCCGGCCCAGCCAGCTTGAGCCAGCCTTCTCTGACTCGGGCCAAATCCACGCTTTTGGAATTCTGGAGACGACTTGGCTTGCGTCTGTGTCGCTGCTTGCTCAAGTGATTGCAGCGCGCGCACCACTAAAAAAGGGACCTGCCCCCGTCCGCCGCTCCCCAGTCTTACCAAATCCATTTACTTACCTCATCCTCTCCCATCTAAGCACCACCACCACGAAGTACGGGCCATTCCCCATTCCCAGCATTTCCAGAGTCCTTGTTCGTCTTATTCACAGTCAGCCCGCCTCAAGCTGTAGCTATTTGCGCATCTTGGGCCCTGCTGTGAATTTGTCCTCTACTGCATTGCGGCCACGCCCCTCCATTTTTCTTCTGTCACTTGTTTGCTCTCTTGCAACCCGTCTTCATACAACGCCATTCGCCGTCGTCCTCCCCACCGGCCGTGCTGACATAACCCATCCCGACTTACAGCATCGCATCTAGGAGGCAAGAGCCCCAACAACGGTGCTCCACCATTCGACGGAGATAGCGGTGCGCCTGCGATCCGTCTGGAGGATTACACATCATCGGGAGCACCGTTTCCTCCTAGCCAAGACTCGCCGGCCTTGCTGCCCTATTCATATAACGCGGCGTCGCCCTCCTATCCCCGAGACGCAGCTTTTATGCCGGGCACCGCTTCAGAATCGCACATCCACCCCGATCTCAGGGCCCTCGGCGACGCGCCTGCAGCAGACATGATGCAAACAAGCGTGCCCCCGCCGCCTGCGCCGGAACCCGTCGGCCCAATGGCTCCTCCAGCTGCACCTACGTCTGTGCCGCCCGCAGGCCCAGCCGCCGCTGCAGGAAGTGTGTCCCCGGATGGTCGCAAGGCCAAGCGCGAGCTGTCCCAGTCCAAACGAGCGGCGCAAAACAGAGCCGCGCAGGTAAGACCTCTATTTCTATCGAGCAGGATCTCCCGCGTACACTTTGTGCCCCACTGTACCAATGGTGCTGCTTGAAGGTCCGCGAGATTTGGTGCGCCGCTGTCCAGCTCGGTGTCAGGCTGGCTCTGGTGCCCTGTCGTCATCTCTGGCTCACCGCCGCATTGCGCGCATTGTATGCTTTTGTACGCCACTCGATGCTGACTCTAGTCACAGCGTGCCTTCCGTCAGAGGAAAGAGGGTTACATCAAAAAGCTGGAGCAACAGGTGCGCGACTACAACGACATGGACAACCAATTGAAGCTCGCTCAGCAAGACAACTACCTCCTGAGAGACTACGTGATCTCCCTCCAGTCGAGGCTGATAGACGCCAAGATTGAGGTTCCGTCGCCCCCGCCGAATCTGTCCCTTGTTCACCCTCATTCCGCTCCCCCACCGCCGCCGATACAACCGATTGCACCGCCAGAAGCAGGCCCGTCTCACCCGGCCATTTCAAACCCCCTGGCGCAGGTGGCGCAGGCCGTCGCCAACCTGGGACAACGTGGCGACCATGTCCCGGCGGGTGCGTATACCAGCAAGGAATTCAAAGCCGACGGTGCGGGCGAGGAGAGGGGCACGGAAGACATGACGAGACAGTTGCAGCCGGAAGGACTGCCCGCAGCATCTATGTAGAAGGACCTTTTAGACTATTTGCTTTGCTTCCATGGAGGGCGTTTGTCAGGCATAGGGTTTTGATTGTGGTGATTCACCACGGCTCGCGGCGTTAGGCAGGAGTCGATTGGTTTTGGTACTCGGAGCGATCAAGCAAGACGCGTTGCATACCTGGACTCAGAACGCTCTCGAGCGTGGAATGGATTCATTGCGTGATGAGCATTCAGCAGTTGGCTGTTGGGGCAGGCGTGCTGTGCCTCTTTGAAGGGTGATTATCTCCTTGCGAGCTGTTGACGGCAGCAAGAGTCGGCCGGAATGGGACATCGTTTAAAAAAGGCCGAGCGGCGGTGATTTCGTTGTATGACCACAGAGCTTCAGCCCTTTGAAAACCACGGTGATCATGATACAATTTGTATCTGCACTTGGATTTGGCGGTTCAATGCGGTGAGAACTGTGAGAACTCCCACATGGCCAATACTATAAATACCTGCCAAGTATAGATAGAGTATCCGTGCTTAGCTGTCAGCTTTATTGTGAAGAATAAAGGTCGAGATGCGGTATGCCTTCGTCGAGATATCGAGCTTTGGGGTCACGGTGACCCCACACACATTTAGATCGCTAGCCTATTCCGTAAGACGAGGGAGCACTTTCACAGGCAGGGATTCGACACTAAGGTGTAGCCTCACCAACCTACCCTGGCACCTGGGAATAGATCTTTTGCGACCGCAACCCATTGACAGGCAACCTGCAAAAAGTGGTGTTCGACAGCCGTCTAGCATACCGGGCTCGCCAACCCCCCTTCCACAGACGCGGTTCTGCAACTCTGACACGAGAAAATCTCGCGAATCATGCTTCTTTGTGGTGCTCTTTTGTGAAGCACCGAAACCTTCCTGCCGCCCAGCTCCATCTCCAGCCATGGCCCCCAGCGCGACCGGAGACTGGCAGCCGCTCTCGAGGCGCGAGGCCTGGAAGCTCCTCCCCGAGCCCACGATCCATCCCGTCAAGGAGGTGCGCTTCGAGAAGTATATCACGCCGCAGAAGGACGGATACGAGACGGCCAAGTCGCGACCGGCCGGCGACGCGGCCATCGTGATTGACTATGGTAATGAGAATAGCAATTTCTCCGTTGCTCCAATGCAAGACGTCCAGTGAGGCTGACTCCGGTGGTGTGACCGACTGCAGGCTCCTCCGCCGTACGGGCTGGCTGGTCCTTCGAGGCCAACCCGCGCCTCAGCGTGCCCCCCATCATGGCCAAGTATCGCGACCGGAAACTGGGCAAGACCTTCTCCTTTGCCGGCTGGGACTGCTACTCGGACACGACGGCGCGCGGCCACATACGGAATGCGTTCGAGGCGGGCACGGGGATCGTGAGCAACTGGGACGTCACAGAGCACGTACTCGACTACGTCTTCCTCAAGCTCGGCATGAACGGCGTGGATGGGAACATCGACATGCCGATTGTCATGACCGAGGCGGTCGCCAACCTGCCTTACTCCAGAAAATGTAAGCGCCGACTCTTCGTCTACCATGTCTCACACTCAAATATACTGACGGTGTCCGTGTGATAGCCATGACAGAACTAATCTTCGAGTGCTACGGCGCACCCTCCTTGGCGTACGGCATCGATTCTCTGTTCTCCTACCGCCACAACAAGGGCAACACCGGCCTGGTGGTCTCTTCCTCATACAACTCGACGCACGTCATCCCGGTCTATAACCAAAAGGCTATGCTAGCGCAGGCTATCCGTCTCAACTGGGGAGGCTGGCACGCTGCCGAGTATCTTCTTAAGCTCATTCGCTTGAAGTATCGCGACCACCTGGGTAGCAACCTGAGATTCCATGCATCGCAAGCGGAGAACATGCTGAAGGACTTCTGCTACGTATCGAAGGATTACGATAATGAGCTCAAGCACTACCTCGACTGGACTGGCCTCGAGGACAGGGAGGTCATCATACAGTATCCGTACACTGAGGAGGTCGTCGTCCAGAAGACCGAGGAAGAACTAGCGAGAATCGCCGAGAGGAAGAAGGAGAGCGGCCGCAGGCTACAGGAACAGGCTGCCAAGATGCGCCTGGAGAGGCTGATGAAGAAGGAGAAGGAGCTCGAGTACTACAAAGCTGTCCAAGCGCAGCTCGTTGACCAGACCAAGAAGGAGACCAAACGGCTCCTGGACGAGGCCGAGGTCAAGGACGAGGCTCATCTCGATCGCATTGTCAAGGACCTCGAAAAGTCCATCAAGCGGGCGAGGACGAAGGATCTCGGTGGTGAGGTCGAAGAAGAGACCGAAGAGCCTGACTTTTCGCTTCTCGAAGTCCCGGATGACCAACTCGACGAGGCTGGCCTCAAGCAGAAACGGCAGCAGCGGCTGCTCAAGTCGAACCACGAAGCCCGTGCCAGAGCCAAGGCGGAGAAGGAAGCGGAGAAGGCCCGCATAGCGGAGGAGGCCCGCCTGGACGAGGAGCGGAGAACCAACGACCTGGAGGGCTGGCTCGAGGAGAAGCGACAGGCGCGCCTCGAGGCGCTGGCCAAGATCAAGGAGCGCGAGCGGCTCTCCAAGGACATGGGCAACCGCAAGAACCTGGCGTCGTACATCCGCATGAAGAACATCGCCAACCTGGCGAGCGACAACCCGACGGGCACGGGGTCGCGCAAGCGGCGCCGCGGGGGCGACGACGACGACTTTGGCGCCGACGACGCCGACTGGGGCGTGTACCGCGACATCGCCGTCAACAAGGACGACAGCGACAACGAGGACGCCGAGGAGAACCCGGACGTGGCGCTGCAGAACCTCGAGCAGGAGCTGCTGCAGTACGACCCGGGCTTCACCTACGAGCACACGCGCGAGGCGCAGAACGACTGGACCAAGAAGATGATGCACGCCTTTGAGCGCGGGCCGCGGCCCTTTGACGCCGAGAGCGCCGCCCAGCGCCACCAGGTGCACCTCAACGTCGAGCGCATCCGCGTGCCCGAGGTCGTCTTCCAGCCCGCCGCCATCGCGGGCGTCGACCAGGCCGGCGTCGTCGAGATCGCGGGCGACATCCTGAACCAGCGGCTCGCGGGCCTGGTCCCCGGCGTTGGCAGGGACGACTTCCTGCGCGACGTCTTCCTCACGGGCGGCAACACGCTGTTCCGCAACTTTGACGAGCGCCTGCGCGCGGGGCTCATGGCGCTGCTGCCGGCGGGCGCGCCGCTGCGGATCCGGAGGGCCCGGGACGCGCTGCTCGACCCCTGGCGCGGCGCGGCGGGCTGGGCTTGCTCCGACGAGTGGCGCGCGGCGACGGTCACCCGGGAGGAGTACCAGGAGAAGGGGCCCGAGTATATCAAGGTGAGTTTTTTCAAGGTTTTTCTGATGTTGCAAAAACAAAACCCTGCCGAGAAAGTCCTACTTGCTGACGAGTTGTTTTCCCCCATCTGTTTTAGGAGCATGACATGGGCAATGCTTTCGCGTAGGTCTTCTTTACAGACAAGACACTGGCTTGAATTTTGCTTGAGAGGGTCAGACTCGAGATTGGGAGGGGGGCATTATCTTGAGGTATAGGAGTAGTAGTAGTAGTAGTAGTCATTTTATCAGGGGATCTGTATTATACCGGTCGGGTAAGGAGTCTGGTCACAAAATGAATTTCTCGTTTAGTTGGGAGGAGTAAGGCTTCAGTCACCCAAGGCAAGCCTTCAGTAGTAGGAGGGCTCTACGATGTGGAAATTGAGAAAGTAGCGCTTCATTTATGCTGGTCTTATAGCTGCCTCGTGAAAGACGGTGTTTTTTTTATTGAAGTATCGTGATTCGTTATGCTGTTAAGCACTCCATGTGCCTCATATACAACTTTGCATTCGTTGTGTGAGTCGGTCGACAGAACTCTCTGCATGTCCTCTCACGATGCAGTCCACTCGTCTTAATGAGCAGGCGGTCCATCAAGATCTGTACCGCTAGTTCATACAGATGATCGTAAAAGGGCCCAGGGAAGGGACTTGCGTCTTTCCTAGGGGGGTATCTCGCATATGGCGGCGCGCGCCAGGTCCTCTCCCCTTTGGTCTCAGGAGGGCTCCTTCAGGTTGTCCGTAGCTGATGATCGCATCAGCAGAGCTGGCTGTTGACATCATAGAGAGCATAAAACATACCTTCTAGGTGGAAGAGGACGTTGGACTGGTAGTTCTTGAACATCTGAGCTACAAGCTCGATGTTCATGTTTTGGATGTTGATTTCCTACACCATGGGGTTTGGATGAGCTCACAGTCCACTCTGCGAACCTCACGATTGGGGCTTGAACGTACTTGGAGGGCCTTGTTCATCACAATGATAGACTCGTTTAATTTCTCCTGTTGAAACATCTCAGCCATCATTCTTCTAAGGAGCATCGTGTGCGCCTGATGGTGGTGGTGGTGGATGGTCAAGTAAACATACCACATTGGTGATGATGCGGGACAGCAGGAGGTTCTGCTGGTGCTCATGAGGACTCTCCTATGGACTGGATTAGCATAATCTACTCAAAGATCCGTAACAAGTGAGACGTACCATGGTTCTTTGGATTCTACCGAACAGTGATGTTGTAAGTTCACGACTGACCTATGGTGGTGGGGTGGATTCAATGATATCAAGGTCGCGTCCCCTCTAACTGTCGCGTCTAGTGGGGTCGTCCTATCACCACCGCATCCAGAGCCTCACCCGAAGCAGTGATCCCAGCTTTGACCAAAGCGGTCAACATCGGCAGATTTTCTTACCACGATTGAGCATCTGTTGCACTCGACAACAGCTTACCACTTTCTCTGGAGCAGACAATTGCCCATCAATCTCATTATTTATCAAGAAGTCGGCATTTCTCTCCCTCCTCACTCCTGCGCGCCCACACACACAAAAAAAAAAAAGAAATGTCCAACCCAGAGGCCCAGGCCGCGCAGGCCGCGCACCAGGCCCTGATCGAGCAGCTCGACATCCACTCCATCCACAAGACCTTCCGCAACCCGCACTGGCGGCCGAACCAGCGGCGCAACAAGAACGTAAAGACCATCATCGGCGACGCCTCCAAGCGCGAGGCCAACTCGACCTCGGTCGCGCCGACCCCCCTGCCCGACGAGAACGGCGGCGGCGCGAGCGGCGCGGCCACCCCGGCGGCGGACAAGGACGACGACGGCCTCTCGACGAGCGGCACCTCGACGCCCGCGGGGCCCTCGTCGGCGGCCGGCGCGGCCAGCGTGCAGCCCAACCTGGCGCAGGCCTCGCGCAGCCTGTCCAAGCTCGTGCTGGAGAAGAGCCTGCGGTCCTCGACCAACGGCGGCGGCGGCGGCGGCGGCGGCGCAGGAGGGGGGGCCGGCTCCTCCTCCGCGGCGTCGGTGTCGGCGGCGGCGATGGGCGGCGCGCCCCCCGTGGCGACGTACACCAACATCGAGAGCGCGCCGAGCCTGGCGCCGCAGAAGCGGTACTGCGACATCACGGGCATGCCGGCGCCCTACACGGACCCCAAGACGCGGCTGCGGTACTACAACAGCGAGGTCTTCACCGCCATCCGGGGCTTCCAGCAGGGCGTCGCGGAGCAGTTCCTCGAGGCGCGGGGGGCGCACACGGTGCTCAAATGATTTCCGTTGTTGCGGTGTCTTATGAGATCTGCCCTCTTCTACCGAGGGAGAGATGGGAATGCGTTAATGTTTGCGGGTGTCTGTGTATTTGCTACTTGATTTTCAATCTGCTTAAGGATTCATCATGGAGGTTATTGGCGCCGGCGTTCTGGTCACAAAGGAGGCAATGCATTATACATTATACATTTCCACACGGGGGGCAATGATAGACTGCGAGTCTTCCAGTGTCTACGTATGGATGAAACTGAGGCTAAGAGCACAAAACCTATGTGTGTATCTCAAAAAATGTTCGACCAACAAAGTCAAGCCCCTGCTATGCACCTGCAACCTCTCAGCAACAGGAGATAAGCTGACGCTCCGGCTTAATCGTGATCATTCTTCCTTTTCAAGAAGAACTGGGTTGTTCTCTGCCTGGGTCGACAGATCACTGAGAACGTATGGAGGGACGAAACTCAGTTACCGTAGCTTGGAGCTAGGTCGTCGCGGCAAGTGTTGCGATGTAAGGAGAGTGAGGTGAGGCAAGGGACAGACGGGTGAGTTCTTATCCTTACTTGATCATTTCTTACCTGAGTCCGACATACCCAAGGAACACAAATGGAACGTGTATACTGGACAAAAGTGCAAGTATCAAAGACTGCTGAATCTTGTATGGGCTTCGAGCGCACCGTTGGGGCGGCGATCGAGGGCACAGCGTCGCTCACTCGCTTTCTGTGTGGTGGTGCAGTCGAAGAAGAAGAAAAAATGAAAAGATAACAGTACGGCACGTAAAATGAGCTTCCATGTGATAACCCGCAGCCAATTCCCTCGCGTGGGTCGCCTTCGCGCGAATAGAATGTACCTGAAAATCAGCGCCAAGTGGCCTGTACCTCAGGTACCAGAGCTAGCTAGAGTCCATTACGAGATAGGTAGCTGGAGGGATCCAGACGCGGCCACGACGCACCAAAACCACCCCTGGATTCGTCTACGGGTGTCTAAGTTGAGTCCGGGACCCTTCTTTTTTTCACTTTTGCGAAAAGGAATACAACCCACATTGCAACAACTGTGCTGGCCGAACCTCGTTCTCGTGTCGGTCCTGTCCTCTTCTCACTGCACACTGTACAGTATTGCTTCAATCCAGACGAGATGCCGTCCATGTGGTTATCAGACTCCCAGAGTAAGTCCTCCTGTGTCTAGTACCACACCACCATGGCCGAGGGTCCTGGCGCAAACGGCCCGTTGCTATGGCCCATATGAAAACCCCCAAGCTGATCACCATGTCTGTGTAGAGATTGGAGTCGCCTTCTGCTCCGGCGGTATGTATCGACCTTTTGCGAGCTCTGCGATGGCAGCTTGTGCAGACCAGAACCTGACCGTGGACGCTCCTTGTCGCAGGAGGCTTCTTCCTCATCGGTGGAATGCTCATGTTCTTTGACCGAGCCATGTAAGTCGCAAGGCCACCTATGTATGCTCTTCGTCTGAAGTTGTGACAGCGTGCTAATCAGTGAATGTCCTATACATTAGGCTTGCCATGGGAAACGTATGCTACCCACACCCAAAAACCCCCCCGCCTTCGAACCGAAACCCTCGAGGACAACCCTCTCTCCGTGCGTGCCCGAGGACCAGGAAAGCTAACCGCAGCAATCGACTACCTAGATCCTCTTCCTAATCGGCCTCACCATCATCATCGGCCCCCAAAAGACGCTCCTCTTCTTCGCGCGCAAGCAAAAGGCCAAGGGCACGGCCGCCTTCTTCGGCGGGCTCGCGCTCATCCTCCTGCGCTGGCCGCTGATCGGCTTCGTCGTCGAGCTGTACGGCATCGTCATCCTCTTTGGCGACTTCCTCGGCACCATCGCCGGCTTCGCGCGCAACATCCCCGTCGTCGGGCCCTACATCGGCCTGCTCGTCGACCGCATGGGGCTGGGCAGGCGGAACGCGGAGCTGCCCGTCTGAGGAGGGGGACATTTTGCAATGTCAATGCTCTATCCAGAGACGAGAGCCCCAGAGACAGGACTCCTTTTTCAAGGGCCGCCTAGTTCAGGGTCGTTGGGATTCAATTCCGCCATGGCAGCATCATACCCATCGCTGCGAACAGGGTACCATCTGCAGGCAGAGAAAAGCTATAGAAGGGCTGGAATGGCGACTTGGCGTTGTTGGTAACAGTATACCCACTTGTAATTCTACGTCGATCTGTTTGCCCTTCACAAACATGACATTTACGGAAATGTACGGGGTTCTTGTACGATCATGATGGTGACCCCAGGGCGACGAGCCGGGTCTGATAGAATAATCCAACAAATATGATACGATCAACATTTATGTCGACATTAGAGGTGACCAAGTCACAACCGATGCTCTAGCATCATCTGGGAACAACGAAAAGAGATTTTGTGCTTGCAGATGCAGATCCTGTCTTTTTGTATTATTTCAGACAATGAAAGATGTTCCCGACGCCCGGGGCTCATAACAGCAGCTGTTGGTCTAAAGTTTGGAAATCCATTACCACCTCGAAGATCGTCACGAGTTGGGCCAGTCTCTCCTCGTCATGCTCCGCTCCTCTCCCCACCGGTCTGGTAGTCGAACGAACCGTGGGCAGCCTCACGCACCCCGCACCTTTGCCCTCAGTAGCCGACCTTGATCAGGTAGTCCGCCAGAGCCTCGACCGTCTGTACCGCGTTGCCGGCCTGTGTGCCCTCGCCGTAGTGGCCGACCAGAATAGCCTGCTTAGTCTTGACGACGGCGATGCCGGTACGGCCCTGTTGATCCGCGTTAGCTCTGCCATCTCCCACACTTTTGTAGGCCCGGGACTGTGCGAGTGGGCGTACCTGTCGTGCGTAGATACTCCGGTCCTCGATCTTGGTGACGACGAACCGCTCGCCCGCGACGTGGACGCCCTCGGCGTGTGCCTTGTCGACGGCGTCACCGGTGGCGCCGAGGATGTTGACGATGCTCTTCATCTCCTCGGGAGACACCTGCACATGAGGAGGGGGATATAGTCAGCACTGAACCAGGCCCTGTGATGTTTCCTTCTCGACGGTCGCAACTTCGGAGCTTGCGCGACATTTGCGAGAGCAGGTCGGGTCGGAATCGCAGGAAAAGGGGTCGCACGTACGGTGAAACCGGCCGAGGAGGCCCAAGTGCTGTCGCCAGCAGCGCTGATGATGGCGGCCTTGTCGATATGGCCGCTGCCAACAAGGCTACAGGTGGCTTGGGTTAGCACTCATCACTTTTTGCTTTTTGTGTCCGGGGGGGATCGGCGAGGTTGCCGTACCTGGAGTCAACGTAGGCTGAGGAAATGTTAGCTCTTTGGGTCTTCTTTTCGTGATGTGAACCATGACATAGTGGGGGTGGGAAGGTTTCAAAACACAAAATAGTCGACCGACGCACCTTGCCAAGACATGGTGAGAGATGAGGAAGTCTTGTGTGAATGGAGGATTCAACGGGTTGAGCGTGCCGAGCAGGGGAGTAAGCGGGAGTCTCGAAAGAGGAAATCGTCTGGTTCGAGTTCGATACTGAATGGTTCAGAGAAGAGATGGAAGAGAGGTATCTCGGTTCCAGCAGAGTCAGGTAGCAGCGAAGTTGTAGTTAGTGCCGTCAGTTGCTCGGGAGGCGGGCCTACGGGGCTTGGTACTTGGTGAGGGGCACATTTACACACAAACACAAGCACAGACGATAGGCGGACTTTGTATCCGCCAGAGGAGCGCCCGCTGGAGAAAGTGGGCTTCTTTTTCCAGCAAAGTAAGGTACCTCTGCAACTCGTCAGGACCAGGAGTCCCCGCCAAAGCAGTGCGCTGTCGCGTCACTTTTCGATAGCTAGGTACCTCGCTCACAAGCCGGCCGGCCAGCCGCCGTCAACCGCCAAAAGTCAAGCGGTCGCGCCAAGCAAATACGGTCAGTGAGGTCAGAGTGTCCTTGATAGGGAGCTTTGGGAAGTTTAAGCAGTGTCACTGACACATGCATCGATGGCAGCGGAGATGGCGTCTGTCTGTCTTCGAGGCCTCGTTACTCGCAACAAAAGCTGGCTCATATTAGCTGCCCAGAGGACGCCGCTCTCCAACCTTCTGAGCACCAAGGCACTCACTCACTCGAGCATGCATCTGATCTCATACCTAATTTCAGCTGTCTTGTACGCAATTTTGGCGGGGTAAAGACCGTGGACTAACAAGAATCGAAAGAAGCTAAAACAGCTGCCGAAATAAGCTGTTTCTAGAATAATATTGCAGTTCCATGGATGCGCACGACAGGCGAGATTGCCCAGCAACAACACTTTGGTCTCTATGCGACGGCAATGCCGTTCTTGATGCTGTCCGTCCTCGTGGCATAACCAATGGAGCACTCTTCAGATGCAGGAGCAACATCTCACGCGTTGTCGACAGAGCCCGGCGCCTCAAGAAGCCACTGGTACGACTGCGGGTGATGCGTCTGCACCTGTCATGCAGGAACGCTGCCACGGATCGTCCTCCAAGACGATGGGAGTTCGGATGGTGACAGGAAGTCGAGTCATGACGTCCCCTGATGTTCATCCCATGACAGCCAAGAGGCGCACAGGGGCCGAAGAGCGTCGAAGAAGAGTTTACCAGCCGCGCATTCGAGATCGACGACACCAAGCGGATAAATCAATTGTTCGGCCCATTGCATACCCGTTCTGCGGCTCCGAATGAGCCTCAGCAAGTCGCCTTCCACCGCGTTGGTTACCGCATTGGTTTCCAGGTCAGAGCAGAGACTCACGGCTGCGGGCTGCGGGCTGCAGGCTGCCGATGTGCCTCAGTGGCGCTCCGAGAACCCAGCACACACCGGCGGCACAGACACTTTCAATATTATGTACTCCGTACAGAAGGACTGGCAACCCTGTCTGTGACCAGCTCTTGAAGACCGAATGCAGCCGTGTAAGACCAGGGGCTGCGGATTTGCAATTGTGAGACGATTGGTTCCGAGCTAGACCTCTTCGAATGACCTGAAACAGGGCTCTTGGCAACGTCGTTGCACTGTACTCACATGCGCACCCTCCATCGTGCTACCACAGTGGCCCAGCACCACCATGCTTGTTGTTGTGTATTACCATCGTCCGATTCCTTAGCCAAGAGTCGACCATTGGTTGTTCGGCTATGTGGCATCGTTTACAAGGCGAGAGCCATTGATACAACCTCACAAACTCGGTGGCACGAGATCAGCTCAGAACAGGCTTGGACTCTCTGCACCTACTCCGTCCTGAGCTATGGTTTGAATCAGGGTTTCTGGGCATTTGTGCCACTTTGCCGGAGCTCTCGACATACAATGCCCAAGGGTCGTCGACGATTGTAGGGCAGCTTTGTGGTTCCAGTTGGGAGACTTCAGCCGGACATTTTCCAAGATTGAGGCGACCCTCAAGGAGCATGCGAACTCAATCTCGCATTTCATCTCTGCGTCTGACCAATGGGTCGCTTTTCTTCGTAGCTGTAGGGCTGTTTGGCTTGGCCGTTAGGTGTGTTAAAGTGTCGTTGGCGGAGACTTGGATGATCCCCCAGCTCCTTCAATCTTAAAAAAACACCCCGACCCCACCGGCTCTTGTCACCTCCTCAGACTCACAAGCACGACAGGCCCCTTGTCCAGCTCCTACCAGGTCGGCCACCAGGTCGGCCAGCCGGTCACATCAATGATCTCTTCATGAGCATACCGACCCGCCGTTGAATGGTTTGTGGTTGTTGTGCGGCTAATGTGGACCCTGGCTTCGTCCAGGGGACATCGACCGACTCCTTCCAGAGTCAAGATCGCAGGATCACCACCAAGCGAGCAAAGTACCGACGCTCAGCTGCTCTGAGCACTCACAGCACACAGCATAGCCGACCGCATATCCCAACAGAGCAGCCTTCTCAAAAGCAGCGACCCCCAGACGCATGAGCATTCGCACAGCTTGCCCAGCTGTCCCATCAAGAGAATACTGGCACATGCCCCTTGCCCAAGTGCTCGTGTGTCAGCCACGTGAGCATGCCTTTGACGTGTTACAGGAAGCAGTATGAAGAAACGGCTACTCCGGTGGCGTCTCTCATCAGCTACGTACTCTGCAGCTTGTACAAGTCACTCCCCTACCCCTGATACGAACCCGCGTCTAAATCATGCATGCTTCTCGCTCAACACCATATCTCTTGACTCTGAGATCTGAAACATGCTGCTCTCCACGCCCAGCCCATGAACCCTGCGGCGGATCAACCTCCTCGTCATCACCACTAAGCCGGGGTCCTGAGCGAGCCATACCGATCCGCCCTGATCCATGGCCACCATCCAGGCTCGTCAGCAGGCTTCTGTTGGCCACCAACCTTGCCGTTGATCAACCAGCTCGAAATAACCGTCCCCTCAACTTCAAACGCCGACGTTGACGCCGGGGAATGTGGTTCGTTCTGGAAGAATACAATGGTCTTGGACACGGCTGCTGAGATCGAGGACCAAAGGTAGGCTTCAAGATATGTAAGGATTCTATTTCCCGGCTCTCTTCATTTGAGCACCTTTGTATCCTGTTTGGCTCTTGATTTAATCAAAGAGACTCCTTTCATCTCGTCCACTCCGGAGGCATATAATACACAGCTGCCAGTAGCAGTCCATCTGTGCCACCCGTTTCGCGCCCTTACGATCCTACGTACGCTAGCTTCCTCTTCCAGCAGGGTTGAAACAACCTCAACCCCTGCCTTTAGTGGGCGATTCTGCAGACATATTCCTGGAGATTAGTGCGCGGCGTCTGTACTCCGTACCTGCCTACGGTTGCATCCATCCCCTGGCAGACGCAGCGGTCGGGCCCCGCTAGTGCAGCAACATGCTCAAGATTGTTGGCCGTTCCAGATCTATCAGAGGCGGTGGTGGTGGAGGTGTCAGTTCTGGGCATGCAGGAGTGTCCAAGGCGCACGGCCCGTACACGCCCCTCGTCAGCGAGCCAGGCCATGTATCAGGACCGACCCTGCAAAACTCGACGGTGCTAGGTCTTGTTGATAATGTGGACGATCCCGCCGTTTCCTTCTCTGATGGCAGAAGCCCTTACCTCAACCGCCCTCTTCCCCCACCTCCACCACCAAAGACCTCTGTCACGATGCCGGGCCGGCCAACCACATCGGGGGGCCTTACTACGGGAAAGGGCATGGGGAGCCGCAACTTTGACAAGAGGATATCGAGAGATGACATGTTTCTGAAGCCAGCGTCCAAGGCAGCCTTTGACAACAGGAGAATCTCGAGAGACGACATGTTTGTTGGGAGGAAGTCGTCTTCCAGAGCAGCGTTTCACGTCCCCATCCGGACCCAGTTACCAACACCAGAGTCCAGCCCACGCTACGAGGCGCCCCCGATGGCAGCCATTCCGGCCAGGATGGCGACTCCGGAGTCGCTCAGGTCGGGAGAGATCCAGATCGGCATGGCGTTGGGCAGCCCTTCCCACCCGCCGTCAGTAGCGAGCACAGCATGGCAGCCACAGATGCCCGTCGTGAGGGAGGCAGCCCCGTCTTCTGCTACCAAATCAGAACAGCCTTTGCAACGATCGAAGACGAGGAGGAAGATATTTGGTATCTTCGGCAGCAGAAAGCATGCCGAGCCAGCCAAGGCCCAACTGGAGTCGAGTGACTCGGAGAGCGCTGCGACGACTCCCGTTCGCGCAGTTGCTCAGAGCCCGAGGGAGGGAGCGCCGATGCGAAGCAACACTCAGACACAGAGACCTAAACACCAACCGCTCATGGTCCGAACCAACACGGAGCCTTTTGCAAAGAGCCCCCTGCGAGAAGCGAGCACTCAGCCGGTGTTGAGATCAAAGGCTTCAGAGCCCGCGTTTGGCCACTCTCACAGATCGCGAGCCGCAATGCAGGACTCTCTGCAAGTCCCGGCCGCCAGGTCTGTGAGCCGGCCGGCAAGGAGTCCTTATCTCGATATTGAGATCCCCGATGTCAAGATGGAACGGTACAGCGTGATGTTTGGGAGCCTGCTCAACCAGCAGAAGCAGCAGCAGCCGGCCTCCTCTCTCCTGGCCAGGCGACAGGCAACCCTCGACAAGCTCAAGAACATCAACGACCGCATCGTTCAGGAGGAAGAAGCAAGACACCCTGTACGAGACACGGTACGAGAGAAGCGAGCTTCATCGCCACAGCCGACAAAGTCGCCAGGCTTCACGCTCTTCCCACCGACTCCCTCGACAGCGAAACACGTAGACTCACCTCCAATGCCACCGCCGCCTATGCTCTCTCCGAGGTTGAGATCCAACACTTCGCCTGCACTCCTCCAGTCTCCGGTCAAGACGACTTTCGAGCACGCCGCCCAAGAACCATCACCGTCACTCCATCCGGACCGGCCCAAGGGGAGCCGCTTGCAAGTCAATCCGCTGAGAGGCAACCCGACAATGAGGAGCGAGGCTGTATACGAAACCCGCGAGTTGCGAAAACCGAAACCCGTCTATTTCGATCCGGATCAATCGAGTCTCATACTGGACTCGCCAGACGAGCTGAGCGAGGACGAAAGCAGATTGACGCGGCCATTCAATCCCGAGATTCCTGAGCCACAGTGGCAGATGGCTTCTCCGCTGACGCCGGCCCCGCCATCTTCAACGTCGTCGAGTGCGAGCAGCACGCGCAAGAGATCCCGATCCTCTGTGTCATCTGTCAAGACCCACGTGACGAAACCGTCCGTCGAGATCAATGAGGCGGATTCGGTTCTGAAGAACGCAGTTGAAGTCTCCATCGCAAGGCAAATCAGCATTTCCCGTCAGCAGCGACAGATGCTGAGGCCTCTCCAGTCGAGCACCATTCAGTCTTCAAGGCGACGGGCAAATACGACGACGACTGGACCGGTTCGAAACCAACTTGGACGCAACGAAAAACTCCAGGAAACGAAGTCTTCAACACCGACTCTGGTGGTGCCCCCAGAGGCGATGGAACGGTCGCAGCTCATGCAACACCGCAAGAGCGAGCGTGTGGTCCTGGAGGCTGCCTAGGCACTTCTCGACATACCATTCTCTGCCTGGATACCTCTCGCAGAGGTTTGCGACACATTCTACACTATCTTTAAGCACATTTTTTACCTTTTATTTTTTTTCTCTTCCGGCAAGACCATATTATTACGGGCTGGATCTAATGTATTATTTATTAACCCTTTGGGCGGTGCCCGTTCCGATAGGGCAGGCCGTTTTCGTTGGCATAGCTCTTGGCGAACTTGAGAGGGGGGGGCAGGTCTGTGACCACCAAGCATCGTCTGTTGCACTGGCGCGTTTCTCCTTTGTCTTATGGATTACACTGGCCTTGAGGGCCTATGGCTGTGATACCTCTGAAGAATGAATGTCCTTTGGGGATGGGGACCGGGTTTTATATTTCTACTAGATTACGGGATCATTGAGAGCGGATATTTTTGAGCGATACCTGGTCAATTGATATTATTCACCATCGCCTTTTGTTTTGGCTAATGTTGTCAGAACTGTGGCACCACCAATACTCGTACTTGGGTTGAAATATTATGGTAATGACCAAGAATGATTCATAACAAACACTTTCGTGAAGAGGCGGCGAGGCAGATAACTCGCCCAGTGTTGTAGGTAGTAGAGCAGCGATTGTATGATGGAGGATACTAGAGGTGGGTTTGGATTTTGGCCTAATATTCGTCACCCGTCGAGTTTGCTTACCCCCACATGGATTAACAGGGTGGAATCGACTTTCACAATCTAGGTACGCCGGTGACTCCTCTGCCCAACGTCACTATCAAAAAACACCTTGCCGCGCAGTGAACAGCAAGCTGCCAGGCATTATGTCCTAATTCTTGATACACCAATCACTAAATTTCTTGAAGGGTCGGCGACGTGAGAAAAAAAAAAACTCATTTCAACGCATAATCGGCACTAGACACACTCACCTACCGACTCAACCCGCCAAGATGTCGCCCACAACGTTAAGCGCTGCAGAGGAGCAGTGGCGAGCTCAGGTCGCGGCCATGAAGGCCGCCCTGGCCGAGCTCAAGCTACCGGCTACCAAGCCTGCGCCCGTGCTTGATTATGACGAGGACGAAGACGATGACAGCTACGGCTACAGCTCGTCTGGCGCCGGCGATGGCCATGACGTCTGGGACTTTATCTCGGACAGCGAACTGGAGGAGCTCGGGCTAGACAGCGGCGATCTTATGGACGGCACCGATGGCTTGGACGAATTTTCTGCGTATGGCCCGGAGTGGCTGGCTATCAAGTGCTCCGAGGTATCGGCGCGAAAAGACGGACTCAACCCGAGCACCTTCCAGGACCAGATCGTGGGCATCTTGGCCTCATCGCAATCCGAAGACGTGCTGTCGTCCCAACTGACGGACCTTGTTGGATTTGACGACCTGGACTTCGTCATAGAACTCATCTCGCACAGAGACGATATTCTCGCCGGCATCGCACCGCAGAACGGAGGCCAGAGCAACGGACCGGCTGGCCCGAGACTATTGACAAGATCCGAGCGAGAGGAGGCCCTCCGCCAACAAGACGTCCGGCACAAGACGGCCGCCTTGGGACCCACGAGGTCCAAAGAGCCGGTCTACCCGCACGTGTACAAGGCGTACTCGGCAGGTAACGCTTTGAGTTTTGCCGGAAAGAAGTATGGCCTGCCCCCTGGCAGCGAGCGCAAGATCTTTGAGAAGTACGAAGAGTACGAGATCCCCGCAGGGAAGGCTGGCGGCCTCCTCCCCGGCCATAGTCTTGTCAAAATCTCCGACCTGGACGGGCTCTGTAGGAGGACATTTGTCGGATACAAGTCCCTCAACAGAATGCAGAGTCTTGTTTACCCTGTCGCATACAAGACTAGCGAGAACATGCTCATCTGCGCCCCTACTGGAGCTGTAAGTATCCGGGTTATTCAGGGTCTACGGGGATCATTTGACTGTGAATGCGTTGCTGATTCTTTCCAAGGGTAAAACTGATGCGGCAATGCTGACCATCTTGCACACAATCGGCCAATATATCACGCCAAGCCCCTGGGAAGACCCTGAAGCTACGGAATTCGCCGTTCATATAGAAGATTTCAAAATCGTCTATGTTGCTCCGATGAAGGCTCTAGCCGCGGAAATCACCGAGAAACTGGGAAAGCGCCTGGCTTGGCTAGGCATCAAGTGTCGCGAGTTCACTGGCGATATGCATTTGACCAAGTCCGAGATTGTTCAGACACAGATCATTGTGACCACCCCTGAAAAATGGGATGTGGTCACTCGAAAGGGCACGGGCGACACTGAACTGGTCCAGAAGGTTAGACTGCTCATCATCGATGAGGTCCACATGCTGCACGATGAGCGAGGCGCTGTTCTCGAGTCTCTTGTTGCAAGAACGGAGAGGCAGGTGGAAAGCACGCAGTCTCTGATCCGCATCGTCGGTCTGAGCGCTACCCTACCTAACTATATCGATGTGGCCGACTTTCTGAAGGTCAACCGTATGGCCGGCCTGTTCTACTTTGACGCGTCTTTCCGTCCGGTTCCCTTGGAGCAACATTTCATTGGCGTCAGGGGTAAAGCCAAACAGGCAAAAGAGAACCTGGACACCGTCGCCTTTGAGAAGGTCAAGGAAATGCTCGAGCTGGACCATCAGGTCATGGTATTCGTCCACTCCCGCAGGGACACCCTCGTCACAGCCAAGATGCTCTACGAGAAGGCTGTAGAGGATGTCTGTGTTGATCTCTTTGATCCCTCAGAGCATCCCAAATTCGACGCCGCAGTCAGTTCCATGAAGACTTCAAAGGCAAAGGAAATTCGAGAGCTCGTCAACAAGGGCCTTGGAATTCATCATGCGGGCATGGCTCGTTCAGATCGGAACCTCATGGAGAGGCTGTTCGCTGAAGGTGTCATCAAGGTTCTGTGCTGTACAGCCACTCTTGCCTGGGGTGTCAACTTGCCCGCTGCAGCAGTCGTCATCAAAGGAACACAGGTATACAGTGCCCAAGACGGTAAATTCATTGACCTCGGCATTCTCGATGTGCTTCAGATCTTTGGCCGTGCTGGTCGGCCCCAGTTCGAGGACACTGGTATCGGCATGATCTGTACGACTATCGACAAGCTTGATCATTACTTGACAGCGGTTACCAACCAAGTGCCGATAGAGTCTAGGTTCTCGTCCAAGCTCGTGGACAACCTGAATGCTGAGATATCTCTGGGCACCGTGACCTCGATCCCCGAGGCAGTGCAGTGGATTGGATACTCGTACCTGTATGTGCGCATGCGGAAGAACCCCATGGCGTACGGCATCGACTGGGCAGAAGCCTCAGATGATCCGACTCTGGTGCAGAGGCGAAGACAGCTCGCTATCCAGGCAGCACGGACCCTTCAGAAGTGCCAGATGATCATCTTCAACGAGACCACGGAGGAGCTGCGAAGCAAGGATGTTGGCCGAATTGCCAGTCAATACTACATCTCTCACACGAGTATCGAAATTTTCAACACCATGATGACTCCCTATGCCACCGAAGCCGACATCCTGAAGATGATCTCCATGAGTGGAGAGTTCGACAACATCCAATCGAGAGACAGCGAGGCGGATGAGTTGACCAATATGCGACGCAATGAGAGGATCGTCCCATGCGATATCGATGGCGGGATCGACACTCCCCAGGCCAAGACGAACATTCTCCTGCAGGCATACATATCTCAGGCGCAGCCCGACGATTTCGCGCTGACCAATGATCTGAACTACGTTGCCCAGCAGGCGGGCCGCATCTGCCGCGCGCTCTTTATGATCGCGTTGAACAGGCGCTGGGGACACCAGTGCCTTGTCCTGCTTACCTTGGCCAAGTCCATCGAGAAGAGGGTCTGGCCCTTCCAGACCCCTCTTCATCAGTTCGAGCTTCCAAAGACTGTCCTCAGGCACCTGGACCTGAAGACATCTGTTGGCATCGAGGCTATGCGAGATATGGAGCCTGCCGAGATTGGCAGTCTTGTTCATAACAATGGTGCAGGTGCGAAGATTGCCAAGATTCTCAACAACTTCCCCACAATCACTGTAGAGTCTGAGATTGCGCCTCTCAACCGAGACGTCTTGAGGATCAAACTCTATATCACGCCTGACTTCCGCTGGAACGACTACATCCATGGCACCTCTGAGTCCTACTACATCTGGGTGGAGAACTCCGAGACATCGGAGATCTACCATCACGAGTTCTTCATCTTGAACCGGAGGAAGCTGCATGATGACCATGAGATGAATTTCACCATCCCTCTGGCGGATCCGCTGCCGAATCAGATCTATGTACGGGCTGTTTCCGATAGATGGCTGGGGGCCGAGAGCGTCCTACCAGTCTCGTTCCAGCATCTGATCCGTCCTGACACCGAGAGTGTGTACACGGAATTGCTCAACCTGCAGCCACTCCCAATCACTGCCCTAAAAAACCCGATCCTTGAGGATCTTTACAGCCAGAGATTTGATTATTTCAACCCCATGCAGACTCAGATCTTCCACACATTGTACCACACCCCCGCAAACGTCCTTCTAGGATCTCCCACTGGCAGTGGCAAGACGGTGGCTGCCGAATTGGCCATGTGGTGGGCTTTCAGAGAGCGACCAGGCTCAAAGGTGGTTTACATTGCTCCCATGAAGGCGCTTGTCCGTGAGCGCGTGAAAGACTGGGGTGCTCGGCTGGCCAGGCCAATGGGTCTCAAGCTTGTTGAGTTGACGGGCGACAATACGCCTGATACTCGAACCATCAAGGATGCAGACATCATCATCACGACACCGGAGAAGTGGGATGGCATATCCCGTAGTTGGCAGACGAGAGGGTACGTCCGCCAAGTCAGTCTCGTCATCATCGATGAGATCCACCTTCTTGCGGGCGACCGTGGCCCGATTCTGGAGATCATCGTTTCTCGAATGAACTACATCGCCACGTCTACAAAGAACGCTGTTCGCCTGCTGGGCATGTCGACGGCTTGTGCGAATGCGACAGACCTTGCAAACTGGTTGGGAGTCAAGGAGGGGTTGTTCAACTTCAGACACTCCGTCCGACCTGTGCCCCTGGAACTATACATCGATGGGTTTCCGGAGGTTCGAGGTTTCTGTCCGCTCATGCAGTCTATGAATCGGCCGACCTTCCTGGCTGTCAAGAATCACAGCCCGGACAAGCCGGTCATCGTCTTTGTACCTTCGCGTCGACAGACCCGCTTGACAGCCAAGGATCTGATCAACCTCTGTGGAATGGAAGACAACCCGCGGCGCTTCTTGCACATGGAAGAAGAGGATCTTCAGCTCAACCTGGCGCGTGTCAAAGACGATGCCTTGAAGGAAGCTATCAGCTTCGGTATCGGCCTGCATCACGCTGGCCTTGTCGAGTCGGACCGCCAGCTTGCCGAGGAGCTCTTCTTGAATGGCAGTATTCAGATTCTAGTCGCGACCAGCACTCTTGCGTGGGGCGTCAATTTGCCCGCCCATCTCGTGGTTGTCAAAGGAACTCAGTTCTACGACGCGAAGATTGAGGGTTACAAGGACATGGATCTGACCGATGTCCTCCAGATGTTGGGCAGGGCAGGACGGCCTCAGTTCGACAACTCCGGAGTGGCGCGGATCTTTACGCAGGAGTCGAAGAAGGACTTTTACAAGCACTTCCTGCACACGGGATTCCCGGTCGAATCGTCTCTGCACACGGTGCTGGACAACCATTTGTGCGCAGAAGTCTCAGCCGAGACAATCGTCACCAAGCAGGATGCTTTGGACTACTTGACGTGGACGTTCTTCTTCCGCCGACTGCACAAGAACCCGTCCTACTACGGCCTAGAGATCTCTGCCGAAGACCACAACAGCATCACGGCTCAGCAGGTGGCCAACGAGTTCATGATCGAGATGGTAGATAACTCGCTCTCCGAGCTCGCCAAATCCAAGTGCGTCGAAGTCTTCCCTAACGGCGACGTCGACCCGACGCCGCTTGGTAAGATCATGAGTTACTACTACCTGTCCCACAAGACGATCCGGTACCTGGCCAAGCACGCCAAACCCAAGGCCTCGTTCCTCGATGTGCTCTCTTGGATGTGCCGAGCGACCGAGTACGACGAGCTACCTGTGCGGCACAACGAAGACCTCATCAATGCCGAGCTCTCTCGCAACCTGACCTACACTGGAGCCTCTTTCGGTCTGCCCATGTGGGATCCCCATGTCAAAGCATTCCTCCTCCTGCAGGCCCACATGTCGAGGATCACACTTCCCATCACCGATTACGTCGGCGACCAGACCAGCGTCCTCGACCAGGCAATTCGTATCATCCAGGCCTCCGTCGACGTCATCACCGAGATGGGCTTCCTGTCGAGCTGCCTCGAGATGATCAAGTTACTGCAGTGCATCAAGTCTGCCCGCTGGCCGACCGAGCCCCCCTTGTCCATCCTGCCGACCTTGGACCCGGAGAGGGTCAAGAACAACACCACGCTGCAGAAGCTGACCGCCATGAACCAGGGCCAGTGGACCAAGCTGGCCAAGGAGCTGCACGTCCCCGCCAGCCAGCAGCCTCGCTTCCTGAAGGCCATCTCGGTGCTCCCGAACGTGGCCGTCTCCGTCGCCGACGTCACCTCCCTCTCGCTGACCGTGCACCTGAAGCGGCTCAACGCCGTCGTCGAGCGCGAGGCGCGCATCTACGCGCCCCGGTTCCCCAAGCCGCAGAACGAGGGCTGGTTCGTCATCGTGGCCGACACGGCCGGCGATGAGATCGTCGCCGTCAAGAGGGTCGGCTGGAGCCAGGGCGCGGGCTCGAGCGTGGCCGTGGGATCCAGGCCCTCGGCGCGGGCGGTGCTGAGGCTGCCCGAGCCCGAGGGTGGCAAGGCCAGGAAGCTGGACGTGCTTGTCGTGAGCGATGGGTATGTCGGTCTGGAGTACCTTGTCAAGGGGGTGGACATCCCCGCGCTGCCTGTCGTTGACGATGATGTGAGCAAAGGGAAGGGGGAGGGGAAGAACGTGTCTGGCGGGAGCGAGGCTGAAGGCGCGGGTGGCCCGTCTGGATCCAAGTAGGAGTCGTTGTCGCTAGATTGAGAGATGAATCACTAGAGGGATAAACACGTAACGTCAATTCATGTATGAGACAATGCTGCCCATCACTCGTCAGATGAGTGTTTGTGTGATTCATGTACCATAGCAGTTTGGCCACCTTTTCGTTATACACTGTACGTAGAACAGGCCAGCCATGGCAGCCTATGAGTAAACAGAGGCGGCCATGGAAGGGTTTGTTCTTTCCTTCTCAATTGAGCGTAAAAGCAAAAAAGGAAGAAATCAAACAAAAAGAATCGGTCCTTCATTCAGCTTGGCAGTGTCCTCCGTCCCATCCTCGCTCACCATTTCATGACATTTCCAGTCCCTCGCTATCATCCAGCACTTCCTCTTTACCTCCACTCCAGCAAGAAACAGCATTGCTCGGGATAGCAAAGATGGCCTTCCCCCAGCGAGCGACCTTCATCGTCCCGGTGATAGTCGAGCCCGAGCCCTCGTCATCAGAGGCGGGCCCGTCTACTCCTCGTGCGAAGAACCAGTCCAGAAAGACTGGAAAAGTCCGCACTGCCGGCACGGCCAAGACGGAGGCTAGCATCCCCTTGTCCACTACCTTCTATTTCGACCTGACGGGCCGGGACTTGCCTGCTTCGCTCCGTCGCGAGAGGGTCATCGTCCTCGACAGCTATGCCGCCGGAACCTCGGCCGTTGCCGTTCGCATGATTGAGAGCGCGACCCGGTTCGGCTCTCTGTGAGCCACGGAGTATGTCTGGAACGGGGGATGGCTTGAATCGTGACAATTCACATCCTTGATCAGCTGCGCATGCTTCGAGTGAGTTGGCGAATCTCGGATGAAGGAGTTGCAACTGACGGGAGACAGCGCCATCCTCAGAACTAGCTTGTCTGCACTCAGGAGGTGGCCAACATGGAGGGGGGCATGCAATGGACTCCCACAGTCGGTCTGATTGCATTCTAAAGTCGATCCGCTTTCGAGATGGGCTTCTATATTCGGCGCAGATATCGGATTTCGTGCATCGGAGATCAATCATGATACTTTCTGGCCTATATGGCAAGGACCATGTGTACTGTAAATGCTTTGTGCAGCGTGTGTCATGAACCACCCAGATACCGGTCCAGGTCCGGGTTGCCGTAGAAGTGCTGGCGAAGTTTGTCCGCCTTCTTCCTGTCTTCCTGTGCCATCTTTCGAACCTTTCCAGCATGAAGAAGTGCGGGTTTCTTTTCCTTCTTCTTGCCTTCGAACTCCTTGGGCACGACCAGTCCCAGGCCGCGAGTGTCGTCTTTGGGAACCGGTTTGAGGGGAAACTGGATGCCTTGGCCAGACGCCCCGAGACCGCGACGAGCGTCTGGGTCCCATCCTTGCGACTCCAATACCGACAAGCCCATGCGTGAACGGTCTATGGAAGAAGGCGGATGAGAGTGCTCGAGTGAGACCTGGTGCACAAAAGATGCCTCGTGACGACTTGTCTTGGCTTGTGCCGAAGAACCGCTCTCTTGGCTATGGCTTCTGTGCTGGCTTGAGGTGACCGGTACTTTGCACACGGGGCATATCTGAGGCTCCTCTGCAGCTCGGCTCGAAGAGCCTGGGCTGGCGGGCGCAGATGATGCTGTTTGTTTCGAGAGCACTATGTTCAGATACAGGTCCGAAACAGACTTGTTGGCCGGCTCGCCGGGCTGCTCTGTTGTCTTGAGATTCCCGGAAGAAGCGGGCACGAACGATATGGGCTTTCGGGACAGACCTTCGGCGAATGCGCGCTGGTGGTGCAGCGGCGTATCGTCCATGAAGTCGTCTTGCTCATTCTCGTCTGCCTCCCTCTCGTCTGCCTCCCGGGACGCCATGTCTGGTAGAAACGGGCCTCTTCATAGGCCGGTCCCTCCAGAGAGTGAGTATCGCAGTTACAATAGACGATGGTGCTTAGAAATGTATTGGTCAGAGTGCAAAGCGCAGAGTCAGATCATCGCTTCGGTGATATGTGCATGTCTATATCTGCCTATTCTACCGTAGATATTTCTGTCAGTGGCTGGTCTGAGGTTAGCGGCCGCCGAGCCGCTAACGATTGGGGCTGGACCCCTGGAAGCCGCCCATGACGCAGCCCAAGATAAGCCCCGTCGAGCCTTAATTGTTTAGTGTCGCCGCCTGTCAAGAAATGTAAAAGACTGGAGCTCCATCAGTCCCGAACGTGCCAGCTTTGACGACGACGACGACGACGCAAGCTCGTGACAGCCTTGCAACCTAGATAGTGCCAACAGCTCTCGGACAAGACTGGGCCACTCCTACTGCTATTCCTTCCCTTAGTTACCAGGTCTACAATTGAAGAGGAAGAAGAAGAAGCACGCCCAAAAGCTCCCCTTTGGTGGGCGAAGACCTTGGCACACTGCACCGAGAACACCATGCCAATCAACTTCCTCGCCAGCCTCTACATCGACGGGCCGCCGCCATGGATGCCGGCCACGTCGACGCTGCTCAAGTACGGCGGCACGCTCGCCGCCGTGACCCTCACTAAGCGCTACTGCAGCGGCGCGCCCAACACGGCCGAGCGCGACATGCACGGCCGCGTCGTCATGGTCACGGGCGGCACCTCGGGCATCGGCGCCGTCGCCGCCTCGGAGCTCGCCCGCCGCGGCGCCCAGGTCGTCCTGCTGACGCGCCAGCCGCCCTCGGACCCCTTCCTGGCCGAGTACGTGCACGACCTGCGCGAGCGCACGGGCAACCAGCTCGTCTACGCCGAGCAGGTCGACCTCGCCTCGCTGCACAGCGTGCGCCTCTTCGCCACGCGCTGGGTCGACAACGCGCCGCCGCGCCGCCTCGACATGGTCCTGCTCTGCGGCGCCACGCTGACGCCGCCGGGAGGCGCCCGCCAGGAGACCCCCGAGGGCGTCGAGCGCACGTGGATGGTCAACTTCCTCGCCAACTTCCACCTGCTGGGCATCCTGAGCCCGGCCCTGCGCGCCCAGCCCTTCGACCGCGACGTCCGCGTCATCATCCCCACCTGCTCGTCGTACATCGGCTCCCCGCCCCTGGGCGTCGCCCTCGACGACAAGACCTGGACCCCGCGCAAGGCCTACGCCCGCAGCAAGCTGGCCCTCATGGCCTTCGGGCAGGCCTACCAGAAGCACCTCGACGCCTACGAGCGGCCGGACAAGTTCCCCATGAACGCCAAGGTCGTCTTCGTGGACCCGGGCTTCGCGCGGACGGCGGGCATGACGCGCTGGCTCACGCGGGGCTCGCTGCTCGGCCTGCTCGCCTACGTCCTCCTGTACTTCTGGTCCTGGCTGCTGCTCAAGAGCCCCTTCATGGCGGCGCAGTCGATCCTCTACGCCGCCATGGAGGGCAGCATCCAGCGGGACCACGGGGGCAAGCTCATCAAGGAGTGCAGGGAGGTCGACTTTGCGAGGACGGACGTCCAGGACGAGGCCATCGCCAAGGAGCTGTGGGAGGCGAGCGACAAGCTCATCGAGAAGACGGAGAAGCTGGCCGCGCAGAGGCGGGCCAAGGAGAAGAAAGAGGCCGAGAAGCGGGAGAAGGAGGCCAAGGAGGCCGAAAAGGCCCAGGAGATCGAGTCGCTGGTCGATGCGATCAAGAAGGGCAAGGCGAAGCAGGCACAGGAGTCGGAAAAGACGGGAAAAGACAAGGACAAGGACAAGGACAAGGACAACAAGGCGAGGAAAAAGGCAAAGTTTAGTCAGAAGGCCATTCCATGATGGAGCGCCGGGCATGAATCTAAGGTGTTTATACAAAATAATATACAGGGACTTGAGCCTATGCCTATTGGTCTATTGGTACATCCTTCTTGCTCTATGAATAGCATCCATCCCATGAACCGTATGTATATATGCAGTGATAAGCGGTGTTTCTTTTTTTTTTTTACAATGGTCATACACGAGCCTAACCTGTCTGGGCAGAAGACTCCTTCTTGGGTTCTTGGTCCAGAATATGGTGCGCCTTTTTGCTCTGCGCGTCGCTGCTGAGCACAATCTCCTCTTCATCCTCGGCCAACGGCTCTTCGTGGCCCTCCTCGTTCCACTGGCCAGCACCTTCGTGGTTCGGCAAGGTATCTCCGGCCTTGGCCTGGTCATCACCCAACAGCTTCTCCTCGAGGTTCTGTCTCTGCTCGGCCATCCTCCTGATGATCTTTTGGCGCTCCTGGCGGGCTCCGGGCACAAATGTGAGATGCTCAAGATAGTCCGTGATCTTATCCTCTACCAGAGACTTGACGTGGAAGGCGAGGTCCTGGCTCTGGAAAACACCGTTGTAGCGGTAGCTAAGCCACAGGTATAGCGTTATGGCCTTGTGGAGCGACTCGAGGCGCCGCAGATACTGGCCGTCCTTCAACTCGGGATCGTCTCGGTTGCGGTCGAGCATCTCGAGGTCTATTTCTTTGATGTCCAGAAGGTGACCACCATTCAGCGAAGAAACGCATTCTGCAAACGCTCTAAGGACGTCCCTCTGGCCCCAATCTCGAAGAGAGACGGGCGCTGAGAGGAAGACACAGCGGTCAAAGATGCTCATGGGGTACGGCTGGATGAGGTCGGCCACCTCGATCATATCGTCAAATCGACACAACTGAAAGTGGGAACTAAGCCTCGCCATCTCGCGAAGGCGGAGGAGGATAAAACTGAGCGGTGTGTGCGGGGGGAAGTACGAGGAGAACCTCTCGATGACGAAGGTCGGAGGATAGAGGCCGGCGGTCTTTATGGGTGGTGCTTCGGTCTCGAAGGCAGTCTGCACACTGGCGAGATCCTCGTCCTCCAAGGTGGTCACAAACCCGGGGGTGCCCCATCTCTTCGCCGGCGGGGCGGCGGGTGGTGTTGTCGCCGTCGTCGCCGCCGCCGCCGCCGATTGTGCAGCTGCCGCACCCTTGATCTCCTGCGCTGCAGTGCGAAAACGTCCAGCCCGACCCCCAATCTGCTTGACTTCAGGAACACTCAGGATCCGATAGGCAACGCCGTCATGCTTGTGAGCTTGTTCAAAGATGACACGCTTGATCTCGAGATTGAGGCCCATGCCAATGGCATCACTGGCCACGAGAAAATCGTATTCGTTATTCGGGTCGTTGAAGAGGCCCGCCTGCTGCGCACGAGTCTCGGGCGGAAGGGAGCCATAGACGATGGCGCATCTTCGACCTGTTGCCTCCTCGATGCCTGCCTTGAGCATGTGCAGGCCTATGCGGGAAAAGGCGACGACTGCATCGCCTTTCCGGAGATTCTTGAAGTCTCCCTGTAGGCTCTCTTTCATGGTCTTCAGAGAGCTCAGACGTGTGTACGTGTGGACGATACACTTATCGCCTATCCTAGCACACAAGCTCTTGATGAGCTCGACAGTTCGCTCCTCTCCACAAAGATGCACCTCTTTGGCCTGGACGCCGAGAAAAGCTTGGGTCCAAGCCCAGCCCCGGTCTTCGTTGGCGATCATCTGGATTTCGTCAATGACTGCGACATCCACTCGCCTGTTCAGGGGCGCCATCTCCACAGTGCAAGCCGTGAAGTACGTGTCGACGCCCTCGGGAATTCGTTGTTCTTCTCCCGTGATGAGCGCGCACGGTTTGCCTTTTGCCTGGAAGCGAGTGTAGATCTCATGGGCGAGAAGACGCAAGGGCCCAGCATAGATTCCGGTCTTGGAGTTCTCGAGCGCCTGGAGGGCTTGATAGGTCTTCCCCGAGTTCGTTGGGCCGACGTGCACGTGTATGGTCCTCTGCATAGCCCGCGTAGCGGGGAACCATTCGTACGGGTATCGAAAGTCGGCAAGCTTTTGGTGTGTTTCGGTAACTGCGTTTGAGAAGCGCGATCGAAGGGTGAAGCTTTGGAAGGCATATTTCAGCTCCTGAGCCAGACCGGTGGCATCTCCGTGGACAAAGCCATTGCGGAGACTCCAGAACAGGGGGTTATCCAATCTCCCGACTTTGCCCTTCTCTCCAGCCAGATTGAAAGCATTGGCAACGGCCTTGAGGAATAATCTGGCTTCCTTGTCCACATCACTCTGGCTGTGCATGCCAAACGAATGGTACATCTTGTGCTCCGGTGTCCATGGACCCATCTGCCCCAACAGCATCTGAAAGCGAGACTCGACAAGCTGGCGGAAAAGTCGATACTTCCTACTATCCTCGCCGGCCTTGGCTTGTTGCCCTGATTTCGCGGCATCCTTCAGGTCTTGGTGCAGCATCGCGTATCTGGGATCGAACTGCGACAAATGTGAGCTTAGGCAGTGCTTTCCAACGGTGCGAAGGGATGAAGCCTCGTGAGGACCTACATGTGGCGTGCCGACCCTCGCCCGTGCATTTCTATCCCGTGGCTTCCTATCCCGTCCGCCTTTCTTCCGCGACGGCATGGAGGCGTACAGACGCCGGCTCTCGCAGAGGAGGCATCTCGAGCTGGCCCTAAGTGTGCCTCGCAGCAAGAAAGACATGGCTGCGTCGGTCAAAGACCGGAGTCATAGCTGTCGGAGTTGGACGTATGACAGTTGGTTGTTGTCGGATCCAAAGAATCAAACAGCCGCAACCTCTTTGTTGTCACCACGGTCGAGAAATTTCAAAAAAGCTGCCGCAATTCAATGTTGACTGCATCGCTAAGAAAAATGTAGCGGCGAGCTCTTATCGATAAGACGCATTTGTCCCCTATTAACTTGACGCCGCAGGCTTGTTTCCAGCGCTACTACTGTACCACTTTGGCCATCCCGCCCCGTCCATCCACTGAGAGTGGGCATCGTCATCATGCAGAGTCGCCCATCGACCTTAATAGCCTTCCAAGCATCCCGGCCAGTTTGACCCACCTCAGATCCTCCCAGCAGATTGATCAACCTCAACTCTCCATTACATGCATGTATGCCTGTCTCTGCAGCCGACAACACTTGATACAAACAGCCTCGTTTCCCTTTGAGGAGATAGACGATCCAGCAAGGCTCGCCTTCAGTCCAGCACAAGCACAGGGGCGCGACAACAGTCCATTCTCACAACTGCGAAGATGGCATCGTCATCAGCTCCAGCAACACCGTTGCTATAGTAAGGACTCTCACCCTCCACCCAGTGTGCATCGCCGTACCTGTGAAACACGCGAAAAACTAACCACAGCCTTTCCGACACACACACAGCGCGTGCATCGCCTACAACACGACCATCCTGACCGAGTGCACCACCTCGGCCTCGTCGCAGACGTCGTCGCTGGCCTCGCTGATCCTGCCCAAGATCGAGCACAGCACGCCGCAGAAGCTGACCTACACCCACGGCTCCCACCACATCCACTACATCGCCGAGGCGCCCTCGGCGCACCCGGCCGGCTCGTCGGCGGGCGGGCTCACCTTCCTCGTCATCGCCGAGGCGAGCCTGGGCCGCCGCGTGCCCTTCGGGTTCCTGATCGAGGCGCGCCGGCTCTTCCTCGAGCGCTTCCCGCCCGAGACGGCCGAGCTCGACGAGCTGCCCAACTACGGCGCCGCCAGCTTCAACGGCGAGCTGCGCCGCCTCATGGTCGAGCAGGGCGGCACGGCGGCGGGCCGCGACGACGCCGTGGCCAACGTGCAGCGCGAGATCGACGACGTGCGGGGCATCATGACGCGCAACATCGAGGGCCTGCTGGAGCGGGGGGAGCGCATCGACCTGCTCGTCGACAAGACGGATCGCCTCGGCGGTAGTGCGCGCGAGTTCCGCGTCCGGAGCAGGGGCCTGAAGCGGAGGATGTGGTGGAAGAACGTCAAGCTCATGAGCTTGCTCGTCCTGGTCGTGGTGCTCATCATCGTGACCATTGTCGTCGCCGTCAAGACCTGAGGGGGCAGGGATGCTTCTGCTTTCCTTGTACAAGTTCTCTTTAACGTTCCCAGGCTTGTATTACATTCTCACTAAAGTGAAGGGCCCGAAAGAGGGCAGGCGGGCAGCAGACTGGGAGAGAGAGGGAGTAAAACACGATCCAGGTCAAGAGATGCTGGAATCTCTTCTGGAGAATTTCCTATGTTGATACCACATGCGTCATGGTTTCGTTTTCAGCCATCGTCTAGTTGCTTCAGTTTGTATATACATGTATCAAGTCTTCAAGCCCATTCCTGTCTTGCTTTGGCTGCTGTTTTGCCACGACTGATGCAAAATCAGGGGCGCAGAATACATTGATGAAACCTCCACGAGTCCGCGTCAGTAGATGATATGTTTGTTTGTCTTATAATTTCGGCGCCGCTCCCGTTCCGTCAAGCTGCCTCTGGCCGTCACGGTAGATATAGCCCTGCGCAACGGGGTTGCCCGGGTAGTTCGCCGCCACTGTCCCCGTGCCGACAACTGGTCTCCTCAGTCTCTCGGTGAAGAAGACCGGGTGCCTAACAGAGGCGTTGTGAGGTGGCGATGGTATCCTCAGTGGCATGGCTGGCTGTGTTGTGGTGGGCGGCATTGGAGGAAAAGACATTGGTCCGCCGGGCAGTGTCGGTACTGATGTGCCTGGCTCAGAGAGTGCTTGCATCCCGTCCGTGGGAGGGGATTCTGCTGGTGCTTCCCGTGATATTGGAGGCCTTCCTACTCACTCCATCTCGGGGAGAGAGGATGAATGCGGAGTCAAAAGCGATGTGCAGAAAGATGCTCTGAGTGAGAAGACAACCCCGGCGACTTTTTGACACAGCTTGTCAGGATTTCAACTGCCTGACTTTGTGGAGTGAAATGGCTGAATGATGATGGAGATCTCAATGATGGGATTGGAATATTTCGTCGTCATTTCTCCTCCTGCCATGTGAGTGTACCGAAGTCGGCTTATCTGCGACTTTCACCGATCAATGTCTACCAGGCGCACCTCGGCAGCGTGTTCCCTATCCCGCTAGGTATTCTTGGGGCAGCTGGAGCCCTGGAATGGGAAAACAACAGCAAATGGTTCTCACCGACGTGCCGCTAAAAAAGGACCAAGCCCACCTGGGGCATGTGCCTCAGGAGGAGCATCCCCGCCAAAACCAACGGCGGGGAAGTGTCGGATCCATTGGCACCAAGCGGTACATCACCGAGGTACCCCTACTCACTACGACACTATGTCATCACTGGTACCCCACCACAGCTTGTCGTCTCAAGCTACCGACCGTACTGCCAAAGGGTAGCTTCGGCTTCCATCTCAACTACCTACTATACCTTAGTTAGGCTTGTCAAACAACTCCATCTCACCCATCACGAAGTCAAACAAACCACCCAGGGTGCACCAAGCACCGGCTGACAAAGTAGTTACCAACCCCAAGGTCTCACAGCAGCTACCCAGATTTCACACAACACAAGCCGCGCACACAATGTCCTCCTCCAATGCACCAGCGGTGGCACCCTCGAACCCGGCGGACACGGTCAAGGGCCACAAGCCCGCCTTCGTGCCCCTCGAGGCCAACCCGCCCCTCATGACCAGCCTGCTGCACAACCTAGGCCTGTCCGAGGCCCTGTCCGTCCACGACGTCTACAGCATCGACGACCCGGAGCTGCTCGCCTTCGTGCCCCGCCCGGCCCTGGCCCTGCTGCTCGTCTTCCCCGTCTCGGCGGCCTACGAGTCGCACCGCCTCGCCGAGGACAGCCTGCTGCCCGAGTACGGCGCGTCCGGCGACAAGGAGCCCGTCCTGTGGTTCCGCCAGACCATCCGCAACGCCTGCGGCGTCATGGGCCTGCTGCACGCCAGCCTGAACGGGCCCGCCAAGGGCTTCATCGGTGAGTTCAGCCATCGGCTCTCTCTGGCACACATTCAACAAGCTCGTCCCAATAGATCAATAGACGACCTCTCTTTCTTGGAACCCCTGCTAACAACAAACCCTCCGTCATACAGAACAAGGCTCCGCGCTCGACGACATCGCCAAGCAAGCCACGCCCCTGGCTCCGGCGGAGCGCTCCAAGCTGCTCGAGACCAATGAGTCCCTGGCCAAGGCACACCACTCGGCCGCCACGCAGGGCGACACCAAGGCGCCCGACGCTCAAGACGACGTGGACCTGCACTACGTGTGCTTTGTCAAGACCGAAGACGGCACGCTCTGGGAGCTCGACGGCCGCCGCAAGGGCCCGCTGGCCCGGGGCAAGCTGGAGAGCGACGAGGACGTGCTCAGCCAAAAGGCACTGCTTTGGGGCCCAAAGAAGTTTCTCGAGCGTGAGGGCGCCGACATGAGATTCAGCTGCGTCGCGCTGGCTGGCAGCCTGGATTGAGTCATCATAGTCAACAAGGACGAGGAAGCATTCCATAGACGGGCAGAGGAGTACAGAGAGTACAATTGCATTGGTAGGCGTTTTGGGTCCAAGGTAAACCGAAGCAAGGCATGGACGAAAGTGTCAGAGGCACCATGTATCACATAAAGGACGTGTAGCCCCAGGAACCATCACTGGGAAGTTTTAAAGGTCGTCGGTCTCTTTAGGTCTTTCTACGTGCTACCTCTCCGTCATGTCTAAGTCCTGTTGCCCCTCAGGTACTCGAGCTCCTCCTCAGGAACAGGGCCATACTCGCGTTGCCCAGAGCCCTGCTCACGGTCACGGCGCTCCTGATCGCGACGCTCCTGATCGCGGCGCTCCTGGTCACGGCGCTCCGAATCGTAGCGGCCCTCCTCCCAGCGTCTTCGGCCCTCCTCCCACTGCTCATCCGCGGCGCGGCGCTCCTCAGGGGTGAGCTGATCTCGGCGATCCCGAGGCGGCCCGCGGCTCTCGTTCTCAGCGGCACCGTCGTAGCAGCCGCGGCGGCGGCACTCACACTCGCGACGCCGGCGGTTGATCTCGCAGCAGGGGTTGGTGCACCAGTCGTCATCACGATCGCGGCAAGACCGGTTGCAGTCGCACTCATCGCGGCGGTTGCGAGACTCGGTGCATCGCTTCCGGGCGCCGAAGCCGCCATCCTCGGCGCCGTCGCACTGACCCTGACCGCACTGCTCGTCACCACCCTGAGCATTTGTGCTGCAGGTGCCAGGCTGCTCGTGCCGATGAGTGATGTCGCCGCAGTTCTGCTTGGCGCAGTTGGCCTCGATGCAAGGGCCGTTGTTCGTGGTGCACTGCTGGGGATCGGTGCAGTCCTGAGACTGAGGGTTGGTCGTGTTGCCAAAGATGTCCTTCTGGCCCCATTGGCCTTGACCGCACTCGCCAGACTGGTCCTGACAATTCATGCCGCCCATGCCGGGTTTGCGCACGGCCGCGTTGATGAAAGGCATGCCAGGCTTGGAGCCGTCGGGCTTGGAGCCGTCAGGCTTCTTGATGGAATCGGGAGCGCCACTGGGTTGGGGCTGGCCGTCCTTGGGAGGCTGCTGCATATCGGGGATCGGACCAGGCTGGGGCTGGTCATTGTGATCGTCTGAGGGACCGTCATTCTGGGGAACGTTGTCCTTCTTGGAAGAAGAGCTGCCCGAAGACTGCTCGCGGCCGGATCGGCCATCACGCTTCTTGGACTCGTCAGAAGAGCCGCGCTGAGAGCCGTCACGGTCGCTGCGGTTGGAGCGATCCGACGTGTTGGAGCCTCGCGAGCCGGCGTCCTTGCGGTTGGGAGTCTCCTTGGGAATGGGTGGCATGTCTGGCGTGTCGACCTTGAAGGCAGAAGCGTTGAAGTCGCTGGTGTCCTTGAAATCCTTGGAGTCCTTGGAGTCCTTGGAGTCCTTGTTCTTCTGCTGCTTCTCGTCGCGGGACTGTTGCTGACGAGAGTCCTTCTGCTTGTCGCCAGAGATCTGGTCGCGGTCATTGGGGCTGGTGCCCTGGCGGTTGGAGTCACGGCTGGCCATGGTGGCGGTGTGGAGTGTGCGAGTCTGAAAAGGGGGACTAGAGACAAGGGATGACGAGTTGCACAGTTGAAGATCGTTTGCAACGATAGCGAAAGGTAGCGATGCTGATATGAGATGAATGCTAGGATTGAAAAGATGGGCACAAGATGTTGCTGTGGATGGATGAAAGACGAGAAGAAGACAAAGGTAGCCGGGGATCTGGGCGAGTATTTGTAGACGAGCAGACCGGTGTCCCTGGGCGGTGTGGCATTGCAGGAGACTTCACACGAGAGGACGAGGAGGAAGGCATCGCCTCTGGTCGAAGCAGTCATGACTGCAAGGATGCAGGCCGCGAGCACTTGTGAGAAGCTGCTCATGGGGCATTACCTCCGAGTCGGCAGGCCCTCTTCGTCTTACATCGCCAATAGGCCCGGTCGAGAGTAGGATGGCGCCAACCGGATGTGTTGTCGCAGGAAGTGGTGTTCCTCAGAGCAGGCAAGAAGACACTCGGCGGGAGGGGGGATCATGTCTGTTGGAAGGGACGGCAGGCAAGGAGGGAAGAACCTCGCTGCCCTTCCCACCCAGAACCCGCGCGCTTGCTTGCTTGTGCGCCCGACCTGAGCTCTTGCACGTTGGATGCCGGCGGCTCATGCCCACTGGAGCCATGGATGCCTGCTTGCCAACAATTCAAACCAGACGAAGACCACAACTGTTGAGTTGACGCTTGTCCTCCTGCCCACGATTTTCCCATCTGCCCCTGAAGTGACCAGGTTGCATGTTGTCAGGCCAAGCAAGATAGACGGCAGGACGACGGCAGGAAGCACAGGAGGTCAGCTTCCAACCGGGTCACGAAGGCCAGCGTTCTCGCCGTGTCATCAATCAGCCAGACTCGTCCATCAATCCGCGAGCGCCTTCTTCCCAAGAAGCCCCGGTAAGCATTGCCCATGTTGACATCTCAATGGGCAGCTGAACATGCAGGGACCACGATGAGATGCTGCTGCACCGACAGCCAGCATCAGCACCCGGACGAACCTCCAAAACGGTACCTCAACGCAATGCCATCTGTTCGTTCACCTTGCGGTTGGCACCAGGGATCTAGGTGTGGCTCTCTCACCTTTGATCGTCGGATGTGGATGCGTTGTTCCCCCCCTGGACAGAATGACCCCAGCTAGGTTCTGATCCATTCAAGGATTTGCAGATCATTACAAGCAGATCCCCCACCCATCACCATGCGTGTCCTCTTATCGCCCGCTGAGCTTGTCCGTACTTGTCGTCCTCAGCTGTGCCAGAAGCCCGATCTCGAGACTCGATTGCACATCTGCTCTCTTCCCACTACCTCGCACCATGCCGATCGGCACACAGTCGCGGCAGGCGGCAGGCAATTTCTCCAGCACGCCAATCGCCATGCGCACAAAGGCTGCCTCGTCTCGTCAGCCGCACGCAGACTGACGTGTAAGTCAATGCTTGACCAGACACCAGTGCGGGCGACACAGTACGGGTCCTGACACAGTTGACGACGGCTCGGTGTTGCAGAAGATGGGGCGCTCCAGCAAGGCGAGCAAGGACCATCCCATCTGCTTGAGCAGACCTGGTGGGAACGTGTCTCAGTCTAATTTCTTCCCTCTTCACTTGCTTTCTTCATTCTTCCCCAAGTCCCCTTTTTCTTGTCCAACCCAGCGGGCCGGGACCGTTTTGTGTCCTGTCTCAGGGCGGATGGCGTCGAGTTCACTGACTCCAAAACACAGACACACATGTCATATCAGGTGCTCAAGCACAGTAGTTGGGAGCTGCACAATCCCACTGTCCTACGTCGGCTCTATCACACAACCCGTTTGGGCTGTTCAGGCAGGGCTCGAGTTGCAAATGGAGTCTGAACAGCCGCTGTCTTCTAGAATGCCTCTGCCTCCTAGCATTTCTCTCTCCCTGGTCGCCCATCTGCAAGTCATTCATGGATCATGGATTATGGTTCGGAACCCCTGAGGATCACCAGTCCTAGCGTGAGTAGTGGGTTCTTTGCGGATCTTCCAGCTCTTGAGTTGCGCTGTTTTGGCCAACAGACCAACCCCATTCGACACTTGGATTGCTGGAGAACCCCTGTCTGTCCGAAGTAACCAAGTTTGGTCGTTCTGTGGAATACATGGGTAGTCCCTCTCCTGGAACTCGACCAGGAGCCCTCCCACCTGAAGTTGGCCTGGCATCTCCAGTGGTTTGGTCAGCACGATGAAGGATCGAAGTCAATACCGGATATCCGAATGATCTGACAGAGAGCTACCATTAAAATACCAACCTCGGATACCGTGTACCACAGACTGACGTTTCCAATAACACCGTCATACCTCAAACGAAGCTGACCAACTCGAGCGTGGGCTGGGAAGGCTGGAGAGATTGTCCTTTTCCACCGTCACACACCCTACTCACCTGAACACCCATTATCGTGGATGGTCCACACTGTTTCCCCAAAAGGCCCGTATTTACTTGGCATATTGAGCTGGTGAGGACCTGTTGGGCGGATTGGATGCGAACAGATCGCGTCTAAGCTGTGCGCACGGTCATGATGTCCGAGAGACGACTTCCCTTTCTGGCCTAGGACATCATCGCGATGCCATTTCGAAGCAGCCGGAGATTTCCATTGAGTGCAAGGCACGCTAAGTTACCAAGGCACCCAGCTCCGTATAGATGGACTGGAGGTGAAGATGCAAAAGGAGGAGGAGAAGCAACAAGGAGCAGAAAGAAGCAAGTGGGAGATGCACCAACTCGCATCCATTCAACCTTGTGTCTCCCTGCCACGAGGTTAGAGAGGGCCGCGAGCGCCTTACCTGCAACATGCTAGCACCTGCATCGCTCGACTGGATGCACGTACGGGGGTAGGTACAGATGGAGTCCAGGATGCCACGCTTTATGGACCGGACTGACACCAGGACGACGGCCTATTCCGCTTAGAGACACCTCCACCCGGCCAGCAATTCCAGGAACAAATTCCCTAGCTGCATCTCATAGCTCCGTAGGTGCATCCTCCGTGCATCCTCGTCTCTTGTCGAAAAAGTAGTGCAGGAGTGGGCGGCCCACTGCATCTGCATGCAGTTTGCACGGTGCAAACTCCCGCATTCCCCAGTTGGCCAGCGAAACAAGCGGGAAGTCATGTACGAGAAAGGGATGGCTCGAATGGCTGCTGTCCAGACATGCAATCCTGATGCGACGCCTTGGTGGGCCAGCCACATAAGAAGTGTCAATTCTCCCGGAGCGAAGCCCTCTGGAGATCCGGCGATGATCTTCTGCAGACCAGACGCCACCTCCCGCCTTCTCTCGTGGCCACTGCCTGGGCCTATTACCTAGTCACTCTGGTCTCTCGCTCGAGCGAGCTTGACGGACTGGCGGCATTAGCTTGCAAGCTATCTTGCCGTGCCTCCCCTTTCCTAAACACTTAACTGTCGGTCTAGATGCTTTAGAACGACATCATCCGCTGCCCTACCCACCCTCTCCTTGCTCCCTTGCGTTTCATCTCGTACGTTATCTTGTCGACGGACTCGTGGGAATTTCATACAAGCCATATTCCAAGCTTCTTTTTTTTCTTTTCTTTTTTTGCTTTTTCTCACTTCAATTCGACCATTTTCCCTGCACGCATTTGGCGCAGCCACTCGTGGCGAGCCTCTCGTGGCACCTAGTCCCCTCCATTAATAAAACCGGACAAGCCGCAGCCCTTTCAATCTGGCAGCTCTTCCGTCCCTTTCAGATCTTGGTTCGGCTGTTCCCTCCCGGCCCGTCTATGGCTAGCGATCGTCCCTACAATGGGCTTCCTGAGCTTATTCAACAAAAAGCCTAGCACCGGGAGTCAACCTCAACTCCTTGTCAAATCGCAACCCTATGATAGCGTTACCGCCTCTTCGCCGCCTCAGAGAGGTGAGTTTTGGCACACCCGTGGTATGACACGGCGTTCACTAACCTTGACTAGGAACCTACCCGGTGGCTGGCAACGGGCCGGACGTATACGAGACCTTGTCTAAGTCGTCCAAATTCCGCCTTGCTCACCAGCCCGCCGAGGAAGACGCAGCACCGGCACCGGTAGTACGCCGTGTCAAAGACGAAGATGTTGGTCGGCCAAGGACAGCGCCGCACGCCGCGCATCCCAGTTCCGACTCGACAAAGCGGTCAACACGCAGAAGAGACTCGCTGAAGAGTACCTCCGTCTCATTGCGCAGGCAAAGGGTCGACATCCCGGTGCCTGTACTAAGTCACTCCCGCATACAGATCAAGCCCTCGGGTACTCATGCGTCAACACTGCGACCTGCCCCGGGTCTTCTCCGAGGACATCGCCGTGATCATTCCTTGCAAAGCGAAAGCAGCAGGACCTTCGTCGATCTGCTGGATGCTCAATCAGAGATACAGCCTGCAGATTTCCGGAGTCGAGTCCAGGCTACGGGAGCGAGAGACTACGGAGAGGATGTCGCAGACCGCAACATTGGCCAGAACGGGGTGAACCTGGACTCGCTGCCGGTTCGCGACTATTACGCATCCTCTGTGCGCAGTCAGCCACTGCATGACGACGAGAATCCTCCTCGAGCGCGTGTGCGTCGGGTCTATGATGGCCAGACTCCTTACTCGACAAATGCTAAGCAGGCAGAGCCTGGTTTAAGAACCAAGAGCTTGAATTCGTCAAATGCCTTTGTCTTTCCCAAGCGGACAACGTCTCGGGTCCCGCATCGGAAGAATGACGATGAAGCCGCGCTGACGGCCTTCCATAAAGAGCCAGCACGGGACGAAAAACAGGATCATCTCCCAAACGTAGAGACGCGCGTCTCAGAGCTTCCGACCCTTCAGCCGGGCAGAGAGGCGGTTCGAGACCTTTCTATCGGTGCATCTACCGGACAGAACACTGCCCTCCGAGCGCCTGGTCGAGATCGCAGCTACAGTAACCGGACGACAGCTTCAAACGCCGACAGCATTCCGCCTGTGCCCAAGTTGACGTCCTTGCATAAGCAACGTGGTGTTGACGGTGAAAGCGGCCAACGCTGTGCAAAAACTGTCACGAACGGCCAGCATGGGAAACACAAGCTTAAAGATGCGTCTCGGCAGCATGGTCTTGGTGTATCTGAGTCAGAGGACAAGCGGATAGCGTCGAAGACGGACCTTCGTAAGGTGAGAAGTGGGCATTCGTCAGTGAACAAAAGGCATAGTGTGCATTCCATTCAGGCCATGGCTTCTGTTTCTAAGGCCGGAGACGAGAATGACGCAGCCTTTGGCCGGCCGGTACCCAGTCAGGCGCAGGATCCTTGGGAACAGTCCAATCCCGACGAGGATGCTGCACCATATCCTTGTATGTGCTCTTCCACGATCCCCTGCTACCTCGAGAAGTGGGATTTGACTGACACAGTTCCCCAAACAGATGTCAAGACGCGTTCCCGCAGCAATAGTCGCGACGACTACCCGAAGTCGATGGGATTTTTGGCACCCCCACCTCATAGAGGCAAGACAGACGATATGGACGGGCAAGTCCCAATGCGCACGAGTTCACTTCGCCACTGGTCTTTGACCTCAAGCCCGACTGCATCGAGCATGGGATCTAATCCCTTTCCCCGTCCTCATTCACGCCACACCCCCAACACCTCGGTAGACCTCAGCAACACCTTGACGTCGATATTCTCCTCCAGCAGGAGCTCGTTGCATAGCAATTCAGCCGCCTGCTCCTACGGCGGTAAATTGCATAGCCCCTATGTGCCACAGTCCGGCACCTTCAACATCGACGACTATGTTTCGGAGGACGATGATGTCGACTCGCCACGCAGGACCCGTGGCGAGGCGGAGAAGGATCTGCTATTCAGCGAGGCTGGCTATGGATTCGGCCTGCCCGGCCTCTCGGACTCGTTCGCACCTCGCTCAACGCTTCAGAAACGGAACCCCCGTAGTCCCAGGGGTATGAACTCGATGCCTACCTTCCGTCAGGCCCACGGCACCAGCAGCGCTCTTCGATCGTCGTCGCAGTACTCGCAGCGCCAGAGGCGGCGCTTCCACTCCGAGCCGGCGTACGACTCGGACGAAGAGGACGACAGCAGCGACGCCGACTCGGACGACTCGGACGACGACATGTACGCCTCGATCCCGCTGGCCCCGGGCCAGGACCGCCGCGCGCTGAAGCGCCTCTCGGCCATCGAGAGCGTGTACGGTCCCAACGGCTACGGCGGCAGCGTGGGCGACGAGGTCATCGAGGAGGAGAAGCTGGAGAAGATCGACGTGGCGACGGCGGTGCGCGCGCGCAAGGAGGCCAAGGCCATGCAGCGCGCCATGGCCATGGCCAAGACGAGGAGCCTGGGGGCCCTGGGGACCCCCACGGATGCGGATGGAACCAACAAGAGGAAGAGCAGAAAGGCCGTGACTGCCGCGGCTGGTGAAAGCGATGGGAACCATGCTGATGTGGAATAAGATGGTGAAATATGGCCTAGGCATATCGGGCAGGTGAATGACAGTGAATTTTGGGTTATTTTCTTCTATCTTCTGGGAAGGGCGTTGGACAACACGGGCAGGGGGGCATGGGTGCATCTGATGGGAATGCATGATGGATCTTGATGAGCAACGCTTTATTCTCTTCTATGGAACGGGGTCTTTCTGGAATTAACAACTTGTAATCGTGAGTGAGGAAGGATGGCATTTATCGATGCTGGGGAGCAACGGCATATACCCATTTTAGATGAGAATTGAGGCATGAGAAGTTTCGAACATCAAGGGTCCGTCCCATCGATATTGTTTCACTGTCTGGGGAATTGACTGTGCTATTGCACAGAGAATATATCTGTGGGTAACCGGATCAAAGAGCACGAATTCAAATCAGGCATATGAATCGATTTTGTATCTCATCGCGAAAGACAAAGCAACAATTATCAACTCTCTTGTACATCGAAGATCAGGAAACTTGTCTTCGTTGGGCTCATGCATGTCCCTATCGGGACCAGCTGCCCATTCAGATAGCAGTCGCATGCTCCTCCATCGCATCTCCCTCAACGCCCTCATCCTGGCCGTCGCCGCCGCCGCCGTCAGCGCGATTGCCGCAGTCACAGCCCGTCAGCTCGCGGAACTCCTCTTCCTTCAGCTCCTCCAGCTTGGCCAGCGCCTGCTTCGCGGCCGCGACCTTGGCGTAGCGCCCGCTCGCCGCGACGGCGCACCCGACCACCTGGCCGTGCACCATGAAGCCCGCCGACACGCGCGTCTCGAAGACCGACACCGTCCCGGAGCGCAGGTCGTCCTCGGGCACGTCGACCTCCTCGACGACGACGCGCCACTCGCGGCACCGGAAGCGCGTCGACAGCAGGTTAGCCGCAAAGGTGACGGGGTGCTTGTTGGCGAAGGTGTCGTACATGTGCATGTCGCGGAAGAAGGGCAGGACGTGGCGCTCGAAGAAGCGCGTCACGGCGCCGTAGTCGTACTCGGAGTCGACGAAGAGGGCGCCGACGTAGGCCTCGACGATGTCGGGCAGGCACTTGGGCGGCTGCGACACCTGGACCCAGTAGTCGCGGGGGTAGTCCTCGCGGCTCTTGCCCTCCTTTTCGGCGCGGTCCTGGGCCTCCTCCTTGGCCTGCGTGGCCTCTGCGATCCACTCGCCGACCTGGCGCTGGATAGGGGCGCTCAGGGACACGAGGTGGCGGTGGAACCCGAGCTCGGCGCAGAGGATGCCGAGGAACTGGTTCGAGACCATGGCCATCTTGTGCTCCGTGAGCCACTGGGGGTCGCGATCGGGATTGGTCCGGAAGAGGTGTTCGATAGTGGCCATGTCGAGAAGGGCATCGCCGAGGAACTCGAGACGTTGGTAGCTGGGAAGATTTTCGTAGGATCGGGGGTACGACGGGTGCATGAAAGCCGATCGAAGCAGGCGCGGGCACTGGAACTCGTAGCCCATCTGCTCTTTGATCTTGAGTGCAAGGTTCGCCTGGGTTGCAGTCGCCGGGGCAGTCTGCCACTGCGGCTTGGTGTATGCGGCGTAGTATTCCTCGTACGACTTCATGGGGTGGTTCTTGTTGGCCACCATGATGGTGACAGCTCGCACCGCCAGGTCAAAGTTGCCTTGCTGACAAGATGTCAGGTAAGCTGCGCCGATGAAAGCTTCGCAGACATCAGCTATCGACTTGTCACCCAGCACGTGGCTGGTCCGGGGCTTCTTCGACTTGCCCCTTTTCAGGATGAGATCCGGGTACCAAGCTCGACGCTCGAATGCCTGCGAACGGATGTACTCCTCGATATGCATCTCGAGAGCATTGTTGAAGAGGTTCTTGTTGCACACGAGACACATGCGCTCGACGTGGTACTCGAACTCGTCCTTGTCGGGGATGAGCGTGTAGAGGGCAATAGTGGAAGCCATCTTGAGGAAGGCGTCGCCAAGAAACTCCAGCCGCTCGTAATTACTACCCATTCCCTCCTGGAAATTGATCTGCTCAGCATCGTGCTCGTCTGTATTGTCGCTGTCCTTTGTCAGGGCCTCAAGAGCCAGGCCTGCAGGGATGTCAAGTCCGATTGCCTTACAGGCATCCACGGCAACCATCTGTGCTTCGAGCCTGTGCAATATGGAGGGGAGATTGTAGGCCATTGCCACAGCGTCGAGTGGCAGAGCAGAGATGCGTAGCGGTTCGAGGATCAGATAGCAAGTCTTTTCTCGTACTTCATTGCCAAGGGCCTGGTCATCCAGCAGATTGCGAGAGTGTGGAAGAAGTTTGGCCTCCACAACCGGCTGCTCATCTCGGAAGGTGGCCCGGGCTCGAGACTTGGCCCAGAGGCTGACACTGTAGTTGAGGATGTCATGCTTTACCTGACCCAGGCGCCACTGCCTGTTCGCTGGTGCAGGCACGCTGTCTGGTACTGGATCGGAAGGACGGAGATCCTTCCGCAGCTTTTGAACGATGAACTTGCGCGACCCGTCATGCAAGTCGATGACATACTTTTGTTGGAAGAAGTCATCCGGCTCATTGCCTTCGTACGGAATTACAGGGTTCGCCGACACGTACTTCAGCAAGTCCCAATCAGCCAGGCTCATCACGTCGGATGTTGGTGAGAACGCAGTTGTGTGGCTGTGTGCTGAAGGGGCAATGAAGAACGGCAGGTCAGACGCTGTAGCCTCATATTCCTTACTGAAAACATCGTGAAAGATTCGGAGAGTGAACGTTGTCAGTAGACTCAACACGTCATGGTCCGTGGAAATCGGCGTTGCTATTGCCACGGGCGCAACCCGTGACGAACGGCCCTTGCCAAAGTGTAGCCGAAAGGGGGCAAAGTCGGGAAGCGCTTGTCTTGTGAACAGGATAAGGGGGCGTGAGGCATGCTCCATGGACTCGGGCTCAGTGAGAATCAGAACGGTAGCAAAGAGCTCTTTTGGCTCCCCCTTCTGAGACCATAATTCTGGCTTTGAGCGCATCTTGTACTCTCCTTTCTTTTTGGAACTGATTGCGAGTCTCGCGCTTCTCATAGCGGGTAGCTGTTTGGTGAAGACGGACTTCAGGTGCTCTGTAAGATATTTGGCCTGAAGCAACTGGTAGCACATCTCAAAGGCGGCCGAGCATTTTGCGACTTGCTTTGAGGAATGGGGCTTGCCGACAGCGCTTCGGATGGGTGAGGCTGCGGGAAGGAGAACCTCTCCGACGAACCCTTCCGGTGAATATGTGACCGTGTACTCTGGGATGAGGCTGATCTCCGGAGCATGAGGGAGAGTCGCGACAAATTCGGCCAGAATGATGAGGCTTTGTTTGTATCCCAACTTAGCACCAGTAGACTCGATCACCAACTGCCTCTGCTTCCTATCCTTTTTGAGGAAATAGTCCATGTTGAAGTTGTATCCTCTGAGTTTGCGCTCTTCGGGGACCGTCGAGCAGAAGTGCCTGAGGGCCTGCTCGTTTCTCTGGTTTTGATGGACCTTCGAGTAGTGCGAAGCGTTGCCGGCCTCGAGCATGTGGATGTAGGTGGAATTCTCCTGGCGCGCCCGGCCCCGGGATTGAATGTACTGGATCATGGTGTTGTAAAGATCATACCTGATGATGAGATTGCAGTCAGGGATATCCAGGCCCTCCTCGGCCACAGACGTCGCGAACAGACAGTTGAGTATCCCTTTCTTGAACTTGATCAACGTGACAACCTGGTCGCGATAAGAGTTCCTGCTGGCACCGTCATCGAATCCCACCCCAACCTAGACTAGTTCAGCTTGGTTATCCATGTTGATGGAGCGACGTGACTTACGAGTGCAGCAGCATGAAGTCCCGGAACCCTCAGGCGGGAAGAGTGGAAGAGGTCAGCTAATGCAGTGGCAGTGAATCTTCGCTCCACAAAGACGATACACTTGGTCTTAGATCCTCCAGGGCGACCAAACTGGTCCGAGAGCGCAGAGTAGAGCTGCTTGACTTTGCTAGACAGATGGGACTTGTTCAATGGTGGGAACGGGTGTCCCTCGATGATCGATCTGGCGTCGCGAACGGCCTCAACGTGAGCATCAACACTTGAGCCTCGCTGCAGGCCAGTTGTATAATCCCTCTCGGATTTGGCTTGAAACCGCAAAGTTTCCTCTTCAGTGAGCACAAGTTCCCAGAACCGATCTGCACACCATGGTCCGAGATCAGAATATGCCATCTTGGCAAATTCAAAGTGTCTCTCAAAAGCTGAGTGCTCGCCTATGAGGGAGTGAAGCTTCTGGGTGAGACCTGAGAAGTGTGGTGGGCATAGTCGGTCGTAATGGACAATTTTCTCGGTCTTGGGCTTGCAGACAGACTTTTGTATCAGAGACGGGTCTGCCACGGTGGCAATCTCGCTATGCAGCAGGCCCTCGAGCTCCAGAGTTGCCTTTCTGATGTCGCCTTGAGCATCTACAGGCGACGCAGTCATGCCAAAGATCTTGGGCCGGCCCTCGGGAGGGTGCCCAATGTAGAATTCCTTGACGATTCGAGAATATACATGATTCTTCTTTGCGTGATGGGCCTCGTCAAAAATAAGGAGGTTGATTTGGCCCATGCTGAGGTAGCCATGGGTCAAACAGCTCTGCAGGATATCTGCCGTGCACACGACGACCATGCTCTCGGCAAAGATCTTCTTCCAGTCTGTCAGCGCCAGGCCTGTCGTCAGGCCGCCACAGAACTTGGCGATTGGCTGGTCAAGGTTGCTCTCGAGAACGGCATGCTGTTGGAAGACGAGGGCCACTTTGTCGACCAAGAAGAACGATAAGCGCTTTGGGCGGTCTCGAGCTCGGGCCTCAAGCTCTTGCTCGATGATGTACCGCAACAGCAATACGGCGATCAAGGTCTTGCCGGAGCCTGTATCGAGCACAGCTATGACGTTCCTGTCTTTGGCCCTCTCAAAGAGCTCGATCTGGTAGTCGCGCGGACTCTCGATAATTCTGCGAGATTTGTCATCCCGGACCAGCCACTCGGCTGATCTGGCATCAGGGTCCTCTACCGCTGCCCTGTTGTTTGGTTGCAGATTCCTCTGGTTCTCCTCCAAGAACAGCATGAACTTCTGATAATCTGCTCGCTTCTTCTCCGAAATTTGGCGTGGTTTTGGAGGTGTATTTTGGACCAGCCTGTTGTCATCGCTGTCGCTGTCGCTCTCGTCGACATTGCTGAGGTGATCATCATCGTTGGGAATCGGGAGTGAGCCCGCTCTTGTAGGCAGGGATATGGTATCTTCAATCAAAGGGTGGGATTGGGTAGAATTGTGCAAATTCATATCCCCGACAGTCTTCGTGCTACCGTCCATGGGAGAGGCAGCTTGCCCGGGAATTGTTTGTAAGATCTGACTCGCCATGGTGCAGGAGTTGGCCAGGTGCTTGAACGTTGGCAGCTTTCAAAGTGAGGTCATCCTTGAAATGCAGAGAAGCTGATAGCCCTGGATCTTGACGCTTGTGCTTTCGACGTGATAATGTCCTGGTGAAGAAGCGAGAAGCCAAGAGTGAATGAAGCAGGTCCAGCGTGAGATCAGGATAAGGTCAGTGCCATTGACTTAATGGCATTAAGGGGAGAAAGGAAAAGAACAAAAGGGCATTGCGAATGCACGCTGCTGTGCACGTCAAGAAGTGGTGCAACGAAGACGCGTTGCGCCTTCTGTCAAGCAGTTTGCCCAGGTGCAAACAGGTAATCTCTGATGCTTATCAACAGGCCCTCTGGCGTGTGTAACTCACCTTCGAGCTTGGAAAGCGTTCTCGACTCGATATTATTGACGCAATCTCAGACTCGTCTGGAATTACTGAACCAAGTGAGAATGATTGAGATGCTCTTATATAACTAGAATGTCACAGTGCGGATGCTGTGATTAAACAAAGTGCTGACTGGCAGTACGAAGTAGCTCGAACCCACCAAAAGACCCCCGCCAAGTAGACGTATCGGGAAGGCGGTGAAGATGGGGAAGCACTAGGACGGTCGGTCCCTGGCATTTGTCAGGCACCCCGGCAGCACCCCGGTAGCTGGAACTCTAGTGGGGTCAAGCGCCAAGTTTCGGGGCCGCTTAGGGGACGGGCCATGGGAATCTGGAACGGGACTTCTAGAATTCAGCACCGTTCTTGTTCAACCCCTCACTAAAACGACCCTTGAACCATCTCAACCTTGGAGATTCTGACTTGAAGTCCGACAGATCACAATAATCCTCCTGTTGAACCCAAGTGACAGAGAAGCGTAACTACCATATTCCCTCTCCCCTACCCATCTTCTCTTCACCTCCCCCACCCCGCCATACCATCTATAAGATGGACGACTCCTCCCCGAGGACCCTTAGGTCTGTCTTCAGGGAGGCCGAGAACAGGCGGCGCGCCATCGAGACCTCCTTCGACGCCCGGTCCCCGACGGCCAGCGACGAGCTCAACGCCGCCATCGCCCTCTACAACGAGGCCCTGCAGCTCGTCGCGCAGCTCTCCGTCCTGAGCCCCAACGAGACCCTCGAGGACCTCGCCACCGGGGACCTGCCGTACCTGCTCGCCGACTACCGCATCGCCGAGCTGACGCAGCGCCTGCCCACGCCCAGCCCGCACGACCGGGGCCGCGCGCTCGCCCGCGCCCGCGACGCCTACGAGCGCTTCCTGCACCTGCTCGACGCCTACGCCCTCCTCTCCCCGGCCCAGGCCCGCCTCTTCGAGGCCTACACCGACGACCCCACGGGCTTCTCCACCGTGCCCGCCGACCCCTCCGCCCGCCGCGACTCCAAGATCGCCAACTTCCGCGCCGAGCGCGAGCTGCGCCAGCGCCTCGACTTCCTGCGGCGGCAGCCGGGCTACGCGGACGACGACGAGCATGATGGGGAAGAGGAGGAGGGAGGCAGGACAATACCGGGCGACGAGGAGGCCGTGCGCGAGGCCCGCCTGGCGGAGCTGGCGCTCTGCACGCACAACGCCTTCCAGGGGCTCGAGGGGCTCAACCGCGAGGCCGAGGTGCTGGCGCGGGCCCCCGTGCCGTTGATGCCGCACGACGCGGGCGTGGACGAGGACGAGCGCCGCCGCCGGGCCGACGACAAGCGCGCCGCCGACACCGAGCGCCTGGACCCGCCCCTGCGGCGCCTGCAGAGCGCCTTCGGCACGGGCGGCGGCCCCCTGCTGACCAAAGAGGGCAAGCCGCTGCAGCCCTTCACGATACTGGGCAGCAGGGCCGAGCTGGCCAAGGGGGTGTTCAGGCCGGGCCACAACCTGCCCACGATGAGCATAGACGAGTACCTTGCTGAGGAGAGGCGGCGCGGCGGCATCATAGAAGGGGGCGGTGAGGCGAGCGGGCTGCAGCCGGAGCCGGATGAGGACAACATCGACAAGGCCGACATGGAGACCATGAAGGCGAGGGAGTGGGATGAATTCAAGGAGGCCAACCCGAGGGGCGCTGGAAACACGTTGAATAGAGGATAGACTTGATCAGCAAACGATGACGATACAGCGCTGGGCCCTGGAATTCTAGACATATGTATCCGTGTACTCATAGCGAAGCACATACGACCAAAGCTAAAACGTAATAATACCCTATCTCATCCAAGTTCCAATATCGTCCGCTCCATTAAAGCAAAGAAACAGCAGTCTTTTCTTATCCTGCAAAGTGCGAGTGAGAGAACCCATGGTTCATTGCTCCATCCACATCATTCCGCGATGTTTTACCCCAACATTCGATTCGTATGCAATCACCCAAAAGTCAATTCGGTCTCGTGAGGTTGCAGCATTGCAGCATGTCACAACATCGTCCAAAGAGCGGAATCAGAACCTTCAACGCTGGCCTTGACAGGTGTGAGGGTTCCCGAATCGGACGACACGTCCATCTCGTCATCGTCATCCATGTCGAAACCTTCGTCCACTGGCGAGGCGACGCGCTGGCTACCTTGCCCACGTTGCTCCTCTCGTCCATTGCCTGCACCTCCACCCGTAGCTGAAGCAGCAACAGGTGCCTCGCTGCTACCTGGCGTGTCGGCCTGCTCCTGCATGACATACTCATAGAGCGCATCGGCGCGTGCCTGGTTGTCCGCGGGGACGGCGTGCATGGCGTCGTCGAAGTCGGTGTCGTTGGCCACGGAGAAGGAGTCGTCCGGGGCGATGGAGTCGTCGTCATCCACGGCCATAACGCGGAAGCGGTTGTAGACAGTCGAGATGCTGTCCTGGACGACGTTGCTGCTGTGGCCCTCGCCCGAGGTGACCGATCTCACGTTGAGGCGCTCGAAACTCATGTCGTCCGTGACAGAAGCGTCTGTGGCAACTGTGTAGCCCGTGTGGTAGCTTGGACCGGGCCCGTTGGGTCCCATCTCTGCAGCCGGAAGGGCGTCCGTGAAAACGCCGCCGGTGCCGTCATCGTAGCCACCGGCCCATAGCGGCAGGAATCGGAACTCGCTGTCTTCCAGACTCAGAAGCAGGTGATCTGACAACATGACGGGAATCTCGATATCGCATTTGTAATGAGGTGGGTCGTACATGCTGCTGCAAATCTGCTTCAGACATACAGTCGCTTCGTCGTAGAAGGTAAAGGTATTGAAACGCCAGGGTTGGGGTTGGATACTTTGCGATACATGGTAAGTGAAGGTTTTTGGGAAGACTGTATTCAAGTCAACACCCTCGGACTCCATGGCTTTGAGCAGGCTGTTATTGAACCTGGTTGCGTGCTGCTCCAAGGTCTTGCCCGTGCCGTTGATTTTGCTGGCGCCAAACATGGGATATGTTGGCCATGACTCCCGGATAATCTTCCAGAAGGGGCTTGTCAAAGCCTTCTGTTGAGGCGTGAGGTTGACATATAACTCTTTGAGATCCTGTTGAGTCGCGGCGGGTGTCAAGTGCTTCTGATTTTTAGCCATTGCGTTTATGTGGATGGCATCGGCAGGACTGGCTAACAGCCCGAGGAGTTTCTTGGTGAACCAGTCCGTCAGGGCCAGTGTGAGGCTGGAGAACGGGCCCTGAAGGCTGGCGATGACATCGGGGTGGTCTGTCTGGAGATATGTCCACACCGCACAGAGCTGTTTCCATTCCCCGATGTTGAGATGATCGAAGACGTCGAATGCTCTGAGCTTTTCAAGCAGGTTGTTGACTCTGTCAGCCATGTTCTGGCTGGCGTGTTCCACAGCTGTGCGCATGTCGTCGTCGATATCGCCGAGTGGGCGTCCAAAGACTGATTTGCGCGATGGCCGCGACTGGAGCCCACCTGCAGTGACCTCGAGCGCCTTCTCAGCAACGAGAATCCGAAAGGCCAGGCGAGCAATGATGGGGATTTTCAGGTTGGTCGCGATCCTCAAACTCTCCTCGGGCAGAACCTCGAGGAACACGCTGTTCTTGTCGTCGAAGAACCAACTCCAGACTTCATTTTGCAGCCAGGAACCACCCGCGGCAGGGTCGAATCCGAAGAGCTTAGCCAAACCAGCTATGGTGTAGACTCTGGGCGCGGAATCGAGAAGCAGACCTTTGCCCGCCATGGCTCGGAGCAAGCGAACGACGTTGGCAGCATGCCGCACCTCGCAATAGTCGTCGATCTTGCGGAAGCTGGATCCTATCTCGATATCCCAAATGCTGTGCCTCTTCTCTGGGTAGTCTCCGGAGTCTTCCCTTGGCTTCGGTTGTATCCTGTGTGCTGCCGCAAAGGAGCTCTCACAGGTACAGCAGTCGTCATGTCCACCCACAATGCTATTTGGAATTCCTGGGTAGCACTCGGGTATGAGGTACCACCGCATCACACCTTTGGATAGCGACAAAGCCTCGAGCTGCTCCGGAGCGAGGTCCTCATCTGTAGACGGGCCTAGATCCACCACATATCTCACTCCTTCGGGGATGATTTCGCCAGCGGAAACCAGGCGTCTCCTGAGCCTTGCTTGGTATTTTTCGTTGGACAGGAGTTCTCCAATCTTGCCAAAGCCTCGCTGGTGAAAGATGGACGAATCAAAACGGAGTCTCTGTTGGAGAGGGTACCTCTGTTCGTTGCACATGACATTGGGCTCATGTCCAGAGGGAACATTGATGATAATCAATGTGTCGCCCTTGCTGAATGAGATGGCAAACTCGTCTTGTGCATTTTGGACGAGCTTGAGGTCTGTCCAATGACTGTTGCCAAGGCTCTCCCGGTTCCTAGTCCTCTCTGCTTTAAGGATGAGATTCTCGACGGCAGCATCCAGAAGACTACTCCTCCTAGGCTCGGACTGATCATCCGTTGGCGTGCCTTCAGAGCTTGAATCAGCATTATCTGCCGTGCCAGGCTGAGGATGTCGAAAATCCGAGTCGGCCATTTCTGTGTCCGCTATGGATGACAATGATGGGAAAGGGGCGGTTTCCTCGGCTTGGGTGTCTGACTGTTGAGCATGGGATATACCCATTAACGATGATGGTGTTGCTGTCTCGCTGGAAGATGTAGGCTGGGAGGGGGACGACCACATATTGGGCAAGGCAGTATTGGGTATTGCGTTTGTTCAGATGATCGTTTCTTATTCATATGTGGCCGAGATGGCACTGCAGGGATATGGGGCAACTGGTCTAAGGCAGTTGAAGCTGTTGGCCAGCTTGGTTGGCAACAACCACCGCTTTGTTTGCGCCCAACTGTTGACTGTTGCGACGGATAAGGGCTTGCTAGGATGTCTTGGATGAGAGTGATTGATTTCTCCGATCAGTGTTGGTGAAGACTGGGAAACTGAGTTCAGGCAAGGTAGCAAGCTCCCATGTATGAGGCAATCTTATCGCATGGCGCACAGCGACAGCCTGCTCTGGTGTTGGATGCAACAAGGGAGAGCAAACAAGGAGTTTCACATGAAGGAATCAAAGGAGAAGATGCAGTTTGCAAGTGCTGTTGTTTGTAGGGACCTGGATATCTTGTGCGCAAATGCGGGGGGGGACATTGGAAAGGAGGAAATCGTGGCAGGTTGTTTGTTTGTCGTTTTGCGCAAGGCAGCAGCAACTCAGCTCAGCATACCTCAAGACAAACAGTCAAACTGTGGTTGTGGTTGGAGGAGGTGACCACGGGTGGGACAGCATGCGGGCAGACTCCGCCTCTCGAGTGACATTGGTTGCATTGGCTGCGCGGCACGTTCAGGCCGGACGCCTTCTGACTGGTAATACGCTCATTGGGCAAACAATGCCCGGGTGAACACTGCCCTGCAGCAGAGAAGCCTGTGCTTGCGGCTCAAAGTTGAAGAGGAAGCCTGATGCCTGCCTGCCTGCCTGCCTGCCCGCCTTCTTTTTGCCTTGGGCAGCGCCTGGAAGGGAAGAAGGCAATGCTTGCTTGAGCCTGGCCCTCTGTTTGTTGACCTGTTTGTTGTCCAGCGCGGTCAAGGGTGATGCCAAAGAATAAGAGACCTTGTCTGTAGCCAACAATGAAACTAAAACCGCACGCAGAAGCCACAAGTCAGAGATCCCCGATCGCGATTGCGGGTGAGTCAATGATGGATACCTGCAGGTATCATGGATGGGGTGATGGGTCCCTCCTGACAGGCAGCTTGCCAAAGTGGCAAATCCAAGGGAAGGCGGAGGCGCTTCCCACCCACTAAATCAGCTCCCGAGAGTGCCAAGGCCGTTGGGAGCGTGCTACTTCCCTTGCCTTTCCTTTGACTCCAATGAATCAAAGCCCAGTCGTTATTACATCATGGGCAATGCCCTTAACAAAACCATTGCACTGTGCATACCTACCTACCTTAGCAAGCTTAGTAGGGCCTGTGAGTCAACTTAGTTACTACTTGGATGAGTGGGCCACTTACGTACCTAAAGTAAGATCTTGTAGGGAGCCTTAAAACCATTTACAAGTGGCTGCATGCCGTCAGCATCAGGAAACCTTGAATAGCAACTCAACTCCACGACTCTCGACCCTTTGCTGAGTGAGAATATAAAATGTATGGTTTCTCGTAACTTGATTATCCCGCTAACAAAGGTTCATTGGTAACTTTCCAGCAGGGAGTAATTTTACATGGACCACCTCTCATAATGGATTTCGAGGGAGGGCCTCGACACACACACGATCAAACATTATCTCTGTGGAGGGCCTCCCAGCTGCTCAGAACAACAGCCGAGGCATGGATCCAAGTCCTAGAAGTCCCCTTTATCTTTACACTGCTGACATACATGTACCTAACCAAGCTAACCTTGCTATATCGATGTTGATGAAGCACAGGTCTACGAGAATGGAATGCCTGTCCACAAAGTGCAGTAAGAGATAAGAAGCACTCGGTCGAGATAGCGATAGGCAGCGGGGCAACGGATCAGGGAGGCCTAAGCCAAGGTTGTTCCAGGTGGTCTAGGCGCACCATTTTGGCTCAGCCAAGCATGATCCAGGGATCTGGAGCCAGACACTTGCAGCGACTGGCCCCAAGATCAGCCAATCACCAACACCCGAAACCACCCTTCTCCCGCGGCAATGAGCCCCCCGCATATTCCCATCCACCACTGCGCGGAAGGTTCAGGATGTTCAGGATGGTGTCGCGTGCCACTAGAGCTGCAAGTGCTCTAGCTTCAGCTCCCCTCCCCCAGAAGAGCTGCCCAGACACAGACATGCATCAGCCGATCCCGACCCTCCTTGCCCCCGTCAATCCCCAACATTTCTTAAACCGAGACCTGTCCCAGTGAGACTCGACTTTTGTTCATGATCTCTGTGACATTGGGCCTAACCAAACCGTACCTATCCTTGTCTTCGAGAAGTCTTGCCAGCCTCTGGAGGACAAACCGACCCTCGCTTCCACAGCCCAATTTACACCGCCCTCTAGCACCACTCCCGACGCCTATAAGCTAGAAACCGTTGGGCACCTTGGAGATCAGATACACTGAAACCATGGCTCCCACCAAGGCCTCCTTCGCTCCCGGGCCATTCGCGTACGTATTCACAGGCCCAATGTTTGTTTTGCTCGGGCCTTGATGCTAACGTGCGCTTATCGCCTCTACAGTCGCCACCGAGGTCTGGTTATCTTCACCGCATCTGCCCTCGCCGTCGGCCTGGGTATCAGGTATCAGGCCAACAAGCTGCGGCAGAACGACCTGCAGCAAAAGAACGCCGGCGGCCTCTACGTCAGCGTCGACCGAAGCGGAGGTGGCATTTGAGACCCTGCAGGCTTGAAGCACGGCAACCTCCTTCACTTCTTCTTTGATTGATACTCTCTGGCGTCGGTTATACTGGGGGACTCGGCAGTTCCAAAACAACCGGAATCAGAACCCGGCACAATTAAGATAACAGACTGGACTGGAAAGACAAATTGGTATGGTCATGGTGATGAACGTTAGACAACAAGGGGCAGGAGCACTATGAACTGGAATGACTCTGGCGTTGTGGCATTTATCACGGCTTGCGTTGTATGGTGCTTTTAGAATGGGATTTTTCTTCCCGGACGAGGACGAGGACGAGGACGAGAGTCAACAGATGGTACGGCGGATTGATGAACACCAAAGAGGCAACATACCTTTACGATGACTGCAACTTGGAGGCTTCTACCGCCTTGTTGTATGCATTGCACTCATCACACATGTCCTACAACCGAGTGAACCAAGATAGGCCAGATTAATATATTACCCATTGCCCATGTATACTGGGACCATCACCAGGATGACCTCCCTGACTGCCTGCCAAAAGAAGTAGCGAGATACCCCAACATCCCAGCAGAAACCAGTCACAAAAGTCAAAGATTCAGAACACCCGGGTTAAATGCAGCGTATTCCCCTTTTGCAGAAACACCGATTCCAATGCAATGCCCTAGTCCGAACCCCCATGATCCTCTTACAACGAGCTGCCCTTCTTGGCAAAGCTCGAGTCCGCCTCCCCCTCGCTGTCGGGCTCGTTACCGTCCGATACCTCGACGTCTTTGCCCTTGTGGGCCCTGCCGGCCTCCGCGCCGCCGCCCATGCCGACCCTCTCCTCCCGCAGGCTCCTCCTGCTCTGCGGCCTCTTTTGATGTTGTTGCGGGGTCCTCGCCGCCGCGGTCTTCGACCTCCTGAGGCCCGCCTGGCCTCCCCGGCCATGCCGGCCCGCGACTTCCAACGTCGCCGCCGCCGCCGCCGCCTCGTCCCCCGAGTTGTGCGCCGTGCTGTTCCGGCCGCTGGGCCGCTGCATGGCCCTCATCTCGCGCACCACGTCCGCGAAGCTCTCCTCGAGCGTCTTCATCCTCGCCAGCATGATCCTGCTCATGCGGTCGCTGTCCCCGCCGCCGGCCGCCCCGCCGCCGGCCCGGCCCGCGCCGCGCACGCCCATCGGGTTCACCATGCCGGTGGCCATGGCCATCTGGGTCACGAAGCTGGCGGGCACGGCGCCGAAGGCGTCTTCCGCGCCCGCCGGGCCGACGGCGGACGCCAGGTCCGAGTGCGCGTCGTTGGCGCCCATGTCGAAGGACGACAGGCGCCGCTGCGCTCGGCGGGCCGGCGTGTCGAGGACCACGCCCGTGGGCCGGGAAGGCGCCGTCTGGTTCTGGTCGCGGGGCGGCAGGATCGGCCGCGGTCGCGAGGCGAGGTAGGTCTGCCGACGAGGCGAGCGTCGGCCGGGAGTGAGGCCGGGCGTGCCGACTGGTGTGTGTCGGCTGCTGAGCGGGCGAGAACGGGACTGCGACGACGGCTTGGGCGACGATGAGGAGTCACTCGCCGTTGCCTGTACTTCTTGCGAAGGGTTGTATAGGATGGTATTGGTGGAGAGTGTACGGTGATGTAGAGTTCCGCGTCTGGGTGGCCGCGGTGAGTTGAGGCCCGAATGGTGCTTGCTAGTCGATCCGACCGACGTGGATGCGAGGTTCGCAAAACGACCTGCTGCTGGGGCATGGAAGTAATCCTCGGGCAAAGTCCTCGACAGCTGGCTTTGATGCTCCATAGCATTGGTAGCATTGTCGTCCTCGTCCTCGTCATTTGTGACCAGCTCATCATCTCCGTCAGCGTCTGTCTGGTGATTAGCCTCGGCATGATCCCTACGCGCGATGCCGTCCCTGACGACACTGGTGGCAAACGGGCACGCCGGATTAGACAGCAGGTCTGCGGGATCGCTGGCTGTGGATCTAACTTCGGAGAGTTGGCGAAACCTCCGCGTGGCTTGGTCTCGGAACGAGTTGAGTCTTCCGCTTCCGGGCCACTGTTGGCCCATCCGACTGTCAATCGTGGAGTAGTTCTGCGGGGACTCGACATCGTGTCTATCCATCCAGTCTCTGATCGCAGTCTGGGTCTTGCGCCGCTCGTTTCGTCTCTGGGTACGCAGCGTCGTGATGTCGGGGGCTCTCCGGAAGACTTCTTCCAGAGCCCTGTCCTTCTGGAAGCCGGCGACTGACTCCTCACGAAGCCGAATACTGGGGCTGAAAATGGCAGCCCTGCCTACAGGGTCGGCAATCGAGATAGTTCTCTGCCGTCCACGTCCTGGGTGATCCACAAGATCGGTCGGCTCATAGATGGACCGGGCTAGGAAGAATCTCTCATACAAGTAGATTCCCCACAGCAAGGGGAAGTGTGTGATTTTGATGATGAAGCGGTTCATAGCCACAAACTGCCGGAGAGGTATGCAATACCGGAGAGGCATCAGCATCCAGGCAAAAATGTTGCCCGGGGCTACATATGAGAAAAGAGCATCATTCTTGACCATGGAGATGGTGTTGATAGCGAACAAGAATTGGTGCTCCTCGTTTGCATTGTTGGCAATCGCTGAGAACGAGTTGGAAAGGACCGACATTAGGATCGTGACCACGACGAAATGACACATGGTCAAGAATAAGCCCATCAGCGTTTGTCCCAGCCAGTTGGATGCGGCCCACCTAGAAGTTCCGTATTAGCCAGGTACTGCCCTCCTTTGAGATACTCTTGTTGTAAGTAGACTTACACTTCCCACGCCGCCGGCGAGAAACCCATGAGGATCTGAAAGATCTTGAAGGCGACATCGCCAGCATCATTTGCGGCACCAGAGAGCGTGAAAAAGACAAAGAACCCGCTGCAGCAAATAAGGATGAGCATAAAGACGGCGACCAAGTCTACTGCCATGATTCGAAAGGCAATGAGAAGCTGTGAGAAGTATTGGTAGTGGTCCAGAACACTGAAGATCCGGGGAAGGAGCAAAATTGCATTTGCCGCCAGAATGTCATAAGCCATTTCGTTCCATCGATGCGCGTCGGCCAGAAATACGCCATAGATGCGCATGCAGTAATACATGATTAGCATCATCAGGATACCCAAATCGAAAAGGTTCCAGAAGCTCATGATGTAGAGCGAAAAGCCTTGCTCGGTGAAGCCTACCAGCTCATCCAACATGAACCCAGCACTCCAGAACCAAAACATGAGCTCAAGACTTGTGATGCTCTCGGATCTCTGGATGAGCACTGCTAGGAAGAGGCCGATAAGGACTGCAAGCGAGCAAGTAGAAAAGAACTGGCGATATCTAGGGACACGAAGCCTAGAGAGCTTGAAAAGCGAGGCGTTCCGAGGATCATACAGGGTGACAGTTCGTCTTCCCGGTGGGATAGAGTCATATCGGCTCAGTTCTTCTTTGCCTTGCTGGGCGCCGAGCAAAGGTGTCCTTGGGTCGAGGCTATTGCGGCGAGACCAGGCACTTCTATTGTTGGAGGAAGGTGGCTTGTGCCTGTGTAGGGAGTCTGCAGCAGAATAGAAGCTAATGGCACCGTTCCATATAGCCTCCAGCTGCTGTACAACAAGAGGATGAGCCAAGAAGTGTTTGCATGAGGCACGGATGGCGACTTCGAGTGTAGAAGTTCTAGCAGCCGCAAGCTTTGGCCTGCCCGTCCCATCTCTGGGACCGAGAGGAGTCTGGTGACCGGGAATTCCTTGAAGCGGATAGAAGTCATACGAAAGGGCGTCGATGAGCTCACGCGTCGAATACTCCTTGAGAAGCTTGATGGCTAGGAGCTCGCAAACCTTGGCCCTCGTGCTACTCACACCAGAGTTCCCTGGGTATAATTGGCCTTCTTTCTCGAACTGCAAGCAGTTGGCCATCAATGCATATATGGTCGCCCTGGAGAAGTGTTGGGTGCGAATCTGCTGCTGCATGGGCTTGACCAGGAACTGGGAAACCTGAGGCGAGCGTAGCTGATCCCATGTCAACGTCGTCTCGGTGCGCGTCTGTACGATAATCCGAATAGAATGCACAATGCTGTACACGGGAAGGGAATCTAACAGAAGAATGGCCTGTCAGCAAACCAACCCCACACATTATTGCCTTGTGCCTGGAGAGCATTCTCACCTAGATGCGACGCGGAGAAGAGAGGGAGCACACTTGACGAGCGAGGCAGCCCACCATCGTCGTCCTCTGCACGCCCCTGGTTGCCAAACGGGCCTAAACCATCGTTGTTGGAGTCTTCGTCGTCGTCGTCGTCGGCCTCGGTGAAATCAGCCGTAGCATGGCGAAGTCGGCCATAATCATGGCGGGAAGGGCCTGGCGAGGGCTCGTTGGAGCCGTCGATCTGGGCCTCTCGGCCGCCCTTGAAGGGACGCAGCAACCGCGAAAGCATCCTCCCGTCGGCTTGTTGCAAGCCTTGACCCTCACTCAATCCCACCACATAGTCTCACCGAGCCATGAGCGACGCGGCAAGATCTGAGGCGGGAAGGAAGGAGAGGAGAGAAGGGCTGCGCAGCGTCTCCTATGATCCTGGGCAAACAGGGGTTCCCCAGTATGCATTGAATTGCAAGTAATTGCTAGTGGGTACTGCGCTAAGCTGGCGTGGTGTTGTTAGTGAGTGCTAGCTCTGGGCAAGCTCGACGACATTAAAGGTTCGCGACTCAACGCGCGAGAAGCGCGGTAGAAAGAGGAGAACAACACAGATGAGATGAAGGACTTGTTGAGGGGGCGGGTTCTCCGGTAAACTTTGACAGGTTTTGAAAGTGAGTTATGTCTCAAATTTGGTGTTAGGGTGTACTGAGATTTAAAAGCCCTGGAGCACACTTATCACATTTGGTGGTCCTTTTCAAGAGGTGACAGTCAGACCTGCACTTGTAAGGACCAGCAAGAGGTACTAGCCTGCCATGCGTTTTCAAATAGCACTCACTTCTACGCTGAGGATCTTTTTGGCGTACAAGTTTACTTTAGTCTACCTACTTATTTACCCAAACTGTTGAAGCATTTGAAGAGTTGAATTTCACTCTTACCAGGGGGCAGCTCAAGTATAATCTCAAGATCAAAGATAGGTAACCAAAGATAGGGAGGTAGTAGAGAGCTGGCGGGGGGCATAGGCGAGCACCTGTTAGTTACCTGGATCTCGTTCTACGATGTACAAAGTTGGTGCTGGAGCTGATGTCTACCCACCTGGGCATACATGAAGAGCGGCATATAAGACTAGCTGCAACCTCTTGGACATGATGTTGACCCTTGATCATACCGCATGACTTGTTTCCAGCAGGCTGTCACCGATAAGAAATATGCGAAGACAGACTAGGACATGCAGAGTTGCTGCACCTAGCTCGATCGATCCCACCCTCCACGATCCCACTGCCAATCAGCAGTCGGGCCTTAGGTTCGTGATTGGTTTTGGCGGTGAGCCGGCATCCCTCTTGGCGGTGTCTCGGTTGGAGCACATCTAGTGAGTGGATGGTGTTGTTTATAGAAATCTCCCCCGCAAAACAACCTAAGGAATGCATGCTAGCCATCTTCGAGTTTCTTACTCATCTCGTGATCTCGCGAGCATGCAGACAGGCTGACTTCAATCAACAACCCGTGGTTTCGCCAATCGCAGTGTGCCATATGCTCACTCAGCATGAGCCAGCATCTCATATATCGTTTTCTCGAGGACTGGCCAATGACCGAGAGAAGTAGTTGCTTGGGAGACAGAAAGAGGCAAGGACAACCTCATTTTTTATGAGACATCTTATTCCCAGAACACTATGAACGAAAAAATCCGAACGAAATGCTCCTGCCTGGAGTAAGCAAGTTGCTCAAGCGAGGATTTAAGAAGGCCATGGTGAATCATAGACTTCTGCCGGTTTCGAGTAAGATGGTTGCTGATTATTATAAAAAGAGGGATGGCTTAATGATAATACTCTTTACACGAGGTGCCTCAAGTCAATGCCAAATCCCTGAGCAGCAGAGCAGGAACAGAAGCAAAGAGGAAGATATGGAGGAATGTCAAACTCGCTCAGCGTGTAATAACATCCCTGCTGCTTCCAGCGTACGAGACAAGCATCGTAGTCCATTGGAGAGTTCAGTCCATGCTGACACCATCGCTGCTACGGCATTGCAGGCTACACAGGCATGTACCTATAACTTCCAAGTTTGCTTGGTCCTCTGCGTGATCAATTGTCCAATCATTCGTCTTCATTTCCTGAAAACAGCAAGAGTCCCTTTCCTAAGACTTTATCATTATTTTAAAGGCCCTCTCTGAGAGTTTCGACTGGTCTTAAGGTGTCGATGGGTTCTTGTTTCTTTTCACTGGCCCGGCCAGCTCAGCAGAATCGAGTCTATGAAGGAATTGAGACACATGTCAATCCGGAACCAGTGGAACGGTGATGACCTTCATGTTGGGGAATTGCCAGTGTTCGATAAACCAGAATGGAAAAGTCGAGATTTCCCGCTCTACTAGATCCAGTAATTTACACCAGCAACCCACAAGGTGCGTCTCTTAAAGGGTATGGCCCGCTGCACAGAACGGGATTGATGAGAGGTTTTGCTTCTCGGTAGCTCGGTAGGTAGCTCTGCTCGCTCAACGGTTGGTGAGATCATCGCGAGGACGACCCGCCCTGCCCCTCTCGATCGCGCATCTGTGGTGTGCTATTGGCTGGCATGAATCGCCAGACCCTTGATCTTTTTTTCAGGCACATCCCTGTGCAGCAAAGACGTAATGGATGGAGCCGATCCCACCTGGAACGCGCCAACCAAGGTGCGTTAGCAGTGGCTAGGTACCTCGTCGCCGCCCATAGCTCAGCTTTTAGCAGCAGCCCGAAAAAAAGTTTTTGGTAGCGGGGTTCCTCCAATTCTTTCATATGATTCACTCACCCAGAAATTCCTTCACCTCTTTCACCTCTTTTCTTCCTTCTTGAAGAAACCTTGGCGAGAAGGTCTCTCAGGCATGCGCGGTGACTGAATTGAGATCTCACCACCTCTCCTACCACTTTGCTGTGCGAATTGACAAAAGAGAGACCCGCCAGACACTTCTCCCAAACCCTCGTTTCCTCTCCTCTCTGCCTCCGGGCTGGAATCCGGTCAAGACACTGCAAAGATGTCGGCCACTCTTTTTCCTCCCGCTTCGGCACGCATCTCCAATGCTCAAGACGAGAGCCTCATCTCTCTTGAGCTTGAGGACGGGCTCGTCTACCAGGGCTACAGCTTTGGTGCCCCGAAGAGCATCGCCGGTGAACTGGTTTTCCAGACCGGCATGGTGGGCTATCCCGAGTCCGTGACTGACCCGTCCTACCGCGGCCAGATCCTCGTCATTACCTTCCCTTTGGTCGGTAACTATGGCGTTCCCTCCCGAGAGACCCTCGATGAGCTCCTTGGTGACCTTCCGGCTCACTTCGAGTCCTCTCAAATCCACATTGCTGGTCTTGTTGCCGCCTCTTACTCGGGCGAGGACTACTCCCACTTTTTGGCCCAGTCCTCTCTCGGGACCTGGCTCAAGGAGCAGGGCGTCCCTGCCATGTACGGAGTCGACACTCGTGCTTTGACCAAGCACATTCGAGAGAAGGGAAGCATGCTGGGCCGCATGCTCCTTCAGAAGAAGGGCCTGACCAACGGTCTCACCAATGGCCAGGTCAATGGCAGCACCGGCCTGCACAGCTCGGCCAATTGGAGGAGTCATTTTGAGACCCTGGACTGGGTCGATCCCAACGAGAAGAACCTCGTGGCAGAGGGTAAGTTGCCGAAAGACCGTGACTGGTTACCAGCCTTGTTCGTACTGACCACCCTGCAGTGTCGGTCAAGGCCCCCAAGCTGTACAAGCCCCCCACCAGCTCGACTCTCAAGCACCCTTCTGGGCGCCCCGTGCGAATTCTCTGCGTCGACGTCGGTATGAAATACAACCAGCTGCGATGCTTCCTCAAGAGGGGTGTCGAGGTCCTCGTGTGCCCCTGGGATTACGACTTCGCTGCGGGTGCTGGAACTGAGTACGATGGTCTCTTCCTGTCCAACGGTCCTGGCGACCCGGCTGTCCTGGAGCAGACTGTGAAGCGGGTCTCGGCCGCCATCGCCAAGAATGTCGTCCCCATCTTCGGTATCTGCTTGGGCCACCAGCTCCTCGCCAGAGCAGCTGGAGCCGGCACTATCAAGATGAAGTTCGGTAACCGCGGCCACAACATCCCATGCACGAGCATGGTCACGGGCAAATGTCACATCACCTCCCAGAACCATGGTTTCGCTGTCAATGCCGAAACCTTGACCAATGGCTGGAAGGAGCTCTTCGTCAATGCCAACGATGGCAGCAACGAGGGTATCATGCACGTCGACAGGCCTTATTTCAGTGTCCAGTTCCATCCGGAGAGCACTCCCGGCCCTCGGGACACCGAATATCTTTTCGATGTCTTCATCAACACAGTCATGAAGTGTGCTGCCGATAGCAAGCTCTTGTCTCAGCCCGTTAGCTTCCCCGGCGGCACTGTCGAGGAGAACAACAAGCTTCACCCGCGTGTCCACGTCAAGAAGGTTCTCGTCCTCGGCAGTGGTGGTCTCAGCATTGGCCAGGCTGGAGAGTTTGATTACTCTGGAAGTCAGGCCATCAAGGCTCTGAAGGAGGAGGGCATCTACACCGTGCTCATCAACCCCAACATTGCCACCATTCAAACGTCCAAGGGTCTGGCCGATAAGGTTTACTTCCTTCCTGTCAACGCCGACTTCGTCCGCAAGGTGATCAAGTACGAGCGCCCCGATGCCATTTACTGTACTTTTGGTGGTCAGACCGCCCTCCAGGTCGGAATTCAGCTCAAGGATGAGTTCGCAGGCCTCGGAGTCCAGGTCCTCGGTACTCCCATCGACACCATCATCACCACCGAGGACCGTGAGCTCTTTGCACGAAGCATGGAGTCCATTGGCGAGAAGTGTGCCAAGTCTGCATCGGCCAACAACGTTGAGGAGGCAATGCGCGTTGTGAAGGACATTGGCTTCCCCGTCATTGTCCGTGCCGCCTATGCCCTGGGTGGTCTTGGAAGCGGCTTCGCCAACAATGAGGCAGAGCTCCTCGATCTCTGCAACAAGGCGTTCGCAGCCAGTCCTCAGGTGCTCATCGAGCGCAGTATGAAGGGCTGGAAAGAGATCGAGTACGAGGTTGTCCGAGACGCTCAGGACAACTGCATCACTGTTTGTAACATGGAGAACTTCGATCCTCTGGGCATCCACACTGGCGATTCCATCGTCGTTGCCCCCTCGCAGACCCTTTCCGACGAGGACTACAACATGCTTCGCACCACCGCTGTCAATGTTATCCGTCACCTGGGTGTAGTCGGCGAGTGCAATATTCAGTACGCACTGAACCCTTTCTCACGAGAATACTGCATTATCGAGGTCAATGCGAGATTGTCTAGATCTTCTGCTCTCGCTTCCAAGGCCACCGGCTACCCATTGGCCTTCATTGCGGCCAAGCTCGGCCTTGGTATCCCGCTCAAGGACATTTCAAACTCTGTCACCAAGGTCACATGCGCCTGCTTCGAGCCATCGCTGGATTACGTTGTTGTTAAGATGCCCCGTTGGGATCTGAAGAAGTTCACTCGCGTCTCCACACAGCTTGGTTCGTCAATGAAGAGTATTGGTGAGGTCATGAGCATTGGTCGCACCTTCGAGGAGGCAATTCAAAAGGCCATTCGCTCCATTGACTTCCATAACCTGGGTTTCAACGAGACCAAGGCTCTGATGTCCATCGACGACGAGTTGCAGACGCCTTCAGACCAGCGTCTTTTTGCGATTGCCAATGCCATGCACGCCGGCTACTCGGTCGACAAGATCTGGGAGATGACCAAGATTGACAAGTGGTTCTTGCACAAGCTCAAGGGCCTCAGCAACTTCGCCCAGGATATGAGTCAATACTCTGCCAATGACATTGCCTCTCGCCCTGACCTCATTCTCGAGGCCAAAAGACTCGGCTTCTGCGATCGTCAGCTGGCTAAGTTCTGGAGCTCCAACGAGCTGAATGTTCGCCGCATGCGGCTCGAGGCTGGAATCACCCCCTTCGTCAAGCAGATCGATACGGTAGCTGCCGAGTTCCCTGCATACACGAACTACCTCTACCTCACTTACAATGCTACCGAGAGTGACGTCAGCTTCGATGACCATGGTGTCATGGTTCTTGGTTCTGGCGTGTACCGCATCGGTTCATCCGTCGAATTCGACTGGTGCTCCGTGAGAGCTATCCGTACCCTCCGCGAGTCCGGTTTCAAGACAATCATGGTAAATTACAATCCCGAGACCGTCAGCACAGATTACGATGAGGCCGATAAGCTGTATTTCGAGAATATCAACCTCGAGACGGTTCTCGACATTTACCAGATGGAGGCGGCAGGCGGTGTTCTGGGTGCCATGGGCGGCCAGACGCCCAACAACATTGCCCTTCCCTTGCTGCGATCCGGGGTCAAGGTCCTCGGAACGTCTCCCGAGATGATCGACAATGCCGAGAACAGGTACAAGTTCTCGCGAATGCTTGACAGGATCGGCGTTGACCAGCCGACCTGGAAGGAGCTCACCAGCTTCGAGGAGGCCAAGGAGTTCTGCAACAACGTCTCCTTCCCTGTGCTGGTCCGGCCGTCCTATGTTCTTTCTGGTGCCGCGATGAACACCGTCTACTCTGAGGCGGACCTCGAATCGTATCTGCAGCAGGCTGCGGAGGTCTCTCGTGAGCACCCTGTCGTCATCACCAAGTACATTGAGAACGCCAAGGAGATCGAGATGGACGCTGTTGCCAAGGACGGCCAGGTTATCGGGCACTTTATCTCTGAGCACGTTGAGAATGCTGGTGTTCACTCTGGTGACGCTACTCTCATCCTTCCTCCCCAGGATCTCGAGCAGACCACCATTGCCCGTATCGAAGAGGCTACCCGCAAGATTGGCGCCGCCCTCAACGTGACTGGACCTTTCAATATTCAGTTCATTGCCAAGGACAATGATATCAAGGTCATCGAGTGCAACGTTCGTGCCTCGCGATCTTTCCCCTTTGTCTCCAAGGTCATGGGCGTCGACCTCATCGAACTGGCAACCAAGGCCATCATGAACCTGCCTGTCGAGGAGTACCCTGCGCACGAGCGCATCGCCAACTCGGTCGCCTGCAAGGTCCCTCAGTTCAGTTTCTCGAGACTGTCTGGAGCCGACCCCGTCCTTGGTGTGGAGATGGCCTCCACTGGAGAGGTCGCGTGCTTCGGTGTTGACAAGTACGAGGCTTACCTGAAGGCTCTCATCTCTACCGGATTCAAGATCCCCAAGAACAATGTGCTGTTGTCTATCGGATCCTACAAGGACAAGAAGGAGATGCTTCCTTCGGTTGCCAGGCTGCAGAAGCTTGGTTACAAGCTCTTCGCCACTGCGGGAACTGCCGACTTCCTGCAAGCGCACAACATCCCTGTTCAGTACCTGGAAGCTCTTGGTGACGAGAAGGATGCTCAAAAGTCCGAGTTCTCCCTGACTCAGCATCTTTCGAACAACATGATCGACCTGTATATCAACCTGCCCTCCAACAACAAGTACAGACGCCCCGCCAACTACATGAGCAAGGGCTACCAGACTAGACGTATGGCTGTCGATTACCAGATTCCCCTGGTGACCAATGTCAAGAACGCCAAGATTCTTGTCGAGGCTATCGCCAGACATTTCGAGATGGGTATCAGCATTCAGGATTACCACACGAGCCACCAACGAGCTATCCTCCCTGGCCTGATTAACATTGCGGCTTTCGTGCCTGGCTTGGTTTCGGAGGGCAACCACGATCTCCAGTCTGTGACCAAGGCCTCGATTGCTTCTGGCTTCAGCATGGTCCGGGTGATGCCTTTGGGCGTGGACGGCTCAATCACAGACGCCCGCACCCTCAAGGTTGCCCAGGTCAACAGCAGGGATGGTGTCCACTGCGACTTCAACCTCTCGATCGCTGCCACCTCTACCAACGCGAACCAGATCAGCCATGTTGCTGGAGAGGTCGGATCGCTTTTCATCCCATTCCACCACCTCTCTGACAACATCAGCAAGGTCGCAGCAGTCACGGCTCACTTTGATGCTTGGCCGGATCACAAGCCGATCGTCACTGATGCCAAGACTACTGATCTCGCGTCGATCCTCTTGTTGGCCAGCCTCCACAGCCGGCGAATCCATGTCACTTGCGTCACCACCAAGGAAGACATCCGCCTTATTGCGTTGAGCAAGGAGAAGGGCCTGAGCGTGACATGCGATGTCTCGATCTACTCGCTGTACCTGTCTCAGAGGGACTACCCTGGCTGCCAACTTCTGCCGACCTTTGAGGACCAGACCGCTCTCTGGGAGCACCTGGATACGATCGATGTCTTCTCCGTCGGAAGCCTTCCTTACCAGCTGGCTCACTCCCTCAAGAAGACTGCTGGCGCAGCATCTGGCATTGCCGACGCACTGCCGCTCCTGCTGACCTCGGTTTCGGAGGGCAAGCTCACTCTTGATGACATCAAGACTCGTCTTCACACCAACCCCATGGAAATCTTCGAGCTCCACGAGCAGGTCGGCACGACGGTTGAAGTTGAGCTGAACCGGCCCTACGTGGTGTCAGCCTCTGATATCTGGTCGCCGTTCGAAGGCCGCACTATGAGGGGTGCTGTGCAACGGGTTACCTTCATGGACAAGGTTGTTTGCCTTGATGGCGGTGTGTTGCCTGTCGCTCCTGAGGGCAAGGACATGTCTACCTATGGAGCTCTTCCCCCCCTGTCACCGCCCCTGAAGGCGGTGCAGCAGACACCCATCCCCGAGAGAGAGTCGCCGTTTGATCGCCGCCCTTCGATGCTGTCGAGTGCTCGCCCGCCGACAAGATCTAGGAACATTGACTCGGCCTTCGGCATCCTCCCTCCGGCAGCCAAGGTCGGCACGCCGGAGCTTGGTCCGTCGTTCCTTCCCCGTGACTCGCTGGTGCCGTCCAACTTGCAGGATCTTCTTGCCCAGCCGTCTGGCTTCAAACACCGATCGCTTCTCTCTGTGATGGATCTTGACCGGTCTGATCTCCACCTCCTCTTGACTGTTGCTCAGGAGATGCGTCTTTTGGTGCAGCGCGAGGGTGTGCTTGACCTCCTCCGAGGCCGTGTCCTCTGCACGCTCTTCTACGAGCCATCTACTCGCACTTCGTCGTCCTTCGATGCAGCTATGCAGCGCCTGGGCGGTAGGACCATCCCTGTGGCTACCTCGACGTCGTCTGTGCAGAAGGGCGAGAGTCTGCAGGACACGCTGCGGACTCTTGGTCAGTACGGAGATGCTATTGTGTTGCGTCACCCTGACGAGAGCTGCGTCGATGTCGCGAAGAAATACTCGCCGGTGCCAGTCATCAACGCCGGTAACGGCAGCAAGGAGCACCCCACTCAGGCATTCTTGGACCTCTTCACCATCCGGGAGGAGCTCGGAACCGTGCAGGGTCTGACGATCACGTTTGTTGGTGATCTCCTGTACGGACGCCCGGTGCACTCCCTTGTGCACCTGCTCCGTCACTACCACGTGCAAGTGCAGCTTGTGGCGCCCAAGGCCCTCGCTCTGCCCGCCAAGCTTAGGGAGGAGCTGCGAAGCCGCGGACAGCTTCTTTGCGAGTCCGAGTCGCTCACTCCCGAGATCATTGCTGGCAGTGATGTTCTCTACATGACGCGGGTGCAGAAGGAGAGATTCCCGAGCGAGGAGGAATACAACAAGGTCAAGGGCTCGTACAGGATTGACAATGCGACGCTCCGGCACGCAAAGACCAACATGGTGGTGCTGCACCCGCTGCCGAGGAATGAGGAGATTGCAGAGGAGGTTGACTTTGACCAGCGTGCTGCCTACTTCCGACAGGTGAGTCCAACCCCCCCTTTTTCCCCTACGCAGTGCCGCGAAACATATTGCTGACTTTTTGCATAGATGAGGTATGGCTTGTACTGCCGGATGGCTCTGCTGGCTTTGGTCATGTCTCATTAGATTTCATTTATACGCGAACCCCAGATTGGTCAGGTTCTGTTCGCTTTAGCACCGAGGAAAGCAAAAGGTCATAGAAAAGTTGTATGATTTCGTTAGCATATGGCTTTTTGCTCCTTTGGCTTGGCCGTGAGAGAGAGAGAGAGAGAGAGAGACTCGTAAAAGGCATTTTAGACGTAACAGCTCAGGCTCTGTGTAGCTGATGAGGTGAAATCGCTTTGCATTGGGATGTACCCGTATATACGTAGCTGTATATACGTGTATTTGGCGTTTTTGGTCTATACATTTGGTTTGGGTTTTTTGTTTAGTTTAGATACCCCCTGTACGTTTATTAGACGTGTGTTCTCTGTGTGTTATTTGTTCTGTGTGTGTGTGTATGTATGTGTCTGTTGTGTGTTGTATGTGGTCTCGCGTGGTGTGCGTGTTCCTGATTGAAGCGAGAGACCAGGGTTTGGTGAGTCTAGACGCAGTCCACCAGGGCGCTAACAGGCCCGAAAACGTCATGACAGGCTGGGGTCTGTTCTTCAGGCTAGCGGGGGCGATGGACCTTTGTAAGGCCTCAATTGAATGCAATTGTCAGGTTACTTGTGAGTCAGTCAGCCCACAGCAGAGAAAACGGGAGATTCGTCCACGAGGCCACAGTTTCAGCTTCTACACAGTCTTTCTAAGGCACCAATTGGGACCTGATTATCATTTTGGGGCCCATCGGTAGTTTTTGCCCAAATATCCCACAGCCTGCTCCTGCTGCTCCCCCAGAGAAAGTGTTGAGCAGTTTGATGCAACGACTCAATCTCTCACGATCGATACATTCAGCAGCGCCACTATTCAGAAGGATGGCGCTTCATCCTCCGCAGAAAGACCAAGATAAGCTCATCTGTAAGTTTGCATCTTCACTTTGTTGCTCATGAGGCCGCTCCCCCCGAATGCTTCTGGTTGCCCTTCCTACTCTGGGACAGTGGGCGAGGTGACAATATCAGGTCTCAAGTGTTACATTGTCTTACACAAGGGGCGAAGCTCTGGCGTTTTGTCCTACCTTGTCAAGGGGCCAGATTACAAGAATTTGCACATAAACCGTCCCCATCTTTCCAACGTACTAACTAACCTCCATCGCAGTCGCGCCCACCGGCGCGGGAACGAGCGGCGCGGCCGAGCAGTTCACCAAGCACGAGCTGCTCGGCCTCCGGCGCGCCGACCTCGACCCGTCGAGCCCCATCACGCAGTTCCACGCGTGGTTCAGCGCCGCCCACGCCTTCAACCGCGGCGAGGGAGACGACGCCGCCGCGGCGCCGGCGACGGCGCTGCCCAGGGTCGCGCACCCGGAGACGTGCACGCTGTCGACGGCCTCGCTGCCCTCGGGCCGCGTGTCCTCGCGCGTCGTCTACCTCAAGGAGCTCGACCCGCGGGGGTTCGTCATCTACTCCAACTTTGGCACGTCGCGCAAGGCGGCCGACCTGGCGACCAACCCGCGCGCGGCGCTGACCTTTTGGTGGGAGGCGCAGGAGCGGCAGGTGCGCGTCGAGGGCGCGGCCGAGAGGCTGAGCCGGGAGGAGAGCCAGCGGTACTTCTCGACGCGGGTGCGGGGCAGCCGCCTCGGCGCCTGGGCGAGCCGGCAGAGCGCCGTGCTGGAGCCCGACGCCGACGCCGGTGCGTCGTGCGCGGGCGGCGAGGCCGACGACGACGACGACGACGGCCGGGCGCAGCTCGAGCGGTGGGTGCGCGAGGCCGAGGACAGGTTCGACGGGGTCGAGGACGTGCCGGTGCCCGAGTTCTGGGGCGGGCTGCGCGTCGTGCCGGACAGGGTCGAGTTCTGGCAGGGCCGGCAGAACCGGCTGCACGACCGGTTCGTGTACGAGCGGGAGGACAGTGAGGGGGCGGCCCAGCTCACGGAGGGCCGGGGGCTCGAGGGCTCCGAGTGGACTCTTAACCGGCTGAGTCCTTGAGACCGGACTGGACTGGAAACGAACACGGAAAAAACAAAAACAGAATCGACACACCTGGGATGTTGTGTGCTTTGGTAACGGGATGATTAGACGAGACTGGCATATCATGGCGTCTTACATGGTGGGTTGTTTGGGGGAGGGGGGGTTAGACAAGAGGAGGTATCGATAGCATAGATAGATACAGTCCAATTGCTTATCTCTTTTCTTTTTCTTTGTTTTACAAGTACGAAAACATTTCTGTCAGTTCCCCCCCTCCTTGGTAGTGTCTGCACATTTGCGTGTGATAACACCCCATCATCCTCAGTCCCGGGGCGATATCGGGGGTGGGTGGGAAGGAAACAAGCAATCAAGAGCAGATGCAGCTCGGTCGGGCCGGCTAAATTACCCCAGTCCAGAGAAGATGTGTGTGAGAGAGAGAGAGAGTGAAGGAACATCAACCAGGGAAAAAGAAAGTGACCAATGGCACGAAGCAGGGATATATTGCGGCTCTTTGAAGACCAGGTCTGGCTTCGCTGCTGCCCTGTAGCCTTCACACCTCTCCGCAACGGAGGAGATATCTGCCAGATTATGTCGACAGCGCGATGACGCGGCCACAGCGAGGTAGGGTAGGATACACATACACTCCCGGCGCTGGGCCTGTGGGACCTGCAACTCAGAGGGACTCACTACATGTACACTTGAAAGGGGTAAAAAGGCTTGATTAATACTGTGGTACTATCTCCATAGAGCAAACATCCATCCAAACCAGGGTATATTGATGATTACGATAGAGATGATGACGATGACGATGTCCATGTCGATGTCGATGTCGACGATGCCGCTATTCCATGGGGCCTCTCGCATACCCCGTCGCTACTGATGCATTTTTGCCCAACGCCTTTTGTGAGAAACAAAATCAACCGTGGAAAAACTCCCCCGAGACCGCAAGGAGGCTAGAAACCACGTTCCATGAGTGAGATTATATGTTGCAGAAGGTCGTCCCTCTCCGAATGCATGCCTTGGTCTGTCGTAAAATGAAGTAATGCTGATTAAAAAAAAATCCAGAGGCATGTGTATCAAGGGTATGTATGGAGCAGACGAGAACCATGTAACCCAACGCTGGACTGCCGTCCCAATGTGACGCTCAGACAATGATGAATAAATCGAAATATTTCCCAGCACGCAGAAAACGCCCGGTGGCCTTTGATAGAGCCACAATGCAATCAAAAGTCGTGTTATCCCCCCAGAGATCGTCAGGGGTGTGCCCCACACTGGCCGGTAGGAAGGCGAAGAGACTCCGGGGTGATGGAGGGCGGTCCAGAAAAGGCAGCCTGTGTGGCCTCTGCGAGTGCGGTGGCTGTCAGACCACACCCTTCCGAGGCTCCTGGGGTGTCGGCAGGTGTGAGCTGCAGGCCCAGGCCCAGGCACGCCTCGCCGGTGCTCAGGGCCCTGGCGTGGGCGGATTCCGGGCCGAAACCACCCGTGGCCGCCTTCTGCTGCGCGGTGGCGTATTTGCCGGCGCGGTTCATATCCGCCATGGCGACCTCGATGATCTCGCGGTCCATCAGCGGCACGATGCGGTAGTCGAGGCTCTCCACGATGCGGTTCTCGGTAAAGTTGATCTGCTCGCAGGTCCACAGGTCGTGGCCCCAGCACAAGGCGTAGTGCCGCGTCGACTCCTCGAGGTCCTGGCTAAACTTGACCGAGATGATCAGCGCGCACAGGACGATCACCTCGGGCCGCACAAAGTCGATGTGGGACTGCCTGAGCGTGACGGGACTCGCCGGCAGGGTATATCGCCTCGAGTTGGAGCTGCTGTCGGATGATGCCAGGGGGCACGACAGGCGCCAGGTGCGGGCGAACTTGCTGTCAAGAGAGTCCAGAATGCAGACAGCCAGTGCAATGGTCTCCAAGGGCAGCTTGGCCCTGGCGAGCATTGCTTGGACCAGTGGGACAGAGGGCGTGGCCAGGGATGCGGCTGGCGGGAGGAGGTTGACGAGATGGACAGCAGGTCCTGTGGTGTACGATGTTAGCAACCAATGGCAAGAGAGACTGCGAGTCTCAGATCACATACCGAACAGTCCAGAATCCAATGCCGTCGTGGGGTCGGGCGACACCTGAGGGCTCTGGAAGGGGGAGCTCTTGCTCGACAAGGGCGGAGTAGGGAGGTTGGACAGCGGCCGGTATGTCCTCTCGAAGTACTCCTCGTCAAAGTCGGACTCGTCAGCCGAGTCCGAGTCGTCGTATTTCACGTCCCTCCTCATGTTGGCAGTTGCTGGGGCTATTCCACCTCGGGGAGTGCTCGCTCTCGTCTTCTCTCTCTCTCTCGCTCTCTCTCTCTCAACTTTGCATTTACGGGCAAGCTACAGCCGAGCTCATATCCAGCGAGGTGAACAAGCACAGCCAATGGCAGTCGTATCGCGTGGTCCAGAAGCAGAGGTATCGGAGTTGTTGAGGAGACTAGGTCCTGAGGCCTACCAGGCTTATATGTCTGGGGAATCCAGGTGAGAGGAGAGGCGGGATACCGGAAACGGAAGAAAGTGTGTGTGTGTTTTTCTTCTTCCCTCTGTCGAAAAGCTGGGGGCGGAAGCCGGGTATGTATGCATATGCAGTTGATGAGGGTATGCAGGCGGTTTGATTGACTTTTAATAAGGCTGAAGGGAAGAAAGGTCAAGGTGAAGGGACAGGAAGGAAGAGGGATGTGCAGGGGGGGAGGTGGGGAGCTTTTGACTGGGGGAGCAAGAGACTTTGGAGCTGGTGGTGGTGGTGGTGGTGAGAGGAGCTGGACCTGGACCTGGACCAGGACCAGGATGTGTGGATGGGATGAGGTGTGTGGATGTTTGCTGGTGGAGGCGGTGGTGGAGCTCAGCCGAGGCGGATCTTGCGCACCAAAACCCTCTCTCGCACCACCATTCATCCACTCGCTCGCTCGTCTCTTTGTTCGATTGCGAAAAAGAAGGCGCGCCAGAGAGACAAAGACAAAGGCCACAGTCAATAGTCGGGAACTCTCAAAATAGTGTTTGGAGAAGTGAAGCCACAGCCAGGAGAATCGTGCCATTGACCAGAGTCACGCGGGGCCTCGAGCAGTGGGCAACCAGGCTGTCGATGATATCAAGTACATAGTTACATACTCGGACAGCAAGAGACATCGAGCCTAAACTTGACCCTTATCTACCTACCTAGCCTTTCAGGAAGAAAGTAAAGGCAAGAGACAAACTCAGATACATAGGTAGTTATGCAGCATGCTACAGAGTGAGTGCCTTCCCAACAAGATTCTTGGAGAAAATACCAACCCATGGCTTGTGATGCTCCACAAGTTCTTTCGACCTACATACTTTCTTCCAGTACATCAGGAACAAGCCAGAGAGAGGCGGTCAGGAGCTTCTCGTCAGTCCAAAACTCTGTTACATCTAATCCCAGTTGACGCTGTACTCGCCAAACTCTGCCTGCAGCAAGGCCGTGGGACTTCATTCCCATGAGATCGAGACGGTCAGCAGGCATCACACGGCGCCCAGTCCTGCTTCCTCCCTCCGTACCTCCTTTGTTGCCCTGTTGCCCAGTCCGCGGTCGACTCAATGTCGAGCACAATTCTGGTCAACGAGCCATAACCCAGACAAGGAGAGAGAGAGGGCAAAGCGCCTTAGCACCTCGGAGCTACCCACGTAGTCGCATCGTTAGTGCGGTGACGACTTGGCCTCATACCAGGGGCCGGCCGGCCAGATTGAGCACACGATGAAAGGGGCATCTCTCCACAGTGATGCATGCTTGTCAGATGGAAATTCCCGAAGTCCATCTTCTTGGTCTCGTGTGGCTCTTGCAGCTCTGTGTTCCCCCTTTGGCGTGCAGGCACATCCACACGGGTCCAGGTGACGGCTCAGAGGTGGCACGGATCTTTGGATCTCGAGGATCTTCAGGGATACGAGGCCCTGGCCCTCGACGATCAACATGTCCCATACGAGAGCAAGCTCTTTTTTCTTGTCTGTCTCGGGCAGGACTGCAGGACTGGCAGAGGGCAAGCCGGCGGCAGGGAGGGGCCAAGGGATGGAGCGGCCCCTTTCACCATGTGGACCTCGTCTCTCTTCCACGCACACCCAAAGCGGGTTCCTGTGCGTTGCGCCACCAGCACTAGTGGTCAACATGAGCAAGCAACAGCCGTCCCATCTTTGACTTTTTTTTTTTCTAGCTGCTAGGTTTTTTATCCTCGGGGGCCTAAAAAAAGAAGCGGGATGCCAGGCAACGAGGCTTGGGCCGGCCACTAAACAAAGGGGAGCCGAGTGATGGAATGGGCGATGACGAAGGCCTCCGTTATGTCACCGCGACACGCACCACCGCCCTCGTACTCGCTCCAAGGCGTGCGTGCCCGGCTCTTCCGCATGGCACCACAGACACAAACTTGAACCTTGGCCGCTATGCAACACATCCCGGCTTCCTGGACCAGGGACTGGTTGGTTAGTGCGCACAAAGACCCCTAATGGCTTGGGATCTTCGCAGGGGCCCCCGAGCAGGTACGCCCCTGTTTCTCACCGCCCATCCAAATCTCACTAAAAGGCGGAGATCAACTCATCAGATCACCCATGACATGTGCAACAACTGGACAGTTAGGCCTAGAACCCATCCGTGTTGTCTGTTTGGTGCTTTGCTCCAGAGAGAGAGAGGCCTTGCATAAGGTGGTGCCATCCTGTCTTGTGTTTTCAAGCCAGCCAACTTTTGACAGCTGTCTTGTTGTCTCGGTGCCCAATGGTTATGAGCTGGCTCCCGATTTCAGTGCCGGACGCTCCTGAGCCTCAACATCCCTTCTGAAGACAGCCCCAAACCCCCCAAATTCTGGGGGAAAGACTATCTAGTAGCAAGCACAAGTGTTTCACAGTCTACACCAGCTTCTCGGCCTTGACCCAGGGAGCTCCGCGTTCGCCATTCCACCTCTGTCAGAGTCCCTAGTATTCTGCATTCACAGCTCTTGAATTTGTACCTAGCCTGTATGCAATTGGCACATGCCTAATGGTCGATGCGGGCTGGTGGCTGGTGGCGCCGGTAAGAACGCCTCACCTGCAAAGACGCATCGTCGATCATTTTGATGATCCGCGGGACACCGATCTGGGCCAGTTGGTTTCTGCAAATCTTTGCCTGACATTAGTCTTACTGAATTCATTGTATAAACAGTCGGTTCATTGTCTACTTCGTAGTTTCTCTCGTACAAGCAAGCCTCAGAATGGAAGTCACTCTGGATAACTAGGCATTGTCCAAATTGCAGGGAGTAGGTATGGAGTTGGTCAACAATGCGCGTCCACAATGAACATTTCAGACCCCTCCCCTTGTCAAGAACCCCCGGCCGTCCTCCGTCTTGGCAGCCGAGATTCTTCAAGCGACTCCTTGTCACAAGCTCCACGGAGCTGAGCCGTTAGCGGCATCCCGGCAAGGCGCATTTCCCACGCCACAAAACCGCCAAAGCAGCCGCCGCCGCATTCCAACCTCCCCGTTGCAATCTCTCCTCCACTCGAACGGGGGGGAAGCTGTTTGATTCCTTTAAATAGCTGGTGCATCATTTTTCGTTAAATTTCTAGGTACCTTGGACGTATGCTCAGCCGCGCATCGCGCCGCTTTTCGAATCCCTCTCGGATGTCGGCTATTCGGCGCTCGCCCGCCATCCCCGAGGCCGGCTGGCTCTTACATAACTGGACAGCAAACCTTTGAACCCATGGACTTTCGATCCGAGTGCTGGATAGGTACCTGCCCGTGCTGACCTCGATGTTTGGGGTGATTGCTGACGCCCCGTAAAAGCCCTCCAGCCAGCGAAGCCGTCTGGGTAAGCATGGGCTAAATATACATCAAGCTCCAAGCCATAAGCTGGAAGTGCAACCATGGATCGAAGTCCTTGTCAATCAGCTCATCAGAAGCTTCAAAGTGTACAGCCAGGCCATTCTATGATTGCGGTTCGGAACGCCTGCCTGAGCTATCGCGATGCTTCCCTTTTTACCTCTGAGTATGCCGTGAAACTAAAAAGGTAGTTATATCTTCTATAGTGTCATGACAACTAAAAAGAAGGATAGGGACCAAAAGAAGAAAGTCAAAACGGCAAAGGTTTCCTGTAGTCCAACTGAGAAACAGAATGCAAGAAGCTGCTGAAGATCGGCTTCGACCTGGATTCAGTCCTAGCAGCCTTCGGCCTCCCGAGACTCCAAGGCCAACTCCAGGGCGCTACTGCACCGCCGCCGGCGTCACTTGCGGCCTGCAGTTGCGGCCCCGGATGGTCGAGATCACGAGCCAAAAGGTCATCATCTATCAGCTACAGCGTCTGCTGCTACGAGGATGAGGAGAAGGAAGACTTTCCCGTCGTCGCCGATGTGCCCGAGAAGAGGGCCAGAGACGACCAGCAATCTATCCATATCATTGAGATCTCTGTTCCGTCCTAGCTGAGCGGCAAGGAGGGGGGGGGGCCGAGGAGCACAACAAGACGACGTCTAAGTGGAATAAGCTCAAGAAATGCCCGAATCAGAATAGTTTCATTATCTTGTCCCGAACCCAAGGCGCATTAGACCACGGCATCTCTCCATTGCCCGCCGCTCTCTCCGCACAAGAAAGAGCCCCCAGGGGGCAAGCCCCGGGACGACTCTCTGTATCGTCGTCGGGGCATTGACACGGCACTGGAAGTGAACTGATGCCTTCTATGCGATACGATACGATACTTTTTGAATGTGTGAATCCGCATTTCTCTCCCTCTCGTATGATGGCCCGGCGGCTCGAGACATTTTCCCGGCGCAATGTATGCGCATCGTCTCGCGGAATATTGATTGACTTGAACAGAGGATCCGAAACCCGAGGACTACTTTCCATAGAGATCATCTCCTTCCTCCAGGCAAATTTAAAATATCGTGTGTGATTGCCAGCAGGAAGAGGTCGGCCTTTGAATCAATCAATCAATGCAAGGCTCTGCTCTGCCCTTTGGTTGCCATCCGTGCCGATGAAACCGGGAGTTGTTTCGGAACGTCCATCACACTCCTCCGGAGACGCCTGATAGCGCTCAAGGCATTGAGACCACAGGAAAGCAAGCAGTAGACGGGGTTTGGTGTGTTTTGTGTGTGTTTTTTTTTGTTCTTGTTGTTTTCGTTTTGCCCAATAACCAATGTCATTCTCTTCATTCCCGAGGATAGTCCACGGTTTCTCTCTGTGCTCTTTTCGGTCTCCCGGCCAGGACACAATTGCTAAGTAACAAATGATGATCTAGTGAAATTCGCGCCGTCAAGAAGGAAAGGAAGAAATAAAAAGCAAGAGAAACAAGTCGCGGGAAAAGAATTAAACGAGATCCTGAAAGTCCTGAGAACATCTGTGGCCCGGTTCGGTTTCGTATGACTGTCCAGCCAGCTCCCTTCTCACCGTCCTCTCGACTCCCTCCCCACAACTGCGCGCTTCTTGTCCGTCTAGTCTCATCCCATTGTGTCTACCCGTTCTGAACACCACTAAGAAACAAGTAAAAATTGAAAAATGACAAAAAGCAAAAGCCTGTTCGATAGGAAAGAGACGAGGAAACACTTTATGCTCTTTGCAAAATGATCCGCTGTGAGACAGAAAAGAAACGGCAACATTTGCGGAAACTTGTTCGACTCCAACCGAAGCTGTCTTCGAGCCCCGGTCGGCGTCGCTCATGCTGCCTCCCCAATTCTGTCGAGGTTTGACTGAAGCTAGCCCTTTCGGCGAAGATTCATCGGGGCGGGTCTACTCCTTCTTGCCAACGACGGTGACTGTTCGAGTGGGTTTTGATCAGCTTTGGCTCTCTGATTTTTTTTTTTTGCGGATGAGTTGTAGGCGCGAAAATGGGAGGATTGTCGAGTGTTTTTGACCAGATAATTGGCTTAATTAGGCAGCGAAGCCGAACCGTCCTGTGCACTCTCCTGTTGAGCGGTGACGACAGAGCCGGGGGCTGGCTGCGGCGACACCCCTGTCCGAGATTGTGAATACTTGGAGCTTTCACGCTTCGCTGGACAGAGGAGACACCGCAGCTTGGGTTTTGAGATAGCAAGAGAGCGATAGTTAATGAAAGCTCGACTTACCGGTCTGCTGCGCAATGGAGGTGATTTGGGGCACAATGGAGTTGTCGATCAGTGTGTTGAAGTCAAAGCCACCGATGTTGTTGATGAGACCCAGGTTCAGCTGGTTGAAGGCCAGGGTGGACAGGTCAAAGCCGTTGAACAGGCCGAGCTGAGCCAGCTGCAGGACCATCTCGAGCTGCTGGAGCTGGAGCAGAGCGTTGAGGTCGAAGACGTTGCTCTGGAACAGGCCCTGGAAGCCCAGGACGTTGAAGTTGTTGACGTTGCCAAGCTGGGCAAGGAGCTGGAGGTTCAGAGAGTTGATGTTGAGGAGATAGTTCAGGTTGACGTTGTTGAAGCGGTTGAGGTTGTTCAGCAGACCCAGGTCAAAGCTGGCGCGGGTCTCGATCTCCTTGGTGGTGGGAACGGTGGGAGCGGCAGTGGCAACAGCGGCAAGGGCGCCGACGAGGATGCTGACAGGCTTCATTTTGTTGGTTGTGGGGGGTTTTTGGTAAATTATTAAATAATTTAAAATATAGAACGAGCACAGCTGTTCCGGTTGTTAGCCTCGTGCATCCTTGCGAGACCCGATGTTGGATCCCGAGGGTTCCTGTGGCTCACCTCTAATGTTCAACGAAAGTTGGGAAAGGAGTGAAGCGAACAAGAGCACAGCTATGCGAGTGTATCGAGTTAGCGACCTTGCTTCTATTGGGCGTCGTGATGCTCAGCTCTGGGTGGCTTGCCTCTGAAGAGAATGACTGAAGGAATGAGATTGGGCTTTGGAGACCTAAGATGTGTGTGTGGGATGAGAAACGAAAAGGTGCTTCTCCGACAGAAAGGAAGACATGTCTTATATAGCAGATCGACGGCTGAGAAAAGAACCTTACTGGAGGCAAACAAGGCATGATCACGAACCGAATGCCAAGAATCTCGGGGTAGTTCAGGTACTCGGATGTGTAGAAGGGGAGAGATCCGGAGCGTATCAGAAGTCAGGCGCTTGCCAACGGAAACGGATGTGCTAAAACAGCCAGAGCAGGGGTCAGAGAGAGTACCGGCTGGACGGCCTCGCACGCCACACACTCGTCCATTTGAGCCGCAGTGCTGTCAAGATCTGGGCACGACGGGACGGAGAAAGGGAGGGGCTGAGGGACTGGGCGAGGAGGCCAATAGCAATAATGCCCGGTGCCAGGGGTTCAGACGCGAGAGGCAAAAGCCTCGAGACTTCTCCATGTGCTTGGGTGGCCCTGCAAACGTCATGTCCGGAAGTGCCTCTGGCCGGTGATGGAAGGGTATTGCAGGGTGGGCAAGGCGTCGGGACAGGGGTATGGGGTGCCGGGACGTAAATTAACCTTACTGGCAGCCTAGATGCGGATCGTTCGAGGACTTCGTCCAGACTCCTGCCAAGCTGTCGAGGGGCGGAGATACATGGGGGTTCCAGACGACCAAGACAGCAGCCGAGGTACCATCACTCGATGATACGCTATCAAGCGTGATGAGGACGAGGCACGCGGATGGCCTCTAGTGTTCTAGGCGGCGCATCGCTTCTCCTGATCAGCGTCATGGGTGACGAAAGTCGGCCAGCTGCGTTTCAATAGAAACAAGCAGAGCACGAGAGCACGAGTCATCATTTTGCCGATGAGCGAGCGGTCTGGATGACGGTAGAAACTGGGCAGCGAGTGAGCAGGACGAACTCGTCATCTGGACAGAGAGATGAAGTGCTGCAATAGCCATGCTTCTCTTGCCATGTAAGATCCCAATAACAGTGCCTTGAGGAAGGTCCGCGGCTCCTCGCAGCAGCACAGATAGATGCTCTGTGATCTGGTAGCAACCCACGAGGCAGCCCTGGAGTAGTGGGGGGAGCCGTGGACAAGACGGATGGTCCGGGGCCTTGAGAGAGCACTCAACTTCGTAAGTTTCCGGACGGTGGAGAGGTCGGCCTGTTCTCTGCCAATAGGCGAGTTGTGATGATGATGGTGGTGCTGGCTGGCCTGCTCCGTTTAGGTTTGGCAGATCGATAAGCTCATGGGTCCCGTCTCCAGTCCCCCCCTGGACCCTTTGAGGCTCCGTGCATTTAGCGAGGCCCCCCCAATTAGCTGTCATCCGGATGCCGTAGCCAATGAGCCCACCGCAAGCACCCCTTCGCTAACATGAACTTACAGGGGTTTCGGACGAGACCGTTTCAGGTGCCTTGCAGGGAGCACTCCACCACCGAGCGCCCTAAATGCTCCCTGGCCAGTTTCCCCAGTTCTCGAGCCCTCGTCCCCTCTTCACCAACGCCAACCCAGCCTGTCGAGTTTCACCTCGTCCTGCCAAGCTGGCACGTTGGACAGCTTTCGTCCGCACAAGGCTTTTGCCTTCCGGCTCTTCGGTCTGACCGCATAATGCAACGCCACCCTGCCCTACGGGATCCCCATCAACACTTGTCGCAGGTCGTTGGTGATGAAGCACAGCCGTTCTCAGGCCTTTAACCGTGCCGTCCTTTCCGCTTTCCAATCGCCACCAGAGTGGTCCTCACCATCACATCTACGATAACATCGGCTGACCGATTGCTTGACTCAGCACACACCTGACTCTCTAGAATCAGAACCCCATCCTGAAGCTGTCTGGTTGCCGTTTCTAGCCTTGTGTGCACATCGTTTCCTGTTCAGTTTCGTCTGATCTCTCTCACCCATCGCGATGCTGTGCAAACATGTAGGACTCGACAGGCTTTGATGTTGGGACGACCGATAGACCGGCACCCATCATGGCAACGCTGAAACACATCAGTGAGCTACGAGTTAATCCTCCTTCACACACTGCAAGCTGAGATGCGTGTGTGAGGCTTAGAAGATAGGCCCCTTGCATGCGAGTGAGGCAAGTCTTGAGGAAGCCAGTGAGAAAACATGATGTTCAAGGTATTGTCTATTTACATTGCGTACTCGGTCTTGCCGCTGCCAACTCAAGCCCATCACTAATCTATCGAGCTTGTCAAAAGCAATACTATCTCAACCCCTAATGAACAGCACAGGCCAGGTCCAAATTGGCCCCAAAACGAAACTCATGTCCTCCCCCTCTCCGTAGATCTGATATTGGAGAGCACAAGATAAGTCTTAGCGAGTAAAATCCGAGAGATCCTCCTTTTCATTATTCGCAGGCGCAGCGGAAGGTGCCGCCTGAACAGGAGCAGCTTGTTGTGGAGGAGCAACAGCAGCTGGCGGAGCAGCCGCAGGAGGTGGAGGAGCAACACCGGCACCTGGGGCGTTGGGGTCAACTCCAACGGCAGAGCAGAGCTGCCGCCTTGTGAGAGTGCCCCGGCGAAGCTTCGACCGGGTCAGAGTCTGCGAAATCATTAGCTCCCGGCCTTTACGATGCGATGGCCGAAATCTAAAATGAGGACTTACCTTCTTGCGTTCATCGGCTGCTCTCTTGAAGACACCTGTCGAGCCAGGTCAGTATTCACACATACAGGTTAAGCTCGCACAGCCAGCACGCACCAAAGTTGAATCCGCCAAACAGGTTGCCAGCATTGAAGATATTCTGGATGTCAAAGACATTCAGGAACCCGAGCTGTTGCAACTGCATGAGCTGAGCCAGCTCCAAGAAGAGCTGGACATCTTGGCCACGGCCCAGGTTGAGGAGGTTGTTCGAGTTGAAGAGGTTGCCGAGGCACAGCGAATTCATCATGAGGCCGATGGCGTTGATAATATCGTTCTGGTTGCTCAGGTCGACGCTACCGAGGTCAAGACCGTTGACGTTCATGTTGCCCAGGTTCAGGTTGGCCGGATCAATATTCTCATTGTTGATGTCAACCCCCGGGGCGACCTCTGACCCGTTGACGACTGCATTCGAGTTGTTGTTGTTGTTGACATTAACGGCACTGCCCTCGGCAACTTGAGCAGCCTGGCTGGCGGCCGACACCAGGCCGGCACCGATGATGAGAGTAATGAAGGTCTTCATCTTGTACAGAAATAAGGAACGAATAGAGCACAGCTATCTCTCCCATATTAGTGAACCATCCCAAGTGTCGTTCTTGTCTATCCCGCATCGACTTACCTCTTTTGACGATGAAAGAAAGAAACTAGAGAATGGGCAGGAAGCAACTATGATCCAAGAGAGATCATGATAAGCGGCAAGAAGTGTTCAAGGACGCGGAGCACTGATATACCTTCATGCTCTTCGATAGAGCCCTCCTCTATAACTCCATGTCCACGCGTCCATGGCAAGATAGTATTCTTCATGTCAATTTGCAGATGAAACAAACCATGCCAAAACTTGATGTAAGTCGATCGTGACATCGTGCGTTGAGACTAGCAATACGATAGTGATCTCGGTGGAATAATACCACACTCGCTAACTACTCCAATGTCATCTAACCTCGAGAGACGGCTCATGAGAGTCAAGTGAGTCGAGCCAAGCTCCTGATCCTCTCGGAAGCCGACGAGCAGGTCTGGGGATCAGCGCGCACACTTAGACGGCAACAGGCCGGCCCACGTGGTTTCTGTTAAGAATCACAGCACTGCCGTGGTGCTGAGCATCACTATAGGTTTCCTGATAATCTCCTTGTGACGTTTGATGTGCTCCAGTTGGTTCTTCAACAGTGTTGGTCTTTGTTAGCGAAGAGCAGTCGGGTTTCACATTTGACCTAACAGCTCTTACCACCCACCCTAAAAACTCTCAGACACCATGCCTCGTAAGATCGCCCACCCGAGCACGGCATTCAATGCTAACTCTAATTAGCCTTTTCAGTTTCTTGTGCATTCCCTGGGTGACATCACAATCGACGCTATTTTCGTCTTCCTCTCTCTTTCCTAGGATCGACAACGGCTGGGCTCTTTCGAGAACACACCTGGGATTTGGAATGCTGCAGCCAGCTCGGCAAGCCACGCAACAAAGATGAGCGGCCCAAGACGGCATCCGTGCCTCCTGCGTCAATGTGGAGAACCATGAAGAATCACACAAAATTGCAATCTCGTGAGACGTGCTTGTATGGGTATTTCGGACGGATATGATTCGTCGTGATGGCCTGTCTTCTATTGTGTCGACAGGATCTGGATCTCGCCTCTTGGCAGATTATGGTACAATACAGTACAGTATAGTGCATGGCTGTGAGATTGCCTTCTCGGGTATTGTGACTCTTCCCCTCCGCTCTCCTTGAACCCCGTGTTCTACCGGCGAACGTCCGTCTGGGTGTGCTCATCCTTTCCGAAACCCAGCAGCTCTCCAAGCACGCCTCGGGGCTTCGGTACGGGGCACTCCCTGGCCGTACCCCGTTGCGGAGAGGGGGCATCGGTACTCATTGACTCGAATTGGACCATGCCGTCCTTGTCGACCTCGGCGTTTTGAGGTTTCCTCCTCCGTCTCCTCCTGCCGTTCTCATCGATCATCTCGCCGTCGGCGAAGGTCACCCGGGGAGCCGGGCAGGGTAGAACATGGGGTAGTCCGACCACGAAGAAGCTCACTATGATGGTGGTCATGAACAGTGATGAAGTCATGCGCGACTTGGGGTGCAGGTGTGGTGGTGGCATGTTGTCGGCGCGGCCGCGAGCGGGCTCTGAGTCTGAAGTCTCGAGTCTTGTGGACGGACGGAGCTCTTCTGCGTGCTATTAGAAAGCGAAGTCCTTCAGTTGTACGGAGAACGGCGGGGCCTACAAGGAACCATGTCTCGATTGTGCGACGACAGCCTGTGCAAATCCCAATTGACCTGTACAAGATGTCGTGCTGAGCCCTGTCGTGTAGATAGAGATGCTCCTTTGGAGTGGTATGATTTTTCGGCTACAGAGGAACTCTTGATCTGGAGATTTGGGCCAATGACAGGCTAGTGTATCCTCAGCAATCGCATTCGCGGGATATGACATCGAGCGCTAGCCGCTTTCGCATTAGCTCATGGTCGAAAATCCTGGGTCCCTTTAGACTGTAAAAATGTGGGTACCTAAGTACCTGCGTACCGGCTTGGTTGTCGAGTAATAGCACTTGGTCGCAATTTTCTGGATGACCGACGACATCGCGACTCTATTCTCGACCCGCAAAGCCGCCCTCTCCTCTCGGCTTCTACCCGTGCGGCTAAGGCATTTCGTGAGACTATATCGGAAAGCCGTACATACAACCTGACAACCTCCCGGGTCGGCATACACCTCCGGATATGTTCTAATATTTCACCTCCTCCATCGTGACCCAGCCACCTGTGAGCACGAGACGCTGATTCACCGGCGCCTCTCGCGCCCGCATCCGTTGCGACGATGAGCGATCTTGATCAGTGCGTTGCCTCTTCTCTCGCGAATCCCTATGCGCCCTTGTTATCTGGCTGAACCGCATACTGACTGTCATTCTGTTCAGGGCGATTGCCCAGCTGCGCGCTTGTCGACCGATCCCGGAGGCCCAGGTTCGCGAGCTGTGCCACAAGGCGCGCGAGCTTCTGATAGAGGAGGGAAATGTGGTGACAGTTACGGCGCCAGTCACGGTATGTTTCAACCTGGCAATACTATGGGAACATGGATCGTGCGCTGAAATCCTGGCCAGATATGCGGTGACATTCACGGCCAGTTCCATGACCTCATGGAACTCTTCCGAGTCGGCGGAGATGTTCCCGATACCAACTACCTATTCATGGGTATGATGCGGCGCCCGCGGTCCCTACTGGTTCCCTTTCTAGCCGTGACAAAGATTGACATGGAATCATAGGCGATTTCGTCGACCGTGGCTTCTATTCTCTCGAATCATTCCTTCTTTTGCTTTGCCTCAAAGTTCGATACCCCGACCGCATGACCCTCATACGCGGGAACCACGAGTCTCGACAGATTACCACAGTCTATGGATTTTACGACGAGTGCCTCCGAAAGTATGGCAGCGCAAACGTCTGGAGATATTGTTGCGACGTTTTCGACTACCTAGCCCTCGGCGCCATCGTCCTCGGCGCGTCCAACACCCTCAGCCCAGCCGAAGGGGTTACGCCCCCGCCGGACGCCGACCTGGAGATTGAAGTCCTTAACTCGGACAGAGATATCATAAGTCGCTTCCCGCGCCAGCGAGGCCGCAGCCCTGGCGCCCAGCTGACGAGCCCCAACAGCGCAGTCGGGAACGGGGCAGACCCTACCGGCGTCGGCAAGACGGGCCCTCCCGGCTCCGGCGCCTCGGGCTCGAGCGGCGGTTCCATCGGCAACCCCGCCGGCGCGGTGCTGTGCGTGCACGGCGGCCTCAGCCCCCTCATCGACACCGTGGATAAGATCCGCCTCCTGGACCGCAAGCAGGAGGTGCCCCACGAGGGTGCCATGTGCGACCTGCTGTGGTCCGACCCGGACGAGATCGACGGCTGGGGCCTGTCCCCGCGCGGCGCCGGCTTCCTGTTCGGCGCCGACATCGTCAAGGTCTTCAACCACCGCAACGACCTGTCGCTCGTCGCCCGCGCCCACCAGCTGGTCATGGAAGGTTTTAAGGAGATGTTCGATGCCACCATCGTCACCGTCTGGTCCGCCCCCAACTACTGCTATCGCTGCGGCAACGTGGCCGCCCTCCTCGAGCTGTCCGAGGACGAGTCGGGCCTCGGCGCCTTCTCGCGGAGCAACGGTGACGTCGGGCGCAGCGACGGCGGCATGGGTCCTGGCGGCGGCGCGGGTCCGAGGGGGGTCATGATGGAGACGGACGTCGGGCTCAAGAGCGGGCCCGCGCGGCGCTACCGCGTCTTCCAGGCGGCGCCCCAGGACTCCAGGGGCATGCCGGCCAAGAAGCCGGTCGCCGACTATTTCTTGTAACAACTGTTGTACTGCTCGTGTGGTCTCGAAAAAAAAAAAAGAAGCCTGTTGCATTCAGCTCCTGGCTGCGGTTGGGCTCTGCTCTGTGATGGCTATCGATTATCAGGAGGAAGACGGGACACACAATCTCTGCGGAGAGATCAGACCAAAGGAAAGCTTCAGGTGTGAGCTTTGCTTGACAGAGCTGCTTGTTGGGATTCGTGAGACAAGGCCTCATTAGGAGACATGAAAATGGCGTTTGGTATTTGGTAGAGCATCCTTGACTTTCTGGAGTTACTTTCAAAATGACTTGTTCTCCCTTTTCTTCGTACGATTCGTGAACACGTAGCAGGAGCAGAGATGCAAACAAACACACTGTGTCATATTGAGATTACCCTTTTGTAATCAGACACAAACGCTCGATACTTTCGTATCAACAGCGTTCTTAGGAATCGGTGCCAACAAAACACCATAGACCAATAAAAAAAAAACCACGACCCCATCTCTGACCAGCAGGAATGGGTTGCTACATAACGCCTTGCCTCCCTACCTTCCTAGACAGTAGGAAAAAAGTAAAGCAGCCGTAAAACAGTTGTTCATCACCTAGAACAATCCATCCATCCTCATACCTCGGTCCTCCAAAATTTCGAGAGCAAAAAAACAGGCAACGGGCTGGATAAATTCATTCTGTGCCGAATCTTCTTGACCAACAACTACTCTTTCCAAAAGGGCAACGTGGGCAAACTGTCCTTCCATCCAAGTCTACGTGGCTCGTCAGAGCCCTCAGAAGGGCACGTCAGGGTACGTCGGGTGGTACTCCCCGCTCGTGGAGTGGATGTTTGCATAGCCGCCGGCGGAAGGCCAGTCAAGCGCCGGGGTCTGACGGTGAGAGATTCGTGGGTATGTTCGTGATGCGTCATAGGAGGCAGACGAGGCCATCGACTGCTCGTAGCCGTAACCGTGGGGCGGACCGGTGTAGGCAGGGTAGTGCGTGTGCGGAGTCGTCGGCGGGTTCACGCCATGGCCATGTGAGAACTGCTGGCCGTGGTGTCCGTACTCGGAACCGTGATGCAGGTAAGCAGAGGACGATGCGTAGGGCGGGAGCGGAGGAGGATGGTGGTCCCAGCGGTGGAAGTGGCTGTCCTCGAGCTCGTCCGAGTATTGTGTTGAGCGCGGCGACGCAGCCCCGTCGGGTGTGTGCTTGTCCCACGGGCTGGAGAGCTTGGGGTCGACTGGAGGAGACAGGATGGCGCGGGCGTGGCTCAGTGAGGTGGTATTGACGGTCGAATCCCCCTCTTGTTTGAGGTTCTGGGCACCTTCGTCGAGCGCATCCGCCTCGTGTGAGGTCTTTCGCACGACCGGCCGAGCTCGCATCAGCAACTCTGCCGTCTCAACAGCCGATCTGGGCGACCCGGCTCCAACGGGGTGGGTCGACGAGTGCTGATCGTCGGTCGAGGGGATCTCGTCTTTGAGATACTGCTCGACTTTGGTGTCGCTGATGCCGTTCTGCTTCATCAACTTTCGAAGGCACTTGTTCTCCTCGCTGACTTTTCGAGCCGCAGACTGTAACTCGACCGATGCATTGACACCCTGACATTCGTAGGATCTTATGCGTTGTTCAAGTTCCTGCACGTAAAGCTTCCTCCTGGAACGCGAACGTCTCTGGTTTTCCCTGACCCGGGCCCGTCTCTAAGTGTCGACACAACCATGTTAGTCGAAGTAAACGGGTAGACTGTTCACGCCAAAAATTCAGGGCACAGTTACCTGTTCTGGGGTATCCGCAACCACAGGGCAGGTCTGACCAGCGTCATCATTTGCCCGCATGTTGAGTTCTGTCGCTGTCTTGGTCGGACGCTTGGACATGTCCAAGCATGAAGATACGAAGAATGGGGGTTTCGAGAGGGTGGACAAAGAGTCCTGTTATTTCGGGAGGCTATATAGTTCTGTCTCTCCCGGTTGCAGCGGGAATGAGGGAACGAAAAGGCTGGGTGCTAGGGAAGAGGCTTCTCCATGTACATAATTGCGAGCCGATGGCCTTCTACAAGCATTGTCAGAGGTCTAACAACCTCCCAAGCACAATAGCTGGCGACCTGACCAGGGTCATGTCAGATCTGCGAATGAACGACTGAACAGATTCGTGGATGCGATCCGGCTACGACGTCGATACTCCCGGGAGGGGGCGCTTCGATGAGCAAGGACTCTCCGCATTTGTGACGAACATACAATGGCTCTCAGCACATACGCCACAGATCCTAAGATGCAGGTTAAGCACCTACCAATTTCAAACCGGTGAAGGGGAACATGCTCGTCCGCCCGTGTCATGGAAGCGTTGGGAAAAGCAACTAGTCTGCGGTCATGGTGTCGATCTACTTGATCGCCTATCGGGATGTACCAACAAAAAGCCGAGGAAGAAGAGTCTCGTTCGTCACGGCAACAGAGCTTGCGGGAAGGCAGGGCCTTGGTCTCTCGTTCGCAGCGCGAGCAAGGGAGATCTGGCGGCTGCATCCATGACTTCTCCTGCCCGGGACTAGCGCAATGAGCACTCTGAGCTCGTTGGCCAGTGTCGAGGAGGTGTGGGAGATGGAGGCTTGCCCGACGGACGAAACTTCGATTTCCGGACAGCCATGGCTCGGGAATGTCGTCGAAGTGGGATGTGTCCTGTCCTCGAGACATCCGTGATCCAAAATTTTGGGGGTTGCTTCCCATTGCTTTTTCCCTCACTGGCAGGGATGTGAGCCGGTGTTGTGGTGGCTTTAATGAGTGACGTGCAAAAGCAACCCAGCCAAGAAAACCCTCCTTGACCACGGCTCACCGACTTGCCCTGATGCTGCGGGCGGCGCCGGCAGGCTTGGACAGCCAGTACGACGATTGGACGGAGGAGGGAGGAGGCAGATGATGGCGGCTGCTGGACCCATGCCGCTGAACAAAAATAAATATCTTCGTCGTTGAGGAGCTGAACTGGCTCCTCAGAAGTGGTGAGTGTTCGACGGAAGCGGACAAGGCCTTGTCGAGCTGAAGTGATGTGTCAGGTTGGCGCCTCGTCAGGGTCACTACGTGAATACTCATCACTGCAAGAGACTGGAAACCTCGGCACCTCCCCCACCGGCCGGAGGGAAACGTCCCCCCTCTAACAGCGGCATGTCGTCAGGAAATCGTCTTAGGGAGGCAGAGCTGACAGGTCTTGCAGGTGAACCCTCCAAGATGTGCGCGCTATCTGCGTGGGGAGGCGGTGGACCACGACACCCTCCATCCTTGGTCGCGATGCAGGGCTCTTTGTGGAAGGGTCGTCAGTCGTGTAAGCCACTTTATGTAATTGGTGAGGAATCTTGGCTGGTTTGGCTACAAGTAGATGGCAAGGTTGGATCCAGCACCTGGAGGGTGACAGCCCTGGAGCGAGATACGACGACGTACAAGTACACGCTAGGGACGGCACCCGCATTCTGGCCCACCAAGTGGGTTTTAGAGGCCCAAAAGGCTCCATGGATGGCCACTCCCAGGGCATCGGACCGCTGCCCGCTGGGCCCCGGCACTGGGCGAAGATCCCAAGCTTTGCCGAGTCGCTTATTAGCTCCCTACAAGTAGATGTGCACCTTATTAGCAGAGGAAGCATCCGACGTAATGTGCTGTGCCGTCGACCGTCACCTTGCCTCACCTTGACGGGAACGGTGAGGCCTCTGATCCTGGGTTCCGGCTGAGACGGTGATTCACCACCGCCCACCCTCAGCGAGAGAGGATAGAGGCAAAAGCAGGGTGTTTTGACCATCGTGATTCGGCTCGGAGAGTGGACCTTGTGCTGGTAGGTTGCTGACCGGCCTGAACAGAGAAATGATGCACCCGGCTGTGGGAGCAGCCTGCTGCTCTTCTCGTCCTGCAAGGAAGCATGTTTCACCTGCAGCGCCTAAGAGAAGACTGGACAAGCCCCCGACGGCTAGACAAGGCTCTATTTGGGCATGCTCATCCGCCAGCCAGCCCAGGTGTGTCCATTGACTAAAGCTGCGCTACCTGGGCAGTCGACAGTGAAAGTCCTCCTCCCCGGGGCTGACACTCCTATCGAGCGTACGTACTCCTTCCCCTTCTGGTACTTGTGGTCGAGCAAGGGCGAGCTGCTCCCATGCATGCAGAGGCGGAAAGTCCCAGGGTTCACAGGAGCCTTTCACCCTTGCGCCCTTTCCAACTCTTTGATCAAGGTGGCAGGCTGGCAGGGAAGGGACCGCCTCTGAGCTGATAAACACCCCCGCCCCCGTGATAATCTGGCGATCTACTGCATGTGAACTGGTGTGAACAGGGTTTATGGATGAGATTGGATCGTGCCAAGCCACGCCGCAGAAATCGTACACATCTTATTTGCTCTGAGATGGCAGGGTTTAAGCAGGGTTTGGGCAGCTGGTTGGTGCTTTGCTGACCCTTGGAGCAGCTCTCTCTCGCCCTCACGATGCAGTCATCCTACCCGAACGGGTGGGAGATTGCTGCCATCGCAGCCAGCGCAGCCATCGCAACCCTCACAGCCCCCGGCAATGAAAGCCTATGCGCGCTAATGCATGGAGACTATTTGGAGACGGACCGGTGAGATCTGGAGGAAACACGGGAAGTGACCATGTCGCGCCGGTCAGACAGTCAGAACGCCACCAGCAGATTGAAAATGACGAGTCAACAATTCTATCGAGAAGTTTTTTTCAGCCAGCAGGATGAGATCATCGTCAAAGGGTGAACACTGTCAGACGGTGGAAGGAAAATGTACTTTGAGGTATTTAACAATGCAGATCTTCGTCGTTTGCTTCTTTTCTTCTCCAGAGAGCCGACGTCGTTGGCCAAAAAGACGGGACAGCAACTCACGATGACTGGACCAGATTCCCCATACTGATTTTACCGGTTTCCCCTTGCCAGCTCTTACATGCCTGCATCTTATGCATGACCTAGCTTCTTCCGTGAGACCCTCGACCCTCGACTTAGTGCACAAGCTAGAACAAGCAATGAGCTCTGGAGTCGGTTAAATTTACCACTGATGAAGAACATGGGGCGGGAAGAAGGCTTGCCTCAGCGAATCGAAGTTCTTGATTATGCCCAACAGAGCAACCTCGTCCTGCCGTGTTCTTTGTTTCGAGAGTCGGGCTAGCACCTCACCGATTCTTGCTAGGGTATCTTGGAACAAGGGCCGCAAGAGTGCCTCGCCCTCGTCATGCCTGCAGTCGAAGCAGGCATCGGGGATAAACCCGCCCACTGGGAGCGTGTCTGGAACGCTGTGGATGCTGACCTGGTCAAGAAGTCTTGGCGGGCACTCGTGCTTGCATTGCGAATACGTCCACTTGCTTTTGCAGAGGGGGCAGCCTGCAAACCCGGCTTGGGCTGCTTGTTCTGCACAATGCTTGCCTGCCACATGACCACACGGCCAGATCACAATTGGTTCCCAGTCGTCGCCATCCTTTTCTGCGTTCAGTGACAAGATCCGCGTCCGACATACGGGGCATTCTATGTCCTTCTTCTGCAGATAAAGAAAGGTGAACTTGGGCAGTGGTACGAAGCACGACTGGCCTTCAACTGTAGCGGACATGACATGCTCCATTGTGCAAGATTCTGGATCGGCAGAGATAGACACACCTGGATGCTATGATAGGTTTGTTCAATGGTGTAACCCATCTCACACTGAAAAAAGTGGCCGAGCCGCCTCGATCTTATATCTCGGCGGTGACAAAGGCTGGTGTGCATACGAGACCTTGTCTGCTTTGTTTAGATGGCAGAACAAAGCGCAGCAACCACAATATGAACAATCGAGCGCCACCAAACGCACGTCAAATTGTTCTGAACCCTTGTCAAAGCAGGTAAACCCAACCTGTCATCCTCAACAAAAGGCCTTTGGGCAGCGATAAGACCTAGTCGAAGCCTGCAGGACATGTTGCAGCGCATGAATTTCAGCTGGTGAAACATCAAGTAGTCGAACAAGTGTGTATTTCGATATGCCCAACGCCCAAGTTATGTACACAAACGCGATGTATGCGTCCTCGCCCACATGGCGTCTATTGTGATTGCTCCTTTTGCTTCTTCTCGTGTTCTATGATCTGTTTGCTCCAGCTACGTGGGGGGTCAGCAGGTGTAATCATGGCCAAAGCAAAGTTGCCTGTGCTTGCGGATGAGGGAACGCACTATCTGCTAGGGAAGAACCTGCCGGGCTCTGGCATCTTGTGTCGGTACTCCCGGTCCGCGCTCAGCTTCCACACTGCGCCGGTGATGGCGACGATGGCCAGGCCAAAGACGGCCGTGTTGGCCTTCCAGTTGGAGGGCTGAGTGTACCAGCCACCCGCCGGCGACCAGACGTGCTTGGGATAGCTACCCGCGGGTTAGAATTGAATGTCGTCGTGCATCGATCGTCTGTTCGGAGCTGTCTAGTGAAGAACTTACGGAATCTTGGGACCGCCACCCTGTTCAAGTGTTAGCATTTCTCGAGCGATCGATCAATTGAGCTGAGTCGGCACATACCATTTTTGCGACAAGTATCAATCCACGAGCCTTGGGGGTCTAGATTGGCCGATTGACACGACGATGAAAGGTGCGCGCAGTCGAGCGAGTGAATGCTTCACGCAATCAATTGACGGATCCAATGCTTCCCAGAGCCAGTAACCCGGCAAGTCGACGGCAGGCGACGGGGGCCGGAACACGGACAAAGGTTTTACCAGCGAATTGATGGCGCTCAATTTCAAGAGCACATCAGTTTAGCGGAGCAGCGTTCAACTCTGGGCCCCACGGCGACTTGCTTCAGGCTGGTCTTCTGGCTTTCATACGCTATTATGTCAGCAGAATGCACTAGAGAGAGTTGGGCGATCCCTGCACCACAGCACTGGAGGTCGTACGTCGGGACTAGCTCGCACGACCAATCCAGCTTCAATTAGGAAACTTTTTTCCTACCAGCCGTAGACACGCCCGACACGGACCAGGCGACAACTATCCCGCCGGTCTCCTGGATTGACATCTCTCCCGACCTCACCGGTCTCTTGGAATCTCGGATCTAGAGGAGGCCATATTTTTCCTAATGAAAAGGATACGGGTCCAGCGGTGGTCAGGGCAATTGCTCTCCGCACCATCGGCTCCTGCGTCGTGCGTCTGCCTCGCATCACAACGCCTGCAGGCCTCGATAAGGAGGCATCAGTCCACCACAGCAACGAGCACTCCCACCCTCCACGATGGCGCTCACGACAGCCATGCTCTCTCAGGGCTGCCCGACTCCTCGATCACACAATCGGCCTACCCTTCGCCCCTGCCCGAGAAGGCGCTGAGCTCCGCGAAACTCGCAGCACTGCATGCCCGTTTGGCCTTGTCTCAGAAGATCCCGTTGCAGACCCTGGCGCGGACCCTGGTCGACACCTCTGCCGACCAGAGTCCTCAGTTCAACAACTCGAACCTTGCCCTCCTCGGCAACAACCTCATCAACTACCATGTCACCGAATGGCTCATGTGCCGCTACCCCCGATTACCCTTGACCATCAACTACACCGCACTGAAGGCCTATGCCGGCCCACAGGCGCTGTACCAAATTGCGCGCCAATGGGGCGTCGACAGCGCCGCCGCCCCCGGAGACGAAGTCGATCCCGGCCTGCTGCAGTACTCGATCACGAAGGAGCGGCCGGTCCTGAGGAATTGGGGCTACGAGCGGCCCGAGTCACTGTACCAGTTCAAGTGGAGGCGCGGCATCGGCAGCCGCGTCGTCATGGACGATGACTTTGGCGACATGATTACCGAGCCCAAGAACAATGCCGAGCATGCAGAGAACCAGCCTTCGTACTCCCTCTCCCCTCTCGACTCGGCGACCAAGCGCGACATCGCCGCCAACGTCCACGCCGACTTTGTCCGCGCCGTCGTCGGCGCCATCTACGCCCACTGCGGCCGCGACGCCGTCAAGGCCTTCGTCAAGGCCCACGTCCTGTCCCGCCAGCTCAACTTCGCGAGCCTCTTCACCTTCCGCCTGCCCACGCGCGAGCTGGCCATGCTGTGCGCCCGCGAAGGCTTCGAGAAGCCCGTCGCCCGCCTGCTCTCCGAGACGGGCCGCCACTCGCGCACCCCCGTCTTCGTCGTCGGCATCTACAGCGGCAACGACAAGCTGGGCGAGGGCGCCGCCGCCAGCCTCGACGCCGCCCGCGCCAAGGCTGCCATGAACGCCCTCAAGTCCTGGTACCTCTACAGCCCCGGCGAGAACGTGCGGGTCCCGAGTGATGTGCTCACCGAGGGTGCCAAGCCGTGGGAGCCTGTCTACATTGACATCGGAGAGATTCTGTAAAGCAACTCTGTCAGGTTGTCTGGACCAGCTGGGGTGGACGAGGACAAACATGCCCCTTGCCCCCCCAGAGGATGTCAGAGGCGAGCCGGCCAGCGCAATGGCTCGCGTGTATGTATTTTGCATGGCACGGTGGTCTGTTGTATGTGCGGATGGGTAAGGAGTGAGTGGAAATAGATACGTTCCCATGGAGAGGGACCTGTACATTTGTAACAAACACCACAAACGCATGGCGTCCAGGAAGCCCAGAGGGGGCGATAGGCTCCCAGACGAAAAGCATTGTACCATAGCCCACAATTTTCTAAACAAATGAAAAATTCAACCTGTAAAACAAGTATCAATACATTGCAAGTCGATTGCTGCTATTTTACCGTCTATATCCAACCATTCCCCCAGATCCCTACCTGTTACAACCCTACCAACCGATGGTGATTATCATTGCGATCATCGTGCCTCTATTGCTCGATGTCTATATGCTGCTACACGGCTTTCTCCCTTTTCCCATCCCGGTCGGCAATCAACTGAACTGATCGCCCTCCCCGAGCTTGTGCGCGACACCCTTCCTCACGAGCTTCCGGTACCGCCACTCCTTGCGCCGCGCCGCCTCCTCCAGCCGCACCTTCTTCTTGCGCTCGTACACGGCCCTGACCGTGCGGCGGATGCGCTCCCTGCCCTCGGCGTAGTTGGCGCGCGCCAGGGCCATGACCTGGTCGACCTGCTCGGGCGTGTAGACAAAGTTCCACGTGCTCATGTACTCGCTCGCGGCCGGGTCGACGCCGGGCACCTTGTCGTTGACGAGGAAGGGCAGGTAGACGACGGTGATGCCGGCGTCGGGCTCCATGAGCTGCCAGTCGGACGAGTCGTCGACGGCCTTGGACGGCGGCGGCGTCTCGCCGCTCGAGCGCTCCTGCGTCGTGCCGACCCAGACGGTGCAGTAGCCCAGCTCGCCGGCGGCCTCCTCGCCCTGCTCGTACTTGCGCCTCTCGACGGCGTCCTCGTCGGTGGCGCGGCCCGCGTCGCGGCGCAGCGCCTCCTGTTCGGCTTTGGCTTCGGACAGCTTGGCCTCGGCCTCGGCGCTGGAACCGGCGCTGGACTCGTCGAGCTCCTTGGCGAGCTTCTTGGGAGAGTCGCCGGGCTTCGGCCAGCCGATCCCCACGGGCCAGCCCTTGATGCCGCGCTGGCGTGCGTAGCCGTCTGCCACGGAGAGCCAGTTGTCTGTCTTGATGTCGGCTGAAGCGTCGAAGGCAATGACGATCTCCACGTTGCGTCCGGGACGGAGGAAAGGATACAGCGGGATGTTGTTGGACATGCCGGCATCCATGAGTTGGATGTACTCATTGTCGTACAGCGTCGAAGGAGTCGTCTTGGGCAGCTTGCCCTTCATGCCATAGACAGGATTGGGAAGCATGGCCGGGTCGATGGGGTGAACCTTGCTCAGGTCCTCGTTATGGCCATAGACAAGCTCGTCGACGGCCCCGAAACCCGTCAGGTTCTTGATGAGTGGCCGGATTTCTCGGTAGTAGTGGCTGAGCGTGGCGCAGAAGGCGCTACCGAAAATGCCCAACATCAGAGGCATGCGAAGTTCAGGTAGATGAAATCCCCGTTCGGGAGGGACGTCCTGCCCGTCCTTGAACTTTCTCCCCAGCGCCCAAGTGGGGATGCCCGCTGAGAACTCCTCGCAGAAGAACTCATAAGGAGTGATTTCGAACCATTGGAACCACGCCTCCTGCTTTGCCTTTGCCTTTGCCTCTTCGGTGACGACTCCCGTAGCTGAGTTTGTCTCATCTGCAGCATCTGGGATCTCATGACGCACAGCGGTGTATATCGGTAAGGGATTTTGCCCATACTTGACGTATTGCCTCTGATTCGAGAGCTTGAAGTCTCGCTCATTCACACCAAGCTCGCCCTTCGGCACTAACAGCCTCGCGGCCAGGAGAATACCGTAGACATCTACCAAGCCAAACGTGGCTCTTGTGTCGCCCTTGAGTTTCTCGACCACTCCACTGAGCAGGTATTTGTTGGTCGGAGCCGATGTCAGGGCCTGAAAAGCGACGGGCGGGTATGCAATGTGGACTCCAAGACGCGCTTTCAGATGATCCGCCAGGCGTCCGACGTCTTGGCCGGTGATGGAGGAGTAGTACAACGACTGGAGCCAGCACGAGCCGCTGACGCCCGATGTGTAAGTGACGCAATCAAACAAGCCGTCCTCGGAAGCGGCTGTCCAGGAACCCGTGCCGGCCACAAGCGCTCTGAGGCCACCGCCAGATCCGCACATGGCTATCGTCGGGACATCGTCTGGATGCACATCCTCCTCTTTGAGGCCAAGATACCTGGCGAGCGCTACGGTGGCGATCCTCTTCCTTCTGACCAGGAACTCCTTCTCTTCCTCGCACAAGTCATCCGAAATGCGCACCTTGGCTGTATATTGCACCTCGGGATTGACAAGGGGATCATGCGCCTCGTCCCATATCTCGTCAGCCAAAGATCCCGGGGCCATGGACATCTCTCGCTGCAGCTTCCGGACGTAGCCCGGGACGTATTTGGACCATTCCGGGAAGATGGTCTCTACAAGCTTGTCAGAGATCTTGCCCCATTCCACGTCCGTCGAATTCGATAATTGCTCGAAGCGTGTCGAAAAGTCAAACCAGGCATTCTGCTCACTAGCTGCCGTGGAGTTGCCGGCATGCTCCGGCTCCTGTTTGCTTCGCTTCTCTTGGGTCTTCAGCCGCTGGATCTCGTCATGGGGGTAGAGGGATGTTATGAGCAGAGTTCCAACCACGATGGCGGCCGGGATAGCCGAGCGCGGGTTGGTCTTTTTTGGTTTCTGCCAGGAGAAGAAGCTTCTGCGACTTGCCTCAGGATGAGTGAGGCGAGGTGGTGCGGCGGGTCGGGACGGTCCGCGAGGACGTAAGCAAGTGTGGTGCAGACGACATCTGCCGGCTACCGATGTTTGGTAGAAACGTCTTGCGACGGTAGAGCGGGCTCCAAGCAGAGCGAACGCCATTGAACGAGACTGGCTGGGTACGGTCGCTGGTGTCTTATGACGAATGAGCTGATGATATCATGGTGGTGATTTAGTGCCCGTGAGAAAGCATACTAGATGGTAACAGTACGCGTCGCGTCGGTGGATTCTTTGAGAGACATGGCTATTGTTGTCGTTTGATTGAAGAATCGATATACACTTCAAATGCCAATTGTTTGCCCATTTCCCAGCCAAGTTTTTAGAGCATGCCATGACATCGTCAGTATGATGAAGCGATAAGCGCATGCGCGCCTTATCACAGAGCCCCACCCACCAGTGTTTCCCAGTGAATCCGTAAAAGTTGCACTACCAACAAGTAGATGTTAGTGCCTGAGCCTGGTGGGCTGGGGTAGCTGCCGGAGAACATTGAAGAGCAGGCAGTCCTTCAGCCTGTACATTATCCCGGGAACTGAGGCCTGTTGCAACCGCATATCAAATTTTACAGGGCGTTTCGAGACGAAGATCGTGCCACGCATCATACTAGGTAGTTAGTCGAATGTCTCGATGCCACGTGCCTGCGGAAAGGCAAAACGGCAATGCCGCAGATTCATTTTCAATTCTCTCGACCCTCAATCTCAAATGACTCCTTCTGATTCTATACAGTCGAGATTTATTGACCGATGGACTTGATATAGCCTGCTTGGCAACTCGTTGTTTGCAAGCAGAGTCGCCGATGTGCCCCGGGTACCTTAGTTGTGAAAGGAACGAGCCTTGCTGTTTCAGAAGCTGCACTTCGAATTGCAATCATCCGGGAATTCAAATAATCGATCCGCTGGCCTTGCTTTTTCTCCCGTCTAGGCTGTGATTGAGGATGAAAGCGATGAAAGGTGATGGTGATGTTCAATTGTGTCTGCCGAGGATGGAGGAACCTGGAGCTGGAGCTGGCCTTTGGGGTTTTAGAGCGTTGTTTTAGCAGGTCGCCGTTTCAGCCCTTTCTTTCGGCTTTCCCCACGCCCAAAGTCGGGCGAAATGACAAGCACCGTTTTCGGCAGGGTCTAACTGATTAGGGTCAACGACAGCCTACCTGCTTCGGACAGGTACTAACTTTGTGGTCCCTTGCATCTCAAAAATCCGCCCCTCTCTCTTCACTTTTCAAAGAATCGTCGTCGTCGTCACAATATAAGAGCAAGAACATGCTGTGGCTAGACATCTGTCGCAGCACAGGCGGCACACGTCCGTAGAGGAGGGCTTGGATGCATAGGTCCGTATGATATAGTGCTTGGGCCAAAACGATCACGGCACACGGACCATCTCTGGTAATGCAATGGAACGCACCGAATGGTCCTTGATGAGAAAGTCGTTGTCGCGGGACGCACTTGGTGCATACACGATTGGAGCTATCCATGCTTTAGCTGGAGCAGTGAGCCAATGAGAGGGATGTGGGCTGGGCGACCCCGGTCGGACCCGTCATTAATCTTCCCCCTTTTAGGACTGCTGGGTCTCGTGGGAAACGATGGGCAGCACAGAGCATGGAACCCCCTTTCTTTTTGAGATGGTGCGTGCTGCGTGCTGCAGAGGAAGAGAGGCAGGAGAGAGGCACAAAGAAAAGGGGACTGACTGCTGATTGTAGGATAATTAGGTACGGAGTACATTAGATGCAACCAGAAGCGCGTGGCTGATCAGGTACCACCACACACACCCGACCCTTTTATTTCTTCTGTCTTTCTCCTACTCCCCTTCCGCCCATCCCAGTCCACCACTTGCCTGCCCGCACGTACCACTCCATCGCCGTCCCAGCCAGCCAGCCCAAGCAGGGAGCAGCGTGAAAAAAGCAGAGTACAGAGAGGTGCTGCACAGGCCACCACCACTAGCCAAATTTCCCCGTCCACTCCCAATCTGCCACTCTAACCTCCCTCCCTGCCACCTTGGACGCCCCTAATCGCCAAATTTCCAAACCTCACACTTCCCTTCCCTTCCCTTCCCGCAACACCTCTTCTCAGTCTCTCGCTCCTTCTCTTTTCCCAAACGGGTTGCATTAGGTACTCATCACTGAGCCCGCCTCGACTGCCAACCTCTCGCCGACCTCTTTTTTCCGGAACGCGACTTTTTTTTGGGTGTCCCTTTCGGTTGCGATCGTCTACCTCGCTCGTACGTGGCCTGCTTCCCTCCTCTACCTTGACCCATTTCCTTGCGTGCCCGGACCTGTGCTCTGTCACTGTTCACCCAACTTTACCTTGTTCTATCTTTATGATAGTTCAGCCGCGGAATTTGGCATTTCCCTGCCTCCTTCAAGTGCCACAATCCGTCCACTGGGCAGTCTCCTGAGCACCGGAGCTAATCTTCGAAGGCTTCATCTAGGCATCGCACCTTCCTGCCGGTACAATCACCTCGGATCTTGATCTAAAATAGTCATCGAAATGGGTAAGCGCGTTTCTTCCTCCTTGATCCTGTCTCGGGATGCACATGTGCGCGACAACAAGGTCCCGGACAACGAACTCGAAAACTCTAGACCCTCAACTTGACTGGCGACCACCCACGGGTTTACCTGTCCCTTAGAAGCGACCCTCAGTATCGAGAAGATTGCCTTGAACTCGGGACCTCACTTAGGTCATCTTCACCAGGCAGTGCCTACAGCAACTGGTGCCATTACCACACAGACCTCGGTGTGAGAGCCGCCTGGCATATCCCCTGCGGTCATGCCTGCAGACCATAGCTCTGTATAGGCAAGGAGCTTAGCAATACCCAGCAATATATTGGCTTGGACATGATGCGAGTCGTCTGGCGCGATCTGGCAGTGTGCTTCCTGGTCTGGAACTCGACCTGTCAAGTCTCTGCTGCAATATGCCTGTCCTGAGAGGACCTCCATCTGGACGGAAAAGAATCGCAAAATCGCCACTATCGAGATACTGTTCCGCATTTGCATCTCGAGATACTATTGATAGTCCTTGGGTAGAATCTGCATGCTAACGGTTTTGACTCCAGCTGCAAACGGTGCTCCCTCCGAGTCCCCGGCCCCTGTGGCTGCTGCGCCCAGTGGTAAGTTTTCAAGCACATCAAAAGACCTCGTGCCAGGCTGACTTGTCTGAATAGCTCCTGTCGTCGACAACAAGAACATTGTGCGACGAAAGCTGACTGGGTACGTTGGCTTTGCCAACCTTCCCAATCAATGGCATCGTAAGAGTGTTCGCAAGGGTTTCAACTTCAATGTTATGGTCGTTGGTAAGTTCGCAGATCGAAACGCTTCCTCTCAAATGCGGAGGCTGACAAGAAGCAGGTGAATCTGGCCTCGGAAAGTCGACTCTGGTCAACACTCTGTTCAACACCTCTCTTTACCCTCCCAAGGAGCGCAAGGGCCCTAGCCTCGACATCATTCCCAAGACTGTCACCATCCAGTCCATCAGCGCTGACATTGAGGAGGCTGGTGTTCGTCTGCGCCTGACCGTTGTCGACACGCCCGGCTTTGGCGACTTCGTGAACAACGACGAGTCGTGGAGGCCGATTGTTGACAACATCGAGCAGCGCTTTGATGCCTACCTCGACGCCGAGAACAAGGTCAATCGTATGAACATTGTTGACAACCGGATCCATGCCTGCGTCTTTTTCATTCAGCCAACGGGCCATTCGCTGAAGCCTCTGGACATCGAGGTGATGAAACGTCTTCACACCAAGGTCAACCTCATCCCCGTCATTGCCAAGTCCGATACTCTGACCGACGAGGAGATCACTGCTTTCAAGCAGAGAGTAAGTCTCAAAGCCCATTTTCAGCAGAGCAAGGACAGTTACTGACAACCAGTAGATCCTGGCAGATATCAAGTATCACAAGGTCCAGATCTTCGAGGGGCCCCGGTATGAGCTCGACGATGAGGAGACGATTGCTGAGAACAACGAGATCCTCTCCAAGGTTCCCTTCGCTGTTGTCGGTGCCACCAACGAGATCACCAACGCCGATGGCCGTAAGGTCCGTGGCCGTCGCTACCCATGGGGTGTCATTGAGGTCGACAATGAGGAGCATTGCGACTTCGTCAAGCTGCGCCAAATGCTTATCCGCACCCACATGGAGGAGCTCAAGGAGCACACCAACAACAACCTCTACGAGAACTACCGCACCGACAAGCTCATCCAGATGGGTGTCTCGCAAGATCCTAGTGTGTTCAAGGAGGTCAACCCTGCTGTCAAGCAAGAGGAGGAGCGCGCTCTGCACGAGCAGAAGCTCGCCAAGATGGAGGCCGAGATGAAGATGGTCTTCCAGCAGAAGGTGAACGAGAAGGAGTCCAAGCTCAAGCAGAGCGAGGAGGAGCTCTATGCCCGCCACAGGGAAATGAAGGAGCAGCTCGATCGCCAGCGTCAGGAGCTCGAGGAGAAGAAGGCGAGAGTCGAGAGTGGACGGCCGTTGGAGAAGGAGGGCAAGAGGAAGGGTTTCTCTCTCCGATAAACCCCACACCTCGCACATGCTCGTTGATTTCTCCATGACCTCTGTCTTAGTACTCATGATGCCCCATACAATACCAGCCCGCTGCTTCTTTGTCGACATTTCTTCCGCTTCGTCTTCTCCCAATTTAATCAACACCACTTAATACACGATCCAAAAAAAAGAGAGCCAAGATCGCCCGTGGCACGAGCATCAAAAGTCTTATTTACACTACGCCAAGAGGAGCATGTCGGAAGAAATACTAAACGGCTTGCGAAAAAAAAAAATTACCCGGGACAGGCTTTCGGGAAGGCCTGTTCTGGGGTCTTGATGAATACTTTGGACGGCGGTTCTTGAAAACCTTATGGGAGATGTAATTGTTGGTTTTTTTTGAGGGTTTTGACGCATTTTCCGCATACTTCTCACGATATCACCGCCAGCACAATACCTCGTCGGAGTCGGGCTCGGGTTTAGAAATCAGCGAGGAGGTCAAGAAGATCTGGACATTTTCGCTCAGACATCTTCATGCCCTTCGAAAGAAAAGTCATACGTCTGTCTTTTGATGCGGAACTCTGCAGAGCGAGCTCGGATGATGCGAACAACCCTTATACCTGTACTCTAGACTGGTGTCCTTTGGACGCTCTCTTCCCCCCACAAACAACTGTCTTCCTTGCTCTCGCATAGAGAGACGGGAAACGGTCTGGTGGCGCCTCCTCTTGTAGGGCGCGTCGGGTTCTTCTGTGGTCGTTCTTTTTTGAGATGCCTCTAGTCTCATCCTCGTTCTTTTGAGCTTGTTTTCCTATATCTTTTTTTCTTAGCCTAGTTGTTGTCTGAATGTATAAAACTGATGGGTTTCCATCGAACTCCTTCGCTTCGCCTCGTTTATTTGACATGTGCAGTGGGGATATGGAATTTCCAGCGAGGCAAGCTTCCGTAACGAACAATGCTAGATCCGGTGTCAGCATAGCTCATGTCTACGGACGCAAGCGCGGACTTTGTGGATAATCTCATGGGCGAACAGTATTGATACACTAGAGTACATCTATCTTTTTGCTGCAAGATTCTGCCTCGTAACACGACATATACACAAAGGCTTATTACACCTGCCTTCTTTTCTATACAACCACTGGCATGCACACGGGAGCTCGCGGCGTCGGTGGGGCGCATGCATGGCTCTATAACAATCATCTGGCTTGTTGGCACCTCCTAATGCCTCCTCAGGTACCAATTGTGCGCGAGCTGGTTGACCTCGCTCGGGTAAGGGGTGGGGACCTCGGCCGAGCCGGGTCGGGCCACGGGGTGCCTCAGATAGACGGCGGCGCAGATGTTCTGGTTGACTTCGAGGTAGCGCGGGATGAAGGCGAAAGGCGCCATGTAGGGCCTCGGCCGCCAGGGTGTGGCATAGGGCTTAGAAGGGTCGATGGGGTTCTCGGCATCGAGCGCCAGCAGCTCCTCGAAGCGTGTGCGCTCGGCGGCGGTGAGGCCTTTGTCGTCGACCTCTTCCTTGGATTCTGCCGCGTCCTGAGACACGGAGAGCGCGGATAGGAGCTCGGTCAAGTCCTTGACGACGTTTGCGGGTTGTACCTCGCTGGCGGCAGAGGCACGATTCGCCTTGTTGAGTGCGTCCTTGGCATCCTTGACGAATTGCCGCAGCGCGCGCTTCCGCTTGACGTTGAGCTTCTCGGAGGAGTCGTTTAGGATGGTTTTGGCACGGCCGAGCAGCGCCTTGATCTCCTCCGCGGTGAGGTCCGAGACCGCTACCTCTGATGAGTCTGCAGACTCTGCCGCCTCTGTGCCCTCTTCTGAACCCTCCGCGGCTTCTTCGGCCTCGCCTGACTCCTCCGCTTCCTCCGCTTCGGCACCCGTCGACTCCGTTCCTTCCTTCTTTGCGCCGGTGCCGAACAGAACCCGGTCGGGGTCTACTTGGAACATGTCTCCTGGGTTGAGGAGGTATCCGGGATAGATCATCTACAGTTATACTGCTGTTAGAAATTGAAGTGCGATGGGCAGGGGAGGTGACCTGGCAGTGAGACCCACCTTCTTTCCGTTGACCTTGACAGCCCCATGGACAACGAATTGCCTCGCCTGCCTTGCACTGCTAGCAAACAGAGCTCTGAAGACAGCAATATCCAATCTCCTCTCCATGGGCGCGAAGGTCATCTGCATGTAGGGTGTCTGGGTGGTTGACTGGACATTGCTACCGATCTGCTTCTCCAGGTAGCCTGCCTCTGCCCGCTCGTGGGGGAGAGGGATGTGTCTGCCGCTGCCACGTCCGGCGGCCTGCTCCGCGCCGTCGTACTCAGCCATGTAGCGAGGGTCCATGTTGACGACGGACTCGAGGCGACGGTTGAACATGCGGTTCCAGCGGTTCTCCTTGATGTGCTCGCCATGGTAGCCACGGGTGACGGACTTGGCCGCCCACTTCTGCTGGAAAAAGGTCTTGCCCGTAGTCTGCGGCACTCTAGCACGGGACAGGTTGAAGAGGTTGAATTTGTTCCATGATTGGCGGACGCGCTGTTGTGGTGATCACACCCTCCGTTAGCCCATCATGAATTTGAGGCAGCACCAACCACAAAGGGGGCAGCGGAAGAGCGCAAGACCTACCGGCCGCTTCAATCCGTGGAACCTCAATGTCCTCCGGAACTTCATGGCGGAATCTGGGGGGGCTGGAATTGGCCCAATGTCACAATTGCGCCTCGAATGCCGTCGGACAAAAAGAAAGAAGTTCCCGTTCTGGCACTCACTCTCCTAAGCTCACGACACTTTTCGGAGCTGGTCCCAAAAATTTCGGCTCCAATTGACGGGCACTCACGTGAGGCTGGCCCATTCTAGAAAGTGAGCGAGTTGGGCCGTGCACCACTGGACGCACCCTTTGGCGCTCTCGAGGCGCTGAAGGATGAAAAGAGAGAATGGTAGTGATGCTTGATTGATGTGTAGTGGAGAAGACACTCAAGCTAAGATTTTAGCCCTTTTTATGTCCATCAGGCCTATAGGTGGCTCCTGCCCCTTACATCCCGCCTGGCAACACAACTACAAGTCGACCCCGACTTGCTACCTCAGCATATATCACCCCTCCTTCCTCTAATAGCAAAACCGATTAAAAACAGCCAACCAGAAAAGAATCAGCCAACTCCTTTAAGAATCTCTAGAAATCTATTTTCCTTCTATTCTACCTAGATAGTAGAGTAATTTATCTAGACTTAATATAAACTAGAGACTTTATACTTCTTTAATATAGATACTTTATATTATTAATAGATCTTTAGCTAGAGGTAATATAATATAGTTAGAATAGTAAATACTTAGTATGCTTCTGATTAGTAAGTAAGATAAGAATCTCTTAAGATTAGAATAAGAAAATTAATATAGGGTATAGTAGTATAGAGATAGTTTTTTCTATTATTTAAGAAGAATTAAGACTTAGCTTAAAAGTAATTTAAGATTAAGAACTAAAGATATATAAGGCTAAGTTATTATAATAGAGAGCTTTTTTAGTTTAAGAGATTATAAAAAGAGAAATAATAATAATATTTAATTAATATATAATAAAGAAGATACTTAAGCTAAGATTTTAGTTCTTTTTATATCTATTAGATTTATAGGTAGTATTTATCTCTTATATTCTATCTAGAATATAACTATAAGTTAACTCTAACTTACTATCTTAATATATATTATCTCTTCTTTCTTTAATAATAAAACTAATTAAAAATAGCTAACTAAAAAAAAACTAGCTAATTTCTCTAAGAATCTTTAGAAATCTATTTTTCTTTTATTCTATCTAGATAATAAAGTAATTTATCTAGACTTAATATAAGTTAGAGACTTTATACTTCTCTAATATAGGTACTTTATACTATTAATAGATCTTTAGCTAGAGGTAATATAATATAGCTAGAATAGTAAATATTTAATATACTTCTAACTAATAAATAAGATAAGAATCTCTTAAGACTAAAGTAAGAAAATTAATATAAGATATAATAATATAAAGATAGTTTTTTCTACTAACTTAAAAGTAATTTAAGATTAAGAACTAAAGATATAAGATTAAGCTATTATAATAGAGAGCTTTTCTAGCTTAAGAGATTATAAAAAGAGAGAATAATAGTAATATTTAATTAATATATAATAGAGAAGACACTTAAGCTAAGATTTTAACTCTTTTTATATCTATTAAACCTATAGGTAGCTTCTATCTCTTATATCTTATCTAATAATATAACTATAAGTTAATTCTAACTTATTATCTTAGTATATATTATTTCTTCTTCCTCTAATAATAAAATTAATTAAAAATAATTAATTAGAAAAGAATTAGCTAACTCCTCTAAGAATCTCTAGAAATCTATTTTCCTCCTATTCTATCTAGATAATAGAGTAATTTATCTAGACTTAATATAAGCTAGAGACTTTATACTTCTTTAATATAGGTACTTCATACTATTAATAGATCTTTAGCTAGAGGTAATATAATATAGTTAGAATAGTAAATGCTTAGCATGCTTCTGACTAGTAAGTGAGGTGAGGGTCTCTTGAGACTAGAGTGAGGAAATCGGCATAGGGCGTAACAGTATAGAGACGGTTTTTTCTGCTGTTTAAGGAGAATCGAGACTCAGCTCAAAAGTGATTTAAGATTGAGGACCAAAGGCGCAAGGCCAAGCCGTCATGATAGAGGGCTTTTCCGGCTCGAGGGACCATGAAAAACGCCCAGATACGTAGGGTCAAAAATGGTGGTTTATTGTGGCCTAGAGAGAAAAGAGAGGAGCCCGGCCCGAAGGCGAAATTAATGGTGCTAAGAGCTATTTTTGGGTGGGTCGCGCAGCCAGACCTCACAAGGACGATCAAGAGTCCCACTGCACTTGTACTGCATCTCGCCAGGGACGGGGCGAGCTTTGCGCCAGAAAGCGTGGATTGGTGGGGTACAAACTTGGCTACCGCTACCGCTACAGCCGCTGGATTCGGCAGGCGGTGTGACTCTACCACCCACCCAACCACCCTGAAATCCACCTCGAATGTGCGCCATCACCCACACTAATTGGCGCCAGTGGGATTTTTTTCTGCCTTGCCTTGCAGCAGCGTCTTGTGGTCGCTGCAAAATCTTATCTTCAAAAAGTTGTCAAGGTCGATTTTCATAGAGTTGACCTGACCATTGTCCGCTCAAATCCACGCCTATTGTTCGTCTTTCCTAGGCGCGCCAATTGTTCTCCTACCAATTGTTCTTTGCAACGCACCATAGTCAAAGTACACCAGGCATCGAGTTCTGCTACCCCGCCAGTCGACCAGAAAGATTCTTGCGCCAACTGCTACCTTCCAAGTTCTTCACCGATTGAGTCACTTGGAGATATTTCTTGTTTTCTTTTCCTCTTGTACTTGAACTTGAACTCTCGGTTCTTCCATCCCAGAGAACGTCCTTCTTTCCAAATACAGGTACATTACATACACCATGAGCGACGCCGCCCCCGCCAAGCCGGAGGCTACCCAGCAGGTCGCTGATCCTGCGCCTACTGCCGCCGAGGAGACTGTCGCAACCGAGTCCAAGCTGGAGGAGACCAAGGAGGAGCCCAAGGAGGAGCCCAAGGAGGAGCCCAAGGAGGACGACAGCAAGATCCAAGAGGCTGATGCCACCGCTGATAAACAACATCAAGACAATGACCGGGCCAATGGCCGATCCCGCCACCAAAAACGTCCTGCGAACAGCAAGTTCGATGCGTCGCTCCTGCCCGAGACTGATGACCCTACCAAGATCCGCGCTCAGGTAAATCTTCACTCTAGCATTCAGGAGACTAATTGCACAGAGTTCAAAGCTAACAGCTCCCAAGGTCGAGTTCTATTTCTCTGACAGCAACCTGCCCACCGACAAATTCATGTGGGACCAGACCGGGGGCTCGGAGAACAAGCCCGTCAAGGTCAAGAAGATCTGCGAGTTCCGCCGCATGCGCCGTTTCCAGCCATACGAGGCTGTCGTCGCTGCCCTACGGGACAGCAAGTCGCTCAACATCTCTGGCCCCGAGGGCGAGGAGGAGATCACCCGAAAGGTCGCCTATGAGCCCAACCAGCACCGAGGCAAGGCCGATGCCGCCACTGTGTACGCCAAGGGATTCGGTGACGAGGAGCCTTCCACCCAGTTCGATCTCGAGGCCTTCTTCACGCAGTACGGCTCTGTGAATGCAGTCCGTCTCCGCCGTGCTGAGGACAAGCTCTTCAAGGGATCCGTCTATGTCGAGTTCCAGGATGAAGAGACTGCCAAGAAGTTCCTCGAGCTAGACCCTAAGCCGCAGTGGAAGGGCAACGACCTGAAGATCATGTCGAAGAGGGAGTACGTTGACGAGAAGAACACCCTGATCCGCGAGGGCAAGATTGAGCCCAGCACCCGACCGCAGCGCTTCTTCGAAGGACGCGAATCTGGTAAGCGCGGCGGGCGCGGTAGGGGTGGCAAGAACATTGATCGCGACGACTGGAAATCGCGACGTGATCACGACCAGAAGAACGGCTTCCGCCGCGGCGGTGGTCGAGGCCGGGGGCGTGGCCGTGGCGGATTCCGTGGTGACCGTGACCGCAATCGTGAGCGTGAGGACCGCCAGCGCGACGAGTAAGTTCAAGGCTTTTCGAGACGGTCCAAAGACTCATGCTGACTTTGATCTCCTATAGTGCCAAGCCTACTTCCGACGACAAGGAGGCCGCCTCGGATTCGACCAACAAGCGCCCTCGCGAGGAAGATGGGCAGACCGAGGCACCTCCGGCCAAGAAGGTCGACATCAAGGAGGAGGTCGCCACGGAGGGCTCATGAGAGTGGCCGAATTTTTGAAAGTCAAAAGATATATCCGCGTCTTATTCACCGTCTCGCGTCGCTGTCTAGATTTGCTGCTGCAATTTTACGGGAATCACATACGTCTTTCACCACCTTCAGTTCGGGAGTGCTGTATCATAGAATTGGCGTTCATGGCTTGGGAATACCAGTCAACACAAAACGAGGACGAGGAGGTCTGGTCGTCTAGCACATCGCACATCAATCGAATAGGAAATATCACTAATATTCGTGCTTGCGAGAAGTTCTCCAAGGTGCGGGAAGCGTAAATGTGCCTCACACTCCTGACACATCACGGTTGACAGCTACAATAACAAGGACGGAACCAGACACCCACGATAAAGGTCCGTTGACGCTGAAAGGACCAAGCTGACAGCTGAGTATTAGGTACCTGCTCAAACCTGGTTTTGCACCAATGATACCTCGCGGTTTTTGGTACTACAAGTAGATCCCGAGACCGGCCATCTCTCTTAGGAATTCCCCACTCCCGGCCCAGCTCCGATTTCCAGTCACCGTCCCCAATCCGGCAACGCTACCGGCTGGGCTTTTCCAGGTTCATCGGACAGACCCCGACCGAGATTCTGCTCTTGTAAAGTGTCAAGGCTCACTTCCTGGGCCCGGCGGGAACTGCGGCAACGACATCTCACGTGCGTGTGTGCAGGTCAGTAAGCAATGCTCAAGCAGACTGAAAGGGGGCATGCCGTTGGTCTCGCACTCCTCCCTCCACATTCAATGCCGCAGAGGAGCCAAAGCTGCACTTTTGTGGGTGTGAAGAGTGTGGACCATGACACACAGGCTGAAAAAGCTTGGTTGTTGACATCCTGGGGATGGAGCTTCATCACTCCACCCTTGCCGCATGCTCTAGTCCGGTTGTGGGAGGAGGCAGAGGCATGGCACACACCGTTGTCGGCAGCCTCTGCCGCTTATCTAGGCAAGATTTTCACTCTTCTTGCTCCTCGGTGTTGACCTTTCCTTCTCTACTCTGTACCGTGGTTGGATATGTGTGGCCAAGTGACCGATATTACTTCTTTTGACGACAAGTTGTCAGGCATCGAGGCCATTTGTTGTCGTTTTCAGTAATTGGCTGGCCCCATGTACGGCTTCAGTCGACTCGACACGAGCAATTCAGTACCTGAGATGTGCTCACGAGACATTTCCGTCGAGTGAATCACGTCGAGACATGGGGAGTAAAGCTAGAAGGCCGCAGCATTGCCATGCGGCTACGTCATCGGCTGTCCCTGCTGAGCATGTAGGTGAAGAATCCGACCAGTCTGGGCCAGGCTTCCAGGACAGGTCACACAATGAGAAGAAGGAGGACCTTGATTCTCGTTCGGTAGAATCTGTCAGGGCGGAGGAAGACAAGGACAAGGACAGTGATGAAAGCCTAGACACCGACTTCGACTCCGGCTCTGAAGCAGGGCGTGCCCGCATCACTCGAAGCATCTCCGAGGTCCGTGACGGCATCCAGATTCGTCGCGATGTCGAGCTCGGCGCCGACAACGACCAGCTGGAGAAGCAGGCCACTCAGCGCAGTGAACACGACCCCAACCTTGTGACCTGGGACGGGCCCAACGACCCGGAGAACCCAAAGTGCTGGACCTACCGCAAGAAGTGGCTCGCCGTCTTCGTCGTTAGCATCTTCACCCTCATATCGCCCGTCTCCTCGAGCATGACGGCCCCGGCCCTCCCAGACATCGGCCGGGAGCTGCACATTACCTTGTACATTGAGCAGATTCTCTCGCTGTCCATCTTCCTGCTCGCCTACGCAATCGGGCCCCTGTGCATGGGACCGCTCTCGGAGATCTACGGCCGCACCATCGTGCTGCAGCTCAGCAACCTCTTGTTCCTCTTCTTCAACCTGGGATGCGGCCTCGCACGCACCAAGGAGCAGCTCATCGCCTTCCGCTTCTTTGCGGGCCTCGGCGGCTCCGCACCTCTGGCCATCGGTGGAGGTGTCCTGTCCGACCTCTTCACCGCCGAGGAGCGCGGCCGCGCCATCTCCATCTACAGCCTCATGCCCCTCCTGGGCCCGGCCATCGGCCCCATCGCGGGAGGCTTCATCACCCAGCAGACCTCGTGGCGCTGGATCTTCCACGCCGTGACCATCGCCGACGGCCTCGTGCAGGTCCTCGGCTTCTTCTTCCTGCGCGAGACCTACGCCCCCGTCCTGCTGGGCCGGCGGCGCGCCCGCCTCGTCCGCGAGACGGGCAACGCGGACCTGCACACCATCTACGACCGGCCCGACCGCACGCTGGCGCAGACGCTGCGCATCGCCCTGACGCGGCCCTTCCGCCTGCTCTTCACGCAGGTCATCCTGCAGGTCCTCGCGCTCTACATGATGTACCTCTACGGCATCATGTACATCCAGCTGTCGACGTTTCCCGCCCTGTGGCGCTCGTACGGCATGGGCGTCGGCGCCGGCGGGCTGCACTACATCTCGCTCGGCGTCGGCTTCTTCCTGGGCGCGCAGGTGTGCGCCCCGCTGCAGGACCGCGTCTACGCCGCCCTCAAGCGCCGCCGGGGCCTGTCGGCGGAGGGCCTCCCCGAGTTCCGCGTGCCCATGATGGTGCCGGGCGCGGTGCTCGTGCCGGCGGGCCTGCTCGTCTACGGCTGGACGGCGCAGTGCCGGACGCACTGGATCGGCCCGGACGTCGGCGCCGCGATGCTGACGGCGGGCGTCATCGTCGGCTTCCAGTGCATCCAGGGGTACCTCGTCGACACGTACGCGCTGTACGCGGCGAGCGCCATCGGCGCGGCCACCGTGCTGCGCAGCCTCGCCGGGTTCGGGTTCCCGCTGTTCGCGCCCGCGCTGTACGACCGGCTCGACTACGGCTGGGGCAACTCGGTCATGGCGCTCGTGGCCGTCGTGGTCGGGTGGCCGGCGCCGATATTGCTGTGGAAGTACGGGGCCGTGCTGCGGGCCAGGAGCCCGTATGCTCAGGGGTAGACCAGAGATGGGGTACATAAAAGGTGTCTGGGGGGGTTCAACTTTGTAACCTGTACACTGTCCATAATGCTGATGTATATGAACAATAATGCTGTGCTACGGATCTCAGGACTTCATAGATAGTAGAGTGGGCTGATTCGTGACTGTGTGGCTCGTATTTGCTCACAATCAGATTTCTGAGGCTTTTTGAGGTCCCGGGCATTTCAGGGGACAATTCCGCCTCTTTCGCAAGGGTACGAACCCATCATTCACACCCTTCTCCAGTCATACCATGTATACCGCCGGGAGCGACATAGAAGCACTCCCCATTGGCGCCCATGGCTGGCGCGTCCGCCGACGGCTTGAGACTGATTTCTCGCATCTCGATGTCGTAGCACGGCCGGCGCTGCGAGCACGAGACGGCCGCCGTCCGGTTGGCAGTCTTGGCGATGATCTCGCCCGTGATGTTGACCCAGGCGACGTTGGAGATGAGCATGTTGGACGTGCCCTTGGTTGTGCCTGTGTATTTGCGGCATCAGCGGCGCACCTCTCATGCGGAAAACCAAGCGACGAAAGGAATTGTCCCTTACTGTTAGCACCACTGTCCTGGTTAATGCTTGGTCCGCTGGCGGAGCCGTCAACATAGAAGTTCTCGAAGAGGATGTTCTTGACTTCGCCCCTGCAAATTGGAAGTCAGGACATGGACTACGGCCGCGTGCCACTAGGGGCCCAAAGGCTTACCATCCTCCTCCACGAGGCTGGGAGCCGCTCTCGTACCCCTTCTGCATCACCTCTTCGCCCGTCCAGGTCTTGATGTAGGCCATGTTGTGCATGTCTTTGTTGTTGGTCAAGATCTGGACGTCCTTGACGACAACGTTGGCTACGGACGAGTCCTCCTTGTACTGGCCTAAGCTACCGATGGCAATGCCGTTGCCACCGTGAACCGTGATCTGCCATCGTGTGTCAGCCTCTCAGTCCAGCATCGTCCAAAGTCGGGCAGACCTGCATTCTGGCAATAGATGTTGTAGGACCGAGGCTTGATAGCGATGGCATCGTCGCCACTGGCTCATGCCGTGTTAGTGAATTCACTCCTGAGATCTAGCACATGTTATACGGACCCTGTGAAAAGAGCGTTTAGTAGCCTATCTCTTCCCTTTCCTTAGAGTTAGCACCAGGAGACGTACCTTGGTAGACAAAGTTTGTGAGCATCACGTTCCTTGCGTCCATTGTATCGAATCCATCCGTGTTCTGGACCCAATTCTTGCCGTAAGGCGCGTCCAGGGCGGTGGCATTGACGTAGAGGTCGTCCACCCAGATGTCAGTCCCATTCATGATGTTGAGTGACCACAGCGGAGGCTGCACAATGGAGACTTGAAGGTGGTCCCCTCGGTTTAGTAGGTAGGTTACATGGAGTCGGACAGTACCACTGGGCAATGGCTTACAGTGCTCTATCTTGACGTCGCTCACGTTCCACAGCACCATGGGCATGGGCCGCCCGGGCTGCGTGGCGCCGGCCTCGGCCGTGTACCACGTGTTGCCGCTCCCGTTGATGCCGCCGGTGCCGTGGCCATCGATGTGGATGCGGTCGCCGGTGATGACGAATCCGGCGGCATGGTTCTGGAAGGCGATCGGGTACGAGTTGTTGCGCCAGTAGTCCAGGTCGTCCGAGAACTATGTCGTGAGAATCACTCCCGTGTCAATTACATAGCCGGAGATTCCACAGGGGGCGGGACGGGGGGGCGTTGTATATCGTACCAGCCATGTCCCGCGCCACTCGATCGTTACGTCGTACAGGGTCGGGTTGAGCCTCTGAGCGATGTAGTACTCTTTGCCTTCGGGGAAGACCACGGTGCCACCATGATTGCATTCTCGGAATGCCTCGAGGATCCTCGGAACGTCGTCACGCCTGCAGCGTTTTGGAGAAGGCTCTACGACGCATGTCTTGCCGGTACTGTTGGGGGATCTGGGCTCAGCATAGGGGAGGGTTGCTGTGGCTGATACCAACGAGGTGGCTGCTAGAGCCGGTACAAGAAGCCTTGACAGCCAGGGGAATACCATGTTATGTTGCTGGCAACGGACGGTGGGAAGGGCTACACGATAGTCGGAACCAAGCAAGGAGTATTGTGACTCGTGTTGCAAAAATGACACCTCGTTGCGACCTCTCTCCAACCACACCTCAATTGGCCACGCAGCTGGGGAGCCTCGATGCCTTTAACATATGTAGTTGACAAGAATAGCTACTCCAGCCTTTCTTTTCCCTGCACCCGGGAGAGGCCCTTCACACTACTTGGAGATAGATTGGCACTCATAATTGGACAGACCGGTCTTGCAGATGTCCGTTGATTGGAGGCAAAATGTCTGTATTTAACGGGAAGCAGGGTCGAAATCTTCCAGAATAAATGAGGGGGGAGCAAGTGGTGATCGACGGGTCCGGCTCATCTGCTTACAGGGGAGCCGGTGGGGAAGCCGGGGTGGGTAGCTAAGCACTGCTCCTCGGCAGGATTTGGGCCGAGCATTGAGGCTCTCGAACATGACAGTCGAGCTTCCGCTGGGGGATGGGCTGGTTGAGTATCCGAGATACTGGTAAGCTCTTACCTATGTAAGTCTGCGAACAAGGGGCCAGGCAGGCTTGGCAGGGTTCGAAGCGACAACTTCACACACTTGTCTGCAGAAGGCTGGACACTGCGGGAAGGATGAGGCTTTGAGTTTAGAGCATTGCGAAGAAGAAGTAGTCCGACACCAACGCCTGCAACGTGAGCTGGCCGAGGCCGGGCCCGAGTCCGAGTCCGGCTCGGCATTGTGGTGGAGAACAAGAGCAATCCTGGTGCCGTGCCAAGCAAGATTCGTCCGCAACTTACCGAGCAAGGGTTATTGATCGTTTTGACTACAGTAAAAGCTGTCCCGCTGAGTCACAGACGCGGGTTTACAACCCGGGACTGGACAAGGTTCCTGGAATCCCTGGTACTAACAAGCAGTAGAACATACGAAGCAACCGACTTTGCAGTAAGTATGATGGAGACCGACGACAGCAATGGAATGATCGTGACTGAATAGCGGGGAGATAATGCCGAGTTCTCGCGCTTCTGGGGCCAAAGCCAAGCAACTGCCCGCCTCAGCGCCAGCCCTGGGAAAAATGGAGTCCAGGCAGCTGATGCTCTGCTCGCGGTTTCCTTCCCAAAGAGGATGGAAAAGCGGGTGGAAAATGGGGTTCCAAGGTTGGGCTTAGTCATGGATATAAGAGGGACGGAAGCGTTTAATCTATCTTGGAGGTAGCTGGAGAGAGTCATCGTTTGGCTGGCCGAGAAGGAAGACATCGCGGATGCCGAACCACGTTTCGGATAGACATGCCTAAATGGGGTTGCAAGTCTGGAACCTTTTGAACATTGAAGCGCCGTTCAAAACACCTCCTTGAGTACATACCTTGAGTACCTTGAGTTCAAACATGCAGTCAGCCGCGGAGGATCGCTGTGGGACAGCGACGACGACCCCTGCCTCGCCCGGATCTGGGGCTGTAGGTATCTCGTGGGGTTGGCTGATTACTTTGTGCAAGTAGTTAACTAGTATCAGTCAAATGCCGGAACAGCTGGGGCTGGGCCACGAACCTCTGGATCCATGCCAGATCGACAGCTCGCCGGTGCCTAGCATGGTTTTTTTTGCATTGCATTGGGTGCTCCCAGGTACATGGCACATGGTTTTGCTTCCTCACCCGGGATGCCATTACGCGACCGTATTCAGATGCGCAGTTAAAAGGTATTTTCTCTACTACATCTGACACCCCGAATGAACCCCGTAGCCGTGAGAAAATACTACAAGTACGAGTAGACAGACTATGTGTGGGGACAGCGGTCGCAAGGCCCGCCCGAGTCAACGTCCTGTGTCGTTTACGGTTTAGTCAACCCTTCTAGATTCAAAGCGGCTGCATTCGCGACGACCCTCAAACCCTCTCAGACTCGCTCTGTTCACTTCACAACTTTCCGAGTTCCCAGCGTCTCCAGTATACCCGACCAAGTGCGTCTTCAATCCTCAATTGGCATCGCGCTCTGAGTCATCGTACAGCGTTACAGCGTCCTCGTCCGTTGTCGCTGTCCGAGCTTTCTATTTCAGACTGACCGGTGCACCTCACTTCGCTCCGACCCTGTCTATCTCGGACTCAGGCTTTGCCAACTCCAATCTGCTGGCTGCTCTCGTGGTGCCAGCATTCAAGGCATCAATTCATCGCCGTAAACTGTATCTCAATTGTCGCCGTCGTTGCTCTGCCTGGTCCGTCACGCCATCCGGCTTCCCTGCCTGATTCTGTGGCAATATCAGACCCTCGCTGATAGAGCTCACCTTCTACCTCGCCCCATCAGCCTCTGTCTTCCATTCAAGAACCTCATCTGGATCCTCTGGGGCCATGACGCCAGCCCAATCCATCTCTTGGGTATGACTGGCGATCAAGTCCTAGAACGTTCCAGTTTCTTGTCTCTTCACTAGGCGACTATTCCTATCACTACCAACGTACTCAGCCACTGAACATCGATATCTCGTGCTGAGTTCTCTGCACTGAGAAGCCATTCGGATTGGAAGCCATCGCCACGCTTCCGATCTCTAAACATTCCCACTGCCACCCGATATCTTTCATCTGCGTCATAGAGGACATTGGACAGTCATCATGGATGAAACAGGCCGCCAGACTCAGGTGAAGCAAAAGCAAGGCACCCCCGGTGACCAGTCTTCCTCTTCGGCCTCTGCGCCGAGCAGGAAGAAGTCGAGGCGTGGTGCCGACCCGGCAAATCAGAAACGCCGGTGTGTCAGCACGGCCTGCATCGCCTGCCGCAAGAGAAAGTCCAAATGCGATGGCGCTCTTCCGAGTTGTGCCGCTTGTGCCAGCGTCTATGGCACAGAGTGCGTCTACGATCCCAACTCGGATCACAGACGCAAGGGCGTCTACCGCGAGAAGGTGGACAGCATGAAGGCTCAGAACACGACCCTGCAGGTTCTCATCGAGGCCATCCTCAATGCCCCCGAGGAAGATGTGCCCAGTATCGTCAAGATGATCCGCACCTGTGACAATCTCGACACCGTTGCCGATGCCATATTGAGAGAAGAATATCGCAACGAAGACGCCGTAGAGGAGAACACCCCGGAGCAGGATGTCCCACCCGAGGACCTCAACGAGGGCGAGGGGGAGTTGGCTCGGAAGATGGGCGAGCTTCGGCTCGAGAATGGCTCCGTCCGCTTCATCGGCGGGACGTCCCACCTGATCTACGTGGGTGACCCGACCGAGTCTCAACTCGATCCCGATCCCGAACAATTTTCGACCGACCAGGACCCTATCGCCAGCTGGACTGACGCCACCAACGACACCCAACTGATCGTGCACCTAATCAATATGTACTTCAGTTGGCATTATCCCTATTTCACTATCCTGTCCAAGAGCCTCTTCTATCGAGATTTCTTCCAAGGCAGACGCAGAACTCAGATGAACAACACGGCGTACTGTTCATCACTGCTGGTGAACGCCATGCTGTCTCTGGGTTGTCATTTCACAAATGTTCCTGGCGCGTATGCCAGCCCGCATGATGACCGGTCCAAGGGCGACCACTTCTTCGCCGAAGCAAAGAGACTCATCTTGGACAACGATGAATACGAAAAGCCGAGGCTTACTACCGTCCAGGCTCTGGCATTGATGTCTGTCCGCGAAGCTGGCGCGGGGCGCGAGGCCAAAGGTTGGGTCTACAGCGGGATGAGCTTCCGCATGGCCCAGGATCTCGGCTTGAACCTCGATATCGGAGGTTTCACCGCCAACAAGCAGCACTTGAACGAGCAGGAACTCGATGCTCGACGCGTCACCTTCTGGGGCTGCTTCCTCATCGACAAGGCTTGGTCCAATTACCTCGGCCGCCTTCCGCAGATACCAAAGAACTCGTACAGCGTGCCAAAATATGAGGTTTTCCCCGACGAAGACGCGGAGATGTGGTCTCCTTACACAGACGGCGGGTTCGACGAGTCGCAGAAGCAGCCAGCTCGTACCCGTGCCATCGGCCTACAGCTGTCCAAGCTGGCGGAGATCAGTAGTGACCTGCTCATCTACTTCTACCACCCGACCCATATCGGGAGGTCTCGGGGCAAGGCAGCCGAGCTGAAGAAGCTCAGCGAACTGCACAGGAGCCTTGAAGACTGGCGGAAGGAGCTGCCGCAAGAATTCGAGCCGAAAGAGGGACAGCTCCCGAATGTGATCCTCATGCAGTAAGTCATAATGTCCCGGCCAGGATGTTTTCTTGTTCTCGCTGACCCTGTGCGTCTAGCATGTTTTTCCACCTCCAGTATATCCACCTCTTCCGGCCCTTTTTGAAATACTCTCCAAAGGCCTCTCCGCTCCCAGCACATGTCTCTCCACGCCGTATCTGCACAGCCAATGCCGGTGCTATCTCAAAACTAATGAGGTTGTACAAGAAGATCTACAACCTTCGTCAGATCCCGAATATCGCAGTCTACATGATCCACAGCGCCTGTACCATTCACATTCTCAACCTTCCCGAGAAGACAGCCAGGAGAGACATCATCCATGGCGTCAAGCACCTGGAAGAGATGGCCGAGGACTGGCTCTGCGCCCGGAGGACCCTCTCCATCATTAGCGTGCTGGCGCGAAAGTGGAATGTCGAGTTGCCAGACGAGGCCTCGGTCGTGCTCAGGAGGAGCGACGAGAAATGGGGCACTGTGAGCACGCTGGACGTCCCTTCGCCATTCAAGATGAGCGTCAGCTCGTCTCCGCCGGTGTTCCCGGGCCAGCCCTCGCTCGCTTCGACGCCAGAGGCCTACAACCAATACGCCCCGCAGGCACAAAAGAGACTCCCCGCTACCACCCTGGCTTCGGAGCTCATGGGGAGTCTGGACGCGGTGGCGACGGGCGGCGACGGCGCAAACACGGGGTCCGGCGCCTCTTCGCAGGTAGGCAACACCTCGTCAATGTCCATGGACACCATCAACTCGTGGGCGATGCCGATGACCACCAGCGAGCCACTCGGGTCCGGGACGACCACCTTTGTGCAGTCGCCCTATTCGACCCCCGGGCAGGGCGGGTTCCGCCAGACTTCGCTCTACGCCGTCGACGGCCAGGACTACTACCTCAAGGACGGCGTCAACTGGCAGCAGAACTTTGAGGGCTGGGGGCTCGGCGGCGGAGCCCCCGTCGGAGGGAACACGCCCGCGGCGGGTGGAGGCGGCGACGTCCCCGACCTCTTCATGTTTAGGAACGTGCGGAACTCGGACGGGTCTCCGGCCTTTGACTCCCTCAACAGCCCGATGGACAGCCTGAATAATCTACCCGGGCTGGATTGACCGCGGAGCAAAACCTTAAGACATTGGTTCACACACATGCAAAGTATTCGAGGCGTACGTAGGATTGGGCGGTCCTTTGGATGGCAATTGGCGTTCGTGAAAGAGAAAGGGCTGGCGATGGTGCTATTTGGATACGGAGGACAGGGATACCCAATTGCAATTGGCGAGTTAGATTTGTTGTTGGAGACAATGATCTTGGCGTTTCAAGGAAGAACGGCGGACCGGATGATGATGATGGCTGGATGCTGCGTACATAGGGATGTGTTATGTGACACGATGTGTGTATTTTCTTTGGTGCGTAGCTCAGATATCCAAGATTCGAGTGAGGAGACACACTCTCTACTCTTTTGCAAAACAAAGCACGCGGTCTCTATGAGGGTGATCTAGGTAGTACACGGGGCACAACTCTATCCCGACAGATTCGAGCAGCTGCGGGTTGTCTTTGTCTTTCTAACCCACCACACAGTCGATCGATCGTAGCAGCCCCCGGCGCGAATGAGCCCCTTCAGGTGGAAATGAGGTCCCCGGTCCTCTCACTTCTCTATCCTCGCCAGCACCTCTTTGAAAAGGGCCGCCTCGGCCTCCATCTCCTCCATCGACCGCGCCACCCTGTCCTCGTCCTCGATCCGCGGGAACCCACCGCCCGGCACCGGCCTGCTATTGCTATTGCTATTGCTATTGCTGATGCTGCTCTGCGCCGCCGCCCCTGCCCCTGCCCCTGCCCCTGCCCCTGCCGCAGCCGACCGCGCCCGCGCCCGCGCCCGCTCCCGGTCCCACAGCGCGCCGCCGACGTTGCCCTCCTCGCCGGCCATCTCCTCGTACAGCTTGTCGCCCTCGACGCCGGCGGGCTTGGCCGTCGCGCCGCTGATGCGCGGTATGACGTGCACGTGCACGTGGGCGACCGTCTGGCCCGCGCCGGGCCCGTCCTGCAGCGCGATGTTGAACGAGCCGGACTCGGGCGTGCCTCCTGTGGCGCCGGCGGCTCCGGTGGCTCCGGTGCCGGCGGCGGCAGGGAAGTAGTGCGCGGCGAGGGCGCGCTGGACGCGCTGCACGGCGAGCATGAGGTCCGTCAGCTCGGGCGGCGTCAGGTCCGTCAGGCGCCGGTGGGGCGCGCGGGGGCAGACCAGGACGTGGCCCGGCAGGAGGGGCTTGAGGTTGACGAGGGCGAAGGAGTGCCGGGTGCGGAGGAAGACCTGTGGAAGAGTTGTTGATGTCAGTGGGTGAGAAGTGATGCGCGCGGCTGAGGTGAGGCGGTATGAGGATCTTCACACGCAAGGAGATCTCATAGGTGAGATGAGAGGCGTGCGTGCTTGCAAACACGCGGACAGTCTCGCTCTTATGTAACCTCACCCTGCCTCAAGCTGTCGAGCAGGACGACTGAAACAAACAAACAAAAGAAAAGGGCCAGAACAGCGCACAGAGAGAGCGAAACCCACCTGTGTCGTGACATCAAAGGGCCCGAAGAACACCTTGTCATCCTTGGAGTCGGCGCCGCCAGCGGCCCTCGAGCTGCTATTGCTGCTGCTCATAGCTCTGGAGCAGACGAGGGGGAGGCGGAGGGCCGAGACGCGCGACCCGAGGGACGATGCCGATGCGAATGCCGGGGGTGCTGCTCTCCATGCAGCCCCAAGCATGACCACCCGGCAATGGCTTGCAGCGCGCGTGCACGCCCGGCTCATTAAATAGGAACTGCCTGTCCGTGAGCTAGCTCCTCTTCTCCCTGTCTACGGCGGTGGTCAGCTCATGGTCATGTGAGACATAGGGGACGGGGTCTTCGTTACCTAAAGCCAGCCTTCAGCCAGAAGTCGCCTTCATAAGGGCCCGGGGGTGTTAAGATTGCTGAACCGGAACGTATCTAATTGATGATGTGATTAGATGAACGTGCAGGTGTCGTGTGGGGATGACGTTTTGGGAGAGGCGGATTGACCATTGACACTCTGGAGATAAAGCTACTGTGGAGAACTGCACTCGTCTTGTACGGCGATGCTCGGCCCCGTTTCCCGCCTGCCGGATGTGGTGTGCACAGGTGCCCGGCGCACTGAAATCGCACATACATGTAGGTATCGAGAAGTGATATTCTCGGGTTTCATCGTATTTTCCTCTGTTATCTATGCTATTTGTTTCATATTGTGCAATTGTAGTTGTATATCAAAATGCTAAGCCACCCTCCAAAACGCCCGTGGAGCCGAGTCTAGACCACCCCCTTGTAGTAAAATCACAAAGCCAGCCCGTGTGATGCTGGGTTAGGGACTCCAACATATACGATGCATCAATACCTTCAAAAGCGAGTGTTCAAACATATCTCGGGGATTTACCCGAGCACTAGATCCGAGGGATGATCTCATCGTCAGTGAGCGTCTCATCGCTCACCAAGTTGTCCTCCTCTGGACTGCTGCGCGGTGCGGCCGAAACTATGTCTTCCTCCTTCAGGTAGACTTGAAAATATATATGTTAGCGCTCGATGTTTGGCGGAGGCAAACGGGAAGGGGATAGCTGCTTACCATGCGGCCTGATAAAGAAGGAGAACAGGAGCAAGAAGCAGAACAGCACAGTGAGCAGCACGAAAATGGCCTGCGAGAAGTGGCCCACCGTCGCAGCATACAGACCGTTGAACAGAATCGGCGCAAAGACCCTCGAGAGCGCGTGCAGCAGGCCGATAGCTCCGAGCAGCTGCCCGAGCATCTGCGAAGGGACGTGCTTGGAGAGAGAAGCCTGGATCGTGGCCGAGCCCAGACCACCAAAGGCGGTGATGACACCGCAGAGCACGAAGAGAGCAGGAGTCCGGACAAAGATGTAGCCGGCAACGCCAATGATGTCGGAGAAGATGGCAAACCGGAGCAGCCACACGTCAAGCTTGTCTGCGCCTGCATTCCTCTCGCCAGGTCGGACGCCGGTCTCGAGCCGCAGTCGGCGGGCAGGCCGGACGCGGAAGTAGTAGTTCACGACGGGGAAGATGGCCATCAGTACAAACACCCGCACCATGGAGACGAGAGATATGAAGCGCGACGTCTCAAAGTTGCCCCAGTCGAACATAAACTCGCTGTAGAGCAGCGTGACCTGACCGGAGCTCATGGCCGCACCGAGCAGGATAGTGTCGATGGCAGCATACAGAAGGAGGTTGCGGCGGACCCGAGATGCTCCGGGACCACTAGGGACCAGTATCTTGAGAGGCGCAAAAGGGTTCGACTTGCGCGCAGCCGCCCAGAGGGTGTACAGCCAAAATTGCTCGTCTCCAGGGGCACCTCCAAGGCGGATCAATCCTTCGTTCAGCGACTCCTGTTCCTGGCTGTGCTTGTCTCGAGCGAGACGCTGGCGCTTCCTGGAGAGAGACTCCGGTAGGATGAGCGCGATGAAGAGGATGAAAAAGAGGTGGCACCCGAGAGTGATGTAGAAGATGGAGAGTAGAGAGCCTGTCCATCTGACAAAGTAGCCAGCCATCAGAGGTCCGAATGCCAGTCCAGTGAACAGGCACGCATGCAGGTAGCCGATGGCGACACCGCGCTTAGAGGGCGGCGTACAGTCGCTCACATACGAGTGGCCGAGCAGGCTTCCGGCCGTGAAAGAGCCCGACAAGCCATCGAAGATCGCGCCGAGGATGATCCATCGGTAGTGGAACACGTCAGGGTACTTTCCGGCGAGAATGATGACAACCTCGCCGAGGACACCTCCGCACGAGGTAAGGGCCAGCAGGTACTTGCGGCCGTAGCGGTCCGACAAGGACCCTAGTTTTGGCGCAGAAAAAGAGCTGAGAACGCCGGTGATGACACTGAGGACCAGCATGAAGGTCGCGACATGGCGCTGGACCTCGGGTGTCTTGCACTGCGGGTTCTCGGCTCCCGGTACTACGGGTGCGGCGATGAATGACGGATCATGGAGCGTCCGGTCAGCAAAGTACCGTTTGCACACCAGGTCGACGATCCTGTCACGAGGTCAGCAGCGCGTACGGATCGATGCGAGGCAAAGCTCATCATCTTACAAGTTCAATTTTGGCACAATCGATCCTCCAAACGCCAGAGTGAACAGCATGTATGGCCCGACCAGCCAATACACCTATGTCACGGCCGTGTTAGTACATGGATATGGTGTTGCACTGTCGGTAGCTTCAGGCTTACAGAAGGTTGCCGATACCACGGCTCGCCGACGAAGTCATCTGCGCCTTCCCAGACGCCCGATTGAGGTCTGCTCCTCGTGTCCTCGTTCTGGGTGCCAGCACCCAGGAGGTTGTCGGCCTCGGAGTCGTCCATTTCGCAGGCCGGTTCCTCCCTTAGTCGAAATCCGTCCTCTGAGCCGACAATGGTGCTGGCTCGCTCGTCGTCCTCGAATGCCCCTTGTCCACCCCCTGCCGGCCCTGACATTGCTATTGCTAGAGGGAAGTGCAAGAATGAACTTTCTCTGGGGCTGGATGGCGTTGGCGACTTCTTTTCCTCCGCCTAGCGCAAAGCTTACGAGCTCGAATGAGATGTAATGATGTGGCGTTTCAGATGCTGCCACATTTGAGAAGCGACGACAGCTGGTAGTGCTGATATGATGATGTCTGTTGATGGAGCAAGTATGGCTACGTTATCGACGTGCGCATGTCCATGCCTGAGCAGCGATAGGAGTTCCAGGCCTTGTCAATTCATCCGATGGGAAAGGATGCTGGACTGAAGAGTTTCTCGAGGTCATAGAGAAATGGGGAATTCCTCTAGTACCCATGTCTTGGCTGTCCTCGAGGGATGGAGAACTGACAAATCCACACTCGGAACTTGTTGCGACGCGCGGGGACTTTGGATGAAGGACCCTACCCACACCAGGGCGTTAAACCCGACCACGCGGCGCCATCAGATTCAGCATTAGGTAGCTGGACGATCATCAGCAGAAGGAGTTACAATGGGAGTTAGGTAGGAGTGGGCAGAGCAGCAAACCGGATTCGCTGGGATGCGCAGAGCTTACAGCTTCCTTGCCCTCTTTCAGGCTTAGTTGCCCCATTCGTGGGCCCCATTCCAGGCCGAATGCCTTCCCCCACCCGCCTTATCAACGAGCTTGATCAAATTGCTCCCTTCTTTTCATGATGCTACTCAGACACGCGGGATACCTAGGTAGGTAGTACGTAGAGCGTAGCTTGAGCTCCATTATTATCTGTTCACGAAGGATAGTGGTCTTTCATGTCTACAGTATGTATGCTGTGTGCCAAATGTCCCGGGAGGTAGGTACCATATGTCCACCGTCATCGCAACCCAACCCAGCCCCGCCAATACTTTTTCCATCTAGAGAGCACTCTGGCCGTCGCACACGGTGCCATGTTTCGCTCCTCCTTACCTACGTGTACCTTTTGTATCACGTAAGGTAGGCTGCCTTGACACCCGTTGCTGAAAGTGCACTGAAACCAATCGAAGGCCTACGCAATGTCACCAAGTGCTGTGTTGTTCCCAGTGCCTGTTTGCGAATCAATGACGCACTCAACTGTGTGCTCAGGCCTGCAGGATTTCTAAGCTGTCTCGGGCTTCGGCTGGTCTATCAGCTCCGCTGGACCTTCGTCTTCATTCATCTCAGGCCCTCCCTCCCACACCAAGCCAATCAATCCCGCCCCTCCTTCCGCTCAGCACTTCTGACACCTAGTAGCAACAGTATAAGTCGCACATAGAAAATCCCATTCATGGAGGTATACAAGCTCTTATTCTTGGTAAAGACAAGGCTTGTTATATTGACAAAAACTTTTGACGCTATCATGATGAGAGATGTCCGTCAAATGAGCCTACATGCGCGCACAACGCCGTTCTTTTTCCCACCCCAAGATGACACAATATAGACCTAATAGTACAATGTCCTCTCAAGGGGTCGTATAAAAAAAAACACCACACCCCATGGGCATTTACAGCCTTGCCTGCTGCCCCGCGAAGAACCTCTTGGACTCAAGACACCTGTCGCTCTTGCACCCTGGGCAACGCAGGCCCATCTGCATCGAGCACGCCTGGTTCTCGCTCAGGTGGGCTTTGGCTATGTCAGCCAACGCCCTGATAAAGATGGGGCTGCCGTTCAAGCTTTCCACACGCTTGACCGTGTCAGCGTGCCCGGACTCGCCAATCACCTCCTTGTCCAGCTCGTACAGAGTCTCGATGTGATCTGACGTGAATGCAATCGGTATGAGGATGAGGTCCTTCTGCCCTTTCGCAATGTACTCTTCAACCGACGTCTGCGTCTGCGGGCCCAGCCAAGGCTGAGGGCCGACCTGCGACTGCCAGCACAGCCGGTACTGGTTCGAAAACCCAAGGCGCTGGTTGACGGCATACACCGTGGCTGCGACCTCGGCGGGATACGGGTCACCTGCTGAGAAGTTAGAATGGTGATGGATCGAGCTGGGAGGGAGCCGAGCAGACGTACCTCGGTTCACGACAGTCATCGGCAAGCTGTGAGCCGAGTACAGCAGGACAACATCCTTTCTCCTTTCTTCAGGATACTCCGCTAGCTTGTCTTCAATGTTCTTCGCGAACGCCTTGACCAGCCCCGGGTGCGCAGGCCAACGGTCAATGACACTCCATGTGATGGACCCGTCTTGGTTGCCTTGGGTAGGGTCATTCGTCTTGCCCTCCAGCCTATGCCTCCACTTCCATAGCTCATTGAGACTGCTGCCAGTTGTAGAGCACGAGTACTGCGGATATTGTGTAAAGGCAACGGCTCGACCGCCGCGCCCCTGCCCGAAGCCGTCCTCGAACAGCTTGTTGTACATCTCCTCGGTCAAGGGGTCGGCATAGCGGAAGGCAACGTACGGCTTGTGAGGGGCCGTCTCCGGGGATATCTCGTCGAGGATCTTGCACATCTCCGCGCTCTGATACTCGGACCATTTCCGGATGGGCGAACCGCCGCCAATCTCGGCGTATTGCTTCTCGATCTTCGGAGTCCGGCGGTTTGCGATGATGGGCCCGATGTAGCTCTGTAGCCTCCCGAATGGGATCAAATCACCGTCGGCCTGTGTCGAGGAGTCAGTATGGGTTGGTTGTGTGTAGGGATCGTCGAGTGAAGCATACGAAGAGCCGGCTGAGGAAGTCCTTGACCTCGCCGGTCGTAGATGGGCCGCCCATGTTCAGGAAGACCATCGCCGTCGGTCCCTTAGAACCAGCGGAATTTTGCGTTACTGGCGGAACTACCGTTGCCATCGATCGAAGCTTCTGAGGCGCATTACTGGGAAGCCAAAGTGTCTGCGACGCCGTGCTCCGGACGGCGGAGGCGGAGGACCGCACAACGTGCCTGGACAGGCGCCCTGCGGCATTGTGCAGAGCCATTGTCGTGGCGGTTGATTTCGTTCCAATTAGCCCCTGAGTGAAAAGGCCGACTGGCCTTGTCAAATATTCAAGATCGAGTCTCTGCAGAAGCACACAAGAGAGCGTGGTGTGAAATATCAGACATGAACAGATTCAAGTGGCCACATTCAGTTCGCAGGGTCATTTATCTCCGAGGCGCAGATCTGGTGCTGGCTCGTCCAGCCAGTAATGACGCACGTTTTTAGAAGCGCTGACCAGGGGGTCGCTACAGCACCTAGAGCACTGTTCTCCACCACCCGAGCGATCTCGGTACCTTACCCGCTTCATCCAGATCGCTGTTGAAGGAGAGTTGGGTCACGTGATTGCGCGACCTACCGACCTGGCAGAACAGGCATCCAACGCGAAGTGGGCGGGCACGACAGGAGCTTAGCTTCAGAAACAGCCAAGGCCCGCGCGTTGCCTGCCTGGACAAGCTTGTCTCCACCCGGCCCCGAGCTGAATGGCAAACGACAAAAGAGATGGGCTGAAGCAAAACACCTCAGACTTTCATGCCATTGAGGACTGATCTACCTGGTTCTTCTCTCCCTCGCTTTGTTTCTCGAATACCGACCAAGTGCTGCTCATCATGGGTGACCGCGGACATGAGTACCGACGCGATGAAGACGAGGATGAGGCCGATGAGGAGATGGATGAGAGTGTAAGTCGCACTGACCCTCATGCCACTCACCCGCAACCCAATTGACCCCAATGCGCAGGATTTCAAGTCACAAAAGGACGCCGTCATCTTCGCGATCGACGTGAGCAAGTCTATGCTGAAGCCACCGCCGGCCAGCGACTCCAAAAAGGCCGACAAGGACAGCGCTGTTGCAGCCTCCTTGAAATGCGCCTATCAGATCATGCAGCAGCGCATCATATCCCAACCCAAAGATATGATGGGCATTCTTTTCTTTGGCACCGAGAAGTCAAAGTTCCGTGACGAGGCTAACGGCCGTGGCGGATCTGGCTATCCTCACTGCTACCTGTTCGCCGACTTGGATGTCCCGGCTGCTGAAGATGTCAAGGCGCTCAAGGACCTGGTGGAGGAGGGAGAGGACCCTGATGAGGTTCTCACGCCCGCGAGTGGAAGCGAGGGTGTTGCAATGGCCAATGTGCTGTTCTGCGCCAACCAGATTTTCACGACCAACGCGCCGAATTTTGGGTCGCGACGGTTGTTCATCATCACAGACAATGACGACCCGCATCATGGCGACAAGACCGCACGGTCGGCTGCGGCCGTCCGTGCCAAAGATCTCTACGACCTAGGCGTTGTTATCGAGCTGTTTCCCATAAGTCGAGAGGGCGACAAGTTCGACCTGAGCAAATTCTACGATGTGCGTCGGCCCTCCATATCCTCGGACTCCTTCTATTACTGACCGTATACCAGGATATCATTTACCGTGATCCCGCCGCCGACGGCGGTAACGCAGAAGAGATCAAGTCTTCAAAATCGGGCGACGGCCTCACTCTTTTGACGTCACTGATCTCCAATATCAACTCCAAGCAGACGCCAAAGAGGGCCTATTTCTCAAACTTACCTATGGAACTGGCCCCAGGCATGACGATATCTGTCAACGGCTACATTTTACTCCACTCACAAAAGCCGGCTCGGACATGTTACATTTGGCTCGACGGGGAGAAACCGCAGCTTGCTACAGGCGAGACGACCAGAGTCGATGCCGATAGTACAAGAGCAGTTGACAAGAGCGAGGTCAAGAAGGCGTACAAATTCGGTGGTGAATACGTGTACTTCTCGCCCGAAGAGCAAAAGACGCTGAAGGATTGGGGCGGCAAGGGGCTACGCATCATTGGCTTCAAGCCACGGTCGATGCTCCCTTCATGGGCATCGGTGAAGAAGTCGTTCTTCATCTTCCCTTCAGAGGCGGACTACGTGGGCTCCACACGTGTGTTTTCCGCCTTGTGGCAGAAGTTGCTGAAGAGCGAAAAGATGGCCATCGCATGGCTTGTCTCGCGGACCAATGCCAACCCACTGCTGGTAGCAGTGCTGCCGACCAAAGCCCAAACAGATGACGAGTCTGGCACGCCGTTTCTCCCTGCTGGCCTGTGGCTGTATCCCTTGCCGTTCGCGGATGACTTGCGAGAGATCGACAGGAAGGAAACTATCAAATGCTCCAACGAGCTCATTGATCGTATGCGACCGATCGTACAGAACCTCCAGCTCCCAAAGGCCATGTACAACCCGGCCAAATACCCGAATCCCGCGCTGCAATGGCACTACAAGATTCTCCAGGCGTTAGCCCTTGAGGAGGAGGTTCCAGAGCATCCCGAGGACGCAACCAAGCCCAAGTACAAGGCTATCAACAACCGTGTCGGAGGCTACATGGTCGAATTCAAGGAGAAGGTAGAAGAGGAGGCCGGTGGCCTGCAGAAGAGCCGGGCTACAAAGCGTGAGTTGGAGGATGATGACGATGACGCGCGCCCGGCAAAGAAGAGCAAAGCTGCCGCCGGGAGCAAAGGAAAGGCTGACGGGGCCAATGGGGGCGGTTCAAGCAACGCCCAGCTCAAGAAAGCAGTCGAGCAGCAGACCCTGTCCAAGATGAAGGTGAACGAACTCAAGGATATTCTAGGCGCGAAGGGATTGAGCACGGCTGGGAAGAAGGCCGATTTGGTGGAGCGTCTCGAGCAATGGGTGGAGGAGAACGTCTAATTGCCTGTATCATGTATGATCTTGTACCCGACCAGTGCTGCTGCGACCGGCTTGCTAGCTGGAGTGCCTTGTACTCTGTACTTGTATTCGCCTTGATTCTAGGCTTTTAGTATCGACTGTTATGCGAGCATATGGCAACAATGTCAATAAAACAATAACACCCGCTCACATTTCTCTGCGCGATCTCCTCTTGTAATCCCGTTCTATCATACCGCCTCGATTGATTTCGATGACAGAGGGAAGAACTTGTGGATAAATAAGTTCAAAGGGACGTTGTTTGCAAGCGAGTGCCTTGCGATTATAATTAGCTGACATTGCGGTAAATACTTCAGCTTCAGGTTTCATTCATTATTTTCTTGACTTGGGCTTGGGTGGTGTTTGTTGTTTCCGATATCAACAATCTTGAAGGACGGAGTAGGCAAAGATCGAGTCAGAGAGAACTTGAAGTTAGCGTAGGTCCTAGTCACCTTGCAGTAGTGACCCCAGGCTTCCCCACCTCAACCACGAGCCATCATCAGCCTTCAATTCCGCGCTCCGCGTCGCTGCGCGGGCTCAAGCTCTCACCTGTCAATCCACCTTGCAGCGGTCAAAAAGTCCTGACTCGAATCTCAAAGATATTGCAGATGACATAGCTCACGTCGGACTTACTCTTTCGCGCACCATGGAAGAGCTCCTTGGAGCGGTACGAGCCCCTCTGGGAGGCGCCGTGCACAGCCCAGGTTGCGCATCTGTCGACGACCTGCAGCTCCATCTCCGGCAGCTCCTCGATACCAAGGTGTCGCCTACCAAGGCCGAGCACATCTCCGAGACGATCGAGCTTCGCGCGACGGCCGTGTTCAACCTCACGCTCTCCGAGACCGAGAACAATGCCCTCGACACCGTGGCCAGCAGCCTGGGCCCGGGCGCCAGCAGCATCCTCCCGGCACAGGCGCTCGGCGGCGGGCAGTACCTACGGCAGGTCGGCGCGAGCGCGACGCTGGTCAACCAGCCGCAGGACGACCCCGTCCTGCAGCGCGCCGTGTCGAAGCACTTGATCGCCGCGCTGAGCCAGACCGACGGCTGTACGTGGGCGGTGCGCTCCATGTCGAGGGATGCGCAGGGCTGGACGTTCATCTACAATTGCCGGGACTCGATGCAGAGCTGGCTGAGACAGAATGCGAAGGGCAAGGCACGGCCGCCGGTGGGCGAGTCGAGCGGCAAGGATGGGCAGGATCCGGTCAACTTGGGCCGGCCTGCCTTTGACTGTCGCGGCTCGATCACCATATCGTTCATCAGGGTCAACAAGGCAATCAGCGTCAAGTACGATCACATGCCTTTTCACAAGACGGTCGCGCAGCTAATGGAAATTCTTGTTCCTCCACCGGCTCCGATAGTGGCTAAGCCCCCTGTTGAGAACGGCGTGGGTAGCGCGAAGAAGAAGAGCAACAAAAGAAAGAGGGACAGCCAGGCCGCGGCTGGTGCTGAGGGCAGCACTGCTGTCGAGAACGGCGGGGACTCTGGGACTGCGAGCGCCGCCGCAACGCCAAAAAGAAGAGCCCCTCCAAAGAAGAAGCGAAAGAGTACTGCTGTTGAGGGCGAGGCGAGCGAGCAGGTTGCCGCGAGTGGTGCTGAAGCAGCAGCAACCGCTAGCACGCCGGCGCAGCCGCCACCTGCTCCGACTGCCACTGCGCCTCTCCTCAACCTGCCCCCAGGCGAGGAGGAACGGCGACGTGAAGTAGCCAACAAGCTCCTCAGTGACCAAGGCATCAACCCTCAGTCTTTGTCGCCAGACCAGTTCAACATTTTCGCGAACCAATCACCCGATCTACAAAAAGAGTCGTTGGCGATGCTTGTCAGATATGGTGCGGAGAGGCTTCAGATCGTACACCCTGCAAACGCCGCACAGGCAAGCCCGGCCCCCACGACCCCGGCGAAGTCCACAGCAGATGCAGATGCAGCAGCAGCGTCTACCTCCCAGACGCTCGCCGCAAGCGCTGCAGCCACTCCAGCTTCAGGCAAGAAGAAGAAGGATAGGGCGCCAAGATTGACACGGGGCAAGTGTGAGGGGTGCAAGACGAGGAAACTCAAATGCTCGAAACAGAAGCCCGCTTGTGCCGAGTGTGAGGAGGCTGGGAACCCGTGCGAGTACGCGATGCAGCAACCACAAAAGCGCAAAGATGCCGCTGCCGACGATGATGCCAACGACGCTGAAGCCGATGATGAGGACGAGGGCAATGCCCATGAGGCCACGCAGCTCGAAGATGCGTCGTTTGCAGAAACCGCTCAGGCGAATGTGACAACAACAACAGCACTGGCACCAGCGCCTGTTGAAGAATCCACAGCCCCGTTCGAGAATGCCGACTACTCGTGGGACCACGGGACTACCTCTGGAAACATGTACTCCTCAGCTACAGCCCATGGCCATACTCACGGTACTTCGGGTGGCACGGAGTACCCTGATCCAACTTCGCACAGCACTCTACCGGATCCAACAGGCGCTTCTTACCCAATACCCCCTTCATCCTCTGTGCCACATCAAAGCTCCACTACCGCAACTAGTAACGACTATTGGTCTTCTGGGCTGGCAGACAGACATCACGGACATCAGCAAGAACCTTCTGCCACATCCTGGCAAGCCGCCTCCTCCCACTCCGGTGCTGCACAGCCAACCCCATACCAGCAGCAACACGCCTCCCAATCCAAGTCCTCCCGATCTGCTAAGAACAGAACTGCTCCAGAGGCCACTCAGACGTATGAAGGTGTGCAACAGGCTGCGGCGCTGGCCCAGGCTGGAGCTCAAAAGAACCAGCGGTCTCCGTCAGTGCGCAAGTCGCCCTTCCAGGCCAAATCGTCTGTGGCCGGTGCGAGATCTAAGAGAGGCCAGAAGACACAGACGCAAAGCCCTCTTGTGGCTCCCGCTGTGACGGCCCAGACCCAGAACCCAACAACGAGGACGAGCCTCCCGGAGGCTACGCCATACTCGGCCGCGTCGAACAACTCATCTACTACCCCGGCTCCCTCCTATAGCCCCTACTCGCGTCCAGCTACCACGGCGACGACGCAGAGCCAGCCGCAATCCTCCCTGGGCTACGACTCGTACACCAGCCAGGCTAGCTCTGGCAGCAATTCCTATACTGGCTTGTATCAAAACCAATACAACAGCCAGCCCGCTGACAGCTCCACGGGTACCTACAGCAGGGCTGCCGTGCAGGCCAATTCCTCTGCCCACCGCACCTCGACGCCAAGCAACTGGTCTACGAGCGGCCGCAACGCCCCGTCCTATACAAGCACCAACAATACAAGCTCCATGAACACCGGCAGCGGTGGCTCGTCCTTTAACGCAGCGTCGACCGCAGCGCAGCCGCACCGTATGAGCACGCGGCAGCGCTCCTCGGGCGCTGCGAACCAGACGCGGTCCAGCACGTCGTCCTACGACCACCAACAGCAAGCGCAGCAGGCGATGAACCCGTACTCCTTGCGGCCCACCGCGACGCCGCCGCAGCAACAGCAGCAGCAGTCAGGCTCGTCGGGCAATTATAATATGATGCACCAGAACCTCCAGCTCCAGCAGCCGCAGCAGGACTGGTACGGCGGCTACAGCGCTACGAGCGGCAGTGCTAACAAGACTGCCAAGACGACCACCGCGGGGGGCGGATACGGCTTGGGAGGAGGGGGGCACGGCGCTGGGAGCGACCACCATGGCGGCGGCTACGGCCAGAGCCAGCAGCGGCAGACTCGCTCGATGAACAGCGGCGGCCTGCACGGACACGCTGGCTATAGCATGGATGCTGGAGACCAGGCGCTCTACGATCTGCTGCGAGGGAACCAGCACTAGAATTGAAGCGGGGGAAGCATCGTGGTCTTTTGGTCATGACTTGGCGGTGTGGCATGGACGAGCATTCGAGAAGGGGTATATACCTTCAGCACTGGTCTTAGCATTGCTATACCTTTTTTTCTTCTTCTAGTTTCATTGCTTTTCGCAAAGGGCGCAGAAGGGGAAATTTTCATCCGATACCCAACCAATACCTCGATATCTGTTTCTGTTTCGCTGGATTTTGTATGCTAAGTAGGTAGACAGCTTGTCTTTGCTTCGCAGTGATCGAGGTCGCCGCAATTTGCGCTGATGTTTTACCTGTTCCGCAATCACAATAAGATGGCATCAAAAGAAACCCTGAACTGTTTCCAGTGATTAAAATCTTCCGAGTAGGAAATATGATACATGTGATGCCGGACGTGTAAGTTCAAGTACCCAAGGCAACTGGTTGCGGGCGGGTATCCTATGTTACAAAAGCGACGCGTGCAGCGGCTCATCTTCGAGCCCCGTGTCTCTCTCCTGCCTGTGCTGGCCGAACTCGCCAGGCCAGTTCTCCTTCTTGTGTGGCGCTTCTTCGGGGTGACCCTCATCGGCGACGACACCACCAGCACGCACAACCCAATCGAGATCCATGCCCCTGGCGCGACAAGCCTCCAGCAGGTCCCAGAGGCGAGCATCTTCGTCGTTGAGGCACCGTTTCACTAGCAGTACGGCGGTGTCCTCGCCGATCCAGGGCGCCGCGTCTCCGCCGCCGGCCACCGACATGTCCGTCTCGACGAGCCTAAAGACGTACCTCATCGCCAGGTCGAGGTCGGCGCCGTGGAGCACGGCGATGCGCACGAGGGCGTCCAGGACCTGGCCGTCGGGCCGGATGCCAAAGGACTCCATCTCGGAGGCCAGGAAGTCGACGACCCGGGCGTCGCCGGCGCCTTCCCAGCGCTGCAGCAGGACGTGGAATGTCGTGATGTCCGGCCCTTGCTCCGGGCACACCTGCCGCACGTGGCGGTACAGGTCGAGAGCGTGCTCCTGCTGCGCCTGCTGGCCTGCGCCGTCTTCCACGGCGAGCATGCCCTCGAGCACGACGTTGAAGGCGGCGATGGGCACGGCGAACTTGCCGGCGAGGTCGAAGAGGGTCTTGACGGCCGGCTCCACGAGGGAAGGGTAGCGCCGGAGGGCGCGGTAGACGGGCCGGGTGCTGCCGCGGCCGATCGGGATGCCGGCCTGGCGCATGATGCACAGCCCGTGGAGGGCCTTGTCGATGTCGCTGGCGACGGCGTAGCACTCCAGCAGGGCCTCGAAGTGGTGCACGCCCAGCTTGGTGCCGCGCGAGACCAGGTACTGGGTGGCCTGGTCCGCGAGCTTGGGGTCGCCCGCGCGGGCGGCCGTGTTGAGCACGTTTGTCACGGTGCCGTCGGACGGCACGAGCAGCTTGGGCTGCACCATGCGGTTCCAGACGTACTTTGTCCCCTCGTGGTGGTACCCGCTGCTGCAGACCTCGAGCAGGAAATGCCACACGTTCAGGGACACGTCTCCGGTCTCCTTCTGCAGCCGGTGGTTCACCATCTGGAGCGCCTCGTCCAGGAAGCCCATCTGACCAAAGGTGTAGACGAATATGTCGTATAGCCAGTCCGGTATCCCGACATGCGCCTTTTGCAAGTCCTCAAGCTTGTCCAGCGCCATCTCGTACTGGCCGTCGCGCAGCAAGCCGACCACGACGCTGTGCCAGCCTTCGGGAGCGATCTCGATCCACCGGTCCCTCATTTCCTTGATGACACTGTTCCTCAGCAGGTAGTCCGGGTGGACGGCCAGCGCCTCCAGCGCGGCGTGGTACACGCTCGACGACCCGTCCACGCCGTTTTCCCTCATCTGCTTGAGCAGCTCCCGCACGTCGTCCGCGGATCCCCTCACGGCGGCATTGGCCCGTAGCAGAAGCTCATATGTGCGCAAGCTGGGCTTCTCCCCCCGCTCCTCGATCAGGTGCTTGACGAAGCGATTGATTCTCCGCGCCGAACCCGGCAGTTCCTGGAGCTCGCGCAACGCATCGTAGATGATGGGTACCGGCGTCGATCTCAGAGCATGGGTCTCGGACTGGCGGTCTTTCGCTTTGAGTAGGGGCGAGGTCCGATCCGACTGCTTGCCGCTGTGATCCGGTTCTCCATTCGGTATATTGTGATACTCATGCCGGACAGCTGTCTGGTGAAAAGGCCTGGCTTGGATGCGATTCGACCGGAGACGAAGAGAACCTGCGCGATAGGGAATTTCACGGGTGGCTGAATGTTCCGCAACTCTGAGGCAGCTCAGGTCGAACGAGGGACAGAGACATCTCCATAGTCCGTCAATTACGACACGGCTTCCCGGCATTGGCTCGAATGTCGTGGTGCTGGGAAATGTACATCCCCTTAGTCTTTTTTTTGAGAGTCCCAAATCCTGAGGCCGATGCAAACCGTTCGTTTTTGGGGGCTTTTTAAAGGTCACGTGTGGCACCGAGCTTGCTCCAGGACCGGGGTCATACAGCATGCCAATGCGCCGCAAAAAAAAAGGCATTTGCTAAGTGAATTCTGCTATCGTCGACCTGTATAGAGGTCATTGAAAGGATGGTGTAGCTTCTGAGATGTCCGGGAGCTTCGCGCAAGGCAGCCTCTCGGGAGGGCGAGGCCTCTTCGACTGCGACCCCACCATCCCCGACTCCCTCTCCTGCCCAGTCTCGGTTCATACAGCCTTGGTGTGCTGCTTCTATGGCCTCTATAGGTCTCCAAATGCGCCCTTTCCAGTGTTTTGTATCCCAGCAAAAATGCCAGCCGGTTGCCGAGTCGAGGGTATCATAACACATCTTCCAATATCCCGAGTCTCACCCTCAAGCAGTTGCTCCACGGCCCCGATTACCACGGCCTCTGCCGCCGCCTCTCCCACCACGGCCCCTGTCGCTTCCTCTGGAGCCGTGGTCCCCTCTTGAGCCGCCGCGTCCTCCCCTCGAGCCGCCCTGGTGCGACTGCTGCTGCTCCTTTGCGACGTCGATGATCTCGTCGGGAATTCGCAGGAATTTGATCTGTCGAAAAGACGACGTTAGTAAAAACGGAACCGCTGATTGATCGTGTCTAGCGTCTCTCACGTTGTTGCCCTTGACATAGGCTTCCGGTAGTCGCATGAACTTGTCTCCGTCCTGCCACAGCATGTCAGTTTCCGTGGGCTCAGCGATCCAAGCACGACCTACAGGGCTCGTCTGCACCACCTCCTTCAAGGTAAGGTTCATCCACGTGTCGCACTGGACCAGATGTCCGTTGAGTGTCTCGCCGTTCTTGAGCTCCACGAGCATGGGGTGCCCTTGGGCGGCATTCAAAAGGCCGAGGGGCAGCTAGACAAGGGCGCAGGTCAGCTTCGCGGCGCATAGTCTAAGAATTGAAATTATAAAAAGACTTACCATCTTGTACAGCTGGCCAAAGAGACGCTGGCGCTCTTTGTCAGGGAAGAAGCGTGTAGTTCGGAAGAGTGGTGAAGGAAGGTGGGATACCTATCCAAGTGTGAATCGTGGACCGCAAGGCGTAGTTTGCTAAGAGAGCCAGTCCTTGCTGATTGGACCACCAGGCCCACTCCCGTCCGCAGCCTTATTGTGGTCCGTGCAGCTGCCAACGACTGCACTGTCCGGGTCTCCAATGGGTGATCAAATCCACTCAGTCTAGAACAGCCCTGAACAGAGCCAAGAATGCAGGTCCGGTCTCCGCCATCACCACCTAGCTAGCTAACCAGCTGTCACTCAATAGGTAGATACAGATACCTAGGCACGGCCCATGGATTGAGAACTCACAAAGCTATCTTCTTCAACAGGCTAGTAGTAGACTATCAGAAACATCAAAACACCATATGCACGATCAACCTTGTAGGCCTGGCGAACAAATGTCTTATCACATGCTAAGTAGGGTGTTCATAGCAAAATAATCCCCATCAAATGAGGGAAAATGGCCTCCGCGAGGATGCCACGAATATACCTAACAATGTCGAAATCAATACCTCGACTCGCTTCAATCTCCCTCATCCCATATATCCCATAGAGGTAGTCTGCAAACGCATTGGCCATTTCTCCTTCAACCTGCTCTCGGTCTAAGCCGCGCTGTCACGGCTCTTTCGGTAGCTGGCCTGCAGCGACCTTGGTCAGCACTTGATGGGATAGACAAACGAGACCCCCATCACAACGCATAACTCGAAGCACGACTTGCCTCTTGCTCAACCTGCAGAGAGTCGATGGCGGGCGCGAGCTCGCTCAGGATCTCGTATGCCTTCTTGTGGTACTCCATCTGGGCGGCGATGAGCTCAGCAAGGTTGCGGAGCGGCTCCGGGGTGTCCAGGACCTGGGCAGATATCGTCAGCTTTCATCAGTCCCCCTCATGTGCATTCGACATCTTCAACGTACATTCTTCATGACACCAACGGCCTCTTCGGTCTGAGTGACGAACTCGTCCTCGGCCTTCTCGATCTCCTCCTGGGCCTCGGGGCTGATCTCGTGCTCCTGAGCCTCCTGGTTGGGGTTGGCGCCAGCACCGAGCTTCCAGGTGGTGCCCTTGGCGCGGGCCTTGGCGGCGTCCAGGGTAAGGCGCGCCTTCTCGACGTTCTTGCGAGCGCGGGTAGCGAACATCAGGTTGGTGTTGAGGGTGGTGTTCCAGCCAGCCAGGAAGTGGCTCTGTATCTGAGCGTCCTGGGCCAGGCGAGCCTCGCCCACGCGCTCCATAGCAAGCGCATACTTCTCAAGCGCATTAGCCAGGGGATCCTCACCAGCACCCGTGTGCTGCTGGTGCAGGCTCTGGCTGCTGGCGAGGGAGGCTCTGGCGAGGGCGTGAGGGAAGGTCTTGGGCTGGGGCTTGGCGGTAGGCGGTGCGGTGAGGGCGGCCTGGGCCTCGGCGGGGGAGGTGGCGTTCGAGAGAAGATGGACCTTCTCGCTGACGGTGCGGCCGAGATCCTGGAAGGTCTCCTTGAGGTTCGGCGGGTAGTCGTAGGCCTCGTGCGAGTACTGCGAGCTGTACACACAATCCCGTCAGAACAAGCCAGCCTCGCGCGTTTGACGGATCTAATTCACTTACGTCACAGCAAGCATCTTCTGATGGACCTGCTTCAGGGCATCCACTCGCTTCTCGAGGTCGATGTAGTCAGGGGGGAGCTGGGTCTGTAGGTAAAGCAACAGTGAGCAAAAGGCATTTCCGGGATAATCAACCGTGGCAAATGCGCACCTTGTCCTCCGCCTGCCCAAGCTGTTCCTTGGTGTACTGGAACGTCCTCGAGGCGAAAGGGGTGATCTGGGCACCAAAGTCCCTGTATCACGCAGATGACGACGCCGGTTAGCAAGATGATCCCAGAGGTCCGGGAAAGCTTCCATTATCACGCAGGCAACCAAGGGAGGGCGTGCATACGAGAGATTCTTGCCAAAGTTCTTGAAATCCATGGTTGCTGTCGGTCGGGTCAATGGACGCGATGTCTGGTTGTAGGAGAGATGGTGAAAGGTGAGTTGAGGGAAGTCAAATCGCCAGGTAAGCCTCAGTGATTGCTTTTGCGCTTGGAGATTGGTGAGTGGAAAGGGAAGCTTGCGAAGCCAAGGAGCTGTTTAGTCGGCCTGCGCAGGTTGCCATGGGTTGTCAGGGTGCACAGCCCCCACTCTTCTCAGTTGGAGGGAGTGGAGGTACCTGGATACGGGCTATTAGCGCTATCACAAGCGAAACCACCCGTGGACCTCCCCGCTAACAAAGGACTGACTACAGTGCTGCTGGGTCTTATCAAAAGCCTGTCGATCTTTCAGGGTCGGGTTTCACACAGTGCTGTGCTGTGCTGTCTGTGAGTGAACCACAATCTTGAGCCCATCAAATGGAAGCCTAATGGGGACTCATTCAAGAGACTGGGAACCCCAAAGTTGACATTGTCCAACTGCTTCTGCCACATGGATGATACACATCCGTTGTCACCACCTTATCTTTTCGGTTTTCATTGGAGACTACCTAATTCAAGGGGTTTTAGCTATCCATTCCAGAGCAACCCCAAAGGTCCTGGCCTAGTCCCGGCCAGTCCCCATTCCACCGGACCCCCATTGTACAGAACAAATGTTGACTTGTATATTTATATATATATATTGGACAGGTTCAAGAATTGCTTTTGCGGTGATGGTCTAATCCACATAGCTCTTCTTGTCTGCCCAGGACGGCGCAATGTTGCGACACACGTCCTCGTAATCCCAGATCTTTCTCTCCCCCACGGCAGACCAGGGCGTCGTCCAGAACATGGCCCAGTTGGTATCATCCAGCTTCCACGTGCCCCTCGACCGCTCAAAGTACCACTTGTTGACAGGATTGTCCTTCCTACTCCTCCAGCACACACCCTCGGGGAAACAATCTCTGACCATGGCGTTGAAGACGATATCCGCCACGCCCCCAGCACCTTGGCTCTTCTTCAGCACGGCAAACTTGTCCAGGTATGGAACCAGCCGGCCTTCCCCATAGGCGGTCTCCTCATCCATCCCAAAGGGCCTCTCCCAGGTCAAGATCGCGCCTCCTTCATACTCACCGGCAATAATGACACCGGCCAGGCTGTCCTGGACTCGAGAGAGGTAGTGCTGAACATCCAACTCCCTATTGAAAGAGTCATTGATCAGGTGTACCAGGCGAGGTAGGTCAACACATGTATCAGTCAGTCGTAGCCGAGGTCCTCCAGGGCGGGGAGGAACCCAGGGTTGGATCCGTGGATCCGGGAAGATAGTGACCGGCATCCCCCGCTTCAGCAGAGTTGTCGATGAAAGACGAGGCGGCTCAACATCAGTGCTCCTGGTTTTCGGCTTGACTCTGCCCAGAGGCAAGGACGACGAATAGACGGGCCGGTCAGTAAGAAGGTTGTGAATCAGAGGGTTTTGGCTCTTCCTCGTGCCGACCGTGCCCACGTATCCAAAGACGCCAGCCTCGTCGGTACTGCGCTCTGGAGCGAGGAGGTTGGCAGCCTCTGCTGGGGTCGTGATCACCGCCGAGGAGGTGGACGGCAGGAGTGCAAGCGTGTTCTTTGCGAGCTCCAAGTTCTCCCTGTGTTTCTGCTTGACTGCATCCACGATCTGCCTCGCAGACAGACCACTTCCTAGGGTATGATTGTTGACTTTGACAATGCTGTCAATGTCCGCCTTGGCAATAGCAAATTCTTCTTCCATGTTGACGAAGACGTGAGCCCCGTTCGGCCGATGCTTGGCCGGGATGCCCCCCAGCGGATCAATCACGATCACGCGGTCGATGGCTGCCTTCTTCGCCCGCGAATTGTCTTGTCCTATGCCTGTGCTCTCTCCAGTGCCCCTATCCGAGAACTGCAAACCGCAGAAAAACCGGGTCAGGGCCAGGATGACATCGTTCGAGTTCTGCACCGTCGCCTCGCATCGGTCCGTGGATATGGCAAACGAAGGTATCACCGCGATCGCTCCTCGGCTCAGCGTCCCGAGAAGAGGTTTCTCTAGCTGAACCGTCACTCCGCTCGGGACGAATGGGGAGGCTGATTTCGCGATCGAAGTATCTATGGCGAGCGACGAGTCGACAACTCTTGTCTGCGGGCCATCAAAAGCATCAATTGCTCTTGCGAGCCGTAGAGCTTGGTGATTCACAAAGTCGAACCAGTCAGGCCGGGCGGCAGGATCGAGATCACAGGCCACGACGACGATGCTGGGTAAACCCAGAGCTCTCAGCTGAGCCAGGGTTTTTGCCAGTTCGCTGAATGTACCGTCGTCCAAGGACTGAGGTTCCCTGAGCTTGACAATAGCTATGTGAGGCACATCATCAGGCGGCAAAGAGGGTTCGGCTCGGGATCCTTGGATGAACTTTGGGCTCTCCTTGATGGCACGGATGCCCTCACCAGGAACCGCAGCCCGACCCACCCCCGACGAGAGTTGACTCTGGGGGGACTCGGTCACCTTGGCATCTTTGTGGGATTTGCCCTTCCCGCCCTGAACAGAAGGGCCGAAGGTTTGCAAGTAGAGCTTCGCATCACGTTTTGTAGGCGTGGATGCGAGCACCGAGGCCAAGAAGTCCTATTCCCGAATCAGCTCACTCATGATCAATCTGCCATATACTGGTAGTGTCTCATACTCTTCCTTGAGACTTCTTCTCTTTCTCGTTCCGAGAAGCTGCCGAGTACAGACTCGTGATGTCGGCGAGCTTGCTTTCACCGCCCTTTTTGCCACGGCTTGGGGTGGACACGTGAGTTGAGGGTGCAGTCGGTGTTGACGAGCTGCTTTTCCGCCTCTTGCCACATAGCTGGCCAAGTGAGACCTAGAACGGACGGTAAAATGGCGTGTCAGTAAAGAGCCCATTGACTTTGGGAACTTCTGGCTGAGTCGAATAGGCGGCTCTTCCAACTCTTTGATGCCGAGGCCGGAGATAGTCACGCTGCGGTAAACCCAACGAGATAAGTCTCACTCACTGGAGCAGCAGAGGTTGCCTTCTTCCAGGCCGGCCTCGATAACATGATGCCTATGACGGCATTCCAGCGGAGTAGGCAATTGTAGCTCAATCGCCGGTCAGCAGTGGACAAGTTTATGAGGTCTGAATTTCTGTCGCGTTTGGGCACTTGTGTTCAAGGTGACTCAATTGGGAGTTATCAATTCACTGGCTGATAAGCTTTGCCGATAAAAGCCGGCTGGCTGCACCTGCACTAAACACGTCATACGGTCCAGCTGAGCCACCCAAATCCAGCCCTGGAGGGGTTTGTCAGAAGCTTGAGCTCACCCACAGCTGCCCTGGACACCCGCATCTTGGGCCTGTTGGGGTGCACTTTTGGCCGGATCGCCCTGAACATTCAAGCTTCATAAGCTCCTAAAACTGCTCCGAATAGCTCCGAAGGGCGGGTGAGGGGTTCGTAAACATGTTGGATGATTATTCATGATTAATAGACGCTTTGAACTCTCCTTTGACTTTATTTTTGAGGTTTCTATCTACTCGATAATTCATACTTGCAAATCTCCTTCATTAACAAATAGACAGACTCAATCATAGACAAGACAGTGACCCGGACCTATTTACAACTGTACATTCTCAGGTATTCAAGATGGCTCCGCGGGTATTCTGGATCGGTCTGGGCAACATGGGCCGTGTAAGTCTGGCGATTGTTCAGTCTGGCGATTGTTTAACAGAATTCTACGTCCAAGAAATGAACCATCTCATCTAACAAGTCAACATAGGGCATGTGCAAGAACCTGGTCGAGAAGGGAAACCTCGACCAGCCGCTCATGCTCTACAACCGGTCCGTACAGAGGGCGACCGAGCTGAGCAAGACGCTGCCGGCCGGCAAGACCGAGGTAGTCGACAGCATCGAGGCCGGCGTAGCAAAGGCAGACGTCATCTTCACGTGCGTCGCCAACGACGCCGCAGTAAAGGAGACGCACGCGGCGGCGCTCAAGGGCGACGTCAAGGGCAAGCTCTTCGTCGACTGCTCCACGATCCACCCGGACACGACCGAGCTGCTGGCCAAGGGGGTGCTCGCCCGCGGCGCCGAGTTCGTGGCCGCGCCCGTCATGGGGGCGCCCGCCGCCGCGGACGCCGGGCAGCTGATCGGCCTGCTCGCGGGGCCGAGGGCGTCGGTGGAGCGGGCCCGCCCTTACTTCAAGGGCGTCATGGCGCGCGCCGAGGTCGACCTGGCGGACCAGCCGTGCCAGAAGGCCTCGATGCTCAAGGTCATCAGCAACACCTTCATCCTCAACATGGTGGAGCAGCTGTCCGAGGGCTACGTGCTGGCGGAGAAGACCGGCCTGGGGCCCGGCTACCTGCAGCAGGTCGTCGACGCGCTGTTCGGCGGGGTCTACTCTGGCTACTCCAAGAGGATGCTAGAGGGCGACTACCACACGCGAGAGGAGCCGCTGTTCGCCGTGGACCTGGCGCGCAAGGACGCGGGACATGCGATGAAGCTGGCCGAGGCGGCTGGTGTGAAGCTTCCCAATGTCGAGACGGGCGATGCGCACCTGGTGAGGCTCAAAGAGCATGTTGGGGAGAAAGGCGATATTGCTGGAATTTACGGCGCTGTGAGGCTGGAAAACGGGCTGAAGTATGAGAATGATGCTTGAGCTGTGTGGGAGAACACTGGAAAGGGGCTCCGGGCCCAGCAACAAGACTCCTACACCGCTCCTGGAGACATATAGTCTTTTGTAAGGTTTCGTAGAAAACATGACTCCATTATTAAAACAGCCTCCAAAATACCAAAAAAAAAAAAAAAAAAAAAAAAAAAAAAAAATTTCATTTTCACAAGGGGAAGAACTGTAGCATAAAAACTGAATCTCTGTCAGGCCTGTTGCAACGGTGTCGAGTTATTGAACAGGAGGATGACTAAGCCAAGCTCTGAAGCTGAGCCCCGTCACCAGCGCCAAGACACTGGGGGAGCTTGGACCCATGGGCCATGGATGCCAACTACGATTGATTGCTTGTCCCCCCATCCCATCCCGTTGCCTGCAACACCAATACGACATCTTCCACCGCGACGACGTTCTCGAACCACCTCGAACGATTGTACTAAGCCAGTCAAGATGGCGAACGGGTAAGATTGGACCTCTTTGCTCTCCACGGATGCCGTAACACGGGCGCGCTGACCTGGTCGCCCATCATCTAGCTGGAGCGTCATCATCGGCTTCGTGGTCGTCGCCGCCATGTGCGCCGCCGCGTGGATATTCTCGCCCAAGGGAGAGAACCAAGTGTATGTACACTCCTATGCGTCCCCCTCCTGCTTTCTGCTCCGGACCGCTAATAATGTGCTTGCTCTCCCCAACAGGCTGTGGCGCTCATCCCTCATCCTGGCCATCACATGCTGCTACCTGATGTGGGCGATCACCTTCCTCGCCCAGCTGAACCCCCTGATCGTCCCAAGACGAAGCGACCTGAGAGAAAAGTTCGTATCGCACTGATGAGAGAGAAACGACGGGTGGCCTTGCTGCAGGTTCATCGGAGACTGCTCGCGGTGTGGACGTCCTGAAGCAGAGAGTGGGAGGGAAGGGGCTGTATGATCATACACTTTGTCACATTTACATATCTACCGGCGTTCAGGGGCTCAAGACGGGAAATTTCTGCAGATTTTAGAAGCTACTGGTCGAATTGAGAACCACTTGTTCGACACAGATCAGGAAGATCAGCCGCAAAGAAACCGACACACGTGCACGTCTGAGGATGTCAAATAAGATGCAGATTTCATTTCACTCATACAAGATATGCTGGGTCCGGCAAACTCAGTCTATCCCACGGCCAGATGCCCCAGCCAGTCCCTGACCATGAGCGCGACCGCCCAGAGCGCCCTGCCGTCCTCGGCCACACTGCTACCCCCGGCGCTGTCCACACCCTCGAGGCCTGCAAACCAGAGGACGAATCTCCCGACGGCCCAGCGACTGAGCGCGCCCGCCATGGCCAGCAGAGCAGCGACGCCATAGCCGCAGTCGAGCAAAATCTTGAGCGCCTCGACGTTATTGACCACCACCGCCCAGCCGAGCGACCGCGCGGCCGCGGGGACGTCGTACTCCCAGATGACCATGAGGATGGGGAAGAGCTTGGTGGAGGAGCTCACGAGCAGGGCGGTCGAGACCGAGTTGGCGCGCGGGTAGGTCGGGAGGATGCCGAAGAAGGCGAGGGGCGAGAAGGGGCTCGAGGTGAGGAAGCGGATGGCGAGGTGGAAGGCCAGGGTGGAGAGGGAGCAGAGTATCACTTGCGCACACCGTCCGTGTTAGTAAGGGACACACTCGTCTGGAGTTCGGGGAAAGTACGTACAGAAGAATATGTACTGAAAGACGATGGGCTCCTGAGCGAATCGCCCAAAGTTCCCTCCATCTGCTATATCAGGGCCCGGGCCGGACTGTTTCTCGATACGGGCCCAGGTAAGGTACACGTCGAAGAGAAGGAGGAGTATGCCTAGCCGGATGATGGATGGCTGCAGGGAATTAGCTTCACACGTTACTCAGGAATATGCTTAATTTGCCTCGCATGTACGTACATCAAACTTGTCTCCATCGCGCATCAGGGTATTGTGCAGAAGATGTCGGTAGACCTAGCGAAGACCACCCGTCAGTCCCTTGCGAACCACAACCTGGCACACTACTTTGAATGTTCCCTTACTTGCGGCTTGATCAGAACGAGGTCGATGAACAGGACAACAAAGTCGTGCTCGACATATTTGTCGCAGAACCGGCCGCAGTTCTTGCACACGGTGAGCCGTATGTTGTGTCCGCTCGACTTGTCGCCGACGCCCGAGTACTGTGTCCATAGCGTCTTGACTGGATATCGACACTCGATACAGATCGGCATGACGACTCGCCCAGGTCCCCCTTACAATGGGGTTCGAATGAGCTGGTGGATTTGTCGAGACGAATCTCTCAAGAGTTAAGCATTCCGTGAGCCAACGGGCCCGGACTCGAGTTGCGGGCGCTGGCTTCTGTGTTTCGAGGCGGATGTGGTTGTCGCGACAAAAAGATGGATAATCGCCATACCTACCGCACGCATCACGGGTAGAAAGCTCAGCCAACCCTAACCCTTATCCATCTTCACACCACCTTCAACCCCAATTGAAACACTGTGTCCTGCCATTTTGAAAGGACAAGTCTATGAAATGGGTTTACAGATGGAAGAAAAGTAACAATCTGTTCAGTTGTAGAGCTCGCAGTGCTATCATAAAAGACTCTCTGTTTTCTGCCAAATAGGTATATACAACTATCGACTAGATGCCAAGCTCCGAAAACGCCTCTAATGCTACTAAGATGAATCACTCTCTACACCACACCAGCCCATGGCCTGTCTCCCGTAACTTTAGTCGGCCTTCTTCCCCTTCGCCATGTGGCTCGCACCATTCCTGCCTCTGCTTGCCGCAGATGAAGCACCGTCGCTCCTCGCGGTCGAAGCATGCGATACGGACCTCAGCAGCCCCGCGTTGTTGGAGATATCGAAAGCGCCGCCACCTCCTCTCCCGTCATCGCTGTTGGTGTCTTCAAGCTCGATAAGATCGCCAAGCCCCTGTTGATCGGCCCGGGCACGGCGCGGTCCCAGACTAGGCGTACCGGGCTTCTTTGCAAAGGCCGTCCGCAGCCACGTCTCGACGGCCGCCGCGGCCTTGTCCAGCCCGTTGCCCTGCTGCTGGTGAAGCGCGGTAGACACATCGCGGCCGTCCTCGAACGGGCTCTCCACGATGCCCGAGGCGTCCTTCATAAAACCAAAGTGTGCCGTCTCGGAGCCCATGACCGACATGGAGGGCAGGTTCTCGATGTTCAGACCCGGCAGATGCTTCTTGGCCCACGAGTTGAAGGCGTCCTTGTCGGGCCCAGGCATGCGGACGCCTTTGCCCATGGTACCGACACCGCCCGGACGCCGCATCCATAGAGGCCGGATATCGTCCCCGCCGCTTCCTCCGCGGCTCCGTGTCGTTGTGGGTGCAGAACTCCCATATGCGTTGATTAATGGGCCCCTCCCTGCACTGCTCAGACTTCGAGAGCGAGTGCTTCCAGGGCTGCCTACCGCGAGATCTCCAGCTGGACTGCCACTCGCTGGTACGTCCAGAGACTGCCGGGGTGTCGATAGCGTAGACACAGTGTGCAGACTCTTTTTCCTCCGCGGCGGGAAGAACCCTAGGGATCTCCGGGAGACCCTGCCGATCTCGACAGGCTCAGCAAACCCGTCTACCGTAACCCACTTGACGTGCGCCCAGGGGGCTGGTTCCTCTTCTTCCTGCTTCGGACGCTCAGGCGCCCTGTTCTTCGCGCTACTGGCGAAGAAATCGTCGCCGCCTTCATCACCGGCGCCCGGCGTGGGCGCCAAGAGGTCAACGTTCCTTGAATAGTACGACGGACCCTCGCTGGGCCTGCCCCTGATCTCACAAGCGTCGACAGGGAGAGCCAGCCACTTGCGGACCTGGATATTGTCCCTCGACCAGAGCCCGTTGGCCTTCCGAAACGCGTCCTCCCGGCACCTGTACTTGAGCACTATCCCGGCATAGGTGTCGGTCGGCTGCACGTGGTGGATGTAGACCAGGTACTCCTCGACTTCCTGCTTCTGTGCCGCCGCCCCTTGCAAGTCCTCCTCGGACGACCGCCGCTTGAATTTTCCCGCCACGTCCAGGCCTCCATTAACGCCGGGGTGGCTCTCCAACACGCTGGCCGTCTTGACCGCTTTCAGCGCCGCTTCCCGCTCCGCCAGTGAGCCAGCGGCTATGTCCTCCGCCCGCGGCCGCGACTTGTCCGGAGGCGCTGGGCCCCAGGTGCCCGCCGCGCTTGCGGGGTTCGTCCTGCGGATAGGCTTGCGCGGCCTGCTCCCGCTCCTCTCGTTGTCGCTCTTGTAGGCATCGCCGAGCAACGACGACGCGAACTCGGTGACGGAGGCCCAGCTCGGGGACCAGGTGGTCGTGTCGAGGAGGCCCTTGCCGCCAGCTCCCGTGCTCTTCGCCCTGCTAGAAGCAGAGCCGCTTCCCCTCGTCCCGTTGGCAGCAGCGAAGGGCCGGCCCACGCGCGCAGACGGGATGGGGCTCACGCCCCGGCTCTGCGAGGGGCTGGTGTCGGCGCTGGAGAAGACGGACGCGGCGGTCGAGGCGCCGGCGGTGGACACGAGTCGGCGATTACGCGGGCGGGCTGCGGAGTCGGGGTCTGGAACGAGTGCGGTCGTGGAAGACATTGGCAATGGTCGTCGCAGGACCGCGGCTCCAGGGGCTTATCGTAAGCATCAGATCGAGAGCTAGATCCGCATTGGCACCCCGGAGTCTCTGCAGCGTTGAAGTGATGTCCGATGGCCAGCAAGGTCGGGTAGGGAGGGAGCTGAGGAGGACTGGAGTCTATCCGGAAGGGAGGGCGCTTGCGTCAATGGGGTCGAGGCTAGCAGGTAGTCAAATGGCGATAAGCTACCGCGCCTAGCACGACCAGACCAGCGAAACCTGGGGAAAGATGTGCTGCTTGAATGGCAGACACGGCGAATGGCCAAAAGCTGGCCAGATGGGTTTGGGACAGGGGCGCAGATCGATTGTCAGAAAGTAACGAGCAGCCTTGCGACAGCCCAAGAGAATGCACTTGGCGGCGTGGCCTCGTCTGTCGGTCGTGTCTGGTGTTGGTATGAAGGGGGACATGAACGACAACGTAATCCTCGCCGAAAGAATGGGTACACTTTCATTTACGTCTTGGCCTCCGACAGTGGTTTGATTAGGGCGGCTCCACGGCTGAGTCTCTCCGCCGGGGGTCCTCCTTACAGACAGGTTTGAACTCCATGCTTCCAGGGGGGTTCACCAGCCTACCTACCAAAATATACGCCAACTGAGTGAGGTGCGTCATTTGTACTTGGTCTGTCATGTTAACCAGCGCCCACAGCCACTCTATAGCAAAGCATCGACAACCGCTTGTTCTGGTACTACACAAGGCGGTGGCAGCTGTTTACAATCTCTTTATCAAATCCCTCAATCCCGATCATCAAAGCTTCACCTTTCAAATTGAACGAGGGGCACCGTCAATGAAGACGCATATAAGTCCATATAATACCGTATTAGTTAGCTGAACTGAGACGAGACATCACCTCAGTCATCGCAGCCTCGCGACCGCTTTCAAATCCAGACCGTCTACCTATCGCGCTGAAGAAAGCAACCCGCTGACCCGAATCTCAATTGCGCCTCCCACCCCGGAACCCCAGCATTAAAAAATCATTTTCATCATAATCATAGGCAGCCATATACGCGGTCTAGTTCTTGAGAACACCGATGCCCTCCGAGATGCCATCGCGCACCCCGCGCGTAACGCTGTCCACCAGGTAGGCAGCGCCGTCCCCCATGGCCTGCCCGACTCTACCGTCGTCGATACTACAGAACGCCAGATAAGCTCCCACGGTTCGACGGTGGACCTTGCCAGCCAGCCAGATCGAGCCGGTCACAACAGTCTCCGGAATCTTGAACTTCTTGTCCAGCTGGACAAAGATATCCAAAAGGAACACTATCGTTGGCACGACATAAGAAAGCAGAATGAAAAACCTCATGACGAGCCATTGGGTCAGTCTTTGCGGCAGCGGCCGCTTGTCGTTGCCTCGATTCGCTGGCGCTGCTGTTCCCGGTCCCAACAGCTTGACCTGATCGGGGGACGACCGCCGCAGGGCGAGAACTTCGGCGTCGTCGAGGTCGGGTGGTAGACCTCTCAAGGCATAGATGACCCCATCGATGTAGGCCTGCCGCTCAAAATTGGCATCAGACTCATACGCCGTGTCCTTGAGGGCAGCCTCGGCTACCGCCACCTCGAGGAATCTGAGTCCTGTTTACGAATGAGCAACTGAGGTGGTGGATAGGATGGCCTCTCGGTCCTCTCTCTCAGCACAGGCATATACTAACCATGGCTCCCATACTTCCAATCGACGCCGGATGCAGACTTCATCGACACGCCCACAGCACTGCTACCTGCTCCATTGCCACCATAGCCCCTACAGGGATATTCGAGCGACCGGCGCTTGAATTGTCGGGGATCCTGGCGCATCATCTCTTCTGACGGACTGGATGACCGTGATACAGATTCGGGGCTATCCTCGACACTGCTAGGAGGGGTGTGTGGTCTCGACCTGTTGCGGTATCTGTCGTTGGCTGGAGCACGGTTCTCAATGGTCTCTTCCACTTCGAGAGTTGTGGCTTGGCTACAGCGGGCAGTCGAGCCTTCGAGGCGCCACGAGGAGGTGATCTGCGAGGCAACGGTCTTTCGGATGGAGGATATAAATGGCAGCCTGGACTGGATAGACGAGGGCAGAGCTGCGGTGAGAAGCGAGGGCGTGCCCTGAGCCATTGGCTCTGTTGACGCGGCTGGGAAGCGGTAGTCGAGATCCCGCTCTATCGACGGCATTCCAGCGGGGCCGCCCATGTTACAGTGCCCGGGGTGTGGAGGTGAGACCGTGAGAGGACAGTACCCGAGAATTGCGAATTGAATACTGCGTAAGTATGTTGTAAGAGTGATGGGTCGGCTGATTCAACCAAGAAAAGGTGTACGAAGTAGGTGAAGTATATGCGTTTCTGGCGTCAAGAATGCCGTGTCTGAGAATGAGGAATGCAAACCGAAGAGAATACTCTGAAAGGAGCCCGATCCCTCCTCTGGACGAGAATCGACCTCCAATCTAGGTAGGGATAAAAGCTGTCACGGACAGTGTAAAGTACGGAGTTGGTACGTAGGTAATTCGGCAAAGGGTAGAAGCGAAGGCCAATGGAAAGTAACGAGACCCTTCTGCGTAACGTCGACAAACAAAACCTTGAAGGTTTCGAGGCTGGAATCTGGGACTGAGTCAAAATAATCAAAGGATCTTCTTTGAAAGGGAGTTCGCCATCCCTTCTCAAGTTGGGAAAGCATGTGAAGATGGTGGGGGCCCCCACGCCAAAAAGTCTAGCCAGTTTCTTATCATCACGCCAGGAGCCATTTCCATACGAGTACTTGCACCTAACCAACATGAACTAAGCTGCAAGTACTCCGTAGTTATCCGTACTGATATCGCAAATATCGCAAGGATAACTAAAGTACCTTAAGGTATGCCCACTTGCGGGCGCTTGGCTACCCGCCGCGAACGTGGGTCTATGCTGCACTGGGACTGGAGCAAATCGCATTCAGACAGGCACACTTGACTGGCTGGAGTGGTTATCAGAGCCTCGATGTCGTGCATACCCGGGACATCGAAGGCGGCAGATCCGCGGTGTTGAAGATCTTGGCACGGCACGCAATCCGGGTACGACTGCACCCAAAACCTTATCCAGCTGCCTTGCATGCAAGTATATCGAATCCATCGGGAAGATTCGGTTCGAACCTCGAGTGCATAGCCATGTGAGAGGACTGATCTTCAACATTCCGAGGAACATCTGCATCTGCATATCAGCCTGTGCCGCAAAACTGGACTATCCCATGATGCTACATAGACCGGACCGTTGAGCCTCGATAGACGTGAAGAACCAAGGCTTCGCCTGTCATCAAGCTCTCTTGCTCTGTACGGGCATAGACCGTAGGATCTGAGGGTCCAGGTCTCCACTGCGGGCGCCGTTTCCTTTCCTCATCTCATTGAACCGTTGATCTGCTTCAAGGGAATAAGCTTAAAGATCCCCCCCACTGGAGTCGCGGGTCATGGATGTCTAATAGATGCGCGACGCTCATCGTTACACTCACTCGCGTGCCCTCTTCCCAGCTCCTAGTATCGCGATCCTGTAGTGACGCCATGACGGCCGCTCAGGTCCAGTCCTTGAGGCGTCCAGACATTCAAGACCTGCTACATCTCCTGCACCAAGGACAGGCAAAGACTGCAAGGTGAGCCAAGAACGCCGTCCTCGATAAAAGTATCCAGATAAATATAGAGGTTGAATGGAGTGCCTTTTGAGGCTCACTTGGGGCTGCAGGTCAGCATGGCGATGACGAGATTCGAGTTCCTTGTCTTTTGGCCTGCCTTGCTTTCTTGCTAAGCCTTCTGCTCCCGCATCCAAAGCATTACTCTCCTCAGCAACCATCCTTGAGCCTGGCAGTACGCACTATGCTTCATCACTCATGACTATCCTGCCCTGTTAGCCACTTGAATGTCCTTGTGTAATCGGAATGGCATCTCTTACCTTGCAAGCCGCAGAGTAGAGGGAAACTTGATACCCTTAAGCACCAGAAAGCCCATCAACAACAAGACGACGTCAAAAGAAGGAGACCGGGCACGATCCAAAACAATATATACTCGGTTACAACTCCGCTATCCACACTCATCGGGGAAAAAACCCTCCTTGATACCGCATGAACAGTTCCCTCCTCTTATCCTGTGTATTGACCCCTTCTTTGGTTCGTTCCCTAACTGCTCGCCGCGCCCTCGGTCTTGGCCTTCTCCGCCGCAATCTTGGCCTCCATCTTCCGCCGCGCCGCGAGGATCATCTCGTCCCTCCGCTTCTGCAGCAGCGACTGCCGCTCCTCCTTGTTGTTGCTCCAGCCCTTGCCCTTGCCAGCCGCCTGTCCCGGCGCGGGCTGGGCCTCTGGCTCGGCGCCGCTCGCCTGCTCTGCCGCCAGCTTGTCCTGCAGCTTGTACCTCTGGATCAGGTCCGGCTGGGCCGGCTTATCCGCCGCGGGCCTGGCCTGAGTCGACGTGGACGAGGAGCCGGTCGCGGCTCCCGGAGGCGGGGGAGGCTGGAAGGTGATCGGTGGCTAATAAGAGGGGAAAAAGAAAAGCCCGCACGTCAGTAACCGATCGAAGGGGGAAAATAAAGTATAGTCCCAAAACGGGAAAGGAGGTTCAAGGAGAACTCACCGTCTCCATGCGCCCAGCCAGTATCCTCTCCGTCGTGGCGGTGATATTGCACCCGTTGCGCTGCAGGTCCCACAGCGCCGTGCGCCGGTCGACCTGCGGGAACATCTGCACTATCCTCTCGGCGGCCTCGTCCCTGCGCCGCTGCGCCGTCGCCGCCGCCGACGCGTCCCGCGTGCTCCGGCCGCCCGAGCCCTGCTGGGCGCCGCCCGCCTGGTCGCCCGACGGCGAGAAGAAGAGGTACCGGATCACCAGCCCGGAGAGGACTAGCACCAGCACCAGGGACGGCACGTTGATCTGGTCGTCGGCCATCTTTCTTTGCGGTCCCACAACAGCCCAAACTCAGAACTCTGCTGCACTGGACCTTTATTTTGATTTTCAGACTCCTGCAGGGGGTTACGGTCGCTCGTTGTGCTGCGTCTGGAGAACAACAGAGTCGGTTGAGGATCGGACTGGGGGTTGGTTCAATTCGCCGAGGAACGGGGGGTAGTTTCCTGAATCCCTCCGGAGCGGAGCAACTCTAGCCTGCGAGTCGGATGTGCTCTCAATGGCCTAAGGATTCTCGATAATTAGCTAGACACTCTCGAGGTCGCGACCGTGTACGGATATTTCCAATAGGGGAGCGAGGCCCTCGCTCTCTCGAATGATTGGGATTGATCAGGTCACAAAGCGGGTAGGGTACCTAGGCAGGCACACGCGAGTATGTTGGGCAAGTTCCAGGCGCACGCTTCAAGGTTGACTTACTCCGAATTATTGGGGAAAGGTGGAGGCGGTATCGTTCGTCAGCACGTCGGCAGTGCGCCTAAGGTGGCCACTTTCCGCCCAGGCTCCAGCACGCGCGCCACCTCACTCACTCCCTCCCACCTTTGAAGTTTGCTGCGAAATTGCCCGCCTGAGGCTGTATCATGCACCGGATGGTTCTGATCAAACGACAACACGTTTGCTGGCAATTGAAGATTAGCATTAACATCAAGTCTCCTGTGTCCAATTGGCAGCAATGTCGCCGCGCCTACGCCTCCCGGGACTCGGCGAGTCACGAGACCATGGTGCTTCGCAAGACAAGAATCCGAGTCTCACATATCTCACGATGCATCAGGACAGACAGAGAAGAGCTCAGTGAAAACGTTACGGCAATGACACCGCTGATATGTTGATTCGACAGCAAGCCTGTCCGTAGGCTGCAATGCATGTAGAAGCCGAGCCAGGTCCTAAACCCCAATACCCCATCCGTTTGAATACACAAGAACGGGTGACCCTCAAAAACCATGCAACCGTAACCATGTTGTTGCTGCTGAGCGCTAGGACATTCCATAAGCAAAGACTGCGGAGAAAAACAAGACTCATCAGACCCTATCCAGATCCATGCCCCATTTGACCCGTCATGAAGCCGACCAAGGGCTGCGCTGCACTTGCCTAAGCTGCGCTGCCGATGGCGACAGGATTGGTGTCGAGGTCGGCATAGTGCAGCGTGAACTCGCGCTAGGAGAAATGTCGTGTCAGCAGCTCCAAGTTACGATCTACATACATATTCCGGGGAGAACTTACCCTCTCCTTGCGCCAGTTGCCGATGTCCCAGATGATGTAGTAGCCTCGCTCATGCGCATGGCTCAAGACCTGAGGCACCATCATGTCGTCCTTCGTCAGCCAGATCTGGAGCTTCTTGTGCCATCTCCAGTTTCGGTTGTTCCTGTTTGGCTGTTAGCGACCCTGCACCTGCGTACTCGACAACGAGTCTCTTACAGTTCCATCGCAGCAAGCTGCTGCTTGATGTCGTTCGGGCACGAGTAGAAAATCCACATCAGGGTCTCCTCGTTGAAACTAGGGATCTTGTTCTCGATGGGGCCGACGTTGGTGACCTTGTAACACTCGGGCAGCCTGAACTTGGGGATGGCTGGGCGTGGCGGAACGTCGTCGAAGGGAGAGTAGATCTGTGCGCTGATCAACCTGGCAGACCATTAGAAACGGCTTCATGATAGCGTTGCGGGGTATATGCCATACTCGTTCGTGCCCAAATCCAGTCCCAAGGTGTTTGGGTCCATGCCCGTCATCAGAGCATTGTAGTCTGGGTACTTGTCCATGAGGGTGCGCAGACCCTTCAAACCCCATTTGTCGATATCAGACATGCCCTCCAGAGGATTCTGGACCTGGGTCTCGTTCTCATCCGCGGCCTTTGCCGAGGAACCTTCATTTCCAATGGCTCCCAACGCGCCTTGGCTCTCCGGGACACCAGCGGGCAGAGGCGACTGCGCGGTCATGCTCTCCTCTCGGAAGGGTGTCTGCTTTTGCCGCGCGTCATCCTCAACCACAGAGTTTCTGCCGTCTTGAGGCCGTGTTCCTAGGGGCAATGTCAACAAACTGCATACAAGGTCAGAATTGTCGGGTGCTCTTACCAACTGGAGATCGCGCCTCGCTGGCACGGGCGTTGGCCGATAGGGCGTTCAGCAAGCCATTTCCTCCGCTGCTCTGGGAGGCAACAGCAGAGGAGGCAGCCTGAGATCCAAATCCAAGACCTGACATGAGGTTCGATCCACGCTCCTGGCCGATATCGCCATTCACGTTCCGGTTCAGGGGTGGGAATTCGTCAGCTGCGCTCTGCTGAGGCTGGGATGATCGGGCAGCACTGTTCTGGTTGCCAAACCGGAATGAGCCTTGCGCCGAAGAAAGTCGCGAGTTGGAAGAAAACATGTCGTCGTGCTGGCTCTGCTGAGCAGAAAGGGGCGTCGTCTGATTTCGCTGCACTGGGGGGCCTCCAACGTTACGCGCGCCAGAACCGGACCACATCGAGGAAGGATTACCGCTTGATGCCTGCGGGTTGTTCGAGAGGGACGGAAATTCGCTAGCGATAGTCAGATTAGCAGTGGTGCCGAAAAGGATCGTGATCCACGAGGTGAGTAGGCTACGAGTTAGAGGTCAAAGGGAGCAGATAAAGCAGGCTCAAAGGGAGGGAGGTTCAAAAGGGGACAAAACGTCTGGCATTACCCCTTGACGACTTGCGCATATGGCAGGCCTTGGGCTGCCTGTGGTTCGGCTTTCTTCTTCTTGTCCGGGAAATCGGTCCACTTCATCATGGTGACCAGTATTGGCTTCCTTGGGTTGGAGGGTGCGGGTGCAAAGGGGGGCAGGTGTGGTGCAGACATTGTGGCAGAAAGCACGTTTAACGTGCAAAGTACAGTCTTGCCGGTCCGCGATGATTCTGAACAAAGTGAAAGTAGCTGGGCGACGTGGAAAGCACATACGATAGATCCAGAGGTGTTGATGGTTGTGACCCGCTCAAGCTTTGAGCGAAACTGACATTGCCTCCTAGTTGTCGAGAAGCGGCGCCAGCAGCTCCAGTCATGGGGACGCCAGCTCCAAATGCCCAGCCAGAGTTGTTGCCTGCTATTGATGTTCGATTTCAAGCACTTGTCAGTCACCGTTGAGAGCGCGCTCAGGTTGGCTTCACTTCTCCCTCACCTAGCTTCCCATTAGGTAACCTTGCAGACACAGACCGGTTCGCTTGTTGTTGTTGCTGCTGTTGGTTCTGAAACCCCGCGGGCATCCCCCTCAAGGATTGAGGTACTCCTCCTGCGCCAGCCTTGGTGTTAGCTGATATCCTTCCATGAGGCTTGTCGCATTAGGGATAGAACAGAACAACGGCATGAGCACAGCAGCCCAACCCTGCAGCCGATTTTTACATAGCTCCCTCTTCCTCATCCGTACAGCGCGACCCTTTTCATGTGTACTGCCTGGTCAAGACTACCATTGACGGGCCTCCGCCTTCCTCAGAAGCAGCACACCCACGCCATCCTCGTGTCGACGGCGCGCTTCGAGTGCAGAGGCGGAACACGCCACCAAGATCAAGGTCCCAGGCCATGAGACCGGGTTCGCGCTGTACGGGGATCGAGGTCGAGGACAAGACAATCGGCCCGGGGCGCCGCTGCAATTGCATTAGGAAGAGACGGCCGTACCTGGTCGATTCATGCTTCCAGTCTCGCAGTATTCGATCGACACGGGGAGGTTCAGAGGTTCAGCCGAGGAGCACTGGCGATCAGGATTAATTGCGACAGTCAAAGGGTCGTCGGGGTTCCCGGGCACTGGTGTTTAACTACGGTTCTCGAAAAGATCGAAATGCTCGTTGTTGAGTTTGTCGTTGAAAGGCTGTTCAATCTCCCAAGGCTAGCTTGACTAGCAAACGCATCAAATGCTGTGGTTGGCGCTCGAATCTTAGCCTGCCAGGTGGTCTGTGCGTTCCCCGCTTGCCCCATTTCCTCGTGCCAGCGCTCAAGGTACCATGGTATCCTTTTTACAGGGAGAAACACATCTCGAGGTACAACGCCAACTTATTCTCAACTTCACAACAAGCCCAATGTACATCAATCTCGGCCGTGCCGTGAGGTATCACCATATTGACCCTCTGTCAAGCCCGCTGTGTGATATATTCATCGTCTATTCAGTGTTTGCAAAAGACTGCCTTTCAAGTCGAAGTCCTCCAGGTGCCTGCCGATGATCACCATCTTGGATGCCTTTGATTCTGATGTCTCCTTCTCCTGCTCCTGCCCTTCTTCTCTTTGAGTTGGTGCATCGAATATCTCAAAGAGCTCTCGTACCCCTTGCACTATCTTGATGTCGCCGTTTGCCAAGGCTAGCCGGCCTTTGAGCCGGTGGATCTCCAAGGTCGATGAGTGACTGCCCTGGTCGTGTGGAAGCTGATTGTCCCACAGCACTGACCTCAACCATTCGTCAACCTTGGCAATGTCACCATCCTCAAGTATACCCAGAGGTATTGATGTTGTCGAGATTGTCTGCAACGAAAGTCAGTGTATTCATTACTGGGCATTCGCGTGGCATCTCAACACGTACCGCGTCAAGATGGCTATGGCCTTTGCTCGCCTGATCCAGCTCTTCCACATTGTCGTACGCATGCAGGTCTAGCAAAACACCCTCCAGCTGCGGAACAACGCTCTGGTTCGTAACGTGGATCTTGGCAAGTCCGTTGATGGACTCTATCCTCTCCCGTACACGGCGTAGCTCTTGCTCATCTACCAGGTCGGCTTTGTTGATGACGATGACATCGGCATGCGAAATCTGGACGTGAGCTGTCGTCATCACTGGCCCGTGCTCATCCCCTTCCTCGTGGCCCTCGACTTTGCCCGCCGGGTCGTCCAGACTACGCAGGATGTTCTTGGCGTCGACAAGAGTGACAATGCCATCGAGGTAGATAGTGCTCCCAAGCCCATCATCCATCCAGAAGAGTGGCGCAAGGTTTCCAGGATCTGCGAGCCCAGTGGTCTCCAGAAGGATATAGTCAAACTTTCCCTTCTTCTCCATCAACGACTCTATCGCGTTCACGCCCGTATCCCTATAAAATCCGTGTTAGACAGGACTCCGCTCGCCCGTGCGTGTTGCCAGCCGCGTTCTCACTTTACTGAGCAGCATATACAGCCGTTTCCAACCTCCATCCACTCCTCCACTGACTCACCGTCCTTGTTGATTGTCAAGGACTTCTCAATGTCCAAAGCTGTGCAGGGGGTCAGCTGAGGGATAGTTTAACCGAGGAGAGCCTTCAAAACACTTACAGTCTCCGAATTCTTGCAGTGTATGTTAGCAAAACCACCCACCACAAATCACCGGAGACGAGTCTCACCATTCATAATGACGGCAATTTTCTTGCCATGTTCTGCTGTCAGGATGTAATTGAGCAGAGTCGTCTTGCCTGCCCCAAGATAACCTGGCGTGGAGTCAGTGATCTGCCAGCTAGCCTGGTGCTTTTCCAGGTTTGACGTACCAGTCACAATGGAGATAGGCACTTTGACGGGCTTCTCCTCCTCTGGAACCTCATTGCCAGCCTCGACCAGGTCAGGCGGCATATCATCATCTTCGAAACTCATAGTCACTCCGTCTTACGAGCCTGCGAGGATCAAGATGTGGAGAGTTGCAAGTTTGCTGTCGAGAGATGCCGCACCCTTTCTGAGCTCAAGGTGTGGGTTTAAAAGAAACTAGAACTTCTGCGTAGTGTCTTTGATCTCAAAGGTGAGCAGAACTTGCTTTGGTGTTAGTAAAAGCCCCAATTGGGATGCGCCCTTCATGTCGCGAAGATGTGGATGGACTCGGTACCTGAGCGCATCACTTTTTGCAGTAAACCCCACTGAGGGGTAAGCAGTTTGCGTAACTTCCGGGGCGCTGATTAGCGGTCCAGGGCGCTAAGGCTGCTTATTTGCAGCCACCTAGCCCAGTCACAGCGCCTAGATTACCTAGTATCGTTACATAAGCCGACCAGGGATCTGCTGGAGATTGACCCGCCAGCCTCCAGCTTCCATCGATGATTGGAGCTCGAGCTCTAAAGCTTTTGACGTTCCGGAGGAAGACACAGCAACAAGTGTCATTGTATAGGCACAGACGGAGTCTCACAAGACCCTTTCCCCGATATCGTGTGTTGAAGTCACCTACCTCTCTCCGTTGTACGCTCAGCCTCGTCCCCTTCAGGCCCGCGCAAACCAACAAGACCAGGCTCTGAAGGCATCCCGAAGCCCACTACGCGTCTTTGTCCAACCAACTGCTGCTGTCGCTGGCAGCGACCCGACGGCAGGCCATGGCTGCTCTCGCGCCGAGCTCACCGAGGCTTCCCAGCCCGCCTCCCCCAGCAGAGGACCAGATCGGCCCTACTTCGCCTTCCATGGGCTCCGCGATGACGCTCGAGGCGCAGCAGATGGAGCAGACGCTTCTGAACGCAAACTCTAAGCGCCGTATCCATCCGGGCACGAAAGCGGCCAACTTTGCTGCAGGGCCTCCCCTTGTCCCCTTGAACGAGGTCAGAAATCACACTTGCTGGGCCTGAGGAAACCCCTCCCCCCTCCAGAAGTCTGCCATGCTAACCGCCCTGTGTCGCGCAGCTTGACTCGGCGTTCCAACTCCAAGAGCACCTCGCGGCTCTGCACTACCACCACACCGCCAGCAACACGCAGCCCATCAACCGCGAGACCGCGCAGCTCCTGGCGACACCGCCTCCCGGGATCGACCGTACGCTATGGCTCTACGAGCTCTGCCGCTTCCTCATCTCGCAGTGCAACAGCCTCATCGTCGGCTTCCTCTTCGATGCCCCGCCCTGCAGCGCCGCGACGTGCCCCGAGATGCGCGCCTCCGAGTGGCAGTTCCTCTGCGCCGTGCACGACCAGCCAAAGTCGTGCTGCGCCATCGACTACTGCTGCCACACCCTCGACTGGGCCGCCAACGTCGTCACCAACCCAAAGATCTTCCCGAGTCGATTCTCGCTGGCCGGCGCCGATGTGGCCTTGGACTCGAGGGCAGGCGGCGGAAGCAGCGGCGCCGCCACGGCAGTCAAGAACCTCGTCAATGTCTTCCGGCGCCTGCACCGGATCTTTGCGCACGCGTGGTTCCAACACCGCGGCGTGTTCTGGAGCGTCGAGGGCCAGACCGGCCTGTACGTCTTCTTCAAGACGGTCTGCGACCTCTACGACCTGCTTCCAGCGGAGAACTATAAGTTGCCGCCCGAAGCGGAAGGCCTCGAGGCACCAAACCTCGGCGGGTTTTCTTCAGACGGGGCCGGCGGCGACAAGAGGTCCTCCATCGTGCCGACATCGATCGCGAAGCCGCCAGCCCAGCGGGAGAGCCTCGGCGAGGACCTCCAGCCGGTCGGGCGGACAAACACCCGGAGGCACATTAGGAGTAGCCCTTCCACCGGTAGCGCGGTCACGACGGTCATGGAGCAGGACGAAGACGACCATGGCGACGTCGTGGGCAAGCTGAAGGAGATGCGCATATCTGCACCGCACTCGGCAGAGGGGGAGCCCGATGTCGCAGAAGTTCCGGTCATTGTCGAGCACGGTCCTGCAGGCCGGCCGCAGCATTCTTCAGCCGCGTCACATCAGGAGGGGGTGAAGCCTGTTGGTCAAGAGAGTGACTCTGAGGGGACGACGGTGCACGAGGCGCCGGAGGGTAGTACATCGGCGGATGAGCTCAGGAACGTGGCTGGCTCTAGCTCGTCACAGCCCGAGGTGACAGAGGTAGAAGTTGGTGCCTCAGATGAGGAGGACGAAGCTAGCCCTCATGCCAAGCATGAACCCGAAACCGTCGACGTCCAGGGTGCAGGCGACGAGAAGTCGACACCAGTCGATAATTTGGATCCCACCGCCGGCAAGGAGGAAGCGTCTGCGGCCGATGCTACTACTTCTGGCCCGGGAGAAGATACAGAGAAAGATGGCCAGCCAGGAGAGAAGGACAAGTTGCAGAAGGGCGAAGAGGAACCCGAGGAGCCAGCCGGGTCGGAGCCGGCTTCCGACCCTAAGCCTGAGGGAACAGCTTAAATTCTGTCTCTGCTGGAGGGGGGTGCTTCCATCGTTCTTTTTCGAGGCATTTGGAGCCTGTGTGTACTATAAAAACCTTATCATGATGAGCGCTTTCTCTTATGCTGCTCGGTCAGTTGCCTGTTCAATTGCATAACGTTCCTGTTCGAAAAAAAAATCAATGCGAAGAACCTGCATCATGAGTGTCAACGCGCATTCCCATGATGAGACTTCACCACCTTTTCCATGCAGTTCTGCACCTTGCGTGGGTAGTTGTTTGCTCTGTCATCCACGCACGCGAGTTCCCATCTATGGCACTTCGGGCAAGCTAGGACTGAAGGGAAGCAGTCTTTTCGTTTGCAAATAAAGCAGAAGAATCTATTGTTTTTCTTCTCGTCAAGTCTCGGCTCTGTCTAAATGCCAAGTCGTTAAGGATGAGACTTGCTTCGCATGTTAATCGTTGAATGATGCATAACCCCTCCTCCGCCTTCGGTGATTAAAAAAGGTCTATCATACACATGTATATTACAAGGCCGTTAATTCAATATTAGTAATGGAATGAAGAAGGAAAGGAAATTCGTCCCGTTTTAGAGGAACATTGAAATAACAAATGCGAATTATAGTAATACAAGATTGTGACAATGACTGTAATATCATAAGCAAGGGGTCGTAGGTTTTCGGACAAATACAAAAGTAAGGAAGACGACAATAGCGTGGGACTTGGACAAAATATCAAGGAAAGCAAAGTAGGAAAAGTGAGAAGGAAAATGCAACCATTGCAGAAACGCATGAAGAACTGGCATGAAATGCGGTGCTTCGGTGCAATGTCTCGGTGTTGCGAGCCGGATCGTGAGAATGTTGCGTTCGTGAGATGTCGTCAGCACAGAGCTCAAGGAGGCTCTGCGGGTATGCGTGCCCACCCGTGGATCCTCCCTAGCGTTTTCGTCCGCCCGGTCTGGTCTGGGTTCAATTGGTCGTGTGTTCTCTCGCCTCAAGTTACTGCCGTGGTGGTGTTTAGCCAGAAAATAGCCCCCCTTCAGCAGTAAATGCCCTTTTGATGGTCTCTCCTAAAAGGGGCAACCCGATCCATCCCTGCGGCGATGATGGAGCCGCCGGTTCTTTCGAGAGCTTCTTGTCCAATAGCGGGACGCGCAACGAGGCAGTTCGTTTCGAGATGCGGACTAGCTGGTGTAACCGCCGAGTTGGCGGAGGAGCGGCCACAATGTGGTCTGTGTGATGAAACAACCTCCTTACCACGGACGGGTACCTTGCATTAGTGTCAAGTTCTGACAAAGCATTTGACCACATGAGTGGTACCAGGCGGCCCCAGGATCGTCAAACTCGTCCATGCCCATCAGGAAGCAGAGACAACCTCTGAATCGAGCCGTGCCGGATCGGCTCCTCATTCCGCACCAGGGATGAGGGCCCGTCTGGGACTGCATTCCCATTGTTGAGGTTGGATCCTGCGGCTGAAATTGCTTTGTTTCATGTCGTGAGAATCCTCCCAGCCATAATAACACCCCCCACTGAATAACGTTGGCGATCCAGAGTTGATCTGAACTACAAAGGAAAACGAGTTGGCCTCGAGGCTAGCCGGGCTTTGACTGGCATTGATAGACCCCTGTGTAATTTGAGCGAAAACATAATGGACCGCCGGCTGAATTGGGATCTGCTCAATCCGGGGTCGAGAGCCGAACCCCAACTTGCATGTTCGTTCTGATGCCTCGCAAGTCGTCCCGTCTATCGGTCTAGACGAGCTTGCTGGTGTAGATCTCTCACACCATCTGCGACGTGCAATCACAGTAAAGACGTGGGACTTGGTACCGTGTCCGAATTGAGACTTCGGCATCAGCCGCCGAACTCATCAGTCAAGGGCCTTCCCCTTGCCCTTGATACTGCCGGCAAGACTTCCATGCTCCGATTCAGGCGTCTGATGCCGTTCGTCTGTGCCTCTCAGTCGCATTCGAGAAAACACATGCCGTATCTCTCGCAGGTTTCCTTTTTGTGCCGACACCACAGTAGCATTGCGTTCATCCGCGAAGCTTCGAAGGTTTTTCAGGAGAGGGGTAAACCCATCATCGTCAGGAAGCCACCATCTGACGCAAGACTGGTCGCGGAATAGTTCTGCCATGCGTTTCCGTGTCGTTGCGGGAATTATGTATCTGCAATCATGAGCAAACTCGTTAGTGACTTGGTTATCAGATCTGAAGCGGTGCAAAAAGCAATGCAAGGGGGACGATTCACCACGATTCTGACCAGCGGGGAAGAACGCCACGAGTGCAATCAAGTTTCCCTTCACACCTGGGAATACGGCTCCTCTTCCAGATGAGAAAAGAATCGAAAGAACAATACAACCTGATGTAAGAGCAGATACGGCATAACTGGTATTGAAACTCACCCTAGGCTCTCGATCCGCGCATATCGTCTCCGTATCCACATGTGGTGGCGTTCGTCCTGGGGAAGAAACAACGTTGCAATACCAATGCACGATTGGATCATCGTTAGCGCTCCTTGAGGTGTGTATGGCCACTGTTCGATGGTCGCAAAGGCTTGACAGATGGCATAAGCGCGGCGAGTCATCTCCGTCATGTGTTGCTCTGATAGTTCCGAGGATGACTGGCACTGATGCATCATCATAATTGAATGCCACTCGCAGCCCAGTACCGTGAGTGGAAAGGCGGGATGTGCATACAGCACACCTGGAGCGAAAGGATCGACGATATCGCCTGCACTCAGCGGTGTTCTGTTGGGGAAATCCTTGACGAGCAACTCGGGACTCGCGATGGCAGGATCCCAACTAGCCCTCCATTCTTGCAATTCCGAATTCAGTCTTTTGTGTTGAGTGGCGTAGACATCATCAGAGATCAATCCCTTGGCTCTCCGTCCATAGATGTTAGCCATGCGCATTGAGATAAGACGAAGTCTTGCCGAATATTCTTCGAACTTCAAGCCGACGCTCTGGGGGTCGTGGGCGGTCTGAGCTTGATAGTACTCCAGAGAGATCAAAAACCATCTCTCGGGGAGAATGGTCTCGAAACTACCCATCAAACCCACAAAGACGTCGAACCGGGAATACCACGACAGCGACATGCGACCGGGTGGGCTCTGCATGACGGACTCAGGAACGAACATTCGAGTCAGTAGCTCGAATGCGGCCTTCTGGTGACCCATCACATTGACCCAGTCGCCAAGGTACTCCTGCATTTACATCAGCTTCTGTAACCCCATCCACCTGCTTGCATCTATGCTCACCTCTATGGTAGCAAGTTGTAGGATCGTGAGTAGGGTCGCGATGTCATGACTGTCCCTCTTCTTGAGCGCCTTGAGCAGTAACCTGACGCTCTGGTTGTAGAATTGAAGAAAATGGGACATGTTCCCATTGGGATCATTGAGAGCGTAATGGTATGCCGAGAATGCCACCAAAGCATAGAGTAGGGAGTCGCTGTGTATGGCGATGCTTGGTAGGATTGTTCGAAAAAAGTCATCGCTATCGCTAACCATGGCGTAATGGTAGTGGGTTACGTTCTCATGGAAATAGCTGAGATAGAACCGCACATCTTGAGGAAGTCGGGTCCAGTCGTCGCGAAGAGCATCTGTGAAGTTTGCAAGGGGAGGTAAAGCAAGGTTGATCGGAGGGAGGGAACTGCTTGTGCCAGTAGACGTAGCTGGAGAGGAGCTTTTGTTGCCCTCAGCAGATGGCGTCTCGGAGTCCCTTCGGGCCCTCACAGTTAGCCTTTGCAACCCAGAAGCTGATGGCGTGCTCGAGCGTCTGATGGCTGAAACGGAGGCTAGTGAAGGGTGTGTTGGTGCATCTGAATCTTGCTCTTCTTCGTCGAGTATGGTGTCGAGCTTTGACTCCTGCTCAGTGTCTCCCTCTTCGTCATCGTGGGATGAATCAGGGCTCTGATCTTGCTGAGATGATTGTCCCTTTCTGCTTGCAGCTGCGGATTGCTTTGGTGCTGTTGGTTCTGGGTACACACAGTCTCGTTTGCCCTTTTTACAGCCTGCGAATCGACGATTAGTACTCCTCCATGTCTGGTAGGGTGGGAAATCCATACGCGCGCAAATCGGTCGCCCTTCATCGCACTATTCAAGAAGTCAGCCTCTCAATGTGCAAAGACGCATTGCGTATGAAGTTACCTTTACACGTCGGCTTCTACAGGTGTAACAACCAGATCTTGTTCGCCTATGTTTTATATGTTCGAAACCTGGTGCTGATTTGCGCCTAACACGCTGCGAACCCGATGTGTTGAAGACCATCCCATCTGGAAATCCGCTAAAGTAGCCGAAGTGGTGATATGGACTCGGAACTGGTGGGCGGCCGAGGGGCATGGGCGCGGATTGGTGACCAAACTGTGGCGGATGAGCATCTTGAGGGCTTGGGGTCGAGGATATATCAGGTCCAACCCCCGATATGGAGGTCAGAAACTGTTGGTAATAGTCGCCGGAAGGCTCCATTGTGAATTTGACTTTTGCGGAAGTCAAAGACTCTTTGCTGAGCGGAGTCGCAGAGTTGCTTAGGGTGAGGGAGGCTCTGCCACGTTACTTGCCACATGTGTCGTGATGCCACATGCTCGAGCCGGTACCAAGCCGATGAGATCTCCTGTCAAGAGTGATCGAATGGCATTGGCACGTTGGCTCTACAAGCCCTAGTTGGCGAAGGGTCTAGCAGCTTTGTTAGGCTGGTAAACTGGAAGTCATGATCAGAATATGCCAGGCATGGGGTGGGATTCCCAGCTATGCGATGCTATTGGCGGCTGGGTATGTGTGTGTGGGAGAGAAAGAGAGAGGGAAGGCCGGCAATAGAGAAGATGGCTGCTAGATCTGGCAGTAATGAGAGTTACAAGTCAAGAACGCGCCTCCAACTTGATCTGTCAGACGCCTCACCCGTCAGGGGGGAACCATGCCCTTGGGCGAGACGCTTTTCACACCCCGAAGTGCCTGGATAGAAGCTAGGGATATAGATGTTCTTGCTGTTTCCTCACAGAACATGTATTAAGGCACTGGGATTGTCTGTGCGACGAGAGGGGACCAGATGTTTTGTAGCGCTTGAGGGACGAGGGGCTTGTGGACAAGGACTAGGGGTTTGTGCTTGATGATGACTGCGTGTGGGGCTTCTGGGCCAAGGAGGGAGGACGTTAGGGTCTGAAGGAAGAATCAAGTACCTTGGAAGCTGTTTGTTTGTTTCTGTCCGGCTCCAACGGCGGCGCGGCCAGGCAGAGGTCATACACCAGCCCAAGCCGATGTAACTGTGGCCCAGAGGCTAGTAGGCCGTTCAACGATAGCTCGAGCAGTCCGAATGGGTCGAGCGGGTAAACAGAAGATTCTTCACTTGGAAGAAAGAGGAACTGGATGAGGTACCAGGGAAGCGTCGCCGAGTAGTGTGTCCAATGTTTGGCTTGGCCAGCGGCCTGGGCGCGCCTCTCTGCAGATGAGAGTACTCAATGTTGGCGAATAGGTCTACTCGCTCCCAGCCACTAAAGCACCTGGGTTGCAATGGGGAACGTTTTGGAGTTGGATATTGTGCAATAATGCCAACGGATGCTTCCCTTCTGCGAGCTGTCGTCGGTCCAAAACAGAAGGCGAGTGCAATAAGTGTGAAGTATTAAGGACAAGGTATTACTCGTGTGATCAGAGACCTGACGAAACTATCCTTTTACTAGGAGTATCCAGTGGGAGGATGCCCTGATTAAAGAACGAGGCCGGATGTGGGGTGTAGAGGCGTGTCGCGGAGGAGCCATGCAATGAGGCACAGGGGTCGTCCGCTCGATATGTTGATGAGATGCCAAGGTATGACAATAAAGAGGAAGAATGCAGTAGTCTATCGCCAGGGGTCCATTCATGAGCCATGCGCGGGTACGATCTAGCAGGGTTCAGGGTCGTATGTGCCTGCGTGCAGAATGTGGTGAGTGACTTGGGATGGGAGCTGGGTGGTTGGTTAGAAAGGAGATCAGTAACCGCTCAAGACACAGCTACGCATGTTCTCGGGAGGGAAGACAGGGATCTGACCTACATTACAACACACGTCTCGACAACGTATGCTCTTGGTAGCAGGATCTTTCAGGGTCAAGCGCCCGCGTATGGGGTGCGTTTACAGGATCGACTGAGCGATGCCGGTGGGGTGTCTCTAGGGCCCAGAAACAAGAATCAAACCCTGCCATACGATGTACCGATATGGCTACTGGTCCAAGACTGTGGGTTTGAGTGCTTCTCAAATCGAGTAAACCCTCCGAGGTAGGCCCTCGCCGCCCTGGTCCACGTTGGTCTCTTGAAGGAGATGACCGACCCCTTTCAAGATAGGTCAGATGCAAAGTGCGTGAGCATGGATGCAGGAAAAGAGAACTTGGATCAGTACATATGCCTTGGACCGCAAGATGCACGGCAGCATCTACTACGGCAGTATATAAGGAGTGTCAGGGGAGGACCAGGGTGGGGAGGGCAGGCTAGGCATGGAATGCCAGGCCATGGTAAGCCACCAGGTCTGGTCTGCGAGACTGCATCGTCAGGCCGGGTGCCGAACACTCACAAGCACACCCACGACTCTGAATGCGGCAGCTCCCCGGGGCAGATCCCGCAATAAGCTTGTCATTCTTGTCGTGACGTCGAAGCGGAATGCAAGGCCACGCAGGGGTGGCAGTCTAAGTGGCATCGACTTGACGAGCGGGGGCTTGTGTTGCGCGCGCGTGGCCGCGCCGCTGCCCCGGCGTCCGACATGAACGGTCGACTTCAACGGCCATCTGGGTAAAATCATGTATGGTCGTGATATTAGACCCCTGTCTAGGTATTGAATAGTGGTACCTTTACCATGGGTCAGAAGCCGCAGGGGCCAAGGTGGCTCAGGAAATAGGAACAAGGGTTTGATCAACAGGCGGCTAGGTGAAGGATCCCCTGCATGCAGACTTGGCTATGGAGCAGCAACAACCACAGCATGACCTTGACCCAGACTTCAGTATTGCTTTCAATGCATGATCCACTGGGCGCGGCTGAATAATTGCCAGCAACGGGCCCGCCCACGGTGGTAGATATCGTGAGTGTCCGGCATAAGCCGCTAATCTTGGAGTGTAATGGGTGTCATCTTGTAGGCTCCGTAGACCCTGTCTGCAGAAATAGCTTGAGTCTATCCCAGCTGAAGAAGGAATCTGGCGGTCTGTTTAAGTAAGCTGTTGGTTGGTTTTCGCTTCGCTTCCTCATTCCCATTTGCAATGCAAAAGGCGTTGTGGGAAGGGTCGGAGCCCGGAGGAACAGGTCCTGAACGAAGGGGGTATGCTGTGATGTTTGCTTTGGCTCAACCTGTAGAAAGACAGCCAGCTTGGGCAGAACGGCGCATCTGCAAGTACTTTGACTGGGCACTTGACCCTTTGTGTCATCCATTGGGGATGACCCACCAAGCTTTGGACTGGCTGCATCCATCGAGGTCCGATTTCATGAATGCCATGTGGGAGGTACGGCACCCAAGCCTGGGAAACCTTGCTTCCATTCCGATGGATCCAATGGTCAAAGTCTCAATGTGCAGGTACAGGTAAAGGAGAGGAGAGCGCCCAAGCCACAGGCTGTACGGAGTACTCCGTACATGTGTTGTCCCACCAATGCGTGCCCCGAGAGACAAGGATTCAAGGGTTGGCCTTGTGGGACGTGCTTCCGACCAGGGGTGCCCGGCTTCAAGTCAGCTTTGATGGCGGGAGCACCGAGTGCGGCTCGCACTGACACTTGGTACAGCTTGTACTCAAAGTGTTCTCCAAGAAGTGATGCACGCGCTCAAAACCGCCCATCTAGATGGATCGATGGATCGAGGCGTGCCAATTTCCTTCTGCAACACAGCGCTCGCTCGGTGTCTCGGCCAGAGATATCCATTCTGGCTGAGTGTCATAAGGTGATCCTTCGAAGGTGGTCCTCGCCACCCAGGACGGGGCATAACAAGCGAGTTGGTCAAAGGGGAATTTCCCATGCATGGAAGAGCTTCTCAAAATAGCTAGCCACCATGTCCTAACAATTCAGAATGTGCGTCATTGCGGGTTCGAGCTGGGTCGTTTTCTTGCACATTGGAGGAGGTGAAGCACAAAAAACATGAAAAAATGTGTCTCTAGAGGTGTCTGTGCTGAGAGGGAGCCACATTCCTGACTCGATGATCTCCCCAAAGTTGGGAAGGGACATTGAGGTCTCAGTTCGGCCTTTCCCTCAACCCACAGTCGTCTGCACGATATACAGGTAGGTACCTGCCTCAAGTACCAAACCAAACATTGCATGTGGTCCCTGCAATTTCGACTTGGATGCTCATGGAAAGTACGAAGGAGATCAGCCTCCTGCAAATTGCCCGTGCTGAGATTAGAAACGTGCCCCCTTTTCTTTGCTTTTCTGCTTGTAGGAGCAGAATGTCTTCTTCTTCCACGGGCATCTGGTCCAAGATCAGTACGATGTCCTCAAGACGGCCCCAGTCGCATTGATCAATCTTGGGCATGTGGGAATAAAATGGAGCTGAGACCAGGCCAGGCAAGCCAGCGTGCCAGGATCTGGAGATCCGGGGCCACGGCGCATGGCCTGCACACGCGCATGCGCCGCCTAGTGGGTTTTCCGGGCCTTTGCAGGCAGTCAGTGCACCACCACTAATGGTGCCCACTCGGTAGTCCCCTTACCCTTCTTCTTCCCTCTGTTTGCCCTCTTAGCGCACTGTGGATCCCCAGCAAAGCCCCGGGCGCACCCACACCCGCTATTCAGCCCCAAACCCCCTTTTTACGTGTACCACCGTGCCACCCTGATCAATTTTTAGTAGCCTGTCAACCCCATTCTCTCGGGACTTCCCCTGCCACCCGGCCTAGGTACTGACGAAGTGCGCTCATCACTGGGGATGGGGTTGTTCATTTTCTAGAACTTCTCTGTCCCCAGCCTTGAAATTGGCCATTCTTATGCATAAGACCCAAGCCTCACTTTTCCCCTTCGACGGGCAGGGTTCCTCGTCACCGCTAGTTAGCTAAGGTGGGCTAGAGGCCCGGCATGATCTCGTCTTTGTTCATGCCGAGGTGGCCGGTCTTTGGTCGTCAACATTGCGATCTGCCACGAGAGACACCAGATGGGAGCGAAAGGAGGTGCGTAAAACTTTGGCATCGTTGAGCATCTCGCGCACAGCTATGCCCCAATGCCTAACAACTTGGCCCTAAGCGAACACCTTGTGACTTGGTCGTGCAGTCAGTGCAGCTGAAGATGAAGAGTGGATAATATGCCATGCTAATGTGCCTATGAGCTGCATGTCTCTGTATGTCTCACATTGCGTACCGTCTCGATCAACCAACAGCAAGCTAAGAGCTAAGAGCCATTAACCGCATTCCAGTCGATCATTGATGGATACCTACGGGGTTTGTCTAGTTGATGGCTCGACTTACCAGAACATCATCACGTCCAAGACTTCAACCATATCCTCTCTCACTGTCACCGGACCTAAAGCGGCAAGACCCGTCCTGAAGAAGATGACAAATTGGGCAAATAGACATGGATGTTCAATATCCATGTTGTTCCCCTGACAGATCGGTCCAGTGACTGCATGGGACAAGACGATTTTGGAAACAGTCTCGGCCCGGATTACCCAACGCCATACGCCATCCAGTCTGGTCCCCGTCCGAATCCATCTCCCTGCCATGGGCTTGCTTTTCAAGGTGTCTCCTTTCAGCTCGCATTGAACGAACTACTTTAGTTAGAAACCAGGATAGACTGTGTGAATATCTGGATCGGCTAGTCGGCCGATGGCTTTACGCCTCGTGGCTTGCGGGTACCGGAGTAAAATGTCATCTAGGTCGCTCTGGTACCTAGCACTCGCGACTGCTGGTGCGCGTTGGGTCAGGATGGAAGATTGAAAGAATGTGTGTTCCTGAGATAGCTGTCAAGTTCGCTAACTAAAGATTCAATAACACGACGGTCACTGCCAAAAAGCCACAGACCAACAGTCATGGTTCTGGAACCGTGCAGATCTTAATGAGTCGACAGCTTCCCATGACGTTGTGACCGGCACGGCTCATGCACCTGGAACCAACTGCTTCCAGAAAGATATGTTTGCCCCCCCGGACAGCCTTCGTAGTGTTCATCCTTATCATCGTCGTGTAAAAGCATGTGGTCATCCAAGCCTCACGCCTCAGAAGTTACGTACGAAGTAGCTCCCCTCGGCCCTGCGTCCTATCCTGGTAAAGCTTTCATATATCATTCTCTGCTATAGAGTCGCCGAAGCTTCCACGCGTTCCCTACAGCCTTCTCTGTCGACCCTAACAAATACGAGTGCTGGGCATCCCGGTTAATATGATGGGGGCATTGTCCATTTTCGGTCGCTACCACACAGGGGGGATACATAACAGACCCTGGGGTGTCTACAATGCTCTTAAGGAGATGGAGGTTGCCGCAATCACATGAATGTGGAAATTTGGCTGGGCGTCTTCTGCCTCGCTCTCCTTCGTACAGACCGAAAACGTTCTCCTTCATATCCCAGACAATTCCCCGACTGGATGTCGGACAGATTGGAACGCTTTCTGGCACTCAACTCCGGCACTACTGACCGTTTAATCTCCCAGCCTGCGGCTTTTCCAGAGTCTCTTACTCTCTTTCCTTGACACCTCGCGATTTCTCAGAGATGACCAACAAACCGAGGTTATATTTTGGCCCGTTGGACATTTGATTTCACATTAGGATGGTGATGAATGGATCTGAAAAACAGAAAGGCCCAGCCAGGGGGTGATTCAACGAACTCGAACAACGCCTGATGGGATGATCTCCTGCGGAATACAGACTGTGGCTTGCTATATCGGAGAGTTTAGTATTCTTCGACAAGTTGACGTACGCTAGTTGCAAGTAGAGATGACAGTCATCTGTTTGAAACCGTCGCTCGGCCTCGTCCAGTGCTAGCAAAATCTCAAAAAGCATCAATAATACACAGTGGTCTCGACTACCTTGGACTCGTCCCGTCGGGCCTCCGGCGATACGTCCGTCAATCAAGAAGTCAGATCTTGCGGCAAGATCGATCTCCGTGGGAGTCTCGAGATTGAGCACTATTGCGGGGGTTTGACCCGAGCAACGAGATTTCATCGCCCAATTATGTGTCATGCCTTGCGAAGAAGAGGATCGAAATGCAGAAGGTAGCATCGATGCTCAGTGCGGCTTGACCAAATGGGTTTAAGTCGGGCACTTTGATGTTGCTTTGTGCCTCCTGCATGTCGACCGATCGTGACGCCAGGTGCCGGTTGATCTCTTTTCTTGACCGACCAAGCAAGTATTCTTCATCCTGGTTGAATTAAAGGTCTAACAGCCTACCGCGACCGGCGTCAACACCGACCGAGAGGTTTCATCGGTGCGACCAGCTCTGATATGTGAGGAGGGACAATCTCCCGGCAGCGTCTCCCCCGTGCTGGATTGTTTAGACGTGGAAATTTGACTTTTCCCCCGGCAAAATGCCTCTTGCAGACAGCTTGCATCGCGCAACACATGCATGGTTTTGCAGCTGGCGCATCACCACTCAGGTCACCAGTCGGGTCACCAGTCGGGTTCACCAGCGCCCAGATCGCCCGCCGCTGAGTTCGGGGCGAGTTCCCGCCAGGTTTTGTCGTCGGTCTCCCTATTTCGTCAGATAGCTTTAGGCTCCTGTCTTTATTTTCGATACCGTGCATGGCATCGTTACTTGGGCAAATTTGCCAAATGAAATCGGACGGCAGCTGGATGATGGGTAATCAGGTAGCGAATTAACCCGAAATAATAGGGCTAATAGCTGCTATACCTGGTCACACCAGACGGGAAGCCTCAGCCTTATCCCATTCTTTGCAAGGAGCTTTGACCATATTCTCTGCTGGTACTGTCTCTGCCCGCGATCACACTTATCGACCTAACACTTGTGCCCTCGTCAGGTCTGCCGTGAAGGTCATTGCGTACAAAGCGTCCTTCTCATCCTTCGACCCGGATGAGGCTGGGAGAGTCGCCTGAAAATTTGTCATCATGGCCAGGCCGGAATGCGAAGTCCTGTTTCGTCTCTTCAAGTCCATCGCGCGATTACTCCGTATTCAAAGTCGCAGCAACGGTGTTGACACACGGACGAGGTTGCAGACGGGCCACGTGAAACCTGAGACTGGCACCACCAGGCTAGGGGGTAGGACGGATTGAGGGTCACGTGATCTAAAATGCCTGTGTCGCCCGTGTAAACCAAACCCAGGCTCAGGAGAAGCACAGCTGTTTCAGCTCTGATCCAACGACAGTGGAAACTAAACAGTGAGGGACACATCGTACGAGAGGGAGACGGTGACATAGACAGATCCCAGCAAGAGAAGCCATGAGTTCAACTGGGATTCACTAATAGTTGTTGTTTTGTTTGGGTCTTTTGAGTGCAGACGGGGTACACCCGATTTCTACATCCGGTCTTGCTCGGTTCCGAGCTGAGTCAGAAGCAGCATCAACAGCTCAACACATACAACCCTGAAAGAGGAAGAAAAAGACAAACCTCCATCGAGACTCAAGATGGATAGCATCCTCAGAGAGACGGTAGCTTACACCAACCTGTCGGCGGCCTCCATTCTCTTCATCACGATATGTGGTTTCCTCCTGCCCATGATCCTGGTGTACCCGCCAGTCCCGCCGTTGAGGAGCGAGGCTCTTCGGGAAACCCACACGAAGCTGGGGCTCGAGCCTGGCGAAAGCAACTTGAAGACCCAGTTCTCTCCGGAACATGGACCGGACAAGTCCAAGTCGCCCAAAATACAGAGCCTCTGGGTGTATCCCGTCAAGTCTTGCCGCGGCATCGAGGTCACCAAGGCCCGGGTCCTTCCGTCCGGACTCATGTTCGACAGGATCTACACCCTGGCGCAGCTCAAGAGCCCTTTCCCCGTCGGCCTTGACTCGACGGACAAGGAAAAGAGCGAACACATCTGGAAGTTCATCACCATCAGGCAGTTCCCCCGGATGGCGACCGTGCAGGTCGAGCTCTGGCTGCCTGATATCGCGAAGCAGAAGCGGAAAGGCTTCAGGACCAATGAGGCGTTCATCATCGTGCGCTTCCCCTGGCAGGAGGACGGGATCAGGGGGGCCCTCTCCTGGGTCGCTGCCAAGCTGGCGCGGGGCTGGAAGGCCCAGCCCGTGAAGGAGATCATGCTCCCCGTCGATTTCCCCTCCGCGGCCGAGATCAAGGAGAGGGGCTACGCCTTTGAGCAGATGACTATATGGAACGAGACCGTCACCGCGCTTAATATGGAAAAGGACCTGCCGCCTGAACTGGCACGTTACCTCGGCGTGAGCAACAAGCTCGGCCTGTTCCGCCTCGACCCCGCCAGGCTCAGAGAGGTGACCAGGTGCGCACCGACAAAGGAGGTTGTGGGGTATCAGCCAGTGACCGGGCTGCAAGATGCCGTCAGTTATTGTCCTTGGGTCCCGAACATATGACAACTCTTTATCGATCGCTGACTTGTGCTATTTTTAGTACCCTCTGCATCTGCTCAGCTTGAGCAGCATACAAGAGTTCTCCAAGAAGGTGCCCAAGGATGACATCCTGCGAGATCTCGACGTGAGACGCTTCCGCGCAAATATCATAAGTAAGTTTCTCTCTTTGCAATACGACTGCGTGCGGCAAAAACGCGGTTGATGGCATTTTTGTCTTCATGCACGAGCTCACGACGTTTTCCGTTTCAGCCTCTGGAGGCGAGCCATACGAGGAGGAATCGTGGAAAAGCATACGCCTCTTGCCAGGGCCTTCCTCCACGGCCGACAAGTGCGAATTTCACGTGTCGTGCCGCACCGTTCGGTGAGTTCAAACCTTTTTTCTTTTTTTTAATCGTTCTCCACGTCGCCCACGCTGCTACGGATCTCATAACCAGATCGCGCTGATCTTGACTACACCACACCCCCCCTCCAACACGATATACCCGCCACGTCGACTTTGAATTTAACCGCCCGTCCCTTGCGCCTGCCAGAAGGATTCTTGGGACTCTGGATTAAATGACCTCAACTAACCTAATCTTTAGATGCAGATTGCCCAACGTCGACCCAGACACGGGCGTCCGTCACGACTCTCAGCCAGACAAATCTCTACGAACGTTCCGCAATGTTGACGAGGGCGCTCCGAAGTCTGGCTGTTTGGGCATGCAGTTGACGCCCCTCTTTGGCGATGCCAAAGCAGGGGGCGGCATGGAGAATCTGATTGAAGTCGGCATGCCGGTTCAGATCCTGGAGCAGGGAGAACATCTGTACATTCCACAGTGAATAAGAGGGGCAGCGGACCATGTTGTGTGTAAGTAGTCAACGTGTACACCACAAACCATATTCGGTATGAAAGCATTAGAACATAGAGCCCCTATATACCCTGAAACCCTAACCCAATCGAATCATTTCACTCATACCGCGCGCGTACCCATCGCCATGTCATGCCAGGTATCGGAAACAAGGAACAGATAGAAGCAGTAAAAAGCCCCGGATAAGGGCATACAAGAAGAGACAAGGATGGCGTCGCCCATCCCCTACACGCATCCATCCACAACTCGATGGACCCCATGCCTCTACCTCATGTCGGCAGGGGTCAGCGCCTGCACCATACTCGTGCCCTCGCTGAAGCGGGTCCTGAAGATGCGGTTGGCATTTTGGAACATGCCGTCCTTGAGGGAGACGACGATGAACTGGGATCCCTTGAACCGAGTCTTGATCAGGCGACCAATGTTTTGCGTGTGGGACAGATCCAAGGCAGCGTCGACCTCGTCCAGAATGTACATGGGCGCCGGCTTGAATTGCAGGAGTGCCATAATGAGCGAGAGTGCGATAAGCGATCTGGATGGCAAGTGACATATTAGTTGGATATTCAACAAAAAGGACGAAAAAAGGACGAAAAAAAAAAATCGAGAAGCCAACTCGGCATACCTTTGTCCACCGCTCAACTCAGTCAAGCTCTGCTTCCACACCTTGCCGAGGCACACCTTGACCTCGAGACCGTCGCTGATGGTCTTGCCCTCAGGAGGGTCCAGCTTGGCAAAACTGCCCGGCAGCAGCTCGTTGAAGATCTGGCCAAAGTCGCCGTTGACCTTCTGCCACGTCTCCTGCAGGGCCTTCTTCTTGTAGTCGTCGAGGCTGATGATGGTCTCCTCGATCTTACGCTTGTCGCGAATGACCGTCTTCATCATGTGCTTGAGCGACATCTCCTTCTTCTCGACGCTGTCGATCATGTTCATGACCTTGGGGTTGATCTTCTTCTTCATGCCCTGGAACCGCTCCGTCAGGTTGCGCAGCGTCGCCTTGCACTCCGAAATGTTCTGCCCCTTGAAGTCGTAGGGAGTGCCCGAGCGCCCAAACTTGTCCTTTTCATCCGCGATCCAGTCGTGCTCCTTCTCCATGTGATCGACAGTCTGCACGGCGTTTTGCTGCTCCTTGTGGAACTTTTCGACTTGGTGGCCGAGCTTTTGCATCTCGAGACTCTCCTCAGCAATGCGGGCGTTCTTGGAGCGGGTGGCTTCTTCGAGAGCACGAAGCTCGTCGTCGTAGATGTTGAGCTTGGCCCGCTCATCATCAAGTTGCGCTTGCGCAGTATCATGTGTCTCCTTCAGCTGCGTTTGTTGTTTGACGAGGTCCTCAATTTCCTCGAGTTGGGCTTTGATGGCCAGATCGATTTCCTGGAGAGACTCTCGCGCCGCTGCCAGATCAGCAGCCACTTGTTCCGAGTCCAGCTGTGCAGCTTGCAGCTCCTTTTGCAGTGCCTTGACCGAAGCCGAGTTCTTTGTCAAGGAAGCACGTAGCTTATCTAGAGTTGACTGCAACTCAACCAACTTGCCGTCCTTGTTGTTGTCAAAGTCCTTCATATCTTTCTCAATACGCTTGACGTCGGCGTTGGCCTCCGCTTGCCGTTTCTTGGCTTCGGCAGAGCTGGTTTTCAGCTGCGAGATTTGCTCCTTCATGTTCTCAACCTCCTGGATAATTGATGATGAGGAGTTGCCGCTGATCTGCTCTTCAGCCAGTTTGATCTCATGTCCCTTGAGGTCAAGTTCCTGCTTGGTCTTGCGAGCTTGGTCAAGTTTGGATTTCTCCTTCGAAATCTTGGCCTGGAGGCCGTGTAGCTCGGCTTCCGCCTCCTTGAGCTGACGCGTGATTTCGTTCAACTTCTGCAGGGTGACCAGAACGCCACTTGAATTGGGCGAGCTGCCACCGGAGAGCGTACCAGAAGGATCATACGCGTCACCTTCGAGCGTGATGCTGCGCATTCGCACGTTGGGATCGAATGTGACTCTCTTAGCTGTGTCTGCGTCGGCACAGATCAGAGTGTTGCCAAACACGTACTCCATCGCGGCGGAGACCTCGTTGTCGTAGCCGACTAAAGAAAGGGCAAGATCGACCTTGCCTGGCGCAATCTTTTGGGCGGTAGCAATGGTCTGGGCCTGCGCCTTGAACGCGGCAATCTTGTTGAGAGGGATGATGGTGACTCTCTTGCGGAGTTTGCCTCCCTGAAGCAATTGAGTACCTGTCACCTCGGTGTCTACCACAACGTTGTAGAGACGGCCGCCGGCACAGATCTCCAGGGCAGTCCCAGCACGGGTGTGCTCCTTGTCCAAGGTAAACAACTGAGCAACCAGGCCCTTCACCTTGGACCGATCGAAATTCGCGACCGGGTCGGAGTAGTTGAAGTCAATGTTGGCGACCTTGCGTTTCAGGACATCTGACTCTTGGCGAAGTGACCGGATGGTCTGCTGCAGGGTGCTCTCCTGCTTGTACATAGCCTCCTCAGTTCCCGGGCTGAAGCCTAGCTTGCCGAGCTCCTTTTCGAGCTTCTGCGCCTGACTCTTGAGCCCATCGAGATCGCGCAGAAGGTCGGCATTTTGTGCTTTGGCCTTCTTGGCGCGAGGCTCCTCCTCTTTGATTCTCTTCTCCAGATGTGCAATCTTGATTTTGGCCTGTTCCTGTTCGGTCACGGCTGCGGTGGCGCGATTCCTTGCATCTTGGAGTTGGCCTTGGTAGCCATTTTCCTGCCCTTCCTTGGATGCGACGCCCGTCTGCAGAGTCTGGAGCAGTTCTTCATTGGACTCTGCTTCCTGGTTCTGCTTCTCGAGTTCTTCTTTCGCAGCGTCGTACTTGGTCTTGATCTTCTCATAGGCTGCAGTCTTTGCCTTGAGTGCCGTTTCGAGTTCCACTACGCTCTTCTCTCCGCCTGTCCTGCGGTCTTGCTCTTCGGTCATGCTTGACTTCTTCAGGTCCATGACCGTTGCCAGACGGACGAGCTCATTAGAGTGCTTCTTGACAGCCTCTTCCAGAGCTTGGGCCTTGGCGCCTTTGCGGAGTTCTTTGTCGCGCTGCGCCTTGACACGCTTCACATCCTCCTCCAGATGCGAGATCTCGCTCTTGAGCCGGACTGCCGAGTCTTCGAGGTCCTTTTGTCGTTGCTTCTTAGCCTCGAGGTCTGCGCCAGATTGCTGGAGCTTCTCTTGGCACCTGACATAGTCGTGGGCGACAACGACCCGGGTGAGGCGCTCGAGATCATTTTGCGTTTGTTGGAAGTCCAAGAATGCCCTCTTCTCTGTCCGTAGTTTCTCGAGCTTGGGCTCGATCTCGTCACGTAGGAGTTCTGTGATTTCCTGCAGCTTCATCTCCTTCTTGGCCATGGTTTTGAGGGCTTTGTCCCTTCGGTCCTCAAACATCCTGGTTCCGGCCGCCTCCTCGATCATGGCGAGAATCTCGACGGCTTTCATGTTGAGGACTTTGGTGATTCGGCCTTGCATGATGAGAAAGTTGGGGTTGTTAATGTTGAGCTGAACTGATTGGAAGAGGTTCTGCACTGTTTGTTGCTGCGCGCGGTGTCCATTGATGAGATATTTTGAAGTACCGCCCAGGACAATCTGGCGGGTAACACTGATGGTCGCATACTCCTCAAAGCCAATGGGCGATTTCTTCTTGTCGCGGTTGTCGAATACAATAGTGACGCTCGCCTTGGTCACGCCTGCCTGGCCGCGCTTGTAGATGAGGTCCTGCACACGCGCGCGCACGATTAGTTCCAGCGCATTCGACCAGCTGTTCAAGGGAGGGGCTCGTCGCGCACCTGTAGGTTCTGTGCGCGAACTGTAGACATGTTGGTGATGCCGAGAACGAAGCAAATGGCATCCAGAATGTTGGACTTGCCACTGCCATTGAGGCCGGTGATCGAGTTGAAACTCTCGTCCCTGCATCGAGTCAGCGCCGTGTTTTGCGCCCAGAGGCTGCAATGTAAACAAACCATCCCGAGATCACCGTCCGCACGGCGTACGACTTGAAGCCCTTTGGAAAATGTCAGTCGTTGTGTACTTGATGAGAAACAACTCGCGCAACTACTCACGTCTATGATCACTTCCGTCACCCTCATATTGGCGATGTTGTGTCGTTTGTCGCCCTTGTCGTTGCTGTGTGTCGGTCTGTCTCGAAAGAGAAACCAAGTAAACAAAGCGTGACGGGCTTGCATGTATTGTAAAGTGGGTGTCAACCGTCAGGTGGGGCGAGGGGCGCATGAATTATTGGCGGAAGAGTACCCTGGGCACGGGCGCAGCGCGACCCTAGGTGCGTGCCCATACAAACGCGCCCCCTACAGTGCCTTTATTAGTTAACTAAGAGTTAGCGCACGACTTGATGAACAGGGTACAGCCACGGCTAGTTTCTCGCGTCACAGCAGTCTCTGATTAGCAACATGTGACATCCGTCCCCTTAAATCGACTGATAAGATAAGGACTAGGTCGCTTGTACCAGACATTGAACAAAATTTCCATCCATGGATCCGTCAGGGAAATCTGCATCCTCGATATCCCCAGTCTCCCGGTCCTCGACGGCTTTTCTTCCTCAATTCCTTGTCCTAGGATCCCAAGACAGACCCGGCGGTACTACTTCCTCACAATTCCTATTCTTGGTCTTATTTCGGCTTCTGCTATTTCTTCTTCTTCAGCTCATTCCTTCATTGTTGGTGGTGTAGTGCTCGGCCGACATGTTCAAGGCCAGTGCTTTGCGACAGGTTCGCCTGTGTCGTATCGCAGGTCCGAATGCTGGATCAGCTCTCGCCGCTTTCAGAACGACACTTCGGTCTACACAGACCTCGTCAGCCTTGAATCCGACGGCCCCAATTTCATATAATGGCATCGGGCGAACCCTGCGCCAGTACTCGCACGCGGCTGCGGAGACCACATCACCGGCTGCACACTCTCAAGAACCACCTCGGAAGTTGTCCAAGTTCTCCGAGCTTGGCGACCTGGGCGTTCATGACCATGTTGTCTCGGCCATTACTCGGGGCATGAAGTATGAGGATATGACCGATGTACAGTCTGCGACTATTCACGCCGCCTTGGCCGGAAAGGACCTGTATGCGCTCTTAGCCCCCCTATAGCATTCCCAAGTCGGCGTGATCGCTGACCTTTCACTTAGTGTTGCGCAAGCCAAGACCGGTACAGGAAAGACGCTCGCATTCCTCGTTCCTCTTGTCCAGAAGATCATTGTGGACGATGAGAAGCTCGCCCACCCTCGTCAAGGCCGTGCCCGTTCCGATGACATCCGTGCCATCATCGTATCTCCCACCAGAGAACTTGCCGAACAAATAGGACAAGAGGCCCGTCGTCTCTGCCGTGGAACTGGCGTCATTGTACAGACGGCTGTCGGTGGCACACTGAAGGCGTCGATGCTTAGGAAGACGAGGACTGAGGGTTGTCATCTTCTCGTTGCTACGCCCGGCCGACTTTACGACCTGCTCAATGATCCCACAAGCGGCATTGATGCACCAAATCTAACGGCTTTGGTGCTCGACGAGGCTGACCGAATGCTGGATGTTGGCTTCGATGAGGAACTGAGGAACATTGTTCGACTGCTCCCCGACAGAAACGAAACTCCACGCCAGACTATGCTGTTCTCCGCCACCATTCCCAAGGATGTCGTACAACTTGCTAGGACTTATGTCGACGCCAACAATTTCGAGTTTGTGCAGACGATCAAGGCAGACGACGTGCCTACTCACGAGAAAGTACCCCAGTTCATCGTCCCTGTCAAAGGCTTCGAGAACGTGTTTCCGACCTTGTTGGAGTTGATCAACAAGGAGCTTGCTGCAGCGAAGGAGAGCCATGACGGCCAGCCCTTCAAGGCGATCGTCTTCTTGCCCACAGCTGCAATGGTGCGACTTGCCGCTGGCATTTTTGGCAGGATACAGCGTAGCGATCGCAGGAAATACCCCCCGGCCCTTGAAATCCATTCCAGGCTTACCCAGAAAGCGAGGACACAAGCGGCAGACGATTTCAGAATCTCTCGCTCAGCCATTCTGTTTTCGACCGACGTGACTGCACGCGGCATGGACTTTCCCAATGTCACCCACGTTATCCAGTGCTTCAACCCGTCGGATCGGGAGCATTACATTCACCGCATCGGCCGTACTGGCCGGGCCGGCAAGTCTGGTCAAGCTTGGCTGATTGTGCCCGAGCTGGAAGTCGATGAGGCTCGAAAACTGTTGCCGGGCCTCCCCATCCAGCGTGCTACCGGTTTCGACTCGGCGAATTATCACTTGGCTCGTCAAGATGCTGTCAACCAACCCGAGACTTTTGAGCCAGTCTTTAGTGTGACGCAGCGGCTGCCGGACTTCTTGCTCGAGGATGCGTACATCGGCGCTTTCGGACGTATCGGCCAGGTTAGAGCCCAGGGACTCGTCGATGCCCTCAACGACTGGGTCCGATATGGATGGGGCTGGGAGCAGCCACCGGCCATTCCCAGAAAACTCGCTTCGCAACGACACTTGTCTCGAGTTCGAGGGATTCGTATCCAGGATGATGAGCACAGGCCTCCCCGGCGTGATGCTCAGTTCAACTCCCGCGATAACCGTGATAACCGCATCTCGAGGGGATCTCGGAGTGATGATCCTTTTAATGCGGTGGAAGAGAAGTTTCAGGATCGCCGCCCACGGAGAAGTCAGCGGCCTAGCGCTAGCTTCTAGGCTTTAGGTCCTGGACGCTGCCAGTTCTAAGCCTCGCTCTTCACGAAACTTGTACTACTATCTATCTGTATATGACGCTTGAAGGAGACAGGAGACGTCTCCTCGGTTGACGCTTGATAAATCGTACTGTATTATAGCTGGCGTTGGGCAAATCATGAAAATGGGAGAGGCGATGCAAATGTCGGGCCTGTACATTACACTTCAAACAACTATCTCTTCTTTTTAATATCACTCACTCTTCTGCCATTCAGCAAAATTGGCTTGTCGCTCCTCTGCTTATCCCTGAATCAATGTTTATGTACATTGTCGGCGATGTAAGTGCGACAGGGCTCATAGTACTATACACCGGCCACCGGCTCTGATAAGCATGCGCATGTCCATGAATCCAGATTGCCAAACACCTTGCCTTGGATCTCCGATGCTCGTCCGCGTCTCAATGTGTCATTCATCTCATTATTCTACCTTGCCCTCCGGCCACGCGAGCCGTCTAGGCCGCGCGCATCTTGGGGTATCAAAACATCCAGCCTCTTCTTTCTGACTGCTCAGCCTCTCTTCGTCCCTGCAGCCGGGCGATTCTACCGCCGGAGCAGCGAGTTGGCATCCCACATCAGCACCCTCTCGTCCCAGCCGACCGAGGCGACCCACCCGCCGGTGCCAAACAGGCACCAGTCGACGCCCGTCACGAACTCGGTGTGGTGGTTCATGAGCCCGAGCTCCATGCCCATGCGCACGGGCTGCGCCTGGTCCGGCGCCGCCGCCGCCGCCGGCATGGTCGAGCCGTCGGTCCAGACGCGCACCGTCATGTCGTAGCTCGCGCTGATGAGGATGTCGGCGGCGTGCGGGCTCCACGCGAGCCGGCGCACGGCGTACTGGTGGCCCTGCATGACGGACAGCGGGCCGCCGGCCGGGTTGCGGATGTCAAAGGTGCGCAGGACGCGGTCGACGCCGCCCGTCGCGATGACCGTGTCCCGGTACTTGTTCCAGTCGTGGGTCAGCTGCTCCGACGGCGCGGCGGCGACGGGCAGCGGGGCGCCCGGCCTGGGGGCGCCCTGCTGGCCGGGCATGTGGACGGGGATCGTGGCCGTGAGGTGGTACTTGGCCGAGGGGGGTGTCCTCAGGTCGAATATGCGGATGTGGGAGTCGCTGGAGGCGGCTGAGATGATGGCTGGGTTGGAAGGGCAGTAGGCTGCGCTGTATGTGCAATTACCGACAGGGAGTGTCGTGAGGGAATGATTCCGGGTCGGCGACCACTTTGGAGGGCGCAAGGGATCAGCCGGTCGGAGCTCTGCAGGTCGTCAGGAAGAGCTCACTCACCTGCTTTACCGTCCCGTCCCAGGAGCTAGATATGAACGTGTCCTTGGTGACCGGGCTCCAGCTAACGGAGAAGGTCTCGCGCTTGTGCTCGTGAAAGTTCATGACCGGGAAGTCCTTGACGGTCATGTCGAAGAGCTTGATGGACCCATCTCCGCAGGCTACAAGAAGCTGGTTCTCGTTCAATTCGGACCACGCGAGATCATACTGTGCGTCGTTTGTGTCGAACCTTTTGTTCATGTACTCTGTCAGCGCCGACCTAAGCACTCACATGCAATGCGCAGCGCATCCTTTTGTTTCACTCACGTTGTCTCGACTTGAGGTCCCTGCGCGGTCAGTCTCAGCGAGAAGACCTTTCCGTTCCCTACAATACCATAGTTGGCTGAAGTGGCAACAGCTACGCGATTGTCGTAGTAAGGGGAGTATTTGACGGCATATGGATTGAATCCCGGCGTCCGGAACTCGAGCATGCCCGCCATGGCGTTGAGCGCTCAGATATCAACCCCCTCCTCCTCATGCACAAAAGGATCGCGAAAGGTTGCGAACAGGGACTCGCCGGTTGGTAATCTCCAATGCTTTCCGTATCAACTAGCTTCTCGCTGACAGTCGACAGTGTTTGCGAGATTGAACTGTGCGGGTGAGCTGAGGAATGAGAGAATATGGATTAGCTAGCCGACTGCCTCGGCATGGCCTTGTACATTCTGGTACACCAATCTGGAGGTTTGCCCCGCGATTAGCGGCCGCAGGACGCCGGGGATCCAATTCATGGATCATTAAAGTGGCGACCCACTGAAAGACTGAAGGCACCTGACTTCGCGCCATTTTGGCCCCAAAGCGCACCCGATGCTGTCGCGTCTCGTTGGACCATCTTGACTGTCTTTTGCCTCCACTTCTTGCTCTCAAAGTCGAAGGGTCCATGCGCATCATCCGAAATGTGGTAAAGGGGCGCGATAGCTAGCCTCAGGCCATCATGTAGACAGATGTTTTCTTTGCCATGAAAAATACATCCCGTCATCCCTCCATTCTTCAACAAGAGGGCAACGACCTGGGCACTTAGACGTCATGGAGGCATTCATTACTCGAAAGAAGAGGAAGCTTGATGCTGATCCTGGCCACCACCTCCTCCTCAACGACAACCAGCTGGCCCCTGGTAGCAACGAGATAGCTTCAGAAGCAGATGATGAACCTACAGAAGTCAAGCTGGCCATCTTATCGTCTCTTCACCCCTCGGTCGACCAGGAGACCTTGCTAGATATTCTCTTGGCCCATGATGGGTCCGTGCTCGAGGCTTCGGCGGCCTTTAAAGACGGGAAACCAAGGAAAAAAGGTTCTGGAGTCGTGGGTTCTCAATCATCTCTCAGGTTCTTTCCTAGATCTGGCCTGGCAAACCCCGAGTTGTCACCAAAGAAGCCAAAGTTGCTCTCCAAGAAGGGGAAGACTCTCTTTCTTTTCGATCCGATCGATATCTCGGAACACACCCCATGTACCGTCCTCCACAACTTCCTTCCGGCTGAGGAAGCGGACAGTCTCCTGAAAGAGCTGCTCGAGGAGTCCAAGTCCTTTGAAAAGATCACTTTCAAGCTGTTCGACAACGTGGTTGAAAGCCCACACACATCGAGCTTCTATGTTGGAAGTCTCGACGAAGTGAACAGACAAAAGATGGAATATCTCTATAGCGGCGCTCGGTTGACTGTCAGTGCCAGACTCTCTTCCCCGTTTGTTCCGACTTGCTAACTCATTAGCTGCAGGATGTACGGGAACTGACTCCCGAGCTCTCTCGAGTGAAACCTCGAGTGGAGCAAGCCGTCAATCGCGAGATACAGGAACGGATCAGGACGCGCTATCCCGGCGGGAAGAAGCTCAAGTACCAACCACCGGGCCCTTGGCGTCCGAATGCGGCGTTCGTAAACTGCTACAATGGCCCACAGGAGAGCGTTGGCTGGCACAGTGACAGGCTGACGTATCTCGGGCCTCGCGCGGTGATCGGCTCCCTTTCCCTGGGGGTCGCCCGGGAGTTCAGAGTCCGCCGTGTATTGCCGCGCGATGGCGACGATGACCCTGACGCTCAAGGGCAGATTAGCATCCACCTTCCGCACAACTCGCTGCTTGTCATGCACGCCGAGATGCAGGAGGAGTGGAAACACAGCATCGCACCCGCCCAGGCCATCGACCCTCACCCGATAGCCGGGAACAAGCGCATCAACATCACCTATCGCGATTATCGAGACGAGCTCTCCCCGAGCAGAACACCACATTGCCGCTGCGACTTGCCCGCCATCTTGCGAGTGGTGCAGCGAAAGAAGGAGAACTTTGGGCGGTACTTCTGGATGTGCTGCGGCGGCGACTCGCCCGGGGAGGCCGGGTGCTCGTTCTTCCAATGGGCAGAATTTGATGATGATGGCAATCCGATGTGGGATGGGGCAAAAGGCAAAGGCACATGAGGTCTGCTGTCGACAATTCGTCTATTGACTACCTATACCTGGGTGTGGCTCTTATCGCCACCAAGCACCCCACGCCCAACGAGCTGGTTCTCTCTTGGTGTCACCACGATGAAAGCTACTACTCTTTTGAGACCGCCGCTGCTCCTCGTCAAGGGTCAAATCGGACGACATGCTTGCCATGTTCCGGAGCCCGTCGCCCCCTATCGATCTTTGGCCGCGGATCACTGCTGCATACCGATCTGTTGGACGCCTTGGGGTTGTCGAGTTGGCCATGTACCCTGGAGCTGAAGATTCCTTGGCCCGTTGCCGGCTGGCCGATGGTCGCCGCAGGTTGCTCATCGAACGATGTCCAGACAGGCGGCGTATCTCCTTCCAAATGGCTCCAGCTGAGTCTACCCTGGAAGCTGCCGCAGGTGCTTTCCTCTGGCTTCGTTGGCTTCCGGCAGGCGATACCAGGGCGTCTACTCGCGGTGGGACCTCGCGTTTCTTGACCGATGCCGCCTGTTCAGCTTGGAGACTAGCTGGCTTACGACCACCGTGACGCGATGACGCTCGCATGCGCTGCAGGAGATTTGCTGCGGCATCCATGCCCCAATGCCTTGCCACAATCTTAGTGAGCACGTTGGCCACTGGCGCCGGTCTCGGTGACCAAAGCGAGCAGGCATTATGCCTCTTGATGGCCGCCGTGACTATGGTTTCATGCCTGGTCTGCACTGAAGAGTCGGCCGCCGCTTGCGCATCCGCGTTCTGCTGTCTGGGGAATGCCGAATGGGAGTATTTGAAGCGGACTTGGAGGTACTCGACTCTTGTGCTGCCAAGATGCTGTTCTAAATCTTCAATCAGTTCGTCTGAAGTCTGCCGTACGTGCCCTTTGTGCTCTCTTGGGTTTCGGGGTTTCAATTGTGCCTCTACAAGAAGAAGCACAGTGCTGCCTGGCACTAGCACCCTGAGGGCAGGTGTTAGTGAGATGCTCAAGGTCCTCAAACGCATTCATCAGAACAAAGCCCATACATTTCCCCAGTGCAATTACCCAGCACGTTCGATATGAGGCTATGCCCCGTCGGAACGATATCGATGGTCAGATCGTGAAGGTAGCCGAATCTCGAGGAGCCTGGTACTGGACGTCAGATGACTGTCTAATGCAGAACCCTGGTCTTGATTGCCTACCTATTTCGTCCTCACGGACCGGTCGAGGAACGAACTGGGCCCCGGCACCAGCACTCATCAACTTTCCGGCGCCATCTGCACCAGAACATACGCTCAGCTGCGTCGAGATCTCTACCGCCGACCACAAGCTAACCGTGTCGTCGTCTACGGCTCTGCTTTCCGGTGTGACCGTGACGCAAGGAACGAGTACTGCTGCACCCGCGGGCCGACGAGACGAAGGACGCTGGGGCGTCGGAGTGGGCGGTCCGTCAAAGGGCACATCCTCCTGCGGGCAGTACCGGATTGGTGACAACGGCGTGCGCATGCGGCTCTGATGCCTGCTCGAAGGAGCCATCGTTGGGATCGCCATGCCCTTGCCCGGTGATGTTGCTGGGTGCAGATCAGAAGGCTTCCTGTTCTCGTCGGCCCGGCTCAAGACTTCGTTCAAGCTGAGGGCCGAGATGTCTTGACTACAGGCAGGCCCCCAAAGGTCTGCAGATCGATATCCGGAGCCGCCAATGGTAGGGTAGACATCCCTAGCGCGCTTCTTGGGTATCGTCAACGGCTTGTCAGCTCCAGGCCTCTCGAAGCTCTCGCAGGTACCCGTGCTGCTGCGGCGGGGGTCGGGATTATGGCTCCTTTCCGGCCTGAAGGATTTGGTCTTCTTGAGGATGTGGAGTGGCTCTGGGCGGTCGTGGAGGATGTTTCTATTATGAAAGAAGTTCGCCATCGTGAGCACGCTTGCTGGGATGGCCCGCCAAGTCTTTCCCGCCTGGAAGACGGGGCAAGACACACGCTCTCTCTCTTGGGGAAATCAGACTGCCTTTGCAACGTCTGTTGTTGTCTCCCCCGTGCCTGGAGACTCGTGCTCTGCCTGACGTGCAGCAATGCGTCGTCGCAGGTAGCCGACACACTTGATGATAGTGAATATGAGAAGGCAGGTGCCGACAATGACTGCGATGAATACTGCTACTGCGGCCTCGGTGTAGCTAACCATGTCCAAAGCATACAAAGCAATCCGATGCTGTCTCTGTGAGGAGGAGAAGAAAAGCGGTGCAGGGAAGGGTATCATTTGCGTGGATGGATGCTCATTACAGAAACGATCGAAGGACTGACTACACCTTCCGAGAACCCGATGGTGTTCTTAGCTTTCCCTCCTCTCTCCCAAACAACTACTAGCATGTGACCAGAATATCTCAGCCTGGCAAGAGTGACTCAGACCCAGTCCATCCTGATTCTTTCAGACCCGCCGAGCTCATTAGCAACACCAAGAGTCCGTTTGAGGTTGTCCTTTACGGCCTCCACGTCGCTGTCCTCCATGCTCAAGAAGCGGATCTGCGAAGAGCAACCAGTGTCAGTCCCATAGGTTCTTTCCCGGGTCACTTTCACATCTTTGACTTACCACGTCATCGGTCGCGCCCGCGCTGCCAAACATGACCGGCTCAGACAGGCTGGCCGCGATGCCCTTCTTGACTCTCTCCTCCCACACGCCTTCCCAGTTCCACTCACCCGGCCTCCGCGCCATGCTCGACGTGCTCGCCACCGGCTTCAGAGGCGCACCGCTCTCGCCTCCGCCCTCACCACCGGCAGCGGGGGAGCCCACTGCGCCGCCCTCCTTGGCGCCCTTGCCGAGCTGCCGCTGGTGCGTCCTCCACGCGTGCCACGCGCCGGGGTTGCCCGCCGCCTCGAGCGGGACCGAGTCGAGCACCTCCTCGTCGTCAAACGTGCTCCGTATGTACCGCAGCACGTCATAGGTCGAAATCTCCCTCCTGCCCGTCTGCATGTAGCCGGGCGGCCCGGCGGGCGAGGCCTTGGAGGCGGGCGTGCTCTGGGCGCTGCCGGCCGTCGACCTCGGCGGCGTCTGCGCGAAGGCGATGCCCCCGGAGCCCGACGCCTGGCCCGCGCCGCTGCTGGTGCCGGTGCCGGCGCCAGCAGGGGCAGTGCCGCTACCGCTGGTGACCCTGCTCCTCCTCCCGCGCCCGAACCAGTCCGGAAACCCGTGGCGCAGGCTGAACCCTCCTGGCGGCAGGCGCTCCTCGTCTGTGGCGCTGACGGTGCCGTTGTCCTGGATGTCGGTCGTGTACATGTACGTCGTCAGGGGCGTCACGAGCGGATGGAATATGTCGGTCGAGAACGTCACCAGCGGCGGCAGGCTAGGGTAGGCATCGGGAAATGAGATCTGGAAGCGCAGGACGGCAGTCGCATACGGACCTAATTAGGGGGTCTTTGATCAGTTCTGTTCCGAGTTGCAAGCGAGGACCCTTTCTGATGGTGTTTGTGTATTCTACCTTTGCGCACGAATATGACGCCCGACCAGAGGGAGGGATCGCCCGGCGTCAGGCTCACGAACACGCCTTCAGGGCATGCCTGTTTCAGACCCGAGCTGGTGACGCATCATCAGTATGAACTCGCGAGAAGGCACACAAGGGTCGGGAGAGATTCTACACACAATTCAGCAAGCAGATGCTGTCGCCGTAGGGCCGGAAGCGTCCCCATCTTTAGAGACGCCATTGTCATGAGGCCATAAGCACAGTATTGGGGTTCAGAAGATCTTGCGACAAGTTGAGACTCGATGGCAAGTATCATTCATGCATCCAAGATCCCCGTGCGGTGAAGTACTCCGTAGGCGGTGAAGTAAATTCATCCGTACAAAACACAGCCTAGCAACGGTCAAGCTTACAGTACCCCTCCCCCCAAGCTAGGCCCTACAAGTACTTTTGTTTCGAGTGCTCCACCGCGGGGTCAACTCTGTGATAGTATTAAGTCGTCTGCGTCGGACAACTACAGAAGGCCTTCTTCCTTAGTGATAGATAAGAGTGATGAGTCGATGGTCGAGGCTTGACTCAAACGCCTGATGCCATGGGAAGTGGACGATGTTTTCCTCACTTGCAAGCCAAAAGGGTCCAGGAGCTCCAGGCGCACTAGAATTCTTCACTTATCTAAGCCAATACGCGGCAGCATGACTTGGTGGTCTATCTATGAAAGGGTTGGTTCGGGGAATCATGGCTGTAGCATATCACTTTCTTCTCTGTACTATGCCGCGGATATATACGATGCCAACAAAAATCAGATACGATTTTAGGATGCTGCCTCTACTTGGCAGCCAAGCGGCCCTCGATCTTGGACTTCTCCTGGTGCTTGATCCGCGCCAGGTCCTCCTTGGAGGCGTCGTAGCGGGCAGAGACCTGGTTGAAGGGGTTCTCGGGGCTCTTCTCAAACTCCTTGCGGATCTTGTCCTTCTTCTGGTTGAGGCGAAGTCCCGCGCCCGTGCCGTCCGTCTCCATCTCCTTGAGGCGCCTCTCCTCAAAGGCCGCATGGGCGGCCTTGAATCTCCGCTCGGGATGCCTGTCGATCTTGGGATCGCCCGACGAGTGCGTCAGAGACAGGGCGTCGAGGGCGTTGTCGATGCCCGAGGCGTTGAGCGCCGCGAGGGGCCCGTCGGAACTGCCCGCGTCGAGCTGCGACAGGTCCAGGCCCCTCGACTTCTTCACCGCCGTCTTGGAGTTCTTGGGCTGCGAGCGGCCTGGCGTGCTGGCCTCCTCCTCTGCAAGCATGGCGTCACGCTCTGCCTTCTTTCGCGCCTGCTCGGCCTTCTTCGCGGCCTCGGCCTCCCTGTACCACAAAGGCGTCCGAGTCAGTGAATCATGTCGTGCGAGTGTGATTGTTGATATGGCCTTGTGATGATCACGGAATCTGTTGGGCACCCTTGACCCCGTCGCATCGCCTTGCTCAACGAGGTAGTACCCGGCGGGGGTGGTAGCATCGCTCTGCTCCGGACGTATCGTGATGCAAGAGTGGGCATATCACTTTGGGTTCCAAGAGAGGCAGAGCTCAAGATGGCCCATGGCAGTGGCGTAGTGCGCGGACTACCTAGGATGGTTCGCAGAGCGCAGGGGCGCACACAAGGCACGAGTGGTAACGGGATGGACCAAAGCAAAAGCAAAGGTCGCCAAAGGTGCAAGAAAAGAAAGGGTGGCACCATCATGTCGGACTTACTTCTTCGCGTTGCTCTTTGATCCCTTCTGCCAGTCCGCAGCGTCTGCGGCCTCTCTCTTGGCATCCTCGGCCGCAGCCTTTTGCGCTGCAGCGTCGGCCTTGCGCGCCTGGCCGGCGGCCTTCTTACTGTTCTCGCCCCCTCCTTTCTTTCCCGCCATGGCCGCTGGTAATTCTCGTTGTCACAGGTCGGTCGCAGATCAGGCAAGGGCCAAGCGTCGGAAGCGCTTTTGTCGGTCAGATGCCTCGTCGGATCGCAGCCGGTGGAGGGGGGCGGGTGAAGCGAGGTGGGACGTGTTTGACCGGGTGGTTCGAGTGAGGGTCTGGCGGTGGTGAATCGGAACCCTGCCTCGTATGGAAGGATTTTTGTTTCTTTGGCCTGGGTAGAAGAATGGATGTATTCCTTTTTTTTTTTCTCTGTCTTGCGACAACGGCAAGTGACGTGGTGTGTCACAGCAGCCGGAGGTGGTGGGTTCAAGAGTTAGTGGTGGATATGGCGGGGCACAGGCGGGGCCCAAAGACCGTCCGTCACTGGTGCGAGAGCCTGGCTGACCTCCGGCCGCCGGCTCCTGTGAGCCGGGGAGGGATCAAGTTGTTGTTCATGATGGCATTTCTCCATCACGTACAACGCACACGCATTTTGGACAACAACGGGTGCGAATACCATTACACAGCGTCGCTTTTGTCCCTTTTTCGCCTCTTCGCCGGCCATCCAACGCCGCACCGGCACCAGGCCAAGCTAAGGTAACCTTAAGCAGGCAGCCGCCTGTCCCCGACCGGTAGGTTCCGTCAATGTACTGTCAGTATGTAAGTATGTATGTACGTATGTATGTAAGAGGTAGGTAGGGAATTGTACATCGTACCTTGCACTCACTCCCCTGCTGCTTGCATGCTCGAACCTAGCCGCTATGCCAACCTTGCTTTGTTACGCGCTTCGGGTCGGACGACGGCAAGTCGGGATGATCGGATACATGTATCTGCTTTTCTGGTCTTGCTCGGCCCAATGATACGGCTCAGGGCCACCGGTCCGGTGCCCGCTTGCATTGGATCCTGCCATCGGCACACAAAAGCAGACCATGTCACAGTGAGATCAGTTACACAGTCGCCCAAAGAGAGGAGGCGGATGTTTATGCTGGCTGCAACGGATCGCTCCTGCAACAGCCGCCCCCTACCCTTGTACCGCTCTCACATCGTTCAAGTGTGACGATTCTTGAGGTATTGCTTTCGGTGCGTAGGCCTGAGAAGATCCCGCATGCGAAGGGGGCCTCCCGACTGGATGTCCTTACCGGCCTGACGACGTGAGCATCCGGCTCAGCAAGGATAACAACTCGGGTCTCATGCTGTCACCGGGCGGCCTTCCATGTTGACCGCTTGTTTGACTCACAGTCCAATCCAAATGTCTCTTTGGTGAGTTGAGTAACTGCCGGGAACGGCCCTGGTTGTGGGACACGTTCTGTGAAAGATTCTTCACAACCTTCTAGCCCACACATGGCTACCGTCTCCCGCCTATCGCGTGCAGCCGCGCAGCGGCCCTGGTGCCAGGGACCCCGGCCTCCCGCTACGAAATCATGGTTACTATTTGACGCCCGGGTTGAGTGCAGGGAGCTTCATCTCCAACTGACAGGGGGTTATCTCTACCAAGTCAAAAGTTGTTGGCTCTCTCCCCACAGCCTACGCGGACGGATGTTCCGACCTCGTAGCGGCACCATAGCGGCAAGACTGCACAAGTTGATGCCATTGCAGGATTGATGGGCTCTCAGTGGGCGAAGCCGCATGCAGTGACTGGCTTCGCATATTCCGTGCATGTAATAAGTCGGTTTGCTTCAAGCTGCATCGCGCCCGCACCTCACGCATCCGCACTGCAGCCAGATGCAAAAGCAGACCTTGGCGCGCGTCGTTCCTGCTCCTCGTAGCAAACCCTGCGTATCCTGAGCAGTTTGCGGTATTCCGGCGTATTGACAAGGATGTTCAGAGAAGGTGTATTCTTCTGTGCCGGCGTCCCTTGAAGCTTAAACACCCGAGGGCTTGGGATGATTGACCGGCCTTCGCCTTCCCAAATACCGTACCCGAGATTAGATTGTGGCATCATTTCAGGCGAGCCAGTCGTAGCCCGTTTCAAGAGAAGCGTTGGTGACTGTGGCCTGCGTGTTGCTCATCATGTTTCACCGCATTATCAAAACACGAACTTCCTGGCAACGACGGAGGTTCGTGCGGGAATACTGCAGTGTCTCTTGCCTCCCCAAGAGATCTCTTCCTACCCATGATCGCCCAGCGAGAATGAAACGGTGACAGGGTTGGTCGACATGGTTGCGTTCCACTCGTAAGCCTCATTATCACGCATTCCGACATTCACTTACCGTCTTCACTCCCTGAACGCGGCTCTATATATATACAATCGGTGTCAGACACACACGGTACACAGAGAGTACCTGGCTGTGGATCAGTCGGATGTCAGCGATGGAGGTACGCCCGGTCTGTCCCGCCCGTGTTGCTCACGACACCGCTTGATCGAGTGTGACAGGGCCTAGCCGTCGTCGTCGTCGTCGAGGCTGATACTGCGCGACCCGCATCGAATCGTTTCCAGGGCTGCAAGGTCAACGACAACTTACTTTGCTTCCTTCCAGGACCTTTCCAAGGCTCAAGCACGGCGCAGTAGACCATTGAGGGCGGTACATCAGGCACCCATCCCGCCCTGGCCGAGTAGTGGCGGTGTGAAGGGCGTGAAGCTCGACGAACCACTCAATTCCACAAGTTCCTACCCAACTGCGGAGTATGCCTCTCTTCCCCCCTTTCCATCCCACTCGTGATAGCGTGAGCCGCGACTGGCGCTGCTGGACCTTGTTTGTCTCGTAGCCGACCGCTCATTCAGGCAGTGGCCGGGCAGAGGGGGGGTTCGTGCCGGATGCGCGTGTTAACCCAATGACCTTCGTGTCGTAGATGTGGACAATCGCCCGACACGGATTCCGACCGTAGGCCCCAGAAGGCGAGTTCAGCGTCGGTCGATGTTTGTGACTACAAGGACAGTGGCTGAGTAACGGTCTGGGTTCTTCAAAGGTCAAAGAGACGAGAATGACAGGTCAGCATGCACACCGAGGTGAGATGTGATACATTGGCCCTGGGCTTCGAATGGAATGGAAGATGAGCCATGTCAGTTCAAGCCCCGAGCATGACTCCACCATGTTCTTCATGCATTGTGCCCGGCTGTAACGCTGAGCTTTGGATGTCCTAGCTGTGCCAGGGCTGTTTTCAACCGGTAAGATCGAGGAGGCAGTTCACCCCCACTGCTGTCTGTCCAGTAAGACTGTGAGTGTTGCTCCATGGGGACGGAACGGGCCTCGAAAGCAACTTGATACGCTGACCGGCATATCGGACTCACCTTTACGTCCACTAGGAGTAAAAGCTCAGCGAGTCCCCTCCACGGGACGCCCGATTTGTGACGACATCCAAGCCAATCCAGAGGGTGCGGCTGGTCTGAGGTGGTGCAATGATGCGGTCACATGGGCCAGAGTGCTGTTGCTGAACCTTGACACCTGCTATGCTTGAGACTGGCTCCAAGAAAGGTCGATGGCGAATGAAAGCCGGTGACATGGCGGCCGTCGCCGTGGTGTTGCCCAACCAGTTGGGAAGCTGGGCTGACTCCATGGCCCTCCAAAGCTTGTGCCAGGTGCATCAATGTCGTTGACTGCTTATGCGTAGTCCTCGTGTTTGCTGCCGACTTAGCCGTGCGGCGTGGAGAGATACTTTGGCCATGGAGATTTGGTACCGCTGAGCTGTCACAATACCCATCCGTACTCTAGCTCCCGGAGGTTGACGAAGGCCAACCAGGAGCCGCGGCATCACAAGGGTTGAACGCAAAGTTGAGCACACCGGCCCCGGCTTACGCCAAAAAGCGTCCCGCGTGACCGACCAGGTCTGGCATGCTCACTTCCAAGGTTGCCTTCGGACACTGACGGGCCTCGAGAGTCTGGCCGCTTGAGGTGCAGGCAGGTTGTAGTGACACGAAGTAGCTCAGTGCTGCTGCACTGTTGTTCGCGCGGATGAAATCGTCAGTCGGGATCCGCGGATCGCCAATCGCACCTGCCTCCACGCTACGCAGTGGAAATCAGTGTTCGCGTGAGCCGCCTACAATTGGAAACTGCTATCCACGGCACTGCCCAGTTGAGACTCGCGGCAGGTGCAGTATGACCGATATCGTGCCTTCCCGGCTGGTGTGCCCGGGTCGAGAGCGACTTGTGGTCGCGACCGGGTGCCAGTTGCGCTGCCCGTTGAGATAGAAGTCTCCCCTCCGCTGATGAGCAGAGATCGATTGTGATATTTGCCTGCTGCATTAACTACCTATCCACTGACTAATAAAAGCCCAGGGAAATATCTCATGTCAGATACATCTATGGAAAGGAAGGCAAGAGTCCAACTCAAGGCAAACCTCAAGTTCAATCACCAGAGAGGCCCAAAGGAGACGATCGAGCCACAAAAATCAAACCTAGCAATGCGCGACAGATGGCTGGATTGCTGGCGGGTTGGAATCATATCAGCTGGGCAACGGTGACTCCTCCTGGGGACGCTGTAACCCAGTGGCTTGGAAGGCGTGGGCCGGGTGAAGTCCGGCTGCAGATCATTGCATGAGGTGTAGAGTTGAGCCGGTGTGCTGGCGTGCTGGCGTGGGGGTGCGCCAGAGCTTGGAGACCAGAGTGCCAGGGGTGACGGTGCAAGGTTGGATCCGAGGGGTTATCGCCAATGATCACGAGGGTCACGAGGTCCCGAGGAAGGATGACGATCGTCATTGATACTGGGCACGCATATAGGTCTTGGTCGATCAAGATTGAGACTGGCAAGGGACTGGCAAGGCTGACCGAGTCTGCCCCTCTGGGCTACCGAGTGAAGAACTGCGTGTCTGAGACGCCGATGGCCTGAATGGAGAAAGCACCTCGTGCTGAGATTAGGTACCACAGTTTCAGCTCGTCATTTTTCATATTGAGAAAGGCTTGTCTGGCAGATTGAGAGGCTACCCCTTGCTGACCGGCCATTCCCGAAAGGGAAGAGTTGAGGAACGAAATGGAACAATCAATGGGGGTTCCACATCCCGGGATCCCCTTACAAGTAGGTAGAGCCTTTACGCAAGTGGCAAGCTTCCGCGCACTGGCTTGGGAAAAGAAAGGGGCGA